CGACCCTGTCCCTTAAATGCATCCAATCCACCACTTCCGTCTTTATTTTTGGCACAGCAATGCGCACCTCGGTTTTTACTAGACACTTATTAGATGTGCAATATATCGAAATGAAGATTATGTATATATCTTACCAATTGTKGAAGGAGTTCTGTGGGCCTAACCGTTTACCTGAGCATCTATCACTGTGCATCCGGTTGCCACTGCAAGGTGTCCGGGCTTCAAGTATATTGAGTCTGTCGACGGATTTGCCTTGATTACCGAGCGACGGATTGGATGTCGCAAAAGCTGTAATGGAAAGAACCATCATTATAGAGATATGAGAGGTCTTCATGGTGCTGCGACGCTGGGCTCAGGTTCAGGGCTGGGTGAGTTTGTAAATCTATTTACGCAAGGTAAAATTCCTCGCGGGTATTTATATTCATATCCCAGGCAAATGATGCACACTCAAGGTTTTGGTTGTGAAAGTATCTGTGGCATTTAGTCTGCATACTTAATCTCATCCCAGGCTTTGCTGCAACATTATCCGGGTCCTGCAATATAATGAGTTGTGTAACACTGCGTCATGAAAATTTTTCAAGATTCGATCAAATGACCGGCGTTGTGCTACCACACGCGTTCCCACTATTGAACCTTGAACCTATTAGTCGAATGCCTTAATCACATAAGATCCATTCCGAATGAGACCCGCGGATAGTTATTATATCATATATGCAGGGATTTCCTGGCTATTGAACGCAAAAGCTCAACTCTCAAAATGCCGGTCACGCTCTGCCCACTACACCGACTATGATTTCTGCTTGTGTAACTGAGCGGATGCGAACTGGGTTAGATTATTACATCGTCACCCATTAGAATCTTCTCATCATACTCGAACCCCTTACCGAAGGGTCTATGAAGGTATATTGGTACATCCCTTCCTTGTCTGGCTTTGGGAAGATAAGTGTCACGTCGCGAACCGCTGGCAAGCCTTCATCGCGGGCCACTGCCTTCCTCAGATAATAGTTTCTCTGAACGTTGTGCACGCGAATAGTAATAGAGGAATTAAATAGCTTAGTAAGAACTAAGTGATTTATTCTAGTTCTTAGAATATATATATTTTACGATTGAGAATATAACCCTATGGAAGATATTAGAAGATGTTAATATTTCCACATTCATAATATTACCGCGTGCATAATATCAGATGATCTCGATATTCGCAACAGATAATATTATCAATGTGATATTGTTATTGCAGATTTAGTCAGAAGTGAACTTTGCTTAGGGCCTTAGGAACATAGAATCGCAAGTAGCTCTAAGCATGCAGGGATGACATTGTCACATTAGCTTAAATGTGCAACATGCGCATTATTAATAGGCATATTTGCCGCAGACTCCCTGTGTAGGAATGAAACCCGCCCAGGGGATCAATAGGAATAGTGTATTCAGGAGCACAAACCACGAGATCGTTTTAAATTGGCGCAGCAGCCAGCCTTCTGGGTGGTATAGCCGCTGGCTTGGCCCTTCGGTGTGAGTCTTGTACGGTCCGAGAATAAGGGCACAGAGTAGGTTGGCAAGGGAGGTAAACAGTACCTCGCGCTGATTCCATCGTTATATTACAGTAGCACAATAGACCATAATCGGTATGCTAGTGATATATTATGTATCCTCCTTATACAACTCCTCTTATATATGAAAATAGGCTTCACTTTGATTGACTGGTTTTAATATTTCATACGGTATGTTCCTTTGAAATGGGATCATTGCTTGGACCAAACCCAACTGTCAGGCGATTGCAGCCTTCAACCATGTTGGATGACAGCACTCTGTCTACCGAGAAATAATCATGAACATTATTAACACTAAATACACAATAAGGTACGTAGTACCTCGTGTCATTTTTCTAGCATCATTGTAGCTCTAGGGCTAACGGTGGTTGTATCCTCCTCAGGGGCATCCACCTTGATGCACTTGGCAGGCCTGAGGCCTTAGAGAGCCTTAATTAACTAACAGTTAAAGAATATGTTTCAATTCGGATGCAAAGTTTTAATGTTTAATACTCTTGCCTTCACAGCATGTAGGTAAAACAAGAGGACAACTTAGCCCCTCTCTCGTCGAGGCTAATACTACCTACCCCGCTGGAAATTGGAGATCTTGATCGATGCCACCGCGGGGAGACGAGCCTATCTATTTGGGGTTGACACATGTTTCGGTTGGGTAATCCGGAACACCTGCCGAGGTCTAGGCATTCGTCAGGCTACTTTCTTAATATAACCATACGATCGTAGGGCCCGACTGATCGTGAACGTAGATACAAGCACGTGGAATCCATCACATACAAACTACCATAACAGGTGTGATCATACAGGGAGCCGCCCGGAATTGATGCAACTATTAATATAAAGATGGTAGTATACTATTCGACCAATGGTATTTATGATATAGCTATCTAATTCAACTTAGTAAAAAGGTCTGATCTCCTTATACTACACATATTTGCCTACCTATATTTTTGTAGAGGCTTGGTTGAGCTGCTGATAATTGCTGCACTGATCATTTCTGAATATGTGAAATATCACACATGATCTTCCGAATAGGCGCAATTTATATGAGCAGATGCTTTCAGCTCTTCTTTCCTCAGCGGTGTATCAATGAAATCGTCACTTGATTAGCTTGCCGAGCCCAGCCGCCTGGTCTCCATCGCTTAATCCTAGTTCTGCAGTAGTTTTGCGGGGCATGTTACAACCAGTTACTCAGGCAATTAAGCGAGAATGGTAGAAGAGATGTAATCCTACTTTATGTAGAGAGCAGCACTGGGCATATATATCTCCCTGTGGCCCCTCGAACTTATTATTATCTGAACACTTCCTCCCTCCGTCACCTTTCCTGTTTCTGTTTATTCGTACCGAAATTGACTTGTCCCTTTTATAGAGATGCTGTTCACTCCCATTGCTGCTGCATCGCTGCTAGCTGTGCTTGGTACACAGCCAGCGGGTGCGCTGGCCCAGGACGCCGAGGGCTGGTACAAGGCTCATCCAGGTATGGCGCGTATCAGCCAGGTGAACCAAGACACGCATCAGATTGTTGATGAATTTGGCCGTACGCGGTTCTTCCACGGAACCAATGTCGTTATGAAGGAGCCACCGTGGCATCGGCCATTAGAGTGGACGCCTGGTGTCTCATCATTTGGCGAACAAGATGTCCAAAATCTGCACGACTTAGGTCTGAACATTGTGCGGTTAGGCCACAGCTGGGCCGGTGCAGAACCTGTTCGTGGGCAGTACAACCAGACATTTTTAGATATCATGAAGAAGCAAACCAAGATGGCTGAGGACCATGGCCTCTATGTTTTGGTGGACGTGCATCAGGACGTCCTGGCGCGGCAGCTTTGTGGCCACGGCGTCCCTGACGTAAGTAGATGCAGAGCCATGTTGGCATACCTGATACTGACACTGCTTCGTAGTGGTTTGTTAAGAAGGACTGGGTACCAAGCTGGAAGATGTTTCCGTTTCCTCTCAAGCTGACGCCGTTCCCTGTGGATAAAAGCGGGTTCCCATCGCCGCAGTCGCTTTGCGGCACCGTCGACTGGTCTCTAAGCTACACATCGGTGGCGGTGTGCAACGCGTTCGGGCGGCTATACAACAACTACGACGGGCTGGGCGACGCGTTCGCGGCGTACTGGAAGAAGCTGGCGTCAGAGTATGTCGAGACGACAAACGTGGTCGGGTATAACCTGCTGAATGAGCCGTGGGTGGGTGACTCGATGGCCGATCCGACTCTGCTAGTGCCAGGTGTTGCCGACCACAAGGTCCTAGAAGGGCTCTGGAACCGCGCGGCCAAGCAGATCCGTACCGTCGACAATGACACGCTCATCTGGTTCGAAGGCGCCACCATTGACATCTTGTCGGGTTTCAACAACGTCCCTCTTGGGGACGGCTCGAAGTCAGTGCACTCATTTCACTACTACAGCCCGCCGCAGCTGTCGTCTATTTCTACCACGCTCAGTAACCGCCGCAAAGACAACGAGCGCCTTAGGACCGCCGGTGTGCTGACTGAGCTCACCTTCTGGATGGGCGATGATAAGCAGATGCAGGGCCTAGCAGATGCCATGTCGGCGACCGACGCAAACATGGTATCCTGGATCGGCTGGGCGTACGAGAACCTGTACAACGGCACATCTGGCCAGCCTTACCCTGAACTGGCAAAGCACTACAGCCGTGCATACCCCGCAGCCGTCGCTGGCACTCCCAACAGCTTCAGCTTTGATGAGAGCTCGGCCACCTTCAAGCTGCAGTTCACGTCTGATCCAAATATTAAAGCGCCCACTGAAATTATCCTGCCCCCATCCACATTCCCCAACGGCTATAAAGTGCAGGTCTCGCCTGACGGCAGCTTGCTGCAGTACGTACTCGACAAGCGTACTCTGGCCTTATTCACATCTACGAGCATCAACAACGCCATCGACATCTCTGTCACAGTCTCTCCTAAATAATCTCATCTATAGTTTTCATCTAAAATTACTATGTACTCGTAGTAGTTGAGTTACTCCGCTACACTCTACTCTAATCATGTTGCTGATCATGAATCGTTTGGTCCTATTAAACATATCAATCACCTCAAGTCCTTTGTTCTCTCTATCCTTTTTCCTAGATGCACTTAATGATCGTATCATCCAAGCGGCCACTTCTGACAACCCACCGTAATGACATTAGTAAATTTCACCTCCCTGGGCACAGTTAGGCCATCAGAGGTCTACTTCAGTATTATTACTTGCCTTGAAGTCCCCGGTACAGGCAGCGTCTATAACTGGTGACTGTGAGCAGACAACTGCTTTATATACTAGGAATGTGGCCCCGTTGCAAATGATGGTAAGATCAGAGAGCTGCAGAGAGAGAGTTCGGCTTAATAACGCGGGATTCATTAACAATGGATTTAGTAGGGGGACCTGGCCTCCTAGTGGTGACAAAATGGCAATCTTTGACAGGAGTTTTTTTATTTCCGAAATTACCGCCAAATTACTAACTCTCATCTTCGTTATGGAGTAATCGGTCCTGCTGGCTCGGAGCATCATCTTTCTGTTGGGTCGGCTGCTCGTCTTCTTGTTCCTTAACAGTGATGGAACGTTTACCTTCCTCCTGAATCCATTTAGGAGTCGGTTTCGGAGAGATAGCAAAGATTCCAGAATCCGAATCAAGTGACGTAAATATGCGCCCTGGAGAAGTTTCGCTCAAGAAGCTACGCATCCTCTGCGGTCCAGAGCCCTGCACAAAAATGGATCCGACAGTAAAGATACAGACGAATGCTGTCAGCCCAAGAAGTATAAATGCAGGAATTCCGTACACCACATGGTACCGCACTCTGCTCCCGTAAAATATCACCGGGATCTCCGGTATACTCGTATCTTCAGAGGCGGGTGTGGTCAAACCTCTCGTTCCCAGAACGTGATTAGCCGCAAGATCCGTCCAAATCAGGTTCAAAATCCGCGCCGTTCCTCCTGCCGTTCGTGATAGTTGTCCCCATCGCTGCAAAAGTGCATAGTTGGCTGCACCAGAGTAATCAAAACTGCTGCCGCCCACTGGGACATCGTATGTCCCTGCAAGGACATTCTTATAGAACTCTATTCCCGGAAGATTGTCGCCATTTGGTAATGTTGAGAATGTGCCTAGTTCGCCACTACCTGGCAGCCATAAGTGTTCCTGTCGAAGAGTGGAAACATTCAATTGGCTGGCAGTTTCTGGCAACACCAACCCCCAGAGCGGAGAAACATCACGTAAAGTCAAGCCCGTATTTTCGACACCCCACAGTGGCTTGGAGGAGTCGTCTTGATATGTCTTTGCAGTGATATTTGTGACCTTTAAACCGGACAGATCGTCTGTGCCGTTGAATTTGAAGGACACAGTCTTGATCCAGGCCTTTATGCCGGTTGTGCATGAATACAGGGGAATGGACCAGTATGAACCGGGTTCTTGAAATAGCAAAGGGTTCCCTGGCGTTTGGCGCTGCGGAACACCGTAGACTAATCCACACCCTGTAGCGAGATTGCTTATATTGGCGTAGTCAAACTTAGTTGACCTGCCACATAGAACACCTATTGGGTAGCATGAGCACAGGCATCAGCTAAATTGTAATAAGCTTGGCAAAAAATGAACCCCACCTGCAGACGTGAAGTTATGGTGATCAATATGAAAGGGATTTGGTTGCAGTGCAGGTTGGGAGTCTGCTAAGTTGCCTAAATCGGTGTAATTAGTGCCGTTCATGTTAACTCCAGTGTAAGGAATGTCTGTGTCTTGCAGGTAATTCCCGTATGAAGCTGTAATAGTCAAGCTCGGAATGGAGGCGAACGGGAAGCTCCATGTAGTCCCATTCCGCAGTAGAGGGAACGTTTTGCCCACAGAGGAATCTAGATATCTAAATGCTGTTCCTGGTTTGGTGTGATTACCGGGTTCAGTAACATTGAGAAAGATCATCGACACAAAGTTATTGACCCATGCGCCAGTATATGCCCGCTCAAAGAGTTCCGGGTTCTGCTGACTGTTAGTTATGGTCCAATCTAAAGGAGAAAAGTCGGCCGGAAGGTGCGCGAATCCGCCACGATCGGTGAGAACGAGGTTTTGATATCCGCCACCACCAAGGGAATAGCTTTTAGCCACGTCATAGTCTATGGTTATGTTAAGGTCGACACACTGCGTCTCCGGTTGCACGAAGAGCAAGTCCTCTGCCCACTCGCTCCCGTAAGGCTGCCACCGCGGCGCTGTATGATTGCGAAAGCCGATACCCCCTTCTTGTAGATCGATTACCAGGCCTTCTGCCAGTTGAATACCTCCCTCTGCAATAAGGGAGCTAATTGGTCGGAATAAGCTTACTGGATGTGCTGTGTTATTGTCGACCGTGACCATATCTCCGCCTTGAATCATTTGCGACCAAGTCAAGTAGCGTGACTGAATATCAAAGATGCTCGAAACTGAAGGCTCCATGAGGGAAAGACCACTCTGAAACGAGTCAATCACATACTGCGGAACGTGAGTGTCGTACCAATCTCCGATTACGGTCGCACTGGTAGCATTTTCGATCGTAGTGATATTTGCGTAGGAATTTGGACATGCGACGGGGGCCCAACCTCCACAGGCCCGGCTAAATCGGAGTTCGGCATCCCGTGGTGGCGTCCCTTCACCAAAAAGAGACTTGTCCTTGATATAATGAAATTGTGCCGATTCTGGAGATTGAGGGACAATATCTTCGTATAAACCTAGAGGGGTCACTACAGCAGCAACGGCGGCCAGAATTTTGGCGCCAGTCCTCAGCCATGAAATGACCACCACTGGTCTGTATACGTCAGATGTCGCCGACGAGTCCGTCCTCAGGATAGTCGGCCAATAGGAAGAGTGTAATTCTCGTGCAAGGACAGACCTATACATGGCAGCAGTTAGTTTGTTTCAGACCATAATATCAAACAGCGATGCATACCAGGTGACAGCGGACAACGTAGCCGTGGAGCTTTTGAGAAATCCGAGCAAAATCACGGGTAGAGCGACTGGGTTAAAAACTTGAACTAGAACCCGTTTTAGTCAGTCACTATGCACACTCCAACAGGCATGGCTGTTCACACGTACCGACTGCAATGGCTGCAGCGATGATACCGGCGACATCTGAGACKGTGAGGTCCTGCAGCGAGACTGCCATGCTGAACAGATCCAGGAAGGTCTGGTATTTTTCAGGACTGATGTTGGGATTTACTTCGAAGGGGTAGACTCGCCTCTATATTTAACCAGGCAGGACGCGGCTGAGCCTGCGTGAATCAACGAGCACATTCTTGCTGTCCCGCAAGAGGTAGCACCTTTGAGCTTGCTGTCCCAGGGCGAGGACATGGATGGTGTCAGAGTCAGGGGTCCGATTGGCCAAAGGGAGGAGACGGTTGCATTCATGCGCAAACAGAGTGTCACATGAGAGCTATTTAGTGATGCATTTGTGGATGACTTTGGACAGCTCCGAGAACATGAAGTGGGAGTAAGTGGTGACTAATTGGTTTTCGTGCTCCCCGCTTGTAAACTAGAATTGCTTCTAGCGTAGCTATCAGGGAAGGGGTGGGAGGAGGTATGTACTATGTAGAGCCTCTGCTTTCCAAGGCTAGTACAGTTACTTTGTAGAGCCATGACGTCCATCCATGTGATTTCGTGTAATCGGATACGAGAAGTAATCTATCATTAGCTACGTCAATGGCAGCCCCCTGTATTAATATTCCCCTAAAGTCATATGCGGCTACCATCTAATGTATTCGCGCCGTATCAACCTAATCCATCTCGAGAAGGAGAATTACGTGTGGGAGCCTACCATGAAAGGATCTTTATAATCCACTACATTTTCTTCAGCCTGATGTTCCGTCTATCTTCGCCTTCGCCCAAAGGGAAGGAGAGATAAGGGCAATATCCATACAACTCTCTCCCTTGCACGCCTGCCATCTCTGAGCGATAGTGAATAACTCTGACTGACCCCTGAGTTTATTTGTACTTCTATATGTCATGTCCTGCACAATGACGTTTTTCTATCAGGACCGTGATCTCCTTGTGGCAATGGTGGCGAGAAATAAGCGAAGCCGTGGAACGGAAATAATGGAGAAACGAACCCCAGACTCTCAAATTGGAGATTGGCTCGCCAGACGCCAGACTAATCCTGAGGGGTCAAGAATAGCCCAACCGTATCGCACAAGCGACTTGACGAGTCGATGACCATTGATGTACTCTAAGACGGGCAACGGTGTAGATGAAGTAATAAATGCTGAACAGCTGCTCAAGAGGTGAGAAAGAGTAGACGGCCAAATCTTTCTTGTATTGGGTGTGGACAATCAAACTTTGGATTTGGTACGTCGCACGACCGCGTTCCCGAATCAGGATGGATTGCTTTTAATCTCTAAGCAGTGACAGGCTAAGGTAATATGGCGGCGTATGGGAGGCGGCTTAGAACCGGCCAATAAAGTGGTGACTATCACATGTCAGACGCCGCTTCGGGCCGTTCCAGGGGCGCGAGCAGCTTCCGTGGTAAAAACTGTCACTGCCCTTTGTTGATATGCCTCAAAAAGGCTGCTCAGTGGATGCTGGAAGCTATGGTAGCACGACACCTAATTTGATAATCATGGAGCAACGCTTCCTAAGCGTCTTAAATGTAGGGTCCTCGCAAGCCATACCACTTTGGTCTTTGCCAGCAGTATTTGCTGCCTCTAGAACTTTAAAAACCACCATCTCCTAGCAGTAAGGTTCCAATATACTTGCCATTCTCGCCCGCGCCAAAATGTAATATGGCTCGATCCACCATGCAGAATGCGAAATTCATCGTTGCTGCTTTAAAGAAGCGAAAACGGAGAGTATCGAGGCTATTCCCCTAGGTGGTTGGTACAGCGAGCTGATTGTCTACGTGTTGATGAGTGTTATGACAGTGTTCGAGGCGACAGAAAATGGCCCCCATCCACATGTTACTGGCCCAACTCCGGTATCAAGGTAGTTTTAGTAACTACGCAGTTGACAAATTATGTTAGGATAAACACTCTTAGTGTCTGAAACCAGGCGAGAATTTTCCTACCGCAGATCAACCAGTCGTTACCAGAACAGGAAGGTACTACAATCTTCTGTACTCTTGTCCATATCCATCATTGGTAGACTTCAGGATACTACGTAGATCTTTGAGCTGCCGCAGATCCTAAGTGGACGTAGAATACGAGGTGGCTGCGCTACTAGATCATGCTTAGCCTAATCCCCGCGCATTGAAAGACCCTTCAGAAGCTTCTTTTCGGATTTCTCGTCCCCAGCTGAGGGGTGAATCTTTCCAGTTCAACATAGGAAAATACCAGTATACCCTTACCCTCTACGCTCTCCAGTTAAGATGTGGCCCGACACCAGCATTTGGACAGCCTTCCTTCTCGTATGTTCGACCATCGCCCAAAGCCAAAACCAATGCGTCATCAGCTGTGCAACGTCTTATCGCGAGGTCTCAACGTGCCAGGGCGATGAAACTGGTCAGATACTCGCAGACTGCACCTGCGCGTCTTTCCAAGGCCCGGACGACCCCCTGATTGCCTGCATCAAAAAGTGTCCTACAGCCGATATCCCGCATACGCTGCCATCATTCCCGCTAAGTGTCGGAGTACACTGTTCTCCGGAATCAGTGCTGCGTCCGGCACTGGCACAGCCAGTCTGACCCAGACAGAGTTCCTGTCCTCCACTGCCACTACCAGTTCATACGACGCGGGATTCATGACCACTACTACTCCAGCCCCGCCCATAGATCTCATCCGACTACTACTGCCGCTGCCGCGTAATTCACCCATCAGTTAATAGGGGTCCACCTCTGTGGAGTGGTGGGGCCCAGTTTATACAACTTACAAGGCTTTGACAAAATTCTGCTTGTATGAGTGGAACGGTTGGTCCCATCCCTGACTTTTGAAGACATCCATCCCCTCCGCAATCTCTAGGTTTGGCTTGCCATAATAAGCGGCGGGCAGGTAAATCTTAGGCACTGGTCCCTTAGCACCCGGCCAGATCTCGAACTTGAACATGACTCCCGCGCACCGATGCGGGTTCTGAGGTGAAATATCCTCATCGTCTGTGGGTCGCTCAGGGACATTCGCACAGCGGACCAGAGAATTCGGAGGGTTTCAATGGCGCGGTCCATTTCCGGCTCGATCAGGCGTCCTCCCAGGGTGAAGACATCAACCATACGATTGAAGGCAGTCCTTGGGGTAGCGTAGAAGATCTTGATACGAGAAGTCTTGTATTTTTCGCTAAGTGTAGTGTCGAAGGCGAACAAAATTGGGCATGCCGCTGCCTTTCGGGCGACCCTCAGAGCCTGTGAATTTGTCCCGCACAGAAAGAGACTCCATGTACGCCGCAATCTCAGCTCCCAAGTCCTTTATCGCGTTGAACATGAGCTCACCCATAGGCTGACCCGTCGGCAAATGCTTCCACGTTGGACACATAGCCACTTTAACCTGGGTTGCGTCATTCGGAAATACAAATATTAGCCATAATTGGGTGCGTACGACGATGCTCTCAGTCATAACCTCGACACCATTTGAATATATCTGTATTACATGTTGACGATATGTTATACAAACTTGTTATAGACTAACTGTTAATACACTCAGGTAGTCATTTACAATCTAAGGATTTCGTTGGCCTTCTCCAGTACCAACGCTGTCTTTGATGGAGACTACCCTCCCGTGAGTTCCAACGAGCCAAATCCGAAAGACTTCGACCCTTTGCATTGGCCCGTCCTTTGAGGTGTCCTTCTGTTGCTCTCCGGAAAGTCAGGGGGTGGAGAACCAGCCAAGAAATCCTGCTTTTGCCGCTGGACGTAGCGTGAATTGGCTTTTGTAACTGGACAAGCCGGGATGTACATGACGCTGGATTCACCTTGTCCTTGGTGGATTTGTCAACGCACGGATGGCTGGCATCGCTCGTTAGAACGACTCCCAATGAGATAAGGAATGAGTATAGACGCTAAACCTACTGTCACAATGCCAAGCGACATAATCCGGGTATGTTCGGTTGCATTGTGCCGGCAAATCATCCTAACAACCGCGCAGATCCGCTTGAACATCCCAGTATTATTCATTTGAACTTGACAACCATCAACAGAAACTACTTATTAGAATTCGAAAGCCTTGCGTCAACACTGAATACACCAGAGGAATCTCTCCCCCGCTACGAGGACCACATTCAAGACTCAAAGCCGGATGAGGTACACTTCATAACTGCATTACCCGTAGCCGATGAATGGGAACAGGAACGCCTCCCGAATTAACCGGTATCACCAGAACTCTCTCTGGTTCCTAGTTATACAACTGCCTTACGCTCTACAACTTCGAGTCTGATATCATTCTGGGACCCCCGTGATTGGCCATAAGTCGGGTCATGCATTCTTCAAAGTTTTTGATTGTCCCGCCCATTACACCTATTCAGCTAGTTTCTTATTGCATCTCAAGTGCTTTTTTGGTGTACTTCAGCTCAGAAATTAATGAACTAGACTATCTGGTAGTGATAATCACTCAAGAGAGCGGTGGAAAATCACTTTCTGTTCCGCGAAATTGTAAGTAATGGCTAGTTTCTTGTCTAAAATAATCAGAGATCGTTTATCCTTATTCATAATGATCTAGTTCAAGGAGCAGATCTATATGGAGATCCTTTACTAGGACTACTACTTTCCTCACTAAAGAAGTGGCGACTAAAAGGAGGCAGTGATCAACAGAATCTATGTTTATTCATATCCATATGCACTGTGTCCAGCCTGACTGTAGCGCCATATCATAGGCCGATAGTTCTTTTTATTAAAATAATCCGGGAAATAGAGGATGGGAAAGTACTATTTGAAATCTTTGTGTCGAGGACACCAGCGTCCCCATGTGTCTATCGAAGGCTTTTAAAACCGTCACCGCAGAACACTTATTCCGCGACCTTGATACAGACCTTGCCGATCTGAGAACCGGAAGAGACGTACTCGTAAGCCTCGATGACTGCGTCTTCTTTGAAGGCAAAAACCTTGTCAACAGGCAGTCTAAGTCCCTTGGTTGCCACGAAGCGCGTGACCTCCTCCAGCAGCTGCGTGGATCCAACAACGATACCACGCACGACAGCACCCCTGGCAAGAGCCAGGGAAGCGATATCAGGCATTTTCGACTGTTCGGCTCGCGACAGAAAGCCGATAACTGAGATATTACCACCCATTTTGATGGCGTTCAGGCTCTCGCCAATCGTACCGGATCCGCCGTTTTCAAGGATATAATCCACACCCTCTCCGTTCGTCAGACGAAGGACCTCTTTGGACCACTCGGGGTGCGTCTTGTAATTGACGGTGAGGTCAGCACCGAAATTCTGCTTGACAAGGTTGAGCTTGTCATCGCTGGAAGATGAACGATGGTTCTTGCTCCCGCGGCTTTGGCGAGGATCAAGCCAGTGATGGATACTCCGCCTGTGCCTACTCCACTGGTCAGAGAATGTTTATGATGATAATTAAGGAATTAAAGGCTGCTCACCTTGAAATAAGACAGTCTGGCCTGGCTTGAGCGGAATATTTCCGTACAGAGCATTCCAGGCAGTCACACCAGTGCAAACCAAAATAGGCCATTCACAAAAACTCAGAGGCGACTCTTTGGGGATTTGCACGACAGAGGCAGCGGGTAAGCAGACGTACTCACGAAGTACGCCGTCAATAGGTCCGCCTTGGCCGTTATTCCAGTCCTTCTGCTGACCAAAGAGGTTCGAAATATCAAAGGTGCCAATGACGTGGTCTCCCCATTATATAGGTGAAAAGGACCGCTCGGTTTCTCAACTTGGTGGCTAAGATAGCATTAGACTTGAAATCCACATGAAGTCTCCGACGGAAAAGGGCGGTCGATTTCTAATCATCCTGAGCCGTCGTGTCATGAATGGGTGAATAAGGTGTTGCGATTAGCATGCGAGTAGCGAAGATCTGCGTTTGGCAATTCTGATGTAGAGAGAGTGAGAGACGTTTGGGGATGGAGCTTCGGGGAAGTGGGTCCTTACTAAACTACATCTCCAATTTTGGAGAACATTAAGGCTTGCAATTCCTGGGATATGATTCGTATGATTGGTTGTACGATTTCAGATTCTCAAGAGAGTATTGGATTCGTCTTTCTCAATCCTGATGTACAGTTTACTGAAGGAAGCCTTAATTGAATAGGATTTCTCACCAGCTTCTAAATCATCCACAGATACTGAAGAAGATCCTTCCAAAGGCCCTTTGGATACTTTCGTGGTATGGAAAAGCTAATCACTATATATTTAGAGGTCTAGGACATCCAAGTTTAATCTATAGCTATGAAACTAATTAGTCAAAGAACTAAACCACAGGGGGCGTCACTTAATTAAGTATGTGTTTGGGTGTGGTCTAATAATATATGGGACTGGGTGCCCTTGCCATCAGCCTTACCTTTAAATTAGTGGACGCAGAATGGTGCTTAAGGGCAAGGTCGAATAGTGGAGGTGACCATGCCAAGGAATTTAGGGAGAGGCGTGAGGAATTGCGAATTAAATTGCAGTTGTCTAATTTCACGTTTGCTTGGGCTAAGCATAGGATCTCTAGGTATATGTAGGCTATCGAGACTTTTCATCCAGAAACCTGCCACTGTGCTAAAAATATCTCTCAAGAAAAGGGCTATTGTATTTTCCGTAACTGGCTGAACTTTCAGTGTCAAGCATCATATTTCCGATTCATATCATGAGGAAGTACGGATTCAGTCGTGGCTGAGCTCTTGACGAAAATATGAGCAACCTTCGCTCTGGCAGGGAGTGCTATGGCATATAGCACATGGAGCTTAGACCATCATCAGCTACTCATCCATCAAAAGTGTGTTGTCAATTCAATTTCTTGGTCCTTGGTGCTCCCCCTATGAATCTTGCCACATCGGCGATTGGCCAAGCAAGCTGATCCGTCGGATCCTCGTGAACCTCACCCGATGTGATCATGTCCACAACCTCCACCGCGATATAGCCACCAATTGCGGTGAAGACATGCCACCTGGATTGATTTGCCGAATCAGGGTCTCATGTTTCTAGATCTAGAATCCCACGGAGAAAGGACATTAGAAACGAAACCTACCATCCATGCAGTTCGAACACAAACGCCAAGGGCAAGCCGACCGAGTGTCTGATTCGAATCAGGGGATTGCAAGCCCACTCGTCAATCAGCCAGACCATGTAGCCGAAGACGAAGCTACCTGAACTCATTATCAGTTCGATTAATCGGAGGTTGCTTCCGATGGAGGAGGAAGAAAACACATACAGACGCCAAAGAGGCCGATGTTCCGAAGCTTCTTCCGAGTGAAAGGATGCGGGACCCGCTGGGAGACCAATTTGATCGTCTGTGTCGCGACCAAAAGGACCCCCAACCCGAAGGTCACGGCATGGAGAAGGAACTCATTCATGACCATGTGAACCACCATCACAACACTGAACTCAATCAGGAGGAGGATGCCTATGAGTCTAGTATTCTGCGGGCTAGCCTGGATAGTAAAGATCCGGTAGAGAAGAGGCGTGACAAGTAGATGCATTGATAGTTCATCCGCTGGAAACAGACAGGATTGTGCGTAAGCTCAACCGTGGCGGCAGCGATGTCAGGCAGGGGTGCATACACATTTGKGTGTGATATTTCAGGGTCATATGGTAGCCAGCTGAGCAGGCCCCCACGCCCATCAGACCAAAGTAGGGGATTGAGCGGCTAAGGGTGGCATGTCGCTTTTGATAGAGCTTCACCAGACCGTAAACTCCGTAGATGACTTGGCGAGGTTATTAGTGGGCTATGAGACAATGTTTACGGACTCCCCGGATGCTTCTCGAACGTACTGTATATCAAGCTGCTGAATGTGTTTATAAATTCAGCAACGTACCGAGTTATTACATAGTCCTTGTGTTTGGGAACAGGTCAAGGGTTAGTGCATGGAAGTGGATCTAAGCAAGGCAGACGCGGAATTGTTCCGGGCGTACCTCTTCACAGAAGCTAAAGCGTGTCAGTTCAGATAAATCAGGAATTCAACACCGATAAAAACATACTTGAGATAGGATGTCTGGGGGCCCCAAAATGGGCCATCTGCGGAGGAATCCATTGGAGTGAAGAATCTGACAGTTTTGAGGAATGAATCAAGGCAGGCGGGTTGTTTTGGAAAACATCCTGCGGATGATGGATGCCGGTGCACGTGCGCGCTAGTGGTTCTGCTGCATGCGGGATCCCTTTCTGACATGGTCATTGCACACATCGAGTATTAATATTAATCTTAGTACAGGCTGTGTTGCCAGATAACTGGGCGTTATGATAATAGCTACTAATTACTTTTCAAGAATTGCGTATATAGCTATCCACAGCTCATAGCGCCTCAATTCCCGAGATCGCTTCAGGTGCTACACCAGACACTACGCCGGATCTACAGCAAATAAGAGCCATGTATTTGCATAAACACCATTGTCAACCTCAATGTTAATAATGTTAATCTGTACAGGCTTGGATTTATCAGGTGGGACAAGATGGCCAAATGTTACACTGTAATAGTCAATCAATCTACTCAGCGATTAGCCATGGGGGTATTCGAACCGGTTGCCTTGGGCAGCGATTAATATATACTTACTCCTGCAGACGCTTCTCTGGCACCAAGTACTTATCCCGCACCCCAGATCACCTGCGACTTCTGGAGAAACATCGCGTCCGTATACTTTTTGATACGTCAACCGTGCAAGCTTTGGGCCTGCTCGCTGTGGGAATGTCCGATCTAGAGGGTCCAGACGTCATGGGATATGCGGCAGAAGTCTTTGTATGGCAATCAAGCGAACTTCAATTTAGATTCTGAGCCGCTTGTCAGGTGGTGGGTGGTGACACTTGCCGGCGGGAGTGTGAATGCGACGCAGGATATACAGTGGGAGAGCCATTGGAACAGATGGAGCATCTTGATTGTCTGCTGGAGTTGCTTGATGAGCCACGGCGACTAGATTCAATTGCTCGCATAAAGATTGAAGAAATTTCTCACTCATATTTTCAAGCAAGGAAATTACAAAATCCGAGTTATTCGAAGTTACCATCAGAACAATGCTATGAAAGATGGCAATTCCCACTGTGCGGGGGACGGAATACGCGGATAATCCTTGCTTTACACACTATGTCATCCAAATGCTGTCTCCTCTCTAGCACATACGACCATAGGGTGTGGAAAACAGGGCTTCCCGTCCGCTCAGCCGTACTTAAGCCTATTATTGAACGCAGTAAATTCTTAAAAAGCCTTCCTCCCCTGAAAAAGCGACCTTATAATTTTAGCATGGGTGCTGGTGATGTGGGTGAGGACTTTATTACTCCTCATCACCACTCTGGAAGATGGCTCGCGAGTAGTGATGAGAGGTGGTGATTAGACCTAGGGAAAACCCAACCTGGAATACACCTAGAGTTGCATAACCGAACCGCTAAAATCGAATCCGACCCTCACCGAACTCGCAGCGGTGAGGGTTCGGTTCCTAGCCTAGGGAATCGCTTCGGTTTCGGTTTAGGTAGGGTGAAACTGATTCGAGTTCGGTTAAAACCGTCGGTTACAGTTTTTGAGGATTTATCAAATCAGGTTCACCAAACCTCACCATTTTGCTTAGTAATCAGGAATTTCTAGGATTTCGCTAGAAATATTTATATCACTAGATAGCCTAGTATCTAGTCTATCTAAATATGAAATATCAATTCAAAATATCTAGTGGTTAGTAAGATATAAGAGAATAATCATTTCTCTCAGGGGTTGGTATGGATTATGGAAGCGGTGATGGTTTATATGTATATATGCATCAACCTTTGACAATCACTATAATCTAAGGATAATTTTAACCACCACCCATTCAACTCTATAGATATTGAATTGATATTTTAGATCTAGATTAGTATGATGATAATTACTATATATTTCATATAGAAATAATTAATTTCTATAGGCATGGGTGTAGTATGATAGATAGTATGATCATTTGAAATTTTAAAATGGTTAACTTTCACCAAGGGAGTAGTGGTTTATCCAACCCAAAATCAAACCGAATCTAACCATGGTTAGTTAGTAGGGACCTAGCTAGGCCTATCTAGGCCTAGTAGCGGGTTTTTGCGGTTAAACTCGAACCGAATCGGAACGGATCAGGTTTGGTTCCGATTTCTAAGATTTGGACTCGAAATCGCAGCGGTTCGGTCCCAACCCTAGTTGGACTCGCCCGAACTCGGACCAAATGCAACTCTACCTCTATGGTTTTAATTAATATATAGTCCTTTTCACTGATATTTATGGGAGAGAGAAATACCTCTCAGGAGAGCCCAGCCCTCAGCTTTTAGATTTCAGATGTTGGACTTACTCATACTCCGTCCTAGCCACGCGACGGATCTTTTTCTTTAAAAAGGAAAACAACTATGGGTGCGTCGTCCATTCCCGCAGGAGATCCCTGTGGCTTGTATATTTCACGTGACCTATCTCCAGCTCGGGTCGTCTGGTTGGTGGTCGTCACTCCCCGCAGGTTGCAGGCGGCTTGTCTCGTACACACCAATGAGTCTCTATACAAAGAGGCTCCCTTAGAGCTGCGGGCAATATTCCAGACCTTGAACACCGGCTATCGCTCTACGCTCAGGCTCTGCTTGGCTGGATCTGTGGTATGGCAAACTATTGCTTGCATCTCAAGGGCTTGTTTGTAGTTTGCAGTTCGCCATTCTGAATAGCAATTTAGTTATATTATCCCAGTTACCTACGGATGACTTCGTACGTACACCCCCTGGGGAAATATTTACTAACGTTACACCAGAGAAGCATGTTTAGTCATCTTCCTTCCTGTAAACCAATCATCAGGCTGATGTGGAGTCTGATGAGATGGAAGCCTAAAGCTACATAGTCGGCCTGGTATAGAATACCACTGACGGAAATAGAAGCAAAATAATGTTGCATATAAAGCGCGTCGCAGACTAAGAAGGTGTCGCTGAACCAAAAGAGTGTCGCAGAATCAAAAAGGTTGTCGCAGGACAGAAAGTGTGTCACAGGACAGATAGGGTTTCTAGTTTGAGAGACCGTCTTGATGGCTACAGTGAACCGGTTTAGTAGTCACAGGGATCTGTTTTGGAAGTTGCAAGGGAATAGAAAAGGAGTCGCAGATGACTTAACCTATAATTAGCTGGTGATGTTGGGGGATACATCACCAGACAGAGCTGATTGGTCAGCTTGTTTGACCTGGGCCAACAACATACAGTGCGTCTTGAAACCAGTGCAACAAGAACACTTTTGAGACACTCTTTCCTGCCCCACTGCCAAGACCTTAGCGCAGATTATTTATTGAGGTGACCCTGCTAAGTTGAGGTCCTCTACAATGGATATTGTATGGTATTGTATCTCCGTCTCGTAAAAATAGATCCTATGCTTTGGATGTCGGGTAAAGTTGATAGCTACTGTACTAGCTAATGGGGCTATTGCGGCAGATTTTAACTAGGTTTAGTGGCAACCTTAATAAATGATCTGCGCTAAGGTCTTGGCAGTGGGACTGGAAACAGTGTCTTAAAAGTGTTCTTGTTGCACCAGTTTCGAGATGTACTGTACTTGGCGCGCACTCCTGACACATCCTACAAGATAATAGGATCCGAGCCCGTGTGAGGCTTAGTATAGCAATGGTACGGCTGCGAGATACTCTTGGGATCCGCAGTGGAACTAGGCAAGTATAATCCTAAAGCAGCTCTACTCACAGTGACCAGCAGGCACCGCGTAATAATACGCAGCGACGAATAACGGGCGAGTTGATGGAAGTTTTGATTGGTTTTTTCTATAAGGCGTCCTGGATTAAGGCGTCCTGGATTAAGGCGTCCTGAATTAAGGCGCCCTGGATTAAGGCGCCCTGGATTAAGGCGCCCTGGATTAAGGCGCCCTGGATATGCAGCCATTACCTACAAGCCTTGAACTAAAACCATGAGGATACGCAGCGACGAATGACGGACGAGTTGGCGGAGATAAGAGTGGATTTCTACTAGATACCTAGTGGTCGCATGTGGCAAAATACTAGTAGACGTTCCAAGTTGCTTAGATGTTGAATGGGCTATCTTACAAATAGAAACTCGACCATATACCTAGGTATAAAAGCCATCATATCCCTATCGTATCAATTGATCAGACATACCTCAAGTGCTTTTTCCTCTACAAACCAGACTTTACTCCCTTCAATCACTACGATGATCGTAAACAATTCCAAGGTTTTGGCTACGGCTGCTCTAGTTATGGGCCTTTTACCTTCTGCCTTTGCATGCCTGCGAATTTCAGGATCGACAAACATTTATTTTGAAGGCCCGGGCCACATAACCACAACAGATAATGGTGTTCAAACCTGCCAGGGCCAAGTAGGAACAGGAGACCAAAATGTTGGTATGTTTTGATTACATTCGCCGTTTCTCTCTCTTTATCCCTTCCCCTTATACCTAAGTCTTGTTTTAGTATTCTAATTTAAAGAAAAGGCTGTATCTCCGGTTACTCGCTGAACTATGACTACACGGATAACAACCTGTCAGGGCCTATGCCGATAACCTATTGCAACCCATCGAACTGGTAAGTACTATCTATCTTACACGCTAATTGATTAGCTTTTACCGCTTCCAAGTTTCTCAAAAGCATAAAATTTGAAGGCTAATGTAATCGCTATACTAGCTACGGTATCAACGTTCCACTAAGCTGCGCTCCTGATATTAACCATAACGGTTGCACATTTGACTATACAACCTTCTGTGGTTGAAGATAGTGATAAGAAGCCTCAGGCTACCATGGTGTGAGATATCACCTTACCCTGTGGACAGCTTCAAAGGTTGATCTTCTCTTCAAAACTCTCCTACGATCCTTCCACCACCCATATTTTCACGTCTTCTTTTGTGTCTCTTTGTTCTTCAGATAGCAAATACAATAGTGTTCACTCTATATTACTTCTTATATATTTTCCTTCAAGTAATGAGCTCGTATTCAGCCTAGCAAAGACAAATTTATATGAAGATTCATTTTCTGGTTTATCTTACTCATAAGATTCCTCCCCCCCCCACCTTTTCTCCTCTCTCTCTTTTTTTTTTGATCTTAACCATGAGACACCACATTATTCTGCTACATTTTTATATCCTGATGACCTCAAGTATAGCGTCAGGTGCGGCAAATCCCACATTCCTCTTTAACCGAGAAAGTTTTGAGTAGATAGCAGACCAGGGCTAATGCCGTAACGGTCCTCTATACAAAGATGTTAAGCTTAACCCTCTAGTTGGAGAGAAGGAAGCCCACAAATCTTTTTTTTTCTTTAAGAAAACAGAACAAAATAAAGAAACAATTATCATATTCACTGTTAACCTACTAATGACAATTCTTAAAGATCAGCGGCGCTGGCCACAGCTACAAACCTTCATTTTTATTGAGCTTGATGTTACAGGGCAGTTCCTCCCTGTCTGTGACAAGTGGGACGATCAGGACATGAATCGGTGATGGATTTGAGGTTCTGACGATGGGAACAAACATAGCCGAATCGGGCTGATAAAAGAAGGTGCTCCTTATCAGGCGATATATCAGTATCGCCCACCAAAGAGTTGTTTCCTTTGTCTTCTCTCCCGTTTCGATACTCTCGTTGAATTGTACAAGTTGATCTCCGATCACCTTCTGGCTGTAACACTGTCCTTAACATCATTAATGTTGCGTCGAGATCCTCGAGGTCCCCGAGAGCTCCCCAAAGAGGAGGTGAAAGATACAGTACAGTGGTGGACTTCCCACGTTTAAAGACCCTCGAATTGGCAAACTCCTTGCACTGTCTTCCTCTCTTTAATGTCGGATTGCCGGCCTTGAGCCAGATCGACCTGAAATTGGGCCCCGGAGACTTTGGTTACCACCTTCCACGCCATCTGTCGTCGCCAATTTCAGTATCAAAAAGGCTACCAATTACCCTCAACCTCATGAAAGATGACGGTATCTTTTCTCATTGGCCAAGAGAATTGGATAGCCAGTAGCTAGAAACCCTTGCTCAGCTGATCTCTCTGCCAAACATGAGGCTCGGAGAAGATGAAACCATGAATCTGCAGATATTGTCATCTTGGGATCCTTCATTCAGGGCTGCTTGATCTACAGTATCCACAGGGAGCCATCCATGCAATGAGGTCGGAGATACTGAAGAAGGTGAAGAATTACACATTCCAAGCTCGATGGCCTTAATACCAAAGCAATACTGGATGTCTCAACAAGCTAGCAAAGATGTACTGTATCGAAGCCACACCGAACACTCAGGTATCTAGACCTCTACCACCAGCAATTAGTATTAGACCATGAACTGATATAAAGGACATTGCTGTGTATGCCGAGAGAAGACAAGCATATTGGATGTCGCGGAAATCGGAAGTTCGTGGCCATTGTCCCTGACTGGCGGGAAAAAGTACTTTCCCTGCTGTAGACTAGTTTTTGTCGACTCAAGTGGCGACCAGCGTGAGTTGAAGTGAAACCAGAACATGAACCATTCCCTATTCACCAATGGTTGTCGAAGACCTTCAATGGCAGAAAAGTGGGAATCTTGGTGATAGTATATGTGGCAAATTAGGTTTTGAAAAACAGGACAAAGAGATAGCTCCATTCAGGCGATACGCAGGTGTAGGCCTCAGGAGTTTGCCGAAAGCCTTGAGCTACAGTACCAACAGTAGGATAGGTCCAGCAAGGAGGTTTGTACATCTGCTCGTATTATCACCTCTGCATTAGGGTCGATGGATATATTACGAGATCGCTGAAAAGCTAAGGTTATATTATGGGGCTGATCCGGAGACTTCGGCTGACTAAAATCACAATAGTTGACCGCTCCAAACGCATCGCGGTAACGGACGACAGAGAACATTGTTTAACTGTCTAAAGTAGGAGGTAGTACATGACCACTGGTATTCGAATCTCGCAAAATACACTCAGTCGAAGAAATGGTCCCCGATTCCGCTAGGTCGAACGTGTTGAACGCTTCACCTATCCTTTTCCAATCGCCTCCAGCGCTTACGGGAGGCTAGCACCGCAGAAGTCTGCCAGGCCACTCAAAACACGGTCAACATCAGTTTTCACACCGTATCTCCCATATTTTATTTGATGTCTAGCACATACGACCACAGGGTGTGGAGAACAGGGCTTCCCGTCCGCTCAGCCGTACTTAAGCCACACGCTGGCCGGTTAGTAGTTGGGTGGGTGACCACCAGCGAATCCCGGCTGTTGTATGTTTTTGTCCCTTTTGTTATATGTTTGGTTGTCTTTGATTTTTTAAATCCACCTTCCGACTTCTCCGAAATTATCCCGCTCCTAGCTCCCTTTCATGAGGCAAACTTCCGAAGCTTCCGCACCGACCACAACTTTAGGCCATAAGTAGTCAAGACTCTGGAGCTCAATTGGAGCATTTGCTTGCCTAATTGGCTATCCAGCTCCGTCCACTGGTAAAAGGATCGGCGAGTCGGGACGCCTGACGTGAAGCTAGATTTTCATAGAAAGACGCTGGTTCGAGACACGGCGTCGACCTCTAGGCCCAGTGTTGGTGTTATAAAATAGTGTGGCCATCTACTATTTTAGCGTGAATGCTTACTGAAGAATAGTGTAAAAAGTGTCTCAAAAAAGCAATTGTCTCATTGTCGCTCTTGTTTCCCCAAGCTCCCTGTATTTCCAAGTCTAAACCACGCTCCTACTTATTCACTAAAGCCAGGATAGAGGCAATTGTATCTCCTACATTCTCCAAATGTTTCTGGGTGCAGTTCGAAGCATTTGCACTGAGAGCAATGTGCCAAGTGTCTTCCACAGGCCTAGCAATCACCCAAATTTCCTCCGAATGCTCCCACACCCCGGTCGGGCCGTGTACCTTCAAAGGCGTCTTGACTCCGTCGCCCAATAGGTCGACGGATGGGAAGATAACATTGTGGAATTGTACATTGTAGAACATCTTCCGTTGGTGTTCAGGCCAATCCTGGGCACAAGTCTTGTAGATGCTCTGTGATGTAGCAACTTCGGCCGGCAACATATCTAGCTGAGCCTGCTTCACTGTGGTGAGTGTCGTTCCGAAGGATCGATCGGCGGGTAGGGAAACTCGCAGAGGCACCTGGTTCAAACAAGGGCCAATCACGTTGTCCAGTCCACCAGGCAACATGGTACGTCCCGAAACCGTCAGTGTGGCGTTCACATCCAGTGTATCGTGGAGATGAGCTAACGCCTCTGCACAAGCGGCAAGGAAGATATTGGCTGCAGTGAAGTCTGGGATTCTTGGAGGAGACTCTATGATTTTGGTCATTGTCATGATTCGAGATTCTGCTCCGGTAGGCTGCAAGGCCATAGGTTTTGACCCTTTGAGAGCTCTCTTCCAGTGTTCCATGGTCTTTGCATCTTGCTTATGGACATGACCGATGTAGCCAACAAACTTGGGAATGATCGGCCAGTCCCGATCTTGCAAGGTCGCAGCAAGGCAAGCCAAAATGGGAATCAGACTGACACCATCGAAATGGCCATGAGAAACGCGGAATCCGAATCTTGTTGGTTTTCCATGGCCGTAAATGAGCATGAACTTGACATAGATTGCTCCAAGTTCGAGGCGTGGTTGTAGACTCTTCTCAAATACCAGTGCTGCCACGTCTTGCAGCGTGCTTGCTGCATCAACTTCGTGGGTTTCTAGCGGAACGGGAACATCACCAGGAATAACTTGTAAAATGTCTCCTGAGGCAGATTTCACAAAGACGGTCCTGAGAATGTCCACATTTTTCCAGAGCATCTGAGCAAAGCCCTTGATTTTCTCAAGAGGAACATGGCCAGGTATGTCGATGTGAAAGACGAAACAGCCCTGCGGCGGGGTGTACGTAGCGGCGTCCACACACAGAGCTTGAGTGTATGTGGTTGGGGCGATATCTCGCACTTGATCGGTCGAAAAGCTCAAGACTGGACCAATTTCTTTCAAAAGTCTCTGGGTCTCAGTGCTTCCGCCCTCCAAAAGACTGAATGGCTGAGGTTCATGATACTTGAGCTCTTTGCCTTCTGTCATGGTTAATGCCATGTCACTGAGCCTTGGACGTTTGAGTATCTTGGCCACACTGAGCACTAGACCTTGTTTGCGAGCGGCTGTCACCAAGCGGACTGCTTTGATAGAATCGCCACCGACTCGCAGAAAATTGTCCTTGCTTTGGATAGCACTCACGTCAACCTTCAAGATCATGGCCCATAGAGCCCGCAATCGTGTTTCGGCGGCAGTCATGGATTTTTCAACCGCGTTTGATTCGGGCGACTGTAGACCTGGGTTCTGGAGGTCCTGCAAGCTCCATTTGGAACCAAGTTCGCGCAGCCGCCGTCTGTCCAGCTTGCCTGTGCTGGAGACAGGCCAGTCAGTGACAGGTATGTAGCCGGAAGGAATCATATACGCGACAAGACAATCTGATAACCACGAATTGAGCTTGTCTCCCAATTTGGTCAGGCCGGCTCTCCAGGTATTCTCGTCATTGACTACTGAGTTCTGGGTCAAAAAGCCAAGCAAAGTTGGTTCGGTCGAGTTCTTGGGGATGACAACTTCCACGGCAATTTTGGTAACCGAGCTCTCACCAAGCGCCACCAATCCACGAGAGATTTGATGTTCTATTTCGCCAAGCTCGACTCGCTGGCCACGAATTTTCACTTGGTCGTCTTTGCGTCCCATGTGCTCCAAAGTACCATCCTCGTGGTACTTCACCAGGTCTCCAGTTCTATAGCATCGTCCGCGACGGCCAGGGGTGGACACCGTACCATCGACGAGCCATGGTGGGTCGACAACAAATGCCTGTGACGTTTTCTCGTCATCGTCAAGGTAGCCTAAACCAACAGCTGGTCCCTCGAGCCAAAGCTCTCCGACAACACCTATTGGCACAAGTCTTTTGCCTGAAGCATCAACTACCCATGTGTTAAATCCGAGTCCAGTTCCCATGGTTGCTAGATAAGAGTGGTCTTGTGTCAGCTGTCCAGTACTGAGAGGTGTGCATTCTGCTGGACCATAGATCTGGTAAAGGGACACTGCAGAGCTCCATGTCTTTAGCGTCGACGGCTTGGTGACTTCTCCGGCCGATATGACAGTCTTCAAGAGTGGCAGGGTTGAGGGGCTCAGGAGATCGAGGACACTGTCAGTCAGATTGGCTGCGTTTGCTTTGAAGCGCTGTATAGAGCCCACAAGATTATCTCCCCGTTCCTGTAGCGATGGAATACAGATGCACCCGCCGTATGCCAAAGTATGAATGATGTTGGACCACGAGATATCAAAAGAATACGATGCAAAATCATAGACTCTCGAATTCCTGTCATATCCAATGCGCCCCTTCTGATGATGCAGCGCACTGGCAAAATTGGCATGGCTGATGCGAACTCCCTTGGGCGCACCAGTGCTACCAGAAGTGAATGTAAGGTAGAGCAAACTTGATGCCGGGACCTTCGGTAGAGCAATCTCGGGGGCTCTGTGCGTAGAACATATGTCACTCATCTGCGTCTCTCCAAGCGTCAAAATATTTGTGCCACCAAGCGCTATGGCCCGACAGTGTTCCGTGACAGAGCAAATCATCATCTCTGGTTTAATTTGTTCGAGAATAGCTTGAAGTCTCCCATTAGGCTGCGCTGTATCTAGCAGCAGACAAGCTCCTCCCGCTTTCATCACGGCGAGCGCTGCGACGGGCACCCACATGGACTTGGCAAAACACAGCGGGACAATCTTGCCGATGCACTGACCGAATTGCTGGAGCATGTGCTCTGCGAGTATTGTCGATTTGGTATCCAGCTCTTGGTAGGTCATTTTGCCATCCCAAGCCTCAATGGCAAGAGCTTCAGGCTGCTCTTGCGCCATGGAATGGATGATGTCGTGCACGCAATTGTCGATCGTCTCGGGAACTTGAAAGTTCCAGTTCCAAATTTTGGACATATCGTCTGGGCTCATCAGATCTATGTCACACAGGGTCTTTTGACGAAGTTCAATGTCACAAGTCTGGCGCAGGATATGTTCAAACTGAATGAGAATTCTGCCAACTTGCTCGTCGGAGATAAATCTGGCGTCGAAATTGACATGCAGGCCGACGCCGTCACGCTCCAGCTGACATTCGAGTACCAGCGGAAGATCTTTAGCCTCATGTACAAAGCTGTGAATAACATGAGAACTAGAGCTCTCTTGCGGCCGGAAGAGCCCAGGCGAGAAAGACTTGTCTTCAGAAGCGGGTTGGACAATGAGCAAGGTCTGGAATTGACATGCATGTTCTGCAGCAGGGGAGATGCGTCTGATGTATGGTAGTCCGACCTGTTCGTAAGAAATCATCTCCAGGGCATGAGCCTGTATTCTGCGCTGGATCTTGTCCAAGGTCGTAGTCTCGTCAAGTTGAATGCGTACGGGCACAGTGGCCATTGTAGGGGCAACCACAAAGTCTATGCCTGGCAGCGGGGTCTGCCGGCCGCTCACACTGGCTCCGAATAAGACATCCAGCGATCCTGTGTATTGGGATTGCAAGATAGACCAGGCGGTACGCACTATTGTCGCAGGTGTCACATCCACCTTGGGCCACGCAAGGTTGGAGATGCATCGCTTCTTGTGGCTGTCTGCAAAGGGAACAAGGTTTGGCAGATTAAGCCCAAGGAAAACCGAGGCAGCGGAGTCTCCAGAGAACTGGTCCCTCCAAAATTGCAAGGCAACACTTTGATCTTGCTGCTTCTTAATGTGGTCAAGGAACAGTGGAAACGGTGTTGGGGAGAATAACATGGCCTCCCCGTAATATAATGACTCTAGGTTTCGAAGCATCAACGGAATAGAATGTCCGTCGTACACAGCGTGATGGAGAGTCAAGATCAGGCATGATTCAGCGTCCTCTGAACCTTCAATAACCTCGAACAATGCCAACGGCGAATTGAGTCCCAAAGTGCTGCGACTCAAATCTGTCAAGGCTTTAGTTCCATGTGTCAGCCATTGCAGAGGCTCATCCACCACAACCTGCAAAAAGCCCTGCTCTGGTAAATCTACAATGCGTGTTCGGAGAGGTGGTGTCGAAGACACGAGGGTTTCACAAGCTGATTGTAGCCGTTGCACGTCGATGTGTTGTCGTAAACGAAAGACGGAACGAGCCACATAGCTTCCTGGCTGCCGGACCGTACTCGTGATCAAGGCCTCTTGGAATGGTGTGCAAGGCAGTATGTCTCCAATCATTGATGGCTCGATATCAAGCTGTCTAGCGACTTGCCAAAGGATTTCATCCTTGCTTGCTCCCGAGCTCAGAAGCGAAAACGGCTCAACAACATCTGGACTTGACTCTTTGAGAACGGATTCCGTCATGATTTTGGCCAGATCCGCCAATATTGGAGCTTGGAAGACGTCCTTGTATGTGATKGCATAGCCTGCGTCTCTTGCGAGTCGCACGAGTTTCATTGCTAGAACGGAATCTCCCCCAATAAGGAAAAAATGATCACCTAGACTAATGTGACTGGTTTCACGACCCAGAGCCAAAGCCCAAAGAGAGTGCATGATCTTTTCCTCCTTGGACATTTGCCGTTGTTGGATCAATGACTTTGATGTTGTGGCGGCATTGAGTAGAGTAAGCTGGTCCAGTGTCAAGGACGCTCCAAGCTCGCGCAGTCGCTTCTGATCTGTCTTCATGGACGCGCTAAGCGGGAGCTGGAGCATAGGAATAAACATAGTTGGGATCATGTGGCGGGGAAGGGACGCTGTCAATATATCTTGAGCTTTCTGTACGATACTGTGCCATTCATCGCTTCCGAGGATAGACACATATATCCCGGAAGGGTCAATGTCCTTGGTAGCATGCATTGGCGAAGCATGTTGAGTAACTCGATCCATAAGAATGAAAGCCGTTAAATGTTGTGCTGTGCCTAGGGCTTCGGGCATGATTATGGTGGGGTAAACTGTTTTGGCCATTGGGAATGCCAGCTTGAGGTGAAGCTCGACATCACCAAGCTCGAGCCGCTGACCTCGTAGTTTGATCATGGTGTCTTTTCGGCCAACGAATCTCACAGCGCCGTCCGCATCATAACGTACCAAGTCACCTGTCTTACAATAGCGACGCACCGTTTGACTCGCACCATCTCGTTTGACTTGCCAATGCGGATCAGAGATGAACACTTTTTCAGACAATTCGGGATTCTTGAGGTACTCGCGTGCCACAATTGGCCCTTCGACCACTAGTTCCCCAACGGCGCCGATAGGAACGAGAACATTGTGGTTATGAGGGTCGACGATCCACAATGAGCATCCACGGCCTATTCCGAGTGTCCCAATGTCGGAATCGGACTCTAGGTCCTTGGCCGAGGTGTAGATACTACACTCAGAAGGCCCGTACATTAAAACGATGCGAACAAAGTTCCTCCAAAGGCGCAAAACCTCACCGGGCACAGCCTCACCCCCCAGACCAAGGGTCTTGAGACAGGGCATTTGGGTAGGATCCAAGAGGCCAGCCACCGACGGTGTCAAGCAAGCCCAGTCAACGTTGTGGCGATTGATAAACCCGGCAATGTCACTCATCCGCTCTTCTTCAGATGGAATGCATACCGTGCCACCCCAGTATAGTGTTTCAAAGATCTCTCCGTGGCAGACGTCGTATGTATGAGCGGAGAATTGTAAAGTTCGCATGCCTTTCCGGAACCCGGAGGCTTTTCCATGTTCCCGAAACACCTTGCACACAGATTTATGCTCCATGACAATACCCTTTGGCTTTCCAGTGCTGCCAGAAGTGAAGAGTATCATGCACGGATCAGATGGCTTTGCTTCTGGTAGGTTCGTCACAACAAACGTCGATACGTCGGCAGCCAGCGCAGTGAGAGTTGATTCCGACAACTCAACGGTCTGCTCAACCGCCGCTTTGTCAAACAAATGAGCATTCTCTGGGGACGCCAAGACAGTTGTTGATCCAAGCTGCCCAAGGATCTCCAGAATTCGGCTCTGTGGAAAGGCTGGGTCGATTGGTGTGTAAGCACCACCTGCGCGAAGTACTGCCAACATGGCCACAACAGCGTAGGCAGACTTTGGAAAACAAATAGGCACAGTCACTCCCGGACCCACGGGCTTTGGTAAGGACTGGAGGTGTTCCGCCAGTTGAGCAGTAGAGATATCGAGCTGCTGATAGGTAAAGCATCTATCCCAGCCCGAGATTGCCTCTGCCTCCGGCTGAAGTGCTGCTTGCTTGGAAAACTCCCAATGGATACAATCGTCCACCGGTTCGTGACTGGCACTGTTCCATTTGAGGATCTTTGCCATGTCCCTTGGGCTGCAAAAGTTCATGTCGTTTAATAGTGTCTTCTGTGAGGACGGATCGCAGAGTTGGCTGATGGTGAAATCAAGTCGCTCAATTAGCACAGAAACCTTCGATTGATCTATGAATTGTGCATTATAGTCCACGGTGACTTCAAAATATTGTTGATTTGCGGACACTCCCAGGACGAGCGGAAACGAAGATTCGAGTTCATCAAGCTCATCGCGTGGAATATCATTGTGCAGATTCGTGATAGGCTTCCCACCTTCATCATCTGCATCTACCTTTATCAGAGTGTTCAGGCCAGTCAATGGGATTTTGCCCCACTTTTCTAGTGCAAAAGTGGTCAATGGTAGGCTCCTGATTGTGTTTTGCTCAACCTCTCGCAGGAATTCTCCAACAGAAAGGTTGCCATTCATGTGGACGACTATTGGAGTTGGATATGAATCTGACGCTGATATGGCGAAGGTAACAGAAGTTGCATTGGTCTCCTTAGCTATCAGAGTTGCCCATGCTGCGTGAATGAGATTTGGAGCCGATATTTGTGCCGCCAGGTTTTCCATAAGAGGAAAGCCAGATAATGTATACAATGTATGCCCTCGAACGCAAGATCTGCTTGACTCGGAGGGCTGCTCAACGGGGAACACTGTGGCGTCTTCCATGTCGCGCAGGTTCTGAGCCCACATGGCTTCAATAGCCTCATCTGTTGCGCCCGATATCTCCACTGGCGTGGAATCTGCCATATACTCGGCCGCAAGATTTGCCACGCTTGGATACGCCCACGCCTTTGGATCAACGGAGCCAACCTCTTTGGCGGACTGCAGATAATTGCGAAGCTTGTTTGAGACTCCGCTAAGCTCGTCAGTCAGCGAGTCTAGCTCCTGAAGCCGGTAACGGGGGTCACAAAGATGCCAGGTAACGTAACCCTGAAGAAATTTGCACAGTGTATGCAGGATCTTGTGGTCCTTGTCGTGGAAAACGCGAAGGAGCTGCTCCGAGTCTACGATTGTGTCCATGGTCAACTTCTCCAAAGCCTGTTCTAGCGTGATTTCGTTGCACCGAGAGTAGTTATTCACCAAGCTCGTCTGGTCGCGTGGCTCATCAAATTCCTTGTAGAAGGAGAGCAGGTCGTTCACGAAGACCATCCAATTTTCCATCTGCGCAATTGCAGTAGTGATCTCTGTAAAAAGCTCGTTTTCATCGAATCTCTCCTTAGGAAAGATGGAGCCCCCAACGCAGTGGCCCAGACCATTCAACCGCCGCAAGAAGTTTGGGTAGTCAAAAGACCCGGGGAATCCCAGGAAGTTGTGTTGCTCTACCCAGCAGCCTTGGAAGACTTCGCGAATCACGTAGTCAGTATCGATGTGCGCTGTTAGAACGGAAGGGTATATACTCACAGTCTGTAGTGGAACGAATCATATTCAAGCCACAATATGGGCCGTAATGTCGAAGGACTTGGGGAAACTGGTCATTCACCATTTGCCACCACGGGTGCTCTTGAGGACGACCGGCAAGCATGTTGTTGTAGAACGATTTCATGCTGTCTGCGGGGTCATCGTGACTGTCGTCAAGTATGAGCATATAGGTGTAGTGAATGCTCAGATCGGCCATGACTTCGTTCGAAGCGGTGGCCCAGCTATAAACCACCATGGCAACAATGGTTTGGAGTGAGGCTTGAAGCTTTTTCGGGCTGGCTTTGATGTGCCTCTGTCTGTCGGGATGGGCAAAGTGCCTGGCTGTCTTGGTATACGCATAGTGAAGCTTGGCCACGCGCTCTTCTGCCGTGTAATTGGTGTCATTGTACTGTATAATGTCCAAGAAGCGAACAACAGAATTGACGTAATAGTCAATGGGGAAGACTTGACTTGGCATAGTTACTGAGTCCTCTAAGGCAGATGCTGATGCCGACATAAAGATTGGTTCAATGGAGGGAAAGAAAGACTCTTAGTGACCATGTAGACTTCATGTAGACAACAGCCCGGTAGTGAAATAATAAGTACTTCGAGTGGGGGCTATTTATGATGTTGCATCTACCGCCCTCATCTTACAACACTGTTGCTACGCCCGACGGAGGATCGGGAGAAGCAAGTGTACTATGAGTGTTTCAATGTTCCCATACGCCTACACAGCAAGGTCCTACTGGTGATACAGCCACTCTTGGTAGTGCTGACAGGACGATGCCGGCACCTCTTGCCTCAGAGCCAACGATCCTTATCTCAAAACCAGGGGCCCTCTGCGCCAGAAATTGCTTCCATCAAGCGAGAATACGCGAGACGCATTCCGTCTCTGGTGCCTCGGCCAGTCGCACGGATCGTCTTTGGTATCCAGACAATACCTCTGGCCCCGACCACCGCTACCCGCTCCACGGGAGATGACTATCAACTCCAGCTTTTGATAACGGAGAACCTCCGAACGCGGTATACTGTGTGCCTCTTTCCCAATCAGTCTGCGTCCAAGTGGCCGCGGGCCAAAGCGGGCAATATACTTACGTGGAATATCAATAGAGTTTGTAGGTATTATGCTGCAAGTAAGAAATTAGTATGATTTCCAAACGCATGGAAATTCAGTACCTTGCTTGTCTCGATATATTACAGTCTAAGAAAATCCTCAGGATATCTGGGACAGGGCTAACTGTTTCGATGGTAATACAGATATAGAAAAACATGGTATTGACAACAATGTCAAGGCTGAGACAAGGTGGGGGCGGCTCGGAATCACAATTTCCGCGAGATCAACAAGAGGAAGTTAGGTAATAGCCAAGCACAGATAACACGGTTGCAGATACTAAAGGTCATTGCACTACTTTGCAACATTGGTTGACAGCGGCCTCGGCGGACACGATGGAAGATCTCGCCCACCTGCTTGGTACATATGTGGGGTATCGACGGAGTGAGTCGCTTATTACAGAACAGAGATACCGTTTTGATTTCAATGAGCTTGTAATTTGCAGCAGCCGTAAAATAGACGTGCATGCATATGTATGCATGCTGCATGCATAAGTAGCGAAAGGCAACTATATTGGAAGGTCAACGCCGACATCCTCGGACGTTACTCTCGTGTGCTTTTGTTATTTCTTATCCATTTTGCTACTCCTTGAATCCTTTCTTACCGTCCCACACTAGAGCTCTCTCCAGCACACCTAGTCGTTCCAAATCCCTCGTTGCTGACAATTGAACACACAATGTCATTTCCCAAGCTTGACGCTGCCCGTTTTCGGTGGCATCCCTCTCCCACCGACAGCAGAGCTGTACAAAGACTGGCCAACGGTACGGAAGCTTGGGTTGGAATTCGAGATGAAAATGCCAAAGGGCAATACGACTGCTACCTTAATACCACTATACGTTTAGAGGCTGCCCCGAAGCTATCATTATCAGACCTGAGAGAAGCGCTCCACTTGGCTCTGGTTCAAGTCCGATTCGAACATCCAGACTTTGCCTGCACAGCCATTTGGGGTCAGGACGATAACCCAAGCCTTCCCCACATTCAGTATAAATCGCCCGCAAGCAACGAAGAGGCGCTTGAATGGGCTCAAGAATGCGTCAGCACTCGCGCCGCACGCTATGGCGGTCTGGACCTGCACTTGGAGCTGTGTAAACAACGCAGAACCATGCGTATCGCGCAGTCAGCTCGCTCTATTTCTATCATCTTGATAGCGGATGCGGTTGATGACCAAGCTAAGCTCAATGCTGGCGCGAAAGTGGAAATGCTCATGTTGTTCAATCATATATTCTGGGACGCAATGGGTAGTCGTGACTTTGTTGGACAGCTGCAGACTCACCTTGCCACGATTCTGGACACTGCCGGGAGCTACCAATTACCCGACTTTAAATGGGGAGACGAGATATCCAACTTGACTGTGCCACTGCTGGACGCGTGCAAAGTCAATGTGGAGGCCTTAGGGGCCGACTTTGAAACTTCACGCACCGAGTTCGTGGATAGCTTGATGAGAAGTGGGGTAAGTGTGGACTTGGTCCTGAATACCTCTCTAAGTTGTTACTGACTGAGACCAATAGTCGAGCTGGGGTCTACCTGTTACCAATAATGTCGGGGATCCGCGTTCAGAATGGTACACATTCAGCAAGAATGACAGCGAAAAGATGGTCCAAGCTGTCAAAGAGCGTTTGGGGCCTAACTACACCATCTCTCATCTAGGCCATGCTGCTACGGTGCTTGCCTTGCTCGAGAAGAACCCTGTTCCTGATGATGCACCAGATAGCACGGCTCTTATCACGGCTTTGCCCGTCAACGGGCGACGATATCTGCACGATGAGCTCGCAGTTCATCGATTTGGCGCTTGTCAGGCAGGTGCCGTGGTCGAGTTTCAGCACCTCAAGACGTGGGCACCCAAGGCCAACGCACAAGGCACCAAAACTGCTTTAGAAAACCTCTGCAAACATGTGAAGAAATCTTATGACTATTGGCTGAAGAACGAATATCAACTGGCCTTGGGAATTGCCAAGGACAATTTCTTGTCTGCGTTTCTGGCCTCGTGAGTGTCCATCTGACCTACGTTAATGCTGGCATACTGAGTTCATATTTGCTAACGTTATACCAAGGACACCAATGCCATTCACAGGCTCCTCCGTACCAGTAAGTATTTTTTATACCATGCGGATCTCTGCAGCATTCATGAATCTACCTGACTTGCAATAGATTTTTGTTACAGATGGCTTGGTAGACCGCTTCGTTATGAAGAATGTACTGAACTCGAAGGGCGAAATCATCTTCAGCGTAGACAGCTGCCACTTTGGCGTCGACACGTATGGCTCTGATATGTAAGTCGGCATCATCGTTCTTAAAGGCTCCATGCTAAATGATCATCATCATAGACTTATCCGCATGGATAGCTGGGATGGTTCCACGGTCTTGTCCATCTGCTACAACGACGGGTGTCTGGAGCCTACAATAGCACGGGAGTTCCTGAACATCCTGGCGGATTTCATGCTAAGTTTTGTCGACGAAGCGCAGTGAGACTGCGGCTTATTGTTTGTCACACACCGCAATGTCAAATTCGAATAGATAGATGCGTGGGCTGTGATGAAACACCTGGTCATATGAGCAGAGAAAGATTCCTCTAGGACCTGCGTCTCCTTTGGCTTTTTCCTTACCCCCCTAAGACTGTTCTTCTTCGGTCTTCTTGATATCTTGCTAGAGAAATTCAAACATCCTGCTCAATTCACTTCTTTTCTTTCGTCATTCTCTGCTTCCTATTGTGACAACTCTAGGTTTGATACTTCCCAAGTGTATAGCGGGCACATTAGTTTTCTATTTACTAATCCGCGACTGCTGAAGTGTAATTGACAGGATTAGAGACCGAGGGCCCGCTTCCACAGCGCCAGTTCTCCATTAGCAACCCTTTCCTGACGTGGGATTGTACTATGTATGCATCGCCCCTTTTTTCTTATGGCAACCTCGAAAGTCCGGGTCAAGCCGCTCTCGACGAGGAAAGAACAGGGCGATTTGGACGATTCTCATTGGTTGAGTCATATCTTTCTGATATCTTTCTCGATAAGTTAGCTAGTGTATTTTACACATCTTCGGGATCCCCGAATTTCAGCGGTTCCGTAATGCAAGTATCATCAGCGTAATTAAGTTGTACCATCCGTAACGGACCCCAAATACGGAAATCCATGAATACAGAATATCAAAACGCCTGGACTCCACTTCGCTTTCATGGGCAAGTGTCTACAGTCGAGACAATTGAGTCTAGAATGGGATTCGGAATTTTGCTCCTTCTAGCAAAGTTGGCCACGTATGCACTTGAGAATAGATAGGTAGCTGGGAGTAATCGACTCGTGTGGATGACACATTCGAACTCGTGAGTACTTATCAGGCACACGTGAAAGGGTTTGAGCTACAATTGTCCATCACAATTCACCACAGTATCGTACACAATGGCCAAGTCGGTCTGTATCGTGGGTGAGTTCTGTGTCCTTGTCGATTATCCGGCGACCGGTGTCTGACGATATCTTTAGGTGCTGGTCCAGCCGGCCTTGTGGCAGCTAAGAATCTCCTCAATGGTGCACCACAAGGATTTTTCAAAGTAGTCATATTTGAGGCTCAAAAAGACCTTGGAGGGCTGTGGCCAACTTCGCGAGATGACACGGAACGTCAAATCCACCCGCTTATGTTCACGAACGGCAGTAAACACACTGTTGCCTTCAGTGACTTGTGTTGGGAAGATGAGCACATCTCTCAGTTTCCTAGAGCGTACAACGTCGGTCAATACTTACGTCGATATCATGATCGCTATCTCGACGGAAATCCCAATTTTGAGCTTCGATTAAACAGCCGCGTCATCCGAACAGAAACATCGCCAGATGTTTCTGGTCCGTGGAGCGTCTCGTTCAGATCTAGCACTGGGACAAATTTGGAAATATTCGACTATTTGATTGTGGCCTCAGGTTTCTTTGGCCAGCCCATCACTCCTCCATGCTTTGAAAGGACCAAAACTACAGGAATTCCCGTTTTACACAGCTGTCACTATCGTGACCTGAAGGGATTGCTTGGGAAAGGTCGGGCAGGGGGTGGAAAGATTCTTGTGGTCGGAGGGCAAATGTCCGGAGTAGAAATTGCAGGCACCATTGGCACACATCTGTCCTCTGCAATCAACTCCCCGGGCGAGTTTGAGATCTCTGATATCGACAAATATTCTATTCACAATGTTGTGCCACGCCCAACATGGGTCTTTCCATTGTTTACGAGTCCGGAGGTGAGTGCTAAGATGAAAGGGGAATACGGGCAAGGCCACAATACTAATTGCCACATTAGCCTACTGTCGCAGGGGCTCCATTCTTGCCATTAGATTTTGGATTCTTCAATCGCAATAATAGAGGCGAGATCCTGACCAACACCCAGGGTCATATTGATGAGGAGAATGCCGAATTCATGCATGGGCTCTATCAGTATATGCTTGGTGGTGACCAATCCGAGTTTTCTCCAGAAATACAGATCACGGAAGACTCGATGACAATTCAACCACACATGTCTGTCAGTGACTGGTATTGCGAATTTGTGAGATCTGGCCTCATCACCGTGTCACACGGTAAAGTCAAAGCCATGGAAGGAGACACAGCGTACATCTCTACAGGGCAGGGAGAGATCAGCGAAATTGCTGCAGTTGTCCTTGCCACCGGCTTTGATCCAACACCCTGTCTGAGCTTCCTGCCAGAAGCCATTCGTGAAAGGCTTTCTCACTCCCCTAAGCACGTCAACCAGCCTCTGGCATTAGCTTTCCACGGAACCCATCATCCTGATATTCCCAATCTCGGATTTGTCGGCTTTTACCGAAACCCTTACTGGGGTGTCATGGAGATGCATGCTCGTTACCTCACTAAGTTGTGGTCAGATCCAACTTCGGAGTCACTTCAACGCAAGCGTATTAATGACGACTCCATCCAAAGAACCCTCTCCTTGCGTGACGACCCTCGAGTATCACAGTATCCAATGGGCGATTATCCCTACCTGATGCAGGAGTTTGCCGACGCTTTGGACTTGAAGATGGTCTCCTCGGATGAACCATCCGGGATGCCATGCCTCTCTCACAACGACCGCCCATTGGACATGTTTCACCCAGCCAGGTATCAAGACCATTCTTCGGGAGAGATCGGAGCCCACGACGCAAGATTGGCTCGAGACAAGGTCCAAGACATCATAAAATGCTCACTTACTACTCCGAAGTATGTCGCGCGAGGTGTCTTTCGCAGCCTGTTAGGTACGTGGGACGTGAAAACACTTGTACAGACTATGCCGCCATGTCAGGAAGACAAGTCCTGCATCGGGTCTGTGCAATTTCTGCTCCGGAAGCAAACGACAGACGGATATCAGCACTTGACCAATGGCCATCGGGTGGAATGCGATGATGACGGTCTGGAGTACCTGTGCGTCGAAGAACATGGCTTAGACCAAGATCGCGATTCTGTTTGTGTGTCTAACGCTCGTCATGTTTGGCGTTATGATGACCTTTCAGATTCGCTAAGCGTGTGGTCTGTTGGACTTGATGACCCGGTGAGAGCTCTCTCGCTGTCTCACAGAATTGAGTTTGAGCAGCCCGAGGAAGAAATAGAAAGAGAGGACGGCTGGTTGGCCCGCGCAGAACATTTAAAGACACCTAACGTGAGCGTTGCTTACAAATTTGCCTTCCAAGCGGTCAACCTCATGGAATGGAGCATCACGACACTCTTTAAGGTCGATGAGAAGGTGATCACGGTGCAAAAAATCATGACACGCTAGATGAATTGCACGGGCTGAAATGGATGATTAATTGATAAACATCTGCAAATCTGATCATTATGATTTATAACAGGACTACGATATGGAAATAGACTTTCTCTGACTCTTCATTTGGAAGTTACTGTGTTGTTGTAGATATTGGAACATCTAGACCATTTCCTCCCTAGATTGGCTCTAAGTTTTTATATTCTAACTTCCTAGTCTACCATTCGCTCTTGCTGCTCATGTATAGCGCCCTTTTGGGCCTGTTTTCAATCTCTAATACGCAAGCTGAAGGTTTACCACAATACAATGAAGGTATTCGAGCTCTACATGGCCGCTTATTATATCTCCAGATTACATCTGCACCGTACTCTCTTTTCTGTTGGCCATCGTGTTTAATATTATAATTTGTATAATGCAAGCATCAAGGCAAGGCAACTTTTGTATCGAGGAAACGAGTCACAATAGCTGAAGATAAGTCCTGAAACATTGTGATCAATTGCTCGTCAATATTGCTGATGTAGCGTGGTATCTTATTTGCAGTTCCATCGAACAACTTCACCTCCCCCTCGTCGGCTGTGCAAAGTGTCAGGCTTACTGTTTCTGCCTTGGTCTGGACTCCCAGTTTGTGCTTGTCTTTCTTATCGAGGCTGAGAATAAAGGAGGATAGCCATTAGACTGATTCAATGTGGACATTATTCMCTAAATCGCGGTCACATCTCTCAGCTAGTAGATTAAGTCCTATGCTAAAATAACCATTGAAGAGACATTGGCTAATTGTTCTCCACGAATACTTTGAGACGAACAAAAATTACTTTCACTAAGATTCCTTCCACTCCAGTCTAGCTTTTCAGCACGAACATACACTGTCTACCTCATTCACACGACATGCGATTCACATTCATAGGCCAAGCACCCAATCTTGGACTTATAACTCAATTTCTTCCTTAATTCTCCGAATCATAAGTCGAGCATTGGAGTCCGCCTGCAGGAACAAACCGTAGGTTGATGACTGGGGCTTCGTGTCGGGTGCAAGCTTAAAATCATACTTTAGCAAAATATGGCTAAGCGCAATTTTGAGCTCATTGGCCGCGAAGAAACGACCCGGACAAGCCTGCTTCCCGTGTCCGAAGCCCAAGACACTGGATCCGGTAGAGACGTATTGTGCGTTTGCAACATCGCCGGCCTCGCGCATACGCAAGAACCGATAGCCATCAAATGTTTTGGCATCTGGGTAAATAGAGTCGTCCCAGGAGTCGGAGGCGGAGACCATGAGCTTCGAGCCCTTGGGAAACTTGGTTCCATCGGGCAAAGTGGTGTCCTTGAGTGCGTAACGCCGCATGAGCGCTTTCATTGCAAGTAAGTTATAGTGTGTTCCAAACTAACGGCCTCCAACGAGAGGGGGAGAGTACTGACCGACGGCTGCTGGCTTTATACGCTGGCTTTCCTTGAGGACGCTGTCCATGAGCTTGAGCTTATAAATCGTGGACTTATTCCAGTTGCTCTCGCTGATTACGGAAATAATTTCCTCTCGCAGGTCGCGCACCAGTTCCGGCTGGCCACAAAGATCGAAAATGACCTGCGTCAAAGCATCAGAACCAGAAAAGTTGGCTGCCATAGCCATCATGACCTGTGAAATTGCGGGGTCATAGGGCTGGCCCTTGGCAGCCTGCTCCATCCACTCCATGGCGTCGAGATACTCTTCTGGCTTCAGGCCTTCGGCGGCACGCCTCTCTTTGTCAAGTCGACGCTTTTCAAGCACAGGGTTGACGAGATCTTTACATTGGGCGAGATCAGATCGGAGCTTACGGCAAGAGGGGATGAACCAATGGACCCAAGATCTCGTCATTGGAGGCCAGACACGAAGGTCTTGGGCGGCCTGGATCGCATCCACAGTGTAATCCCTAGTAACACGTAGCCAATCTGGGTTGCGACACAGCTCCGTGCCTAGGAATACACGGGAGGATAGCTGAGAGATGATGTGCAACATCGTGGACTTAAGTTCAACCTCATGCCATTCTAGAACGTTTGTTAGCTTCGGCCACTACTTCCAACCTAGGAGAACTTTGAACACACCTGGATTATCAGACCAATGGTGCTGCAGCGCAACAGCTGCCTCGGCCGAAAGGGGACGATTCAGACTTTCTGCATCGAAGTCGTCAACAAAATGATGTTAGAAAGCATAAAGATTTTGCCAACACACCCAAATCATGCGTGAGGTTTTCTCTTACGGCCTTGTGGAAGATCTCGTCATTGGAGGATCCTTGTCGGAAAGGCTCAAAACCAGGAATATGCGCATGGAAATCCTAGTATTTTCTCATCAGTCCAAATTTATCATAGTCATAGGGGAAATTTAGCCTTCTAGACTCTGAACTCACCTCGGCGCTGATTTTACCGAAGTTCAAGTCTGGATTGTTTCTTAAGCCGTCGGCATATTCTCCAGCGAGAACGATTTGAACCCCATCATCTGTTTGCAATCGAAAAGCTTTTCCAGCCTGCACTTTTGCCGTTAGCAACCAATACAGCGTCTATTTCTCATCCACTTGAAAGCAGGAGATGACGAATTGATGATTGTAGCATTTTGTTTGTTGAAGGCAATGAAAGGCCCATAATCTTACCGTCTTCAATCCGTGGTCGATAAGACCACCAGCGTCCACGACGAACTTGGCTTTCTGCTCTGTAGCGAACAAGCTCCACCATTTGCGTCCGTTTACTAACGGGTACTTGTTGATATCATTTTGAGGCGGACGAAAGAACCCATAGAAAAGCCTTGCTGCTAAAGCAAACGCCGAGAGCAGAACGAAGGTAGGTACTGCGTTGACGACACCAACGAAATGAGACATGATGACAACAAGTTTGTTCTGCACTTTGCTCGAGAAGCCAGGGGCGGGACACCTTAGAGATGATTGGTATCGGTTCGAGCAGCTTTTGAGGGAATTTTGAATCGTGCATTTGAAATTGGATCTAAAGGATTCTCTCATGCTCGACAACGTGTCGACTTTGGACTTGATATGCGATGTTACATCTACTAGTACATGCTCTGGCGACCTCCTTAATCTGTGGTTTTTTCAGATAAATACAAAATTACGCCCGAAAGACACAATGTACTTTGACTCTTTTTTTGCGTATGAGCGATCTCAGTATGGTAAAACAGTCCCTTACAAGTCGGATCTCGAAATGCGATACTGAGCGTTCAATGTGGAGGAAAATGACAAGATACATATAACTGTTATGCGGAGTTTGATATCAAATAATAATAGAGAAAATTAAGTTCGAGATTGAGTTTGCAAAATTCTGTGTCATGGGATAGCGTATCTATCAAGTGGTACATACGACATTGATTACGTCGTATTAACGGTACAGTACGGGATAACAACAAAGCTTATTGAAAAATCCTCTGTACAGTGAAACACCTTAAAGTCTTACAACACTAGCCCCCACCCCCTTATTACATGTATCCCCGCGGCCAAGTAGGCGAAGCTCACCGTAGTCGAAGCTTAGCGTTGAGTAAGCTGCATAAGCGATCCCATCGCCACAAGACACCATGCTAAATGCGGCAATTCATAACTCTTAAATTCGCCACCAGATCTCTGCCAAAATATCTCGGAACCGCCCCAACACAGGCCGCACGTTCCCATTCAGGCCCGCCCCGTGTAACTCCGGGCCCGCCCCGAAAGTAACGTTATTATCTACGGTGGCGCAGTGTTCTCGCCCGCTTCGGTCGGAGAATCTCCAGCTCCATCGGCCGGACTGAAAGTTAAAGGATCCATGAATTGCGCCAATCAGTTCTCAACGAATACACATCATGGGAGATCTGAGAATAGCCTTTCATTTCCCTCCTTCAAGTGTGGCGACGGTGATAATACGGAAGACTTGTGTATCACTAAGTTCGTGTCCGAATGCGGAGCTTGGTCCGCCTCGGAAGCTAACTATGTTCATCCGGAATCTAGGAAGCGGGCGGTGAATGAGCGCTATTCGCTATCTGGAGATGTCGAGGCACGGATACTTTCACCATCTTGCGTAGTTGCGAAAAGGAGGAAGCAGGTGGAATGGGTCTCTAACGAGCTTTCCCTGAGACCCTCTAGAGAGGGAAAGGACAAGAATAAATGGGGAAGGCAGAAAATCTCTGGTAGACAATTCTTGTGTAGAGAATAAAAACGAATGCCTCCAGTATACTGCATTGACTTGCGTGGATTTGCTTATCAATGTGATTATCTGCCCTAGGATTGGAACACTCAGTCTTGTCTGTCTGTCTATTTGACAATTATAGTCAAGGGAACCCCAGACCAGGAACAGGGGTGGGATGTCACAGTACATAGAGGCATATACTGGTATGGTATGAGAACATTTCAACTATCACTAAACCGGTAGACTTATTCAGTTCTAGCGACAACCAGGACAGTAGGCTTTTATTTCTCCTGTTTCTACCTACCCTTTAGTACGGAGTACTCCGTACTAGGGATATAATTCTCCTACTAAATTGAAAGCTCACTAAGTGTGTGACAAGTGACCATCCTACAGGCTGCTCGTGCCTATGCCTGCACTTATATACGAACCCTCTACAGTTACCCTGTACTATAGCTGCTATAGCCCTGTTATCTCTTTTGGCCTGTCGTCCAGGAGAGGAAACCTTGGACATGGGCTTGATATGCTAGAGGGGGTGTGTATTTTAAGACTGTTAGCACCCCTAACAACAGCAGGAGCGTAAATGAACCAGGTTTTTGGGTATTCACTGACCTGAGCTTTACTCGTCACAAACTTCCCACATATTGTGTCTAGCAATTTCCTTTTCAATAAAGCTGGCTACTTACATGAAAATGAGCCATGGAGCCATCAAATCCTGGCTTTGAGATACTTTCTGACTATGAGGTGGAGATGCTGGAGTCCCAAGCTGTGCGGGAGATGCTTGATCATCTTGCAGTAGGGTTACTCTCAAAACTTGATGTTCATGTTCTCTGCAGCTTTATTCAATATGGAGAGGAATCAACAGAACAAGAAGAGCTTCGAATGAGCCTGGCAAGGAAACTCTAGGATTAAGTTCTACAGCTTTCCACCCTTAGTAGTGTTGGATGTGCATCCTTGCCATGGTTTTATGAAAAGACCTAGTAAAATCTAAGATCTACTATTACTGGAAAGAGGATTAATCTAGTATAGGTCTATAACTTTCTATTAAAGGTATAGAGCAACCTTAAAAAAGCAAAGGAGAATAGATCAGAGTTTCCTAAGCCGTCTAAGTTAGTTAATCCTTTCAATATTACTGAGATCTAAGCTATAGAAAGAAGCTAAAATCAAGAATAGCCTCCATCTATAKCTAAGGTAAAAGCACCTTCTAAGACTCCTTAACCACACTTTCGCAAGGAGCTTCCTCAAGGAGTAGGATGGCCTGAATCTGTTATACAAGAGTTAATGCCAGCTGTGCAAATCCTGGAGCTTAGAAGTATGTACAATCAGAACACTTTAACATCTTATCTATTCCCTGTTGAGAAATGGACTCACCCAGCTAAAGGCATTTAGAATATCCCACCCGATAGTTTTCCCAGACATACGGAAAACAGCAGAAAGACTCATTTCCACCCTTTCAGAGGGAGCAGTCACTATCCATCCAATGGTCTCGTACCCATTGCTCTTTAACAAGCTTGGCGGACCGCATAATCTATTTGAAATGATGACGGAGTCCCTGAAGCCAGCGATCCAGGCGCTAGAGGATAGGAGAATCACACACATAGAGTAAGTCCGGCTCTCCTCCCCCGTCTCAATAGTCCTGATCATGCTAAGTCTATGCTTAGTCTGGACCATATCGTGAGCGGACAGGGTTCGCCTTCGTTATGGCCGAGAAGGGGCGGTTATCTTGTATATGTCACGGATGCTGAACAACCGAATTATTGGAGACTATACGTAGGTCAATCCAATAATCTTATCCAATTCCAAAGCATTTACTGATCAGCATGAGAATACTCTATTATACTGGATCAGCTCACGGAGCTTTCCTCGAGAGATGAACTTTATCCAGCTATAGACGTTGCCCGAGTTTGTCATAAACAGCTCTAAAGAAGTCCGCAATATATTAAACAACATAATGGAAATGCTTATGTCATTATGTTTTCAAACTATGCCACAAGCTCAACTTTCAATGTTCTTGGTTGGTCAGGAACATCTGGCAACCATAGGCCTGAGTGTCACCTCACCCCTTTTATTGACGATCATTAACAGTTGACTGGATGAGTGATATGAAAACTGTTATAGAGATGACGAATGGGAAAATGGAGAGTCGCGCCAGTCTAAGGGTTGATTACCTTAATAAACATGCTTTATTAATAAGTATTGCAGCCTCTGTATGCAACGAACAAAGGGATTTATGACTCACACTTGACAGCAGGCTAGTATTATCAGCTACTGCCACTATTTCCATGTATAGGCTGCAGACATAAGCTCTGATTTAATATCACCCACGACCTCCAGATCGTATGCTGTATTAGTACTAGTCGACAAAATTGAAAAGCTCTGTAGGATTTGATCTTGCATGAGCAGAAAATGCGGCATTCATTGGCCGAAGCCGACCCGTTTGCAGAAAGCAGGATACGCATTCCACTTGAGTAGCTCTCATAGATTGGCAGCCATAGACTCTTTTCACTTGCACATCAAGCAGCCGGCTGAGCGTCCATTCCGAATCATTAGAAGTAGTGTGGAGAAGTTCGGACCCGACGTGGATGGTTTAATAATAGTCACATGCAGATGGACGCTGTAGACAATTGAAGCCTCAATTATACGATCCCAGAAGAATAATAGACAGAGTTCAAGTGTCTGGCTGTCGGGCTGTCGGCCGCGTCGGTGAGCTCATGTGCCGCGGTGGCCGGTGGAGCTGGAAGGAAGTGGACGATGCTTTTTTTAGACTTCAGGACAACATTATCATGGTATTCGCTAATGATTTGACGGGGAGACCTTCTGCGCTACACGTCTAAGCTCCTTTTACATGTTCATTTGCATGAGGACCGCTTAAATGAATTATTTGTTTTTGTCATGGCTCGTGGAGTGATGTGTCAAGAGACACGGTTCCTCCTTAGCAACATTAATCGCCTTTCACCTTTTATCCGTTCCCAATCAGAACACTATGGCGTCTGCTAATAATGAAGGCCCTACTAGTGGGAAACAGAGGATGGTGAGCTTAATTGAGATGAGCAGTGTGATGCTAGTTAGCCTTGATGAGAAACTGCTGCGACTGGCTAATGATGAACCCTGTGCCTTCACCAGCTGTCTGCGTAGCTGGCATCTGGTGTATATGTTGCCTTGTAGCTAACAGACGGAAGATGAATATTTTGGCTTTCAATACAGAAAGAAGATATGCAAGCATCTCTACAACGCCGGCTAGGCAAGGAATGTAGGTAATGCGTTTACTGCTGATCTGACAAATGGATCAGTTTGTAGGCGGTGGCTCGCTCAAATCTATAGGGATGAAACGAGTCCGCTCTGAGTGAAGCCAAATTTCCAGCTACGTCACTTTCTAGGACAAATCTAACATTGCAACACTGGAAATCTCCATGATTATTCCGAAACCCCGAAATGATGATCAGTACTGTGTTGTACTGGACATTCGTGAGGTCATGTCTAGCGTGGATACGAGGTTTGAGTCATTCTTTGATACGAACTGACGCGAGTTATTCCGATTAACATCGTGGGTCATGTCCAGCGTGGATACGAGGTTTGTCATTCTTTGATACGAACTGAAGCGAGTTATTCCGATTAACAATTCCAACATGCTAAGTTGATCCCGCCAGCACCCGAGCCACAGTTAATATAAGACCGCTTGAGAAGGAACAGGGCCAAAAGTCCAGTATTTCAACACATCTACTTACAACATGCTCTTGTCTGAACCTTGGCGACTAGGTCTGACCAGCCTCGCAATTGGTCTTAACACCGTCACGGTGCTTGTTCACAGTTATATCGGTTTTGACATAGCCCTCCCACAGTTGGCGTCGCACAGAAAGCCGCTGTATAATGTCATTGGGGTCTGTTTTATCCATCTAGGGCTCCTTCCTGTTATATCCAGTAAGTACCAAATCAGACATATACATCAAGGATGGCCTTCTTATGGCCATACAATGGGTTGGATAGTGCTAACAATAGACATAGGCATTCTGCAGCTGAAATGGCTGCAATATGGCCTAAATTGTCCTTATGATAAAGTATTGCTGACTTGCTATGTCCTTGGGCAGCTGGCATTTGGCGGCTGGTACTACACACTGGGCGCAAAGAAATCTCTGCTTTCAACTGTGGTGGCGCCAATAGCAACACTTCTGTGCGTGCTCTAAAACTAGAGACAATATGCATCTGTCTAAAGGCATATGACTACGCATCATTAAACGTTTTGCCAAGTACAGCGCGGACCAGTTATGCACCGCTCGTTTCGGGCCTCTCTAGGGTGTCTCAGTTATTTACTTGATGTATTTCCTGTGTTTCAATTTTGCCGCTGTAAGGTTCAACAATATTCATTTGGTTTTGGTACGGTTTTGGTACGAATTTCCCCTAATCAACAAACACACAGCCTTACAACCAGGAAGACCTCTTGCGCTTCGAGCATCTGGTAGACGGAGCTGCAAGCTTCAGCTTTCTCGACCAACGCATCTACAGGGCTCTCAAAGTCCTCTTAGTGAAGCGCAGACAGAACTCCTCACTTTCCTCCCAGGCCAGGCCCTCTAGCCACATTTGTAGAATATCGTCTTCAGCCGCTGAATAAGGTCGAGCACTACGGGCACTCGGCAATGGACTGGATGCTTCAGATGCTTCAGCTCTTGCCTTCGCCCTTGTTTGAGGAACAAACTTGCTTTCTCGTCCGTCTCTAGAGCAGCGCCTGCTGGGTAACATGTTCAAGGGGTTGTGCTCAGTGGAATTAAAAAGGAGGCATATCGGCTTCAACTCTTAGCCTCAGTCAACCCTGAAATTCAGGCCTTTCCTCAAGCCAGAAAGCAACAGTTGATGGAGAAAAATTGGCGCTCATTCTCTGACCAGCCAGTGGAAATCAATTACCAAGATCCCCTTGCTGAAGCATGCAGCTCGTTAGGCCTTACTGAGAACTTAGCCTTACCATTTGATGGCAGCCTCCCATGTTCGCTAGACGATGTGCTAGACTCGAGTATCGACACTGCTCTCCAAGAAGCAGCTTACGGGCTCGAAAAATTAAAAAGCACCGTTCTACTTAGCATGCCATTTGGCTCTTTTGCAGCACGCCTTGGGATCATACTAGACCATGATCTCTTACGCAATGATGAGTCTGATATCCCAACTGCCCTCAAAGAGATTGGTTTTCACAATGAGAATTGCCTTGTATGGCCTTTAACATTCAGAACCATTACCTGGCATCCACTTCTCAGATCAGACACCTAGGTTCTGAAAGAGACATCTTGCGTCCGCTGAACCAGAAGATCATTGAAGTATCCAACTTGAGAGTGATAATTCTCTGTGGCGACAATGCCGAGGCCTGTATCTTATCCCCAGAACTGCATCCAATTGACATCAAACTCGGGACTGTCCATATAGGTCGTGTGCAGATCAAAGATTCTCGCTTTAAGAGAATCTACATCAATGCCTCGGCAGCAGTTTCTTCCCTATACTCGGTCAACTGGAACGAGAGCTTGAGGTTTGCCCTCGCAATAAAATTCGCTACACAGATGACCTCTACCTGCAATATCAGACCATACTTTTACAGATCCAGGAGGGCGCTCCTTGACATTGTTATCGCGAGCTTCCATGAAAATAATGGAGAAGAAAAGATGACCCCTGAGACAATGCCTCCAAGCATTAAAGCCTGGTTGTTTACAAAAAGGCTTTATTTCTGATGATGATTTCAAGAAATTGGAAGACCTAGGCGGAACTTTCACTAAAGGTCTTCTGCTTGCAATGTGCACTGCACCTGCTTGTCCTGATAATGAGAAGATTCCAACTGAGAGGCCTATTCTTTCCAAAAATAAGTTTGATTCACAACTTTTTACAAAGAAGCAATTGGATGAGATACGATCTATTCATAAGCAGAAAAGGTCGGAGATTTATTGCCGATATCCAGGGACAGAGATCGTCACAGACAGTATGGATGTTCCGGAGACATCTTCAGTAAGTGTTGATTATGAAGATGAAACTATTCAACAGAATATCCTGGATAGACTTTCAAATCAGTGTCTGAGCGATGAGGGATCTGTGCACAGCGTCATCAAAGATGTCCTTTCAAGGAATGTGTATGAGAACATTGCTTCGGAAATCCAATCCCAGCTAACAAAACCCCCAAAAAGAGGAAGGCCAAAGGGGCTTATTCCAGCGCACATCAAGGAGCTCAGGGAAAGTGAGAACTGTTGGTGGTGCGACGCAATCCTCAACAAGAGTTGCTGTTGTAACTTTGACCTTCAGGAGCGACTGTGTCATAGATGTGCAATGAATGTCCTAAACTCAAGCCGTCTACAGATCTTGAAAAAGCAGATAATGGAATTGGAAATACGCTGCGGTTGTTGCAAGTCCTTATTTGGGTCACATTGGACCTTCACCAGTGCGACGAATCTTCCTACATGTTCTCTTCGTTGCCAGTCGTTGCTGCTTCACAATTATGAAAGTGAGTATCCAGATCGGTCAGACGCACTGCCAAAGTCAGACGAAGCACGCTATCAAGATCAGTGTACCGACCATTTATCTATGAGGCCACCGGTGGTGGCCTATTTCAAAGATGTCCACGATATCGATACCTCTATTGTATCGCTCGTTGCAAAAAAGGAGTCCAGGTCCGAGATTGATTACAAAATTAACGAAGAATCGCTTAGGACGAATCAATAGGTGCAATGGCAGAAGTTGGCCAGTCCCCAATGGTTTGAAAAACCACCTATTCTCTGAATGCCATTTACTTTTCCCGCATACTCCAACTTCGACTTGGCTGAATTTTGTTTTTCTGTATGGAATTACAGAAGAGGGTTTTAGAGCTTTCACGCTTATGGTTGAGTTTCTGCTCGAGTTGATACTGGCTAGCTTTCCGAACCGTGGCAGCGCTTATGAGAAATACGATGGTGATGGATAATATTCAATTAAAACAATGTGCCAATCATTGTTTTTGAATATAGAATATGATCCAGCGCTGAATCACGGAGATTGAGAAGGACATCCTACTTGTCTTCTGAAATAATGTGAGAATTGTGCTGTGCAGGAAAGGCAGGAACTTTAAACAATATTCTGCAAATAAAAAAGGTTTTGAAAACCATCGGCTAGTTAATAAGAATAAAGATGTTTAGTAATGTTAGATATAGGATGAACGATGGTCTGTATTCTGTTTATTTCTCTAGGGTATTCAATCCACATCCGAATTTCTACTGTGGCACCTATCCAGATACATCCAAGCAGGGTGGATTCAGCGTAAACTGGCGCTCGTAATGATGTGGTTATTTTTCTGGCAACGGAAAAAACAATGTAGCCCGATTAACTCAGTTGGCTAGAGTGTCAGACTTTTAATCTGAACGTCGGGGGTTCGAGCCCCCCATCGGGCGCTTTCCTTTTTTTCCCTCTCCATCCTACTGAATGCCTATTGAGTACACTCATCTCTCGCTCTCGTCTTCTGCTAACGATGGTCGTTTTGCATTAGCTTTCCGAGAGTTTTGTTAGGAAAAATACAGATATGCAGATTAATGTAGTCGACCATCCAAATCATCCAGTCGATAAATATTCCGTACGTCGCGAGATGTACAGGCAATATTTTTCGATGCACCAAGCAGGAATTTAGCTAGCTTACAGGTCTAGGAACGGCGGAACCTTTCATCCAATCGCCCGATTAACTCAGTTGGCTAGAGTGTCAGACTTTTAATCTGAACGTCGGGGGTTCGAGCCCCCCATCGGGCGCTTTACTTTTTTCTTTTTTATTTGTATTTTTTTTTTTACTTCATCTACTCTTTAGATATCCATACATTCTCTCATTTTTCGGGTAAGGGGGAGTCGCTAGAACCGAACGGTGTCGCCCTATCCTCAGGTGGTGTATCACTCCTGTACTGGTTATGAGAGCCGACCCACTGCAGTTAGAAAAATTGGACCACCCAGCAGTTCGGGGACAGGCATCTCGCGTTGTCTCAATGAATACCTCTCGAAAGGCAGGTCGCGAGTCTGGTGGAACAATATTACAGAGTACTCCAGCAGATGACGTTTTGCTGCAGGCTTGCCATTTGAGCTGTTGATCCTTAGGTGCAATCCCGTGTCGCGCAGTGATTTCATCCCTTCATCCCTCCCAAACAGTGTGAACAGAAATGTCCCTATGCTAAACGCACTAGATCCTAATTTGACATCTACGTTGTCAATATAATTATGTAGGTGTCATATATGTTGCGTTGATGTAGTCTGACTAATGTTCATGTCTCTGAAATGTTCCTATATGAAAGAAGGACATATTTGATTGCATACTCTATATACAACAACTGCATCCTAAGCAGACTCTGTGTCTAGGGTCTGCGCCAAAACCATCTCATAGTAGCGGCCACGACGCGCCACCAAATCATCATGGGTTCCCTCCTCCACTACCTGTCCACCATGGAGCACAAAGATGCGGTCACATTTCTTGATGGTTGATAAGCGATGGGCCACTGAGATGACAGTTCGCGAATCGTTCTTGCGCGTTATAGCTTCGAAGGCCTGTTGAACCAGAGCCTCGCTTTCTGAGTCAAGGGCGCTGGTAGCTTCGTCAAAGAGTAAGATATCTGGCTCCCGAATCAGAGCTCGTGCAATGGCAAGACGCTGGCGCTGACCGCCACTGAGCGACATGCCATGGTTTCCAAGGTTGGTGTGATATCCCTCTGGAAGACTCATGATGAAGTCGTGAATGTTAGCTAACTTGCAGGCACGAATAATTGCCTCCTCGACTTGCGTTTCTGGCTGTGGATAATCATCGACGGCTGGGCCTGATACTTGGCCTAGCAAGACATTTTCACGGATTGAGCCTTGATACAATATGGTATCCTGGGTTACCAGGCCCAAGCGTGAGCGGTGACAATGCACATCTAGCTGGCGCATCGGAGCGCCACCAATCAAAATTTCACCCTGCTCGACGTCGTAGAAACGCTCCAGAAGAGCGATAATAGTGCTTTTACCACACCCTGATGCACCGACAATACCAACAGACTCGCCTTTGTTGACTTTCAAGTTGAGATTGCGAAGCACCGGGACGTCCGGGCGAGTATGATAAGAGAACGACACGTTCCTGAACTCAATCGCAATCCCTTTCTCTGAAACAGGCGCTTGGTTATCACCAGTCGACCCGTTGATAAGTGGCTGAGACCGGCGAAGGTCGATAATATGGTTGGTGGATGTATGCGCCTTGGAGAGATCTTGAATGTTTGTTAGCACGGACTAGCAAGTAAGGGGCAAAGGTGTTACCTACCAGAGGTGAATCCGAACATAAAACCAGCAGTTTGCATTCCCATACTGATGGCAATGAAGACTATAAAGAATGTGGCGACGCTATACTTGTTCTCAGACAAAAGCTTTCCTCCATACCAGAATGAGAAAGCGGAGACAGCGAGACTGATACTTTCACTAAAAGCGAAGAGGAGCATGCTAAGAAGTTTGTGTCGCATCTCAAGTTTTGCTGATTCGCCCAGCTTTTGCTCGTATCCATCCATGACTTTGTGCTCAAGGCCCAGACTCGACACGGTCCGAATGGCTCCCACCGCTTCAGAAGCAAAGCGGGCTGCTTCCTGGTAAATCGCAGTTACGCGATCCTGGTTGCTCATCTCCATGCGCATTCTAAAGTAGCCCGCTCCGAACAAAAGAGGGACTCCCACGGCCATGACAGGGAGTGCGAGCTCCCAGCCAACTGCTAAAGACAAAATGCAGCATCCGAGGACGTTGAAAAAGACGAGCAAAATCAGAGCAAGATTGGTGGACAGCAGTAACTGCAGATGTAGAGGGTGCAAAGACAAGCGACTCGTCATTTCGGCGGCGCTGTGACCTTTCCTGTCGAAAAATGCAATGTCTTGATGCATCATCGACTCAAAATATTCACGCCGATACTGACGGGTTGCGCGGAACGAGGCAATCGTCCACCAAAAGCCAACACCCCAGTAGACTACCAAGACGCCAAGACCGAAAACGAAATACATGAGCGCCCAGAAACTACCTCTGTGAACGAGGTCCTGGCCACGAGGGAGCTGTAGTGTGGAAATGCTCTCACCGAAGAGAACAGCCTGTGCAGGAAAGGCGCCACCGCTACCAGCGGATGATATCAGACCAGCTAGGAAGAGAACCCATAGATGACGCTGATCTTGGAAAAGAACGATAGCAATGCAGCGAGCCAGCGACAGCCGCTTCACAATATCATCATCTTCAGACTGTTCCTCTTTCTCGACGGTTGGCTGATCATTGACCAGAGATTCTGCCACAGTATTTGTGCCAGACCTTGATAATGGGCTAGATGGCCGATTTACCGAGGGCCTTTTGTCTGTCTTAGCTTCGTCATCAACAGCGCATTCATGCTCCGGAGATTCTTTCGATGTGCATGCGGCTTCGTCGCTGGCGTCTAGTGCCTGCGAGTGAACGAGTTTACGGTATGAGCCCTTGATCGCCAGAAGCTCTTGATGGGTTCCTTGCTCAACAACCTTGCCATGCGAGAGAACGACGATGTTCTCGGCTTTCTGTACAGTAGAAAGTTTGTGGGCAATTAGAATAGTCGTGCGAGATTTAGACACATTATCCAGAGCGTCTTGGACCTTCTTCTCTGCAGTAGGATCGAGAGCTGAAGTCGCCTCATCCAAAAGCAGAATACGCGGGTTGGAGATGACGGCGCGAGCAATTGCGATGCGCTGCTTCTGACCACCGCTGAGGAGCTGGCCGCGCTCACCAACGAGGGTATCATATTTCTCAGGAAGTGCCTGGATAAACTCATCGGCAAAGGCTTGGATGCAGGCTTCGCGAACCAGTTTTCTTTTCTCAGCTTCAGGCAATAAGTCCATACTGGTACCGTAGAGGCCATGAACCACATTGTTATAGATAGAGTCGCTGAAGAGAACAGGCTCTTGCTGTACCAGGCCAATCTGGCTTCGAAGCCATTTCACGTTCAGATCAGTGACAGCATGGCCACCAACATGTACTGACCCCAACTCCGGGTCAAACCAGCGCTCAATCAAGCCAACAATGGTACTTTTTCCGGAGCCAGATGAACCAACCAGAGCTGTAGTTTTACCAGACTTGAAGCTGATGCTGAAGTCTTTGAGGACGGGTACGGTTGGCCGTGACGGATAGGCAAACGTGACATTACGCAGCTCAACGTTGCTCTCTTGAGGTCCCTCTGGTTTGTATCCTCCCTCCGCAAGCGGGTCAATTTTGGATGGGCGATCAATCATCTTGAACATTTCTTTTGCCGAGGCGGAAGCCCGAGTGAACCCGCTGAAACCTGGTGCGACATCGGAAGCGGCTTGGGTTGCGAGAAGAACCGATAAGAGAACCCTAGCGTGCTTGTTAGAACAGTTCCAAAACCAAATCCGAAAAAGGGTGCACCATGGGGATCTCTTACGTTATCATGCCACCGCCGGAGCCAATTTCGCCCTCATTGAGGAGTTTAGTACCGTAATACCAAGCCAGGGCATATGCGCAGTAAGTGGTGAACATTTCAACACTATATTGAAATCCAATAACGGGACCTTTTGTAAGGCCAAGCTTCTGGGCCTCTGCAAGAGTAATGTCGTACTTTTGGGCCAGTCTTTTCCCGATATTGAGTGCCGTGACCATACGCATGCTGCTCATGGCCTCCTCGGCCAGTCCGCTGGCGGAATTGTAGACTTCGAGAATCTTGCCCTCAATTTTCGAATCTACGTGAAATGACTAGTTAAGGATTTGACACAAGTATTTCAGAGTTGCAGGGAGTGAAGGCTCACCTAAACTGAAGGTTATGTAGAATCCAGCGAAGAGAACGGGCAGAGTAGTAGCCGTCACCAGGGTCAGCTTCCATTGCTGGGTGAAGGCAACCACAAAGCCAGCGGTCAACATCGAGACAGCTTGAATCAAGCTGCCTATCTTCTCCGTAATTCCGTTTTCGACCATATCCACATTGGAAGAGATAGTGGTAGTAATGCCTCCGAGTGAGCACGAATCAATGTAGGCAATATCCTGTCGGATCACAGACTTGATGAATTGCTGGCGAAAAACTCTGGTGGCCCTTATACCCGAAATACCAAAGCATGAGGAATGTATGTAGACAAGTACGTAGCGGCCGATAAACAGGTAGACAAACCACAGCGCATTCTGGGATAGAGCATGGTAGAAGGCGCTAGCCGATTGTTTACCGGCGCCGAACGAATTGAACTCGTTGACGGACGAGCCGAAAACGAGCGTCATACAGGGAAGTGCAGCGCCCGAAGCGATTGCGGCGCAGAGACCAACGATCCGTAGGGCATGATCGGAGGGAGATGAGAACTCGTACAAGACGCGGAAAAATGAAGTCAGCGGCCCTTCTTGAGTGCCCTCCTCGTCCTTGGACGCAATTGCCACGGTAGTGTCATCACTAAGGCTGCCCGTGGGGTTTTCCGTTGTGCTGGGGGAGATCATTGATGACTTTTCGCCGTCGACACTCAGCCATGGCCTAGGCACCGGCGTTCCATGAGCATTTGACTCATCGTCAGACGCAGCGACGGGCGCCGTCGCTCCCATTCCTGCCGCCTTACGAGGAAATGGAAAAAAGAAGGGGGAAAACCGAAGGGGAGGAGGTGGAACAATGGAAATGGGGGCACCGCGGGTGGAAAGAAACAACGACAAAAGACTGGCGTAGCGCAAGACAGAGGCTCACCCACCACAGTGCTGGACTACTCTAGTCTTCAAGTAGTGACTTAGAAGAGATGTGGGAAAGCAAAAGGAGAAAATCGAGAGTCAGCTGATTCAGGCACATGGCTTGCATGAGCCAGGCTGCTTAGTGCTGCATTAGTTTTAAAATGGCAAGAGCTTAGCAGGTAGCACGAGATAAGAGGGGGAAAAAAAATGCAACATTACGGTTTACCTTGTTTCAGCAAGCCGAAGTTACAATAAGCAGGTAATTGCTATCACGTATCAAGGTATAATACAAATTCTATTTATTACTCAAGTCAGTTGGTAATTTACAGTAACTAGCCTTTCGGGTCTTGCCGCGTGGGGGCTGTATGTAACTCCTGCGGTGCTCCGAGGCGGACGCCACGGTTCGATACTGTAGATACCGCAGATACCATACTCTCTTTTCTGCTGCTCCTTTGGGTACCATCCCTCCGATACTCTACTTCCTACATGGTCTACTGATTGCTGAATCTTCCTGTTTCGACTCGATGGCCCACTTGTGGGACTAGTCTTTTACCCCTCTTCATTCTCTCTTCCCCAGTATAGAATTAGTCTACTGTACGCAGGGCCGAAAACGGAGCCTGAGCTCACAGGCAAGTTGTATAGCTCACCATGGCTTGTTGTGTATGGTTCGTAGCGCATTGCGCGTCAGCTCCTTCCCGTGATAACAGGCCATTCGCCTGTTCCCAATGCAACCATGCAATTTGCCTTCTTTCTAGAACGGACTTAAACCAACGCGGGCTCGTACTCTGAAGATTGCAATAACTGCTTTGGTTCTGCCCAAGTCTGCTGCCATTTCCTTTCGCATTTGCTTTGTCTTTCATTCTTCTGCCACGCACGCTTTGCCGTACTGCGCTGGAGTCCAACGCCCCTCATCATGTCGCAACTTAGCAAAATAGGCAATATGGTTGACGTTACAACCCTTTGCAAAGTGCTCAGCGTCCTTGCTGTGTCTTCGATAATTCTTCGTTGGATTTACAATCTTTACTTTCATCCATTGCGGTACATTCCCGGGTCTAGGCTGGCTGCTATGACTTCCTGGTTTGAGTTCTATTATGATGTTTGGGGCAGTGGCATTTACCTCCTGAAGATCAAGGAGATGCATGAGACATATGGTAAGCTGACAATCTCCGAACTTTGCTAAGTTTCATCAGATTGGCTAATATTCTCAACTCTGGCCGGAAGGCCCTATCATTCGAGTCAACCCGAATGAGATTCACATCGCGGATCCCAGTTTTTACCATCAAATCTACACCAGTGGCACTCGCAAGGTCAACAAAGATCCTTCAACTGTAGCAGGCTTCTCCGTTCCAAACTCTGTAGCAGCGACGGTTGACCATTTCCACCACCGTTCTCGACGGGGCTACATGAACCCCTACTTTTCCAAAAGGGCCATCGTTGCTCTTGAGCCCGAGATCCATGAGCGTATTTCCGCTTTGTCTGCCAGGCTCCGGCGCGCCTCGGTAGAAGGTGCTCACTTGTCTCTTGACAGGTGTATTTCCGCCATGACAGCTGATATTATCCTGAAGCGGTTCTTTGGCCAACACTATGATTACGTCAACGAGCCCAATTTTGAGTTCCCCATTCGTGACGGATTTTTCGGAGTTTCCTTGATCTTCCATCTAGCTCGTTTCGCCCCGCGACTCATTCAATCTCTGAGGAAACTACCCATCCCTGTCATCAGCTGTATCCTTCCCAAGGTTGCCAACTTTCTGATCTTGGAGAAATATATCACGGAAAAAATGTCGGCCACCCTTGCAGCTGAAAAGAAAGACACTTCCACAGCCAAGTCTGTCATCCTTGAATCTCTGGCTAACGAACGAATCCCCGCACACGAGAGAACTATGAAGCGTCTGGTTGACGAAGGTCTTGTCATTACCATTGCCGGTACAGAGACATCCGCCAGAGCTCTCTCCGTAGGACTGTTCTATCTTATCCAAAATAAGACTCTCATATCCAAACTGCGCGCGGAAGTCGCTGCAGCTGTCCCGCACGACCAATCTCCAGATACGTGGACTCTGAAGCAGCTAGAGCGCCTGCCTTTTCTCGTAAGTTTCAATTATCTTTCCCCTATACTTGGCCATTGCTACACTACTGACGCTCTCTAGACTGGCTGTGTTAAGGAAGCCCTTCGCCTCTCCTTTGGTCCCATCAGTCGTCTGCCCCGCATCTCGGTAGAGGATGTTTTGCAATACAAGGAATATCGTATCCCACCTGGAGTAAGTGATACTACAATCTTACAGAGACTCTAGTTAATGACGTGTCAATTAGTATCCGGTGAGTCAGTCGACCTGGTTGGTCCACACTGACCCATCTGTGTTTGTTGAACCTCTCAAATACGACCCAGAGAGATGGGTTCGAGCTGCAGACGAAGGCTTCCAACTGGACAATTTCCTTGTCACCTTCACTAAAGGCAGTCGCCAGTGTCTTGGAATCAAGTGAGAGCCCACCTCGATATTTACTATGTTTACTGTGACATGTCCGCATTCTATTCATGCTCTAACACTACCCTCACCCTAGCATGGCCTACGGTGAGATGTACCTCACCTTGGCCCGGTTGGTATGCGGTTTCGACATGGAACTGTGGAACACGACCTTGGAAGATGTGCAGATCCATCATGCGCGAATCATCGGTAGTCCGAAGTTCGATAAAAAGAGAGGTGCTGGACAAGGTGAAATCAAAGTCAAAGTTCTACGAGAGAGGATCGCGGCCGCTTAGATGCACGTTTGAAGCCTCACCAACACAATATGCTAGTACATTTTTTAGATCMTGCTAAGGGGACTTGAACCTTGCGTTCATTTGCTTATTACAGATGATCATTCTCAGAAGTGATACATGAAGGCACCATATAGTAGACGAAAAAGGCCAACCTGGTCCCAGGGGATAAATTCATGCTGTTGAAGTCTACAGAGACTAGTAGTGAATCAATACGACCATCATGCTTTGCTTTCAGCACTTCGCGTCCAACCTCCTGTTTTCCAGAACTAAGATGAATCAAGGTTATAGTCAGCCTACACCCTGCACGCCTGAGGACACGTGGAATGTTGTTGTTCCTTTGCAACCTTCCTGCCTTCTACTACACGCGTGGAGCAAAGACCAGGTGCTGGCCTCGGCCCCTGTCAATAATAAAGGCGAGTACTTTGTGTTGACTTTGGTCATGACATTGCGATGCTAGTGAGCGGGGGCCCTCGATGAATTTTGCAGGTATAACCGAGCGTGCCTTAGCCAACAGCACTAAAGCTACTTCAAAATTACAGGAGATACCCTCGGGATCGATATGCAGTCTGTGAGAGGCTGAATTTACATATCAGTTCTATGTAAGGTTGATGGTACAGTTTTAGATCTACACCCGATCAGCGCTAGCCGAACCCCGCTTAGCCCAAAAGAACGGTCGGGTGGGTCAATGTAGCTTTATTAGGTGTGTATGGAAAACGACCGTAATGTTACTAGCCTGTTTAATTATTTTGAAAATAACAGACAGACTCGTAGATCCACAACTGACCAGGCCCCACAGCGCGTAACTGGAATACAGCTTACTAAATTGCCTATCTGTGCCTGTCTTATTTGCTTGTTACGGCTGGGCCAAAGCGCCTGCAGTGCAGCGTTATATACTAGGTAGCGCGGAATGTCATCAATTAAGCTTTCACTCCTCGTGGTCAGCTTACTGGACTCCAGAAATGAGTGGTTAAGGACCTCGGCCCTCCATACTTATGAATGACTAGTCTACAGTAGCGCGTCTTACAAGGTAACATCGTCTCAAAAGCACTATCCCGACAAGGTTCTAGACCATGTAGCAGAAATAACTCCCAGGCGTGGTATACCAGCATCCGAACACTCATGGGAATCATACAATACAGAACCCTAGTGAATTACTACTTGAACTTCAAGTCAATGTGAAATCCGACTATTTGACACTTCCCACCTGCAAGTCTCACCCGTCCCCGTCCACGGGATATAGCTCACCATCACTGCTCCCCTTCGGACAAAGATTAGCCATCTTCAAACACCATGTCTGGATTCAAGCTAGCTCGGCCCCCGTACGACGCCGAACTCGCAATTATTCGCGACACCTTCCCTCCATTTGGGCCGATCACCAATGAGCTTATCATTGCGCACCATCAAGACCCAAGTCTCTATGGGCCACTTCCGAGCGTGTCAGACCTTATCAAAGGACGTCCAATTGTGCACAAGGAGTACGAAATTGCAGGCTTCAAGGCTGAAGATCCGCCAGTCCTCCTTTCGGTCTTTACACCAACCTCATCATGTGATAATAGGCCATGTATCTACTTCATGCACGGGGGCGGTATGATCTTTCTCAATCGCCATGTGGGCCTGGAGCAGCCCCTCGACTGGATAATGGAGACGGGGTGTGTTTTGGTCAGTGTTGAGTACCGCCTGGCCCCGGAGAATCCACAACCAGCGGCATTGCATGACTGCTACGCTGGCCTCCGCTGGATTCACTCTCATGCGGCTGATCTCCTTGGTGTCGACCGAACACGGATCATGGTCGCTGGGCACTCAGGAGGTTCAGCGCTGGCTTCAGGTATTGCCCTGTTCGCGCGAGACCAGGAGGATGGCCTAGGCATCTGCGCCCAGCTGCTGGCTTGTCCGATGATCGACGACCGCAATACTAGTACCAGTAGCAGGCAGTTTGAAGATGAGGAGCCGTGGGATCGCAAGAGCAACGTAGCTGCTTGGGCTGCCGTCTTGGAGCACCGTGGGGACGACTACGGCCTTGCCGTCAGTCCTTATTTCGCTCCAGCGAGGGCAGAGGATCTCTCCGGTCTTCCTCCGGCATGGATAGACGTCGGTTCGACTGATGTATTTCGAGACGAGGCCGTGTCCTACGCTAGCCGACTGTGGGAGGCTGGCGTGCAGGCTGAGCTACATGTCTGGCCGGGAGGGTTTCATGGCTTTGATATGTTGGCCCCGAACTCTACGCTGGGCAAAAAGGCCATCCGAGCTAAGATGGACTGGATCAAAACAATATTTGGCACCAAAGACTAAAGGATGTCGAGCTCGCGTCAAGTGAATTTCTCACATATTGGTCCATTGAGAGGGATTACTCATCTGATTCTTACTTAGATCAAAGAAGCTTGCATAAAGATGGATACTTCGTTTCAATCCCTTACTTCCACTGGCACATTGTGTCTACATTATTAACAAGTATTTTCGGTGCAACATCTCCGTAGCAAAATGCCTTATCTTCTGAGTGATTCTCGTTATGATACTTGTGTGTAAACTCACGTTCGTAGGTAGCATCTGTGTCAGGATAAATACGGTCGGCAATCCGAATTATGGGGAATCCTCAAAGTGGATATGCTCAATCAAAAAAGTTGGGAACAGAGCTACAGGGTTCTTTTGTGCCAGTCGTTTGTCCTCTATACTACTACCATGTTCTTATTCATCTTCTAATGAGCTGAGACACAGAGTCAAGGATATCTGAGAGCTCTGATTTCCTCTCCACATGATGTGCCCACGACTACAGACTAACAGAGTTACAGCCAGACTCTCTCAATCATCAGAGTTCCTTCCTAGGGTCTGTGTCTGTCTCTGCTTCCATCCTACTGTTCGTTCCCATATAATGGAGCACGGCCCTGTCAACGGTCTTTATGATGATCGCGAAGAAATCCAACGGGCTAGATCCAATATGTGTCTCGGGAGCCCATGTCCACGATTCTCAAGGATATACTCATGCCGTTTCTGTTTGCGGTGAGGGAGGGAGAGAGCCCTAATTTTTCCTAATATGCGACGGCCAGGGGGACCAGAATGCCATTCTATCTACTGGAAGCCAGGCCTCGATAACAAATTATGGACAGAATCAAAATGTCTCCAGCAATGATCTATCTTCAAGGAATTTATCGATATAGTAGGCTCGGAAAGCGGCGAGGTCGGCGAGTGCGGTGACGGGCTTGCCAGCCATTCGGTTGGAATTACCACGGAGTCGTGAAGTTAGAGCCATAAGATCAACGACTGCCTTGAAGCTGGCCATGCGGGTAAAGATATAGCGCGCAGTGCTTTTCATAATTATGTTGAACGGAGGGGTAACGGAAAGCGTGTTGGCGCTGAGCCCGATCCGGAGCAGTTTAGATGACCTGTAGTGATTCGATGAGGGTTGTTTGGTGGTTCTTCTCAATAAGCCTAATGAATTTCACCTACTTTCAGAGGCAGTGCGGATATCGAGAGTGTTCCCTGTGTCCTGGACAGTTATATCCACAGGCCACCAAGTGGGAGCGGCAGCCTATAATCGACATGCTGGTTGGTATGAGTGCCGACTCCATTGATGTTACGGTGAGCCCTTGCAGATGTCGGCAGAATCTCTTAACATCAGGAGTCAAGCAGGATTCTCGACGTCCCAATATAAATGATGCATATGGATAACTGAGAACCACTACAATTCTTTTTTGGGGGAAGGATAGAAAAATCTACTGAGGTGGGTCTAGGCCTTGTCTGGTGTCTTAACCAGCAAGACTTTATCAGTTGTCACTCGCATCAAACAGGAGTGAACCAGGAGGGGAAATGTAGGTCTCTTATAATATTGAAAATGCCGCCTGGCTGTATATTTAGTTTGGAATACATCCTCCAACCGCAAGTAATATGCACATGGTAGAAAGGATATATAGTGTATTTGAAATAACTTCCCCGACCCCTTAGCGGACTTTCATTGCGAATCACCTTTCTGTCCTTGATCCCTCTAGAAGTGTACAAGACAACAGCCGGCATATATGTAAAACGTAGCTCCATCCTTTGATATCAACATCCATCACTTCGACTCTCCTCTTGCAGCTGATGTCTGAGGCATATTCAACGACGAGACGTACTGAAACTGCCTTGGGTATTCTTGCCTCAAAAAGTCCTTTCCAACATCCCATGTGGTAAATCGCGTGTTAAGGTCTTTTCCACAAAGTTTCACTTTCCTGTGAGCATAAAAATCGGCAAAGTTTTCCTTACCATTGTCCTCTCTAATCCGGAAAACCGCACGGTGAAAGTCCTGTTCCTTTTTAGCGAGCATCAATGCTTCGTGCTCGAGATGACCAATGCTGAGATAGTACATAAACAGGTGAGGGCTATATCGCTCCTTAAGCCAGGCTTCGTAGCCGGGGTGGTCTTGCTTGTCTAGTAGTGGCTCGTCACGCAGTTCCCGGATCCAGTTCAATAGAGAGACTTCCTCATCGAGCATCGTGGGGCGGAATGGCAAAGGTAAATTACGCTTCATGCCATCGCCTGATATAATGTCGCTGACACCGCACTTCATTGTATGATAGACAAGAGCACCCTGCATTAGATCCTCAATCATAATTGACAGAGCCATATTGTCTTTCAGATCACGGAGTGGCCTAAGCGCAAAAACACATGCGTCGGGCACATATGACCGTGCTGGATCTCGTAATGACACTATTAAGACTGTTCCATAGCCGGATAACAATGGTTGGTTGCGTGTGTCCAAATATCCGTGAGCGAAGGGGGAGATAGTGGCCTCGAATCCCCGGCGGCATCGTTCACAAAGATCAGAATTGTGACATTCTTCCTCAAGTATGTGCGTTCGCTGTTCTGATATACGCTTCCAGGACTGATCTGTGTGTTTCGGTGGCTTTTCACGCCTCGCAGCGAAGACCTCTTCCACAGTGTGTCCTTCACGCAGAGCGGCTTTCAGTTCCTCATTTGAAACAGTGGTGTATCTTTTTGGTTTCCATAAATTTCGCTTGAGATATTTCAAGATAAATGTCCTCACTCGATCTTCGCGAGCGTAACCAAAGCCGAGGACATCAACAGGTGGTGCAAAATCTTCCCTGCGTCGGACAGGTAGGGGATAAATAGTAACCAGGGTGCTCGAAATTGCGGCTAACAGTACTTGCCAGGGGGAGCCTGCTCGAAGACACTCAACACACTGCCGGAGAACCTTTTGAGAACAACGCCGTTCGCGTTGATGTAGATTCTCGATGCTCTTGCGAAGTACAGAAAACCGTGCGTAAGTCTTCATGATATCGAAGGCTGCTTTAGAAATAGCAAAGCATGAAAGTTGCCTTGTTATCTGCCAAGTGTGTGTGAAATACCAGCTACATTCCATGATAACGTAAAAGTCTTCTTCCAGTGCTTCCGGATCTGAACGATCAGTACTGGTCCAAAGTTTTTCGAGATGCTCAAGGTCTGCCCCTGACATCACAAGAACCTCATCAAACTGTGAGACAAAATTAATAATGTGTCTCGCGGCTTTTTCCGTGTTACGTGGATTGTGCCGCCGCCCTCCAATAACCTGTAGAAAGCTCGGAATAAGTCGTTCTGTCAGATAAAAGCAGTCGAACCGAAAGTCTATTAGAGAGGCAGAGCGGACGGTGCCGAGCTTTGAATTTGGGATCCGGAAATCGAGCAGTGCCTGGTGATCGAGTGACATCAGTGGAGGCACATCTTCGTCCACAGCATCACTTAGATCCTCCATGTCGTCGAACACCGTGCTGGGTGGGGCAGGGATCCAACTAGTTGGATCCCTGCGCATCGAGATAATCTCACTGTCAACGATGCTGATTTGATCAAATGCTTGGCCGGTGACCAAGGATTGTAGCTGTTTCAGAATGGCTATACGGTAGATATCCCTTGCCCAGTCCATTATGTAGTCAACAATAAGCAAGAGTTGCAACGCGTTGTCTTTGTGCAAGAGCGACCCCGACCAGAGTAGCGTTATACCCTTGTCGCCGAATTAGTTGTGTGGCATATAAAGACGTATTGCGAGATTCTAGGACTGTCGCCAGGATTTCGACAGGCTTGTAACTCACATATCTTGTAGGACCCCCATCGGCTCCGTTTTCAAGATGTGCCCCGTACACTTTCCATTGATCCCCGCGAGAGGCCAGAAACCATACCAAAGGTTCAAAGCGTTCTTCTCCTGATGACCAGTCCACGTAAGACCGCAATTCTTCTTGAAGCTTCAAAAGTGCGTAAATCGGGAACGCTGACTGCACCTGGATGGCATCAAATCCACTGGAACTCGTTTCGGACTTTGCTTCTAAGAGCAAAAAGGGGAAGAGTAGCGGATCAGCTTGGCTTTTGAAGGGTGTAGTCTTAAGAATATCTGAGACAGTATCGTCTCGCTGCTTGGCAAGATCTGGTCGAACGGGACTCAGTAACAAATTATCCAGATTCCTGGTGTTTTGTAAGCCCAGGACGCGATCAGGACCTTGTTTGGGGAGCTGCGATCTGAGAAGCTCATCATAGACAACAAATTCCTGGGCTCGGTCATCGAAGAGGGGATTCGTTCCAATTTCGTAGCTGTAAATCTCAGAACAGTTCCAGGGATAAATTAGGAAAGCCTAACTCACAAGTCTTTAATTCGTTCGTTGGGAGGACATTGACAGGGCTTTCTCCGTTTTCTGCGTTGCTCAAGTTCTCGTGCATGCTCGATTTGATTGTTGCTCAATGTAGCCTGTATCTCAGACTGCCAGATTCTCGCCCGGCATCGTGGACTGCCCAGGATTAGCAGACTGCTTCATTAAGGTCGTCCGAGTTCTTCCCACTACGCTAACCCTGTTGGTCCATAAGCCCTAATATAACAGTACTCACCAAGCAACTTCAGCTAAAAATCTCCCTAGGACATGATTTTCCAGCCCAAACCGCCAGCCGGCTTCGTTGCGCTCCTGGCCAAATAAACGCTCAGCGCGCTGGCAAAGCCACTCGGCACGGGCTTTGATCTGCTGCTTCCAGGGTTCTTTGGATGACCAAATATTTACACCAGCCGAATAGACATCAAACTGATAACTCCCTAATTTCTTGATGTTATTGAACGTTTCCGCATGAAGTTCAGGCAACCCCTCGTCTAGTCGCAGAAACCGAATGTTGTACCGCTTCATCAAACGCCGTAGCGTTCGCAGGTGGTCATCTGACATTATGCGAGACCGGTGAGCTGGGAAAAACCTTGGATATGCCACTAGAGCAGGGGATTAGGAAGGATATATATGCTGTTGGCACTGGGTCTGCGCCCCTTTTTCAGTGGCTTAGCCCAGCAGGTTGGGAGGGTAAGTTATCGCGTGATGTGGGTAAACATTTCCCCCCTGTCTATTGTGCATTCATCTTAGTCGCGCGACTAGCTCGATTTGCTCGCTCTAGCAAAGAGGCGAGTCGCAAGAGCGTAGCACCCACCCAATTATTTGCTACGTTCGTTAGTACTATAGCTACATGGATCTAATTTCTAATAATAGACCTCAGCAGCTAAAGGGTATTATTTATATCGTCTATAAAGATATAAAAACTATGCCTATTATAACTAATTAGTAATCATTGTCCTATAGTTCTGCCTGCCTTCCCTGCCTTATAGTGTTAATGATGTATCATAGTGCTGGTGTTGTAGCTCCGAACTCCGTTGTTGCGCTATTATAATAGCTAATATCGTCCTTGAATCTAGTATCGCAGCCCAACTCTCTCGGAGCCCTGGTCGGCTTGAGCCATACATACTTTTGACTTGCGAAGTTTCTAACCATACAGAGTTTGGTCAAAGCGCCAAAGGAGATCCACAAGGAGTTTAGAGCACAAGCCACATGAAACTAAACACAACTAGAAACGCTGAGAGTGTCAAATCATTGTCAAAGCTAATCTTAGTTTCTTTTTAAATAGCGGCTGATGCCGTCGCCCAATCTGAGCGACTATCGGATTTCTGTTTAGCAAGCAGATGCCCGGAATAATGAGCACTGAGGCCAACTTGTGCAGCCTGCTGGCAGCCATCAACTGCATTGAGCGTTTGAAGGAGAAAACTTGAATCCAATCCAGTACTACCCTAGGCCGTGCCGACGACTACTATTGACATCAGGTGGAGGGCAGTCCACCTATTCTACTAGACTAAATCTGGGCGTTATTTCTTTTGGCTGCACCGGCGCAGTACTAGTCTCTCAACTTCACAAGGCTGATTCCGCCGGTCATACACCGACGCAGGGGCGAGAGGGGAAATTGCTAGGCTCCAACGCTATTATGTAGGTGCTCACTACCATATAAGTAGCCTAAGGTCTACATACAATTAATTCAGCAGTTCTCCTCCAAACCTCTTTGCCTTTCGGGCTGTATTCCATCCATAGAACACCAATAGCTAAACAGCGCAAAAATCGCCACCCTTATCTGTCGCACCCTTCCTTTTTTTTCAAAATATATATATGTATTGATTGATCATGTCAAACACAGACACCCGAGAACAGACCGCACCTATCCTTCGTTTAAGAGACAAGACTCCAAACGAGCGGAACACAATCAGGGTCTCACCCCATCCGAGGGATGGGCCGTGGATGCGAGACCCACGCGGTCTGAAAAATGAGCTAAGGGTCAAGTCAACTGACAAAAGTCCTGTGGTAGGAGTCACCATGGACGAATTCCGAGCTTCCTTCAAAGTGGAACGAGAACGGTCACTCAGAATCGCCAAGGAACTCAAAGCAGAGAAGAGGCTCGGCGAGATGGAACTCCAATTTTGCGTTACGATGTGGCGATCAGTTGATATGATGCGCACGGACGGCTGGACAGAGGATCAGATCGAAGAGGCCTTAGAAAAATACTATATGGGTGCTCAGCAGTACGTAGCCCTTTCCTAACCAAGTTGCTATCATGCAGTCGAACCTTGTTATTATTGCGACGCTAACTCCACAAAGTTACCTCACGCCCAACAATGTCGCAACCCCCAGGATGATTGAGCAGTTTGGTGCCGACTGGGGATTGAACGCCCGAGGCATTTACTACCGACATTTTTATTCTCCCGGGTGGGTCTCGTCCGATCAAGAACTCTGGCTACCGTCACTTGGTGGCATTGATTGGAATCATTTCAGCGAGTCCAGTCGACGCTCTAGAGCAGAAATTCTCCTCAAGCATGTTCTCAACAATGAACGATGGAGGAAGAGCGAATATGCATGGGAAGCCGACGCCTGGACGGATGTTTTCGGTCAGATGAGGAATGACCCAGTTCTGGCCGTGTCAGTTTCTCCCTATTGCTGTAGCCCCAGCATCTGATCTAACGAGCCCAGAGATAAGCACGAATACAACACCGTTAAGCTGAAGAGAGACCCGGTGTCATGTTTGTTAGTGGGTGAGCCCAAGTTCATCAAGAGAATTCCAGATGCAACTTTCGGGCTCGCAACCTTCAAACCGAAAGACTACCAGAATGTTTTAGCAGAATGGGATTTGGACCATGACCGCCTTGAAGCACTCCTACTTCATCGACATTGTGGCCTTATTTCTGATCCGCGCTGGGGCTACGCAGATCTTGCATTCCCTTTCGCTGTCTATGAGGCTAAGGGATGGGGCGGCGATGCTCGAGAAGCACGTCGACAGGGATGTTCAGCAGGAGCTGTATATCTCGATATGCTAGATAGTCTTGCGCGGCAGCCAGGAAAAATTGGAGAAAAGAACAGAGTTTATCAGTCGGCAAAGAGCCACAGCAACAATCAAGTCTTCGTCTTTACCTCATTTGGAGCCCACTGGCATATCCTGGTTGGCTACAAACGACCGCGGCATGAAAGGGAGTATGCCGGACATGAAGGATTCAGCGAGTCCGTTTATGTAAGTCTGTCCAAGAATGAGCTTCAGTGGCGATTTTACCTGACCTTGGAGTCATAGGTTTTCCAGAGAATCTGGAGCGGTCGTGTTGTGACTATACGGAAAGCCTGGGAACTCCTGTCGCTAGTTGATCAGATACACCTTTGGGGAGCAACCGATTTCCGAAATTCCATTATCCAATATCTGAAACAATGGCATGAATTTGGGAGGAGATCATATGCCAATGATGTTGATTTTTTGGTCTCAAAGCTCAAAACAGACAGAGTCACGCGAGATGGGAAAGAGTATCTTTGCATACCCACGGCTTGCCTACAACTTCCAGACTGGGCCAACCATCTCTCGGAGGAAATTCGTGGCAAGTTACTTGAAAAAGTTTGGTTCCACTTCCGCGAAGCCTACCAAAGAGACCTTTCGTCTCTGAGTGTTCAATGGCCTTCTGTTTTTAGATGCTTATTCGAAGACTGTGGTCCACCGGGCACTCCAGGATATCCCATTCTGACCAAGGAAGAGATGGTAGCGCACTATCGCGAGATCCACGGGAAAGACGATGAAACAATAGCTGACCTCGAGCGCTTTTGGGGCGAAACAGAAGCGATTGACAACAATAACAATTCACTGCATGTAAGAAAAAGAAAGAGATCACGGAGTGGAGAACCTGGACCATGCAAGAAACGGTCATGATATCTGCTATGTGACTGTGGATGCAAAGATATCAGTGTAAGGCAGGACAAATTCTTATGCACTGAATAAGATTATATAATACGAATTAACTATAACTAACTGATTTACGATAGTCAATGACACAGGAGGAGGCAGCATGTTTGATGTCTAGGCAAAGATGGCAAAGATGTGCTTCAGATTGAGTGTAAAAGAGTGGTGCTAGAAGACATACTGTTGTTTCAAGTGCCCAGCTAGTAGGGGCTATAAGAGATGCGTCAGGCTTTCTGGGATTTTTCTATTGCAGTGGTGCTACTACGGTGGTGATATGATCCCTCCTCCCCAGCATTCTACTTATTGAATTGGCATTGAGGGGGAGAAACAGCCGACATATACATCTATAGCCTGAGATATTCGTCCAGGTCCCGTTCATGGGCGCCATTGTGCTCCTTCATCAAAATGCGGCTTCTTGGTAGTTAATTATAAAATATTCAGGTACCTAAAAGGTTCACCTGAAGGCGCTGGAACGTGGCAGGCAAAGCAGCAGAGACAGGCACTGGTGAGTATGAGCACGAACATTACATGCTGGTATATGTTTTTCCTGTTCCTTTTTGGCTTCAATTCTTGACGTGTTTGACTTTGTTTTGACCCATGCTTAATATAAACATTATATCTCTGCATCCTTCGTATGACACCAACACAGCCACACTAGTGTAGTGTGGGTTAATAGGCAGAAATAAAGAAGTAAGCCCTCACTAATTAATCCTAGGTGATCTCCGAATGTAAGGACATGAATCATTAGGGACTCTTTAAATCTAGTGTGGAAGAATAATGGTTTATGGATGCAATAATGGAGATGTCTTTAATAAATAGATTATCACTGACCTGCGGGAGGTCAGCATCCTAGAGACATAAATAGTGACAGTGCGTCACATGGGCTCATGTGCACCCCTTCATGAAGGGAGACTGGATAAAGGGCATTTGCAGATTGGATCGGCTAGTCTAAGGACCTTAGTCCAATCTTCTGCCAGATCTAACCTCTTTACTTGTTTAAAACTTGAACCCAATAATGGGAGGGCGGCGATACTCCCTATCCCAGTCAAACCTGTCCCCCATATTAACAAAACTGTTTATGACAGCTTGATCATAGAACATTTTCATCCATCCAACGTCCCTGAGAGTAGATCCCTCAATCGGATCGTAAAAATCCTCATCAGGTGGGGAATCGTACGCTGCTAATTCGTCCTCAGTTAAAACTTCCGGCTCCCACTGCCCATTGACAAGAATAACATAACCAGAGTCATTGATGTCCTCTGGGGGTGGAGCATTCAGAACTGACTGCAACGCCTCCTCATTAACCATGAGGCAGAACTTATACCTCCCTGAACTTTTGAACACCGCTTCCTCAGATGGGATTCCCTGTTCCTCCTGTGGCGCAGTGGACACCCATTTTTGGAAATGCTCCCAGATCACTGAGGCACTGGCATTGTCGAAACGCGGTTGATCTTCAAGGACAGTTGGTGCGAAGCTTTCGAGCATATCCAAGCCATTATAGAATTTTAGTTTCCTCTCAGCTTGGGAAAGAAAGCGATGCATAAATGCCTCCCAGTCAGAGTCACGCTTATAGGTGCACGGTATATGCCAAACCCCCAGGTCCGAAACCCATCTTCTTGAAGCATCCTCTCAAATGCGATCCGCAGCATTCAGCTGTGGGCACATGATGGGGGTTCGTTTCGATGGGGCTAGAATCGGATTTTCCCATGGCTGGGCTCTTCGATCGTCTGTGGAGGTGAGAGGAAGTCTGGTCGTAAAAACCCGGATAGAGTGTGAAGAGCGCAGGGCGGGTGAATCTGGCCCGAAAGTGGAAAGTCTCAGTGAACGGGCAGTGCTAAATAATGGTAGTTGTAAAAGTTTCTTAGCATAATGCGAAGGGCGCATCATCAAGCGAATGCTAACACTGAAATTTGTGTTTCAGAATGCCATCAAGGACGCTGCGGAAAGGAAATGGTTTCTCAGGAAACAGGATTGTCTGAGGTATTTATAGTAGGACCGGCGATTAGTGCTTGTCTCATGTCACGCCGGAAGTGACCAGCTATTTTCGGTAATTAGAGTTGTAAGTTGCCCTGAAAGATAATCTGAAGGGTCAGGGGAATTGACATGTGTGATGGATGTACTCCCGGAGATTTACTGTTTCTGAATATTTCCGCAGCCCGGACGCGGAGGTCCGCTGAAACCGTGTTCTACAGGGCATGTATAGGCAAGTCAGCTACATTGAAGAAGATACGTCGACGGATGGCTCAAATTGGGTGGAGTGCATGGAGCGACGACTATTTCAATGGCATGGAGGATGTTGCGGGAACGCACTCTCAACGGCAATGCATCCATTTATCCAGGCCCGCATCGATGGCAGGCACTTGTAGATTTATGATATGATGTCTTAGGTAGATGAGTTGAGTGACCTTGAAGATCAAATCACAAAATGAAGGTGCCAGTCTCCTACCATATGAAGTACCCGGACCCTTCTAACGGGGAGGGCCCTAGCGGATCTTGAGGTAGTTCAGAGATTGAGATTTACAAAACGAGGGGTCTGTAACGTTGGCCCGTTTGGATAGTCTACGAATATTTCCACAAACAATATATGTGCTCGGCCAAAAATGTTGCTCCATATCCGCAAAGCAATTTTCGATTCTACATTCAGAAGTGTAAGTACCACTATTTCAGTGTGTCTCACCGCGGGCATGAAAAATATACCAAGAATTTTAGGTTGAAAGATGCTTATATTGTGGCTCTATCATATTGAAACACAGGAATTAGAAGACCTTTTCTAGATGCAGCTCAGTTGCTTCCACGTTATAATAAGGTTTGTCTAGTGCCATGAATGGGTTCCGTGTAGACTTCCTGCTAGGCTCGTGAAGAAAGATCCGAGTCTTCCGTCATACCATGACAATTGTATTGCAGCCAGGTACAGCGCTGCTCGGATCACCTGAAGTGAATGCATTGTTCCTTGCCTACCTGCAGAAGTGAACGTGCTGGAACTCTAAGTAGTAAAAAAGTATGTTCACCGCTACTCTACCTCTTCCTTTTATCTACCAGCAAGTTCCCTACAAGGAACTCCCCCTTCTTCAAGTTTTTCATCATCGAACAGCAGAAAAGGTCCGATTTCGTTCTCGACAAAACCCTCACTGAACCTACTACAGTCCACTGAACCTACTACAGTCCACTGAACCTACTACAGTCCACTGAACCTACTACAGTCACGAACCATGTCTGACTCCAATCCCACCGAGACACGCAAATGCCAGAGCTGCAAAAAGGAAGAATCCGAAAGTGCTCCCTTGAGGAACTGCTCCCGCTGCAAATCGGCCGTCTACTGCTCCCGCGATTGCCAGAAAGCCGACTGGAAAACTCACAAGAAAGTCTGCGCCAGCAATGCTCAGGCAAACACAGGCTCCGGCAGCCTGTCCGCAACTGACGCCAACGCCACCCAATCCACCAAAGCCTTAGAGGTCGACTTCCTGAAGCCTTTTCATCGCCTCCACGCCAAGACTTGGCTCCATGACCGCACCGAAAAGGATACCTACAAGTTACTAATCGACACCTACCGTCTCCGGCTAGACGACGACTACACATTCACAGGGGATATTCATGCGGACAGCATCTATGGCGGGGCGACTGATGGCGGACGCGCTGGTTTCCGCCGGTTCCTGAAGCGCGTTGAACGCAAACCCGATCTCCTTCCGAGGTGGTGGACCCCAGCCAACGCGGAGGAATGCATCCGGTACGGCGCGGATTCCGCAAACTGGAGCCATCTTGGATATGCGGTGGAGAAGCACGACGTTGTTGAGCATTATGGAAACAATTTGATGCCGATGCAGCTGCGCATGTTTGGCGAGCAGGTGCTTGGAACTGGACCAGGTGGGCAGAAAGGGGCTGCTATGATGAAAATGCAAATGGACGTCGAGGGTGGAAGCGGCGTTGTCTCTCATTTGGACTTCAGCAACCTTTTAAGAAATTGATTGGACGTCGTAGCTGTGGCCGGGGGTTCCTCAATTAGTAGGTGTTTGCAGACACTTACTTCGACGGCCTCCAACCGATGAATGTTCATTGACACGACGAATCTGTTTGTTGTTTTCCTTCCCTGACTGTGCTACTCGCGATCAGAATGCTGATGCGGAATCCATATCACATTTCTGAGCACTTACGGAAAAATGGCGTTGAGATATTGGAATCTAAAAATAGTGCCAGCCGCTTATTGGTGACGAGTGAATCTAAGTCACTGTCTGGGTGGAGAAAAAGAGTAGCAGACAAAAAGAAAATATAGGGGTTGGGGTTAAAAACCAAAAAAATTGACCTACGCAGGATTCGAACCTGCAATCTCTTGATCCGTAGTCAAGCGCCTTACCATTGGGCCAGCAGGCCTTATTGGAGGCAAGTCTCTCTATTTTGCTACATGTCCCAAAATAAGAGCTGTGCACCCTTAATGACCTCTGTTCAGAGTCTTTTCTACGTACTTAGTCTTCATTAACATGCACATGCTTTTGTTCATTTAAATGGCAGTCTCTTCAGTTCTTGGTTTCGTCATTCTGGTTCTCACCCGTGATTTTCAGTTTGCCTGACTATGAAGATCAGTAAACCATGGTCCGGTGAAAAATTATATATATCTCCACACCTAAAGCCACAGAAAAGATCAAGGTCAATAAAACATGACATGCCATTCCGAATAAAGCATATACTGGCAAATTAGCCTGGCGCTACAAATAACACGGGGAGAGGGCTCACTCTATCAAGTAATTCGAGAGATCTAAAGTTTCTGCGGTCGGTACCGATCAAAGGTCGAATAGGACCTGGCGCAGCTTCCCAAAAGTAAAACCTATAAAACAAACTTTCCGGTGGCCGTGGAGGGTTTGATGCTACTCCTAATTTTAAACTGGTTACACAGCATGACTATTTAGTTAGAATAGCAGTAGTCAAGTAGGACATATCACAGCTCATCTGCATATTCCGGGACATGTGTGCGACCCGAGTCTACAGATTGCGGCCCTATCTTTACAGCCATTGGCCTTTCCGACAACTGCTCGAAGCTTCAGTTGCAGTCTGGTTATCCCACGGTTTTGGCTTACATGCGCGATTGAAGGCAGCTGAAATTTGTTAAGTAGGCCACCGCGTCTCCGTTTCAATCTGATCGCCTAAAGGTGGTCAGAAAAGCGATTGGTTGCGGTGCCTCGCTTGAATAACGCAACAATCGTGCAGCCTCCTGGCCGCGCCATCCCATCCCTCCAGACTCGGACAATTACGCAATAGTATGACGGGAGGGATCAAAGGCYCTTTGAAGAGCGAGACTTTGAGATTGTCAACGGTAAATTGCTCTCATAGAAGTGAGTTCTCCTCACCTCTAATTGGAAGAGCCGGTTCAAGAAGGGCGGTTCAAGAAGGGCGTAGGTGCTAATGCATTTTGACATGGCAGGAACATTGAAAACGAAACCAGTGAAGGGATGAAAAAATCTTACAGGAAAGCCGGAGGCGGCGAGTATGGAAAATAAAAAATCTCATATTGTATCATGCCTCTGCGTGGTAAAGTGCTTGAAGCAACAGAAGCTGACTCAAGTAACCACCATGGTCTCTATCTTCAAACAAAGATCCTCCAAATCTAAAGTCTGGTAGTTCGGCCACTGGTTATAACGTCGTTGGGGTGCAATGAAAGGATTGCGGAGATGGTGTGGTCTCATAAGGTAGCAGCTGACACAAGAACCTATGGACGTCCATCAGTTCGCGACATTCGCCATAGTACAATTGATGCCCTATGGTAGCCGGCAATGCAGGGTCGCAACAAGCCTGGGGCTCCGATAGCCTCTCACGTCAATTTGAGATACTCGTGCGAAGAATCTGTTACCCTCAAGGTGAAATAGCTGCACTGGAGATTAAACTTGGTCATATTATCGACGAGGATATGGCTATGAGACGAGATCAGAGAGACGTATCTTCTCCGTGTGGTATCTGAAAACTCGCTGATGACTCCATGACAGGTAACCAGGACAGCAGCTGAGCACGAAGTCCCGCGAGCTTTTCCATATGTACGGTGAGCCATCTCGGATCTTCGGATATTGAGATTGCGTAGAGGCAACACCTCACTCTCGTATATACTAATGACCTCTTATAATAAGCACACATCCATTCCCTCGAATCTCTGTGCGAAATAGACACAGGCATCTGTCGAGAATGGCTCGCCAGAGTGATCGAGAGGCAACATTGGTTGTAGGGATGCCTTACCAAATGGATCTAGGAGCGTAGAGAGTAAGAAGGATTTCGTTGCGTTGTCTGAAAGGGAAAGGGGAGGATCACTGCAGTCAATGGATGTACAGATAATTCACCCCCTGGCTTCAAGAGAAGAAAGCTCCGAGGAGAAAGGCACATATGCACCTCGGAGAATTGAATGGCCAAAAGCCAGCAACAAGAGTCGACAAAGTCCACACCTGGCGATACAGTGACCACAAAGTCAAAGTTCTTCAAGGTACGACCAACATCGACCAACAYCGGCGTCTCGGATGGGCTTCTCCCGGCCTCTACGGATGTCCTACTGAGCACAACTACTAGGCGGGCATTATCGCCACGTGCTAATTAGCCTTCCAGTCTGCGCTGGTATTTATACTAAAAGCATAGCTATAGGAACATTTGCTGCAGTTACAGCATAAGTACTGCCTTTAAGACGCCTTCTGAGACAAAAAAAAACAATAGCTCTCTTTGCGCAGTTTTGCAGCTGTCCAGGTAGCCACCGTTAGTGCGAAATGTCGTTGCACCTGAAAGTCGAAGATGGATGCGTTTCGTCGCCCAAAACCGCTAGCTCTCGTAAAGCCAGTATGATCAGCGACTACTCCGTACCATCTCGTTAAAGCTGCCTAGCACTTTTTCCTTTTGTGGCATATGCACCGGGCTGTGACGTGTAATACAAGCTAAGAGAGCATACCGCAGTATTTCCGGAGAGATCGTTAAAACAACTGACATAACCATTATGTAAATAATTAGATTAGAGATCTCTGACTCTAGAATGCTTCTAGTCAATATTTCCGGTTCCTCAACTGACGTTAAGATGAGGTCGAAGGGCTAAAATGTACACTATCGCTGGTGATCAGCGTGTAGTGTATTTAGTGGATGGATACGATCAGCCGAATGTCTCTCTCTCCGGGGCCGCCTCGGTAGAACATGGAACTCCACTGACCCCTATCTTTAGGGAGTGGCGGTGTAGCAACTGTGGCCTGGCAGTCAAGTTTAATATTAGACCTATCCCAGCACCAAGTCTATTCCACAGGTTTCACAGTGATCGATTTCTGGGGACGAGGAGACTTCTAGGCTATTTAATCGCGGCGCCGCTGAGTACGGAGTGTGCATTAGCCACTTAGGGCATCTCCCGGGACTCCCGTTTCAACCCCAAGGGATGTCTTTAAGGGCAATCAATTCCGTGGTCTCTGATTGGGTCTGATTCTCCTGTTGTGGGGAGCTGGGAGAAACATGTGGATTTACAGAATAGCAAGGTCCGCTACGTATTGCCACTACTACAGACGACATGCCATTACCTTGCGGGATACTGGTAGTTAAAATGGGAAAATGTCCTCAAGGTATAACAATCGTACTCTGTGTTTTGTCCTAGAATTTGGGATCGTATATCCGGATGAAACAGCAATAATAACAGACTATAATATGCTCATTATTACCTCCAGGACCAGAGGCCCACAGCACCAGATTGACCGAGATAATTTCCCCATATTTCAGGCAGTGGGCCCACCATTGAAGTCATCTGAAGAACCAAATATACCCATTGGTTAATGGAGCACGGAAGGTATGACCACATTTCCAGTGTGGCATAGGCTGCATGTCTTAGACAGTTGCTTGGCGGTGTTGGCGCAGTCACTGCCTTCGTATCCTCGTATCCTGGGCATGGAAACCCTCGGATATCGAGGATCTCCTTGAAGGTATAAAAGGCTCCATGCTACCCTTGTTCTTCTTGACATTCATCAACAACAACAAATCAATCACTCACAGTCCGTTCCGAACACTCTCAGATCTCAAACACTCTACAAACCACACAAAATGCAGATCAAGAGCTTCATCTTCGCCGCTTCGGCCGCTGCCACTGCCTCCGCCGCCTCTGCCCCTACCAACAAGTACTTTGGCGTCGTCGCCATCCACTCTGGCAGTGCTGTCCAGTACCAGCCCTTTAACGCTGCCAAGAGCAGCATCTTCGCTGGCCTCAACTCTCAGAATGCCAGCTGCGACCGTCCCGACGAGAAGAGCGCCACTTTCTACATCGCTGACGGCTCCCTGTACCTCTATGCCGCCTCTGCCACCCCCCAGGAGATCTTCGTCGACCGCTCCGGCATGGGTAAGTCATATCCACACACTCAAGCCATGGGAAAAAAGCAGACGCTGACAGGAACTCTACAGGCCAGGGTAAGATCGGCTACACCACCGGCGCTCAGCCCGGCCCTAGGAACTCCGAGCGCAACGGCTGGGCCATCAACGACCAGAACCATCTCCAGTTCGACGGCAAGGACCTGATCGCATGCCCCAACAGCATCGACGGTGCCTGGAGCATCTGGGCCGATGCTGGTGTTGCCAACCCCGCCGGCAACAAGGATTGCGTCGGCATCGCTGCTCGTGTCGAGGATGTTGCCAACCCTAACGGCTGTGTTTACACCCAGTAGATGAGAACGTGAGCTGGGTCTTGCGGTCTACCTATATACAGTCATTTAATTTGAGCGTTGCTTTTAATTTCTGTTATTGTTGCAGCTCTTAGTTGACCACAGTGCTATCCTGCGCTACATCACTCTTTTGCAGTATATATCACTATTCAAAATATAAAACAAGTTTTTGGTGCCCCAGCCAGAAGCACTTCTTTGAATCCCATTATTACATCTTTCTCTAGGGTGATAACATACTAAGGAGGGAGCAGTCCAATTGTAGGTTCTGCGGATCATATGTTATGCTTTAACACCAATCAGATATGGAAGCGCTACCACATGCGTCTTGCGCATAAATAGTACGCGTACCGGTGTTGGTCGGCATGTTTGATGCAGAGCCTGTCAGTATACTACAAAGTGTTGCAAATGGGTATAATCTCGGATCAGCCATCGTCTTCMATTAAGCAAAAGATCTATCAGCTATTTGCACAGTCGATAGTCACTGTGCATCCCCAATCAGTCTTCTTCCTTCACACTCAACAACACCATATCACGTCTGTCAGTAAGACCTGTTAACCCGCCACAGCGAATAACGCCTTTCATGGCTCTCAGACGTTCCAGGACCGCAAGGGCACCCGAAGGCCCCCTCGCACAGGGCTAGCAGCAAATTACAGCGCGCATGGGCAGCCAACAAGAATCCCAAACCCTACTTGGAAAGCATTTGGTCTGGTTCTGGAAAGCTGTCCACGCCATCGGGCGATCCGATGCCGGCCGCGCGCGAGGAGGCCCTTGGGCGCCCTTGCGGTAAGCAACAGATATCGAGTCACGTAAACTCGTATTCGCTTTGTTCACGCGCAGAGATAAATTCACACTGGCCATCCCAGGTTCAGGGCGGCCATGACGGCTCGGACAGCCTGGACATCCATCTCGCTATCGAGATAGACAGCGCCAAGAATAGCCTCCACGGTTTGAGCCATCACTCCGGGGGACACGCTGGCCTGAGACGGATTGATGAGAATGAGATTCTCCAGTCCAGCATTGGAGCCCATCTGTGCGAGATGGGGGTTGCTGCCCACCGACGAGACTATCTGGTTGATGTAGCCTGGTGATTCGGTCAGTGGTCCACCTCAGAACATTTGTGAGGAGTAACTAGCCTCGACCGGCTTTTGCTTCGTAGCCGTCCATCACGAGAATCAACTGCAGGACCGCATCGCCGATTTGCGCCAGGTCCTTATTGCCGTCGGGACGATATGCTCGTCCCGTTATGGCATGCGCGCCGGCGCTACGGAGAGCTTCGTAGAGGATTGCGCGATTGGTGAAGTCGTAATGAATAATATCCTCAACAGACTCAGCCCTTTTATCAAGCGACATGTGAGACATGGCCATGGTTGATGAATGGAAAATATAATGGTGTATTGGATGATGTGGATGGAATGGTGAGCTTTGAACAGAGAAGTAGGGGCACAGGAGATGGAAGATGAAGCAAGAGAAGATGGAAAAGAGAGGGGATTGGATGCCTATTTATCTACGCTTCTTCTATAGTCCTGTGTGATGTAAGAACTGCGGCAGACGCTGCGCCGCAATACCAGGCATACTCCAAGGCGTATCGCCTGCATCATGCAGGCGGTTATCAATTGGATATATTAGGCTATGGCTCTGTCAACCATAAACTCACTCCACTAAAAGGCGTCTAGACACGATCTCTGGCGTAATAAGAATAGTAGGTAGTGAACAAGCTCGATGGAATTGAGTTCTGCAATACGACCGCGGAACAAAAAGTCAGTCCATGTAGTACGCAGAAGAGCCAACCATTTTATAAGTCCCTCTGTAAATGGCCAGCCTCTTCTTGATTCTTGGTATATGATACGTCTGAATGATAGTCAGGCCTTAAGCAACCAGACTCTGTCCGCAGGCACCACAGTCGAAGTATGCGAGCGGGACCCGCCGCAGCAGAATGCTTCCATAGGTACACACTGACTCTCAGAAGTATCATTTTAAGGCAAGTCAGACAAGCTCAAGATATCTGGTACGGCTGACAGCTATTGATGTCAGTACTATTCGGCCGGCCGCAACTGAGGTACCACGGTCGTCTCTTGATGTATCGGTATAATGTCTTGGGCGCGCCCACTTGAATGGCTTCTTTCTTATTCTTTAGTTTAATCAATAGAAAATAACGTCATTTAAGTTCCTTTTCAGTGAATTCCTATCTAAATTGGCTACCACGGATATCACACATACCTAGTGGTGTGCTTGTCTAGCCAGTGCATGCGATTACACTGTAACGTGTGTAAGACGACAACCTTGCATACTGTCTACCAATCATGAATCCATCATCAACACTGCAGAGCCTCTCGCTTCATCGCAATCTGCTGGTTCACTCCTCAACACTTATTTTTAATGAGTTGAGGATTTATAAAGAAAAGAGAACTCGGATTCAAGTTAACAAGGACGCTCTCCGAAGTCCGACAGGTAACTCGTTGTTCATGGTGAACATCATGCTACATTCAGTTCAACCACTGACAGCAGCTCTGGTTAATTCACTCCAAATTGCCCCAGATACGGTACCTACTGTAGAAGCGTACCAAACAGGAAAGCTTTTTGTATTGTCACTGTGCATGTCCTCGCCGTCCGGCTCGGCACACTCTTCAAGATAGAAGAGAAAGTCGATGGGTTTCTTGAATTATATCAGGAAAAGCGCACTTTGTCACAGTACTCGATTCTCGGTCAGATTTGACCGCGGACGATGTATGGACATCGGTGACATATCACCTCGCAATTGTCAAGCTCTTTTACGCCAGTGAGCGACTGTGCACCAACGTATCTTGCTAAGAGGCTAAGAGACGTCTGAGTGATGCACCTTTGGCTTGAATGCAGCAGGCACAGTTTATGCGCGGTTTCTACCGGTTTCAGCTGTGCTACAACCCGTTCGGTGTTCGTACTCATGGCTTATTTCAGCAGGTGATATCATTTTCAAAATTTGTGGATCACCTGGGGTCTTTATCTCTTTATTTGAGCCATGGGAAGTCGAGGAGATGCTTATATCTACATCTTTGCAAGAGAAAAGTACAACAGGATCGTCGATGATACTGGGCTGAGATGTGCATCAAGAAATACTAGGTACGAAGGACAATGTCCGCCTACTCCCGAGGAGAAATTTGATCTGGACAATACCAGTTTGCATCTCTTCGTATATTTCCAACGAGGACAAGTTATCTTAAATATAGGCACAAGGAGCGGTTCTCTTAAAGGAACAATTTCTCGGGCCCTCGAGCTGCTTTCACGGCTTCTTTCAGGATTCGAGACCATGATCGACTGGTCTCGACCACGCGAGAGCATATTGTACCTGCCATTAGGTCCGGGGACGAAACACTAAATAAGGTAGCACAGTGTGATTTAGAGCACAACTGGCGCGATCCGTAATCCTTCCGGAGAAATCACGGTTTGGAAGCCACCGCTGGCCTAGACTTTAGTATCAGGGCTATCTCTGGACGTCTCTCTGGACGTCTCTCCAACGAGGAACATAGGGCGCCCGAGCCGCGCTCGAATTGATGGATCTCCCGCCCTCGAGCCTAAAATTTCCAGCATTCCATGAGGCTTGGGGCTGGACGTTCACCGTAAGATTTGACATTACTGAGTTAATGGATTCTAATGATGGAGGTACATTTAAGAGGGCGGCCTAAATTTAGATCCCATTAAATGGCAGTGCTCATTATCCGTGTTTATGGTAATGCAGAGAAGACAAAAACACTAAAGATCATTATTTGGCGCGTAGAACTGCCTGCTCGAAGTTGTCATAGTACCTTAGCCCTCAGGGATCTGAGAATCAAGAGCTTCCCAGATGGCTATTACCAATAACGTACAACAATTGACTGCAACATAGTAGCCTAAAATTGCACACTTAAGCGTTGCTTTTTGCGAGTCACCGACATGGAAAATAAGCAACTATGATCAAAAGTTTCAACCATCTAGTCCGTAAAGAGTCCAATCCAACTGGAGTATAATCATCCATCTTTGCAGACCAAGGAGGCGGACTGCAAATTCACCACCTTACCACCATCCAACCATGACCAAGTGTGCTGTGCATTTAGTGTCACATCTACATCTGGTTGGAAAATTCTGCAGACAGTATTTTGCTGGAATGCTGTGAGCTGGGTGCTTGATGCAAAAACAACACCATCGCGTGCGACTGCTGTATTGCCCCAGAGTGATTCGACGGTATGTTCGACACCATCTGCTTCAACGGTCACATCTGCATTGGCACCGGACTGGTCATTGGCGAGTTGCACAGTCACGACGGGAGTGTCAGCGGAGATAAACGAGGTAAGAAAGGCTAGGACAAGTGCAATGTTGCTAGAGATCTTCATTTTTATTTGGATCTGTCAATCTATTTTCCTAAGCAGAAATTAGGGCTTGTTCTGAAGGATAGGACGGAACCTCCCTTCCCTTTTATAGCCCTATCGGTTGCAGGAAATATTTCCTGTGAGGTAATGCGTAGTCATAACGATTGATCGTTCACTATCTTAATTCATCGCGCATCAGGAGATCAAGGGGGCGCAGCGCAATGTCTTCTATGGACGTTCAACTGTAGATCTAAGTAGACTGGTCTAGACGGCCTAGGTCGAAACCATCTGGTTGTCATACAGTCCCCTACTGTTCTGCAATTGGAAGTCACCCCATACTCGTGCTCGCATACATTGCCTCCCAGTTAAGTTGAATTCCATTGTTTGCAATTTTAGAATAGTCATTGATATCATGGGGTTGATGTTCCATGGTTCCGAAATATCTCAGATCTCGAATTGAGTTCAGTAAGTGGTTCTCTTCCGTTTGCGGCAGGCGTTTTGAGGGGGACAATTTCGAGATAATCATCGTTGCATAAGACTATTATAGCTAACATAGTTGCACAGGCAGCGGCAATCAGCGACAGTTGGGTTGGATTCGGCCGGTGTTCCCTAATCTCTATGTCTACAAGAGTATGACTACTATATGGGGCCCTAGTATCCTGATATCTATAGAATATTGAGAACTGGCCCCACACCGCTGCTAGGCCTAGGTAAAGTGCAGTAAGCTTACTAAAAAGTATAGGGCAAATGAAAGGTGACTTCATTATCTAGTCATATTATTACCAAAGGCAGCCGGAGTACAGACCCTTCCACTTGTCTCTCACCCGATATGGTAATGTCAGTTGATTGTGGTAGTAACTGAAAGTTAATCTTCTGCTGTTTCTTCTGACAGCCTGAGCAATGAATGCCTAGGACGATAAGCTGTCACTTTCCGTGGCCTTGTTGTTTATTTGAAGTAAAAATATTCCGGCCCGACGGCCCAACGAACTAAATTATTGCCAATCATTCAATGTCATTTGCTCGCCTGAGGATTTGCTTCCTGATCATACTCCCTAACCATACTATCTGTCGACCAGAACTCTTAAGTCTTCTCTCGCCTGGCCCGCTGCAGCGCTAATGTCATACTTACTGTCAAGTAATCCAGCTTGCACAGTATGATCCTTCATCTTGCCATAATCGGAAGCTTGTACGGTTGCTAACTGCCTCGACTGAGTAATCAACAGTTGTGCTTGGGAAAAATAGCATTGAACCACGGTATCTTCTTCTCTGAACATTTCAAGATACACACCTCAACCAGTCTAGTCAAAGCGTCGTTATAGTAATTATGAGATAATGCCATATTTTAGATCCAAGATATAAAGAAAGGTAGTCGCCCCTTAAGTTTACATAAAATATCTTTCAGTCCTTGAGTCCACAATTTTCTACCTCACGAATCTGCCTCTGGTAGCTGTACCGGACTGCTGGCACATGATTATATCTCCTTTCACTTTCTACTTCATCAAGGAAGTAAGGAAGCATGGATGGTTTTTCCTCTATTCTCAGTTTTACAGCCACCACGGGCAAGGAGGCGCTTCATATCCTTAATTGCTGGCTCGATTCCAGAGAAACTGCGCAAACTTGGTACGGCACTKAAAGAAAAGCATTTGTTGAAGATAACCTACATACCCTTATGCGGGCAAAGTTTATGAGTCCTCAAATAAAAGCAGTATTTACCATCCAGAGAGAAGACTGGCATGTGGTCATAAAAGAATCTCTGCCAGTCGCGCATACTTGGTACCGTCGGAGAAAAGAAGAGAAAGGTGAATGTTCCTGGCTACCCTTGTTTAAGGCTTGTAGGCAGCCGCTTGGTGAAGAGCGGGTATGCTCAGGAATTGATACGGCATTCACTGCTCTTGGAATTGTATCTGGCGTACCTGCAGCGCGGCTAGACCTTTGGGGTCTAGTGGTAATGGCTTATTCAAACGGCGCCTGCAGCCAGCTGACAACGTCTGTTGATGGAGGTTACCGAGCAACTTTGCTGGCAAAGAACTTTATTCTCACTGTCAGTCAAGCAAGTGTTGATGCCGCAGTGATTGGGCATTTGGAACCTAGGGAACATCCAGCCGAAGACCGTGAACCTCTGGGGGTCGATGAAACAAGGTACCTGTTAGATCACGGCCATTCATTCAGCACTAAAGATGCCACAATTGGCTGGGCTTTATATGGAGCTTATGACTCTGAGCCCCCTGCCCAACTAGCTGACGGCCAATGGGATGAAAAGCTCAGCCAGACTGTTCTTGACGAATTCCAAACACGCAATCTCAAGCTTAGCCTTCGAGACGAAATAAAGGCCTACCGAAAACAGTGGGTGAGCTTTATAGCTACCGGAGAACGAGACTTTAAAGGTCTAGCTCTCAGGGACATCGCCGCAGAGCTTTCCAAGCTGGAAGGCCATTTCCATCAAGCTGAAAAGCAACAAGTCAAGAGAAAGTCAACAGATTTGGGGCTAGACTCAGAACTTATCGCCGAAGAAGACATTAATCACAGAGAGTTCATTCATCGGACCGAGCATAAATTTCCACAACAATGGAAGGAAAGAATTAAGCGAGTCGGCGAATTTGTTGACATGCAGCTTTGGCGTTTAAAGTTGCTTTTCTTTGACGACGTCAAATTGGTCAACAATCAAAACGCGGGTGATGCTCTCGATATCTTTAAAGAAGAGGGGGAAATGATGGAAGCATTTGCTCTTCACTATGATCTAGATCCTGGAATAGAACATAGCGACGCCGGTTTTGCCGCTGCCAAAGCTTTGGACACGCTATTGAGATACCATCATCGGGTTATGGCAAAGGCAAGGATGCTGTACTTTTGCGAACAAATTGATCGGAGACTTAGTGCAAGGAACACAGGTTGGAATATACTGCTGGCTTGAATGTTTACAGATGGATGTACTTACCTTGTGGATTGATTCTCTCTTTAGTCCTCTCTTCCTAAGATGCTATAATGCCCTTTTGATCAGGTGTAATTCCAGCAGGTCTTGACTAGGGGTAATAAATGCCCATTGGCGTTCCTTGACTGAATAGATGATGAAGGAATTCAGTCCCTTTATGTAAATCAAGTTTACATGACAAACCAGGAATATGTGAGGCTTGTAGGTTTACCAGTATATTATTACCAGCTTACAAACTCTGACAATAAAGATGAAGTAGGCAGAGTGAATTATGATCAACCATGACACTTAAAGACCTAGTCCACCAGTTGAGAGAAACGACATGGATGATCTGTAGTTTAGGGTAATAATATGTACCCCCACACCGACCAGTGACCACAATGGCATCTATGTCACATGAGTCTATTGCACTGGTGTTTACCACACCAGCACACCAGCTCATACGAAAAACAGATTGTGTAAGGAATCATGAACCCAAGCAGTACTGAATGCGCTAGTCGACTTGGATATGGGCAGGAAGTTGATATGCTGTCGGGCTTACAGCTCGGTACTCAATCAATGGCTCTGCTGGCTGAACTGAAGTATGGCCTTGGCATTTATTTGAGCCTTGAATAAGAGGGAATAAAGAGTAGGGACCCTAGCATTGGATTTGGTGTTGATCAGAGCACTAGGATTGAGCATGATGAAAGAAAGGGACTTGGAAGTAGGCTTTTCCACATTGTCCATTGTATACTCCGTTGAAACACTCTCTCCCAATGAGTGCAACTTTCCTAGGATACTATTAGAGTCATATAGAAAGATAAGTGCAAAGAGGCATTTCTGCCGGCCTCAGCAGGAAAACAGAAAAATCACATGACATTAACTGTATGAACCAATGGCACAATAGGAATTGAAAGCATTATTTGCCAAGATTGTGTCACGTGGAGTTGTGCCTGTTGATTCTTTGCCCGCGGGTAAGAACTACTCCGGCACCAGAGCGCGGCTCTTAAAGAATATCCGAACCCGTTCCCAGCTGGGTTGAGGTTAGTAAGCTGATTAGCAGGCATCGCCCCCGCGCTGGCTGGCCTTCCCTAACCGATCGCCGGCGCGGAGAGCCGTGTGTCTGCCTGCCCTCTCAGGCCAGCAGAGGAGACAGAGATGCATATCTACCAAACGTCCCAGTTGACCCGGCTGATCAATTCTTAGGATCCGCTGGCGACCGCCGGTCGGTCCTTAGATTTGACCGTGGCCAGAATGGTGGAGTCATGCAATCGAAACTTGTTCGTAAATCTCTCGGCATGTAGCTACCGTGCCTGCGATTTATCTGACCCCCGACGCAAGGCGGGGCCCCTCATAAACCCATGGGCTAGGAGCCGACCGTATTTGCCGTCGCCATCTGACATCCCTCAATATCCAGACTCATCATGCCGATTAAAACGTTTATAAGAGCTTTGATGCTTTTCTTAAAATTTTCAGCAATCATCCTCCATCGATAATTTCCTCCTTCCGTGCAACTTCTCCAGTCCTGTCATTTCGACTCATCTTTATACATACAAATACACAATGTCGCCTAAGCGCCAATTCGACCCCAACTTCACGCCCTATGTCATCAACTCTATGGGACCTAGGACCCCCGAGCGCGCCCGCGTCGTCTTGGGATCTCTGATCAAGCACATCMACGACTTTGCTCGTGAGGTCGAGCTAACTCCCGCCGAATGGATGCTCGGTGTCGAGTTCATCAACTCTATCGGCAAGATTAGCACTCCTGTGCGCAACGAGTGTCACCGCATTTGCGATGTTATCGGCCTTGAATCGTGAGTACAGCGACGCAACAATCAAAAATTAAAGATCAATGCTGACTGAGTCAATCAGTCTTGTCGATGAGATCGCCAACAAGATCGTCACTGACGAGGGTCTGACTCCCACCTCCAACGTCATTCTTGGCCCCTTCTGGTCGCCCAACGCTCCCTTCCGCAATCTCGGCGACAGCATCATCCAGGACCCCAATCCCAACGGCAAGGTCACCTTCATGCACGGTGTCCTGACAGACATGGAGACCGGAAAGCCCGTCGTCGGCGCTGTCCTCGACATCTGGCAAGCCTCCGCCAACGGACAGTACGACTTCCAAGACCCCAACCAGAGCGAGAACAACCTCCGCGGCAAGTTCAGATCGAACGAAAAGGGCGAGTTCTACTGGTACTGCTACCACCCTACTCCTTACTCTCTGCCCACCGACGGTCCGGCCGGTGTGCTCCTCAATCTCATGGATCGCTCTCCCATGCGCCCCGCCCACATTCACCTCATGATTACCCACCCCGACTACGCCACCATCATCAACCAGATCTACCCCAGTGACGACCCGCATCTCGACATCGACTCGGTCTTTGCTGTCAAGGATGACCTTGTCGTTGATTTCAAACCCAAGACCGACGACCCCAAGGCCGAACTCGACCTCGAGTACAACGTCAAGATGGCCCTGAAGAAGCACCACCCCAACCCCAACGCTGCGCCCCCTGTTTCGTCCTTCGAGCGCTACAACAAAGGCCAGAAGCTCTGAGGAGGTGTTTGAATGTTTGATGCATCTTTTCAATTTCTCTACTGTAGAAAACAGGGTGGCGCCGGCATCGCCAGAGCAATCCGACTTCCCCTAGACGGTGTGGTCTGAACTCTTGTTTTCCATCTGTACATATTATTGTTTGATACTCCTGTTCGCATGATTCCTAGGTGTTGAGTTATTAGCATAACCAGCGATTATTACAGCTAAATAGAGTCTTTTTCATTTCATTTGGACCTCGATTTATCTCGTCCTCCTCTATTTATTTGTGACCAGTATCGCCGCGTTGCTACCACGGGACAGACGCACGCCTGTGTAGCGATGCCTGGGGCAACACACCATGTTGATTGCTGCCTCAGGCAGAACACCGACCTGAGGTGACAGCTTGGCATGAGCTGTCCTTATGTTCTGCTCACCGACCTTTACACCCTTTGTTTATTAATTCAATTTGATCAAAATCGACATAGTCTATCTGCCAGATCTCCATAACACTAAAGTCGAATCTCTATCTCCATCTAGGATGTCGACTACTTCCCCATCCGACGCCCTGCGCTTCCACCTGGCATATAAACCGCAGCCCCTCAAATTTGGCACTAGTGGTCGGAGGGGCAAAGTGGTTGACTTGACGCAGCTGGAGATCTACACAAATGTTCTGGCAGAGATTCGCTATTTGCAGTCATTGAAGCTCTCAGAAGGAGGCATTCGCAAGGGCGATGACTTCTATTTCGCACACGATCTCCGACCCAGCTCCACTGGCTATGTAGAGAACAACCGCGGTGGTCTTTGTCAAGCGGTCGTGCAAGCCTTGAAAGATGGAGGCATGCACCCTATCAATCTTGGGGCTATTCCAACGCCTGCACTCACCTTTTTTGCTCTTCAAAAGGGCAAAGGAAGTATCATGGTAACAGGGAGCCACATCCCGTTTGATCGCAACGGCTACAAGCTCAATACCTCCAAAGGAGAACTCCTCAAAAAGGACGAACAGCCCATCAACGATGTCGTCGAGGTTGTGCGCGAAGAGCTCCTCTCTCAGGCCTTTGCCGATTCTCTGTTCAATGAACAAGGCATGCTTCGCGAATCCCCATCAGGCCTTCCTCCTGTTGCGCCCGAGGGTAGAGCTGCCTATATCCAGCGCTACCTTGACTTCTTCCGAGGCGAATCTCTCAAGGGCATGAAGATACTCGTGTACCAGCATTCGGCCGTCGGTCGTGATGTTGTGGTTGAGATTTTGGAGAAGCTTGGTGCGGAGGCTATTCCAGCCGGTCGCAGCGAGACCTTTGTACCCATAGATACCGAAGCCATCGACGAGGCGCAACTCAACACCGTCCAGAGCTTGTACGATAGTACAGGTCAGACATTCAACGCGGTCGTCTCGACGGACGGAGACAGCGATCGCCCACTCCTCCTCGCCCCCGAAGGCAACAGACTCCGTTTCTTCGGCGGCGACCTGCTAGGCATGATCGTCGCGGACTTCCTGCAAGCCGACTCCGTCGTGGTCCCAATCAGCACCAACGACGCCATCGACCGCGGCCCGCTGGCCGGCGCTCTCGAGCCGAAAACAAAGATCGGCAGTCCGTACGTGATCGCAGGGATGCAGAGCGCCGTGGCCAAAGACCGCCAGCGTGTCTGTGGATGGGAAGCCAACGGAGGCTTTCTGACGGGCTCGGACATCGAGCGCGACGGCAAGGGGCTCCCCGCGCTCCCGACGCGCGACGCGGTGCTGCCTCTCCTCTGTGCCCTGTTTGCAGCGCAAAGCCGGCAAATGGCCCTGCCTGCGCTTTTCACTACCCTGCCCAAACGATTCAGCCGTGCTGCGTTGATCCGCAATTTCCCCCGTGCCACGAGTATGAAAATCATCGACCGCTTCTCACTCCGTGAGGGTGAAGCGCAGAATGCGGAAGAGCAGTCCCACCGGATTCGCGAAGAGCTGGAAGGGATTTTCTCTGTTCGACATGGGTTTTCTTCAATCTCCCGGATCGATTACACGGATGGAGTTCGGATCATTTTCCAGAATGGAGATGTCGCTCATTTCCGTCCTTCGGGAAATGCGGATGAACTTCGAATCTATGCCGTGGCGGACACGCAGGAGCGTGCTGACCAGATCGCGGCTGAGGGAGTGGCTGAACCGGAGGGTCTATTACGGAAGCTGGAGCGGTTGGTTCAGGCATCTTAGCGGCATCTCCTCGTTGCGTTGTTGGGTACTTGCAATATATGGTCATTGATTGTCGTAAATACAATTAGACAGATATGGCAGATTTTCATCTGGACGGACCGTACGTCGTGAATAGTAGTAGATGACAACTCCTGGAGAGTCCGACAGGGCGTTCTTTGCTTGAGCTTTAGCTCATCCTGAATCGGAACTTTCCCACCACTACAACCTGTAAAAGTTTAGAAACACACACATTCGTACGCAGTCATCGGGGATGAAAATGCAATTACTGTTGATGAGCCTATGGCTACAGTTCTCTGGACTCAGAAAAATCTCATTTATATCCTTATAGCTTGTTTACGAATGGACAAGCTAGATTGATCGGAAGACCATAAACCATAGAGGTGAGGTAGCGTTAGAAGTCTCAATGGAGAAGCTAACGATGTCCTCCAGGCACGAAGGTCCAAGTCCCCTACAGCGGCAAAATAGTAGCATTCGATAGACAGAGGCTAATTACGACAATAACCTCACTCCCTGCCAGAAGGAGCCGGCACAGATCATGCATGCCTTCGCATGCCAAGACTACATCTACGGTATCGCTCAATATGACAGTCCTTATCAAGCGGAGTTATTACTCCTCTAGCAGACCTGAGACCAAATATATATACCAACCCCCACACCAGGGAGAGAACAGCACGAGACACCACAGAATCCAGCCATTCGATCACACTACACCATGTCGCCGAGCCCTCCATCTTCCTATTCGAGCACATCCGCAAGGCCTCCACCTCGGTTCATTGAGCTCCGTCCAAAGGGAGGTTAGTAATTGGACTCAACAACGACGGGACAATTCCGACATTGGCCTTGGCAATTCATGGAGAATGGACTGACCCATATTCTACAGAGGGTGTGTTGATCACGTTCCCCGAGCGTGCATCTGGCCAGGTCGATTCCAGACGCAAACGACACGCTATCTCGCAGAAGAACCAGCGAGATCGGTTAAAGGCGGCGCTAGAGCAGATGGCTCGGGTGCTACACGCTGGTGGCGTTGGTTCTGGCCCCAGGGGGTCGACTGGGACGAAGGTACGTGTGCTCTGAACTCCTGCAGGGGTTGTTTTTCTTGGGTTTAGTCTGCTGAGGCCGGGGGTTATGCGGTGGTTGCTGACTGCATCCGCTCTACTTGCAGGTTGAGCTGATTGAGACTGCGGTGGAATATATTCAAAGTCTTGAGAAGGAGGTGAAGACGTTGAGGAGCTCAGTGAAAGAGGTGCCTCCGTCTGATGAGGGAGGTGAATGCTCCAACTGAATAATCCTTCTTCCTCGTTTAGTGGAGTTTCATGAATTGAACGGTTTGTGGAGCTGGTAAACCTCCAAGGTCCAACTTCCAAGACATTTTAGAGAATAGCAGATGCATATGGACGTATCGCTGCGCCATGTGGTCCGTCAACCCACGTATGATACGAGCAGGCTGCTGCGACCCCGAGTGGCATATCGCCCGGCATTATCGCCTAAACATCCAGCAGCGGAAGTGCCAAGCAGCCAAGACTGTTGGGATAGAGTGGACCGAACTCAGAGTAAGCTGGATCGCAGACCACGTTCCATCAGGTGGATCTGTGATTGGTCATATAAGCTTTCTGACGGAGGGCTGGAGGAGGGTCTTGGCAGATGGCCGCCAAGAGTCAGGAAGAAGCAGAGAGATACGGAGAGAGCCTGTCAACTGACTGCGCTCTCGTGGCTCAGGAGATGACGAGGGAGGTTCCTGCGAGGTGCAGGTCAATTTTATGGTTTTCTGGAAAGGCTGCTGCTGATGCCGAGGGCTCATGTGGGCTTACTATATAAGCACCATGCACGCTCCAGTATTAGGGATAGGGACGATCTTATCTTCAAATTGTAAGGACAAGATATAGGATATCTATCCTTGCATTGACAAGATGGCCCTTCATCAGTTCGATTACCTGTTCGCCCTTGGCACCATCTTTGCCTTCCTCGATGCCTGGAACATCGGTGCCAACGACGTCGCCAACTCCTGGGCGACCTCGGTGTCGTCTCGCTCGTTGAAGTACTGGCAGGCAATGGTCCTTGCCTCTATCATGGAATTTAGCGGAAGGTATGTTTGTTCCAGTACATTTATGATGGTGTCAATTGGAGGATACTAACCCCTCCGCCATAGTATTGGTGTAGGTGCTCGTATTGCAGATACCATCCGAACCAAGATCGTCGACGTCAAGGCCTTTGAGAAGAATCCTGCCCTGCTAATGCTGGGTATGGTCTGTGCTGTCACGTCTTCCTCCATCTACCTTACCATCGCGACCCGTTTCGGTATGCCAGTCTCGACCACTCACTCGATCATGGGTGGTGTGATCGGTATGGGCATTGCCGCTTTGGGATCCGATGGCATTAAGTGGTGGGGAGGAGACATCAACTCTGGTGTCGTCCAGGTCTTTCTCGCCTGGATCATCGCGCCTCTCCTGTCCGGTGCCTTTGGTGCCGTCATCTTCCTCCTCACCAAGTACGGAGTCATGGAGCGTAAGAACTCGGTTCTGAAGGCTTTCATCTCCATTCCCATTTACTTTGGCATCACCTCCGCTTTGCTCACCAGTACGTCTTCCGGCCCTTAGTTGCTGCCTGATGATACTGACTGGCACAGTGCTTATCGTGTGGAAGGGTGGTTCCAGCAGGATCACGCTCACCGATTCGGAAACTACCGGTGTGATCATCGGTGTGGGTGCTGCCGTTGCGCTGGTCGTCGCTGTCTTCTTCCTCCCTTGGCTATACAGGAGGTTGATCAAGGAGGATTGGCAGCTGAAGTGGTACCATCTCTTCATGGGTCCACTTGTGCTGCGTCGTGGCGAGGTGCCCCCTGCACCCGAGGGCTACAAGACCGTGCAGGACTACTATAGGGGCCACAAGACCCTAGAGGAGCTGCAGCGCGAACGTGCTAACATTGAGAGAGCCGGACCTTCTGATGAGGAGAGCGAGCCTGCCGTGCCCGAGGGAGGCAAGGAAGGCCAGCTTGTTGCTGCTTCTGCCGAGGTCGAAGAGCCCAAGTTTACCCTCATCGGCCCTCGCCCTGAAGGTGCAGCCTTTAGCCCGGCCGTCCTCTTCTGGCAGTTCCGTCGTTTCTTCTTCCGCGGTATTGAGCAAGATGTTGTCAGTCTGCAGAAGAAGCGAAACATTCTCACTGGTGACTTGGAGATGGTCCATGCCCATGCGCGTCATTACGACAATAAGGCCGAATACATGTACTCGTTCCTCCAGGTCATGACTGCTTCTACTGCTTCTTTCACCCACGGTGCCAACGATGTCTCCAAGTATGTATCTCCCCGGCTTCCGCGTGTTGAACACCTGCTGACAGATCGATCCAGTGCCGTTGGTCCTTATGCCACCATTTACTATGTCTGGTCGACCAACCAACTCAAGTCCAAAAGTCCCGTTCCATACTGGATCCTGTGAGTACCCACCTTTCAAACCCCTAGTAACATCTCTAATCAATCGTAGGGCTTTCGGAGGCGCTGCCATCGTCATCGGTCTGTGGACGTACGGCTACAACATCATGCGCAACTTGGGTAATAGAATCACTTTGCACTCCCCATCCCGCGGCTTCTCCATGGAGCTGGGCTCTGCCATTACTGTCATCATGGCTACTAGGCTGAGTATGTCATATCCTAAGATCACTCCTTTAGCGATCAGAATTGTGCTAACAGTCTGCAGAGCTCCCCGTCTCCACCACTCAGTGTATCTCTGGCGCCACAGTCGGTGTGGGCCTGTGCAATGGCACTTGGAGGACCATCAACTGGCGCATGATCGCATGGATCTACTTTGGCTGGATTATTACCCTTCCTGTCTCTGGAATTATTTCCGGCTGTCTTATGGGTATCATCATCAATGCCCCTCGCTGGGGACTGACCTACTAAAGGGTTCAAAACGAAAACTAGATCGGGGGAAGGCGACGAGATTGACAATACCACCCAACGGCATTTGCGCTTCATTTAATGATAATAGTGACTTAGTCAAGCGATACCTATGAAGTGTCATAAAATTGTATTCTAATATATGTTATCTACCATGGAGTCCATCAACCTTGGTTATCGCCTCGCGTCTATGCATATGGAAATACAAGCAAGCGACCGAATCAATAGCCGAATCTCACTCTGTCCACCCATCCCCAGCCCCCAACATCCAATTCACCCCGACCAACTCCAACCCATGCCTCTCAACCCATTCCGCAGCCTTAAACGACCGCCGCGCAGTAAATTCCTCCCCGCCAACATCCTCCCTCGTCAGCGCGAAACCCTCAGGGTCTCGGAATAGCAGGAACAGATACCGGTGCGGGCGCGAACTGCAACATTAGCTTTATCCGTTTCATCTCAATCACCAAGAATGCAAATACTCACTCGTCTTTCGGCCCAGGTCCCAGATACTCTGTCAATGCGGTGCCCCCATTCGCCTCCTCGGCCTTCAATCCGGAGACAACCCAGTGTCTCCAGAAAGCGAATTTGGGATCGTCAGGTGTGGGGGCGTCGGGGTCGACTAGGAGGAGGGTGTAGCTTGTTGAAGAGGGTGAATTGTTCTCCTGTAATTTTGGGTTAGCTTGCGTGGGCTTGGAATCACTCTGTTGGCGGAGTACCCCTACCTCTTTGGAAAAGGATACGGATGGAGCTGTCTTGCATTCGCTTGCGCGGAACAGATTCCCCAAACAGACCTGTTTATTGTTGAAGGAGATGTGGAGCTGTGTCGTGGGTTTGAAGTCTTGGGGTAGGAAGGGGAGTAAGCCGGTCGTGAGGCTGGCTTGCGCGAGCGATTGTGCGAGTCGCTCGGTGTGGGATTCGAGTGACATTTTGGTGGGCAATGGGTGCTGATCTTGAGGACATGCTCCTGAATGGCAGGGTTACAATGATATATAGTCATGTCGTATGCTTGTGTATTAGCAATGGAGGTTGTGACTGGCGGAAAAATCAAGGACGCGCCGTCTTGGGCAATTTTGGTGATACATCGGTGTGCGGGGTATCTGCGGAGTACTTTGGTATGCTTCATTTACTGTTTATTTAGGTTCTTCATAAACAGTCCTTAGTATTGTATGAATGTATGATAGTATGCCTTACATCCTTTTAAGCATGAAAACTGCATAATTACACATAGTGCTAAACTCTGATAAGACTGCCACTGTCAACACAAGCCCTTTGCATAGGATTCTCTGACATCTCTGTAACTGTTCCATTTCATTTCTACGCAATCACTTAGAAACTTACATAGCTTGTGTACTCAAATAGACATATAGATGGATATTGAGGCAATACATTTGAGTCTTCAAAGCCAGCAATTAAATGAATAACACCGCCACATCCATCATTGTTACCACTGTGCTATGTAAGCTATGACGTCATTTGTGTACTGCACCAACATATAACTCCCTCGTCTCCAATATCAGGACACCATAACAACTACCAGTGAAACATACCTTCTCCGTCTATTACTTTGAAACCTGCTTATTATCAACTCTACTACAAGTGTACAAATCAATCCAGCCACAAAGCAAATCACCATGCCGAACAACAACTTCTCCTCCTCCCAAAACACAGGCGTCACGGGCGCCGCGAAATTCGTCACCTCCACGCTCGGAAATACTGTCGGCGGAGTCTCTCGCACTGTTGGTGGAGTGACTGGTGCAGCTACTCGAGGAATCGGCGACACCATCACAAGTGCAACGGGAAGTGCAGGAAAGCCTGTGGGGGATGCGTTGGGAAGTGTCGGGACGGGCGTTGAAGGTGGGGCAATCCGAGTTGCGAAGGGAGTTGAAGATGCTGGACAATGGCGGTAAATCAGGTATGATACTATCCAGTCATCCGGATGACAGTAGGCTGAATATCTGACTTGATAGGGTGGTGAATTGTAGGTGTGCTAGGGTTGAGACGGAATCTTGCTCTTTGAAGCGGTGCTCATAGTTCCTAAATCTAATGATATTTTTTTAACATGATTTGTTCATATCATTTGCTCAGAGTACTGTAGCTGCTATTTCGGTGCTTTGTTGTGATAATCTGATTCTAGTCAGCTGCTGTGTCGTACTGGATTATGGTCTTTGTAATTAAAGGATGGCGCAATTGTGCATCAGGTCATTTCAGTGGGTAAAGATCAAACCTAAATAATACCTAGTGGTAAGAAGGATAACATCTCCATCTCATGAGTAATGTTGATACTTCTGGAAGAGCTTTACCAGATCATAATGGATTGTTCCTGTGGATCCCGGAATGCATATTTTAGCCAGACCAATCAACGTACAGAGATTGAATTGGTCAGGGAGGCAGCGAAAGTCTAGCCAATCATCTCGATCATTCCAAGCGGCTTTACCATTCTCCGACTTGGTGCAAGGGGATCCAGATTGATAACTTGGCCATTCCCCACAGGGATGGTCAATATTCAATCCATCCATTCTCATCGCTGCGTCGCGTAAGACTCACCCAGCCATGGGCTGGCCTTACCATATAGTCAAACTCAGCCCAGAGGAAAAGTCGCAGCGTCGAGAGCTTCTCGATCGATACGGGTTATATTCTCAACTATCGGTCCTCATACCGATTTCGTTCTTTTGGCTGTATCGGTTAGGGCGTTGGGTCTATCTCCGCTCAATTCGGAGAGCCGGATACAGTGCAGTTACTCGTCCAGCAGACTCGAGTACTTCTAGTCCTGCGAATTTTGAGAAGCGATGGCGGTCGATCCTTTGGTGGCTCGAAGATGAAGTCGCTCCTGGCTGGGGTGCAAAAAGCCATTGGATTCTTGGTGCAGCATGGGCGTTGTGGTTGCTAACTTTGTGCATTTATCAGACGGGAACTGGTGAGTGTATTCTTATCAGCTTTCACCCATGCTTCTGCAAACAATCTAACCCTGGTTAGACTATCTTCATGTAACAAAACGCTTTGGCATAGTAGCTGTGGCGCAACTACCCACACATTTTGTCCTTGCAGTCAAATCTCGATACAATCCTTTAGCACTGATTTTCAACACATCATACGAAAGACTGCTGCCATGGCACCGAATATCCGGCAGACTGATATTCCTTCTGATCGTTGTCCATGTGTCGTTGTACCTGAACTACTTTATCCAAACGGCAACACTGCAAGAGCATCTCACCTCGCTCAAGATCATTGTTGGCATCATGTCATTCATGTCACTTCTCGCCATGATGAGCACCAGCATTGGGGCCGTCCGTTGTCGCAACTATCGGATATTCTACATCACACACTCGGTGCTTGCATCCCTCCTCCTGATCTTTCTCACCTTTCACGCAAAGTCTCTGCGCTGGTACATCATTGAGACGCTGGCTGTTAGCCTTCTAGCCCGACTCAACCGTCTAGATACCATCACCGCCTATGCGGCCATCTCCCGAATCCCCCGAACGAACCTCGTCAGTGTGCAGATCCCTATTCCCCCATCAAAAATACAAAGATTCCGAGCAGCGCCAGGCCAACACGTCTTCTTATCCTTACACGCAGAGACAGCGATGAAGATCAAATCATCGCTTGTACGGAACATGTTCCTCCGAAATCCGTTTACTGTCGCGAATGTCTCGGAGAACAATGAGATCACCCTCGTTGCGCGGGTACAAGATGGTCCGACGTCCAGAGCCTTGGATTCCCTGGCAGATTCGGCGGAGAAGCCAAGTCAGGTCGAAATCTACGGACCGTTTGGGAGTATCCCATGCTTTTCAAAGTTAGGAAGGAAGTATGAACGACTTCTTGTTGTGGCGGGTGGAGTTGGCGCGACTTTTGCTTTGCCGGTCTACCGTGAGCTGAAGGAGCAAGTTGAAGCGGAGGGCAAGGGACAAGATCGGATTACATTTGTGTGGTCTATGAAGACGCTGGAAGAAGCTGCGTGGGTCATGGGATTGGCGGATGGACAGGCCTTGACGCAAGACGAGAACGTCAGACTATACCTGACTCAGTCCTATCATATGCGCGGACAAAAGCCTTCCCCGGATGAGAGTATCGAGCTAGAAGAGTTACATTCGCAGAGAACAGTTGTATGGTCGTCCGCGGAATCTGGACGCCCTGACCTGGGCAAAATCGTGGATGATGTCCTCAGCGACTCTGAAGAGCGCGTAGCAGTGCTCTTCTGTGGACCACCAGGGATGGGGAGGGTATTACGGGAGAACATTGGCAAATATGTACGGAAAGGACGAGAGGTATGGTGGCATGCTGAAGCCTTTGGGTGGTGATGGGATTACCCAAATAGTTTATTGCGACGGAAGGATATTATGTTATAGGAGCAAAATTTTCATTCTGATATTTCATGATCAAGAAAGGAAACAGATTATCAGTACCCATTATGTGATTAGACATTGTACGTTTCCCTCTGAGTAAGCATCCACTCCATCGCATCCTCCTTTGTAGCATTCTCATGCGTAAATTGCCATCTCACAAGGTCTTCGAGGGCTTGCTGCATGAACGGGCCTCCTTTTTCGAGATCGTACAAGGCCAAAATATCATGCCCGTTGAGAATAGGCTTTACATATGGGGCGTCCTCCAGCTTCGCCTTAGAGATATATTCCACAAACCTCGACCACTGCATAATCAAGGCCAGCTTTTCATTACCATACCCCAATTGATCGACGTCGTCTTTCAGAAGCGCGTAAAGTATTTGTAATCTCCAAGTACTGCCGCATGTCCTAATCAACATTCCGAGACTACCTCGAGGTAGTTTTCCGGGAAAAGACCCATCTGCCATAATCTCGTCCTTGTAATTCTGAATGCGAGGGTGATTTCTCATCGACTGAGAGACAAATCCGGGTACTTTTACTTCTCGCTCTGCAAGATCATCAAGTTGGTCGAGGTCCATCGGCACAAAAGCAGTCAGCATCCAGATGTCGTCCATTTTCTCAGGCTGAAGCAGAATTTTCCTGAGTGTCTTCGGTCCTCCGCCTAATAGGAAAGCCACGGTTTCAAAGGCGCGAGCCCATTCACTGTGCCGTGGGCCATACCAACCCGGGTGCCAAAGAACCCAGCTTGGTCTCTCATCTTCAGTACATGGCAACGCATCGTAAAAGACTGGACTGTAGAGATGGAGTTCATGGATCAATTGGAAAGCCGAAAATGTGTTTTTGCCTCTAAGGATCTTTATGAGCTCCGCTTCTACCCGCTGACGACTGACCATTGTGCAGAGTTGCTGCCGCAACTCGACAATTCGCATTGCGTTCATGGTCTCCCTTTCAATTCGGAAACCAAGCTGAGCTGCAATTCGGATCAACCGGAGGATTCTGAGGGGGTCATCACCAATGGCTTCGAAGGGGCAAGATGGTGTTCTGATGACGCCAGCAGCCAGGTCATGCAGTCCAAGTCCGGTATGATCTTCAACAATTCCTGTCTTGAGGTTGTAGAACAGAGCATTGATTGTAGCATCGCGACGATGAGCATCCTCCTCCGGAGTGCCAAACTCCATCTGCGGGATCGTGCTCGCCTCTCCGTAGGTTTCCTTTCTGAGATTCACGAAATCTACCGAGAGGCCGAAAATACTGTGGAATCTTCCGGTCTCGATGTGTTTGGATTTCTTCGAGTTCTTTTTCATCTCGTGCAGCTTTGAGATTACAGGAGGAACTCCGTAGCGCCTTGCCTCGTCAAGGTATTTGTGCTTTTCTTTCTGGAGATAATTCTCAAGCGCGTGGCCGAACCGGATGCCAGTCATGGAGCTGAGCGCCACGTCGATATCTGAGGATTGACCATTGAGAAGTCTGTCTCGAACCCATCCTCCGACGAACCACATGTCCAGAGTCGTCACGTCATTTTTGCTGGAGACGATACTTTCGCGACAGGCTAAGAGTAGTCGTCGCAGAAGCTCTTCTGCAGGCGACAGATGGAGAACTGGTGCTTGTCCTGCCGTCTGTAGGCGGCTGTTCACAATGTTGGTTGTGGATTTCTTTATTTGCGTCATACCGGGTACTCTTGTCCTAGACAGTGCTGGTTGTGAACTGATACGAGCTTTGAAGACCTTGAAAGAGCGCAAGTATTCTGAAGCTTTGCAAGGAAGAGTTGAGATGAGGTTACTCACAATGGTAGAGGAAGAATTTTTGAAATGTCAGCATCACATCGTCGTCATCCATGCCTGAGGCTTCATATAGCCTTACCTTTATGACCTCTTTCTCCAGCCATACTTGCATCATTTCCCTTAACGTTTCTTTTCGATATTAGGTTAAAGCCACCGAATACCTCGCTGGGAAAATTTGCTAGCAGGTAATCCGTATGAGAACGTAAACATCAGAGGAAGTGTAGGAAAGCGGTAACGACGTGAATGAATCCCAAGTCAAATGGGATTCCAGCAAGCGTAGGCATCATGATTATAGTTACTCCAACTCCAATCATGGGGAACGAGTCCTTAGTCAGAGCGATCTGATAATCTACGGCCGAAGGCTCAATAGTCTAATTGAATATGACACAATGTCTCATTTTATCATAACAGCTATTCTCTGTGTTTACACGGCGCTTAATACTCATTCTTGATAGGGGAGATACCAAGGGGCCACTATGATATTTATGGGATAGTGGCCAGTTCCAGGCCAGGACACTTTATTAACAAAATCACAGGGTCAAGAGGCCTTGATTGCGCCTGATTGGATGTGCCAAGTGTCAATCAACAATACCCGCCGTGGTTGCCCGCGATAGCCACCAAATCTGCAGGGGTTATGGCCTCACCAGCCAGTCTCAGCCTCGTGCGCCGTTGGTCTCCTGTGCTAGCTGACAGGGGTGAGAAACAGGAAAAATAAAGACTCACACCCCACCTCCCATTCAATCCAACCTCGATCTCCTCAACTATTAGCGTTTTTAATGGCCCGCCATCATGGCAAATTCAACGCGACAATGTTATTTTCCTAACGGTAATCCATCAACTGATGTCCCTTGCTCCTCCGATGAAGCGACTGGATGTTGCACCTCAGGGGATATATGTCTATCAAACGGAATTTGTCTGAACGTTGCCCATCAACCATACGTGGCGTCTCGGGGGAGTTGCACAGACAAAGAATGGGGTCATGGATGTCCGCAGTATTGCAGTAGGTACACCTCCCACCAAGTACACGACGAAACCAGTTCTGATCTAGGCATCTCACAGAGGACGTCAATCGGGGCGGGGGCTGCTCCATCATTAATCTCAGCTACGTGAATGGTATAGCAACATATTGTTGTGGCACTCCTATTACAAACGGGACGGATGTCATCTGTCCAGAAGGGATGGACAGCTTCCAGATCCCAACGGGGCACGCGGTAACCGGTGTGGCTCTCTTGAGCAATGTTTCATCGTCAGCGACAACGGCACCTTCGTCCACGGACACGGCGACAGGATCCTGTCATGACACTGCGATTGGAGCTGGAGTGGGAGTTCCCCTAGGCGTCATCGCGTTGATGGCACTGACATGGGCGCTGTTCGAACGAAAAGCGAGACGAGCAATGCGGACACAAATACCGCCAACCGCAGTAGTCTTAGACGACAAGAGTGCGCCCTATACGCGCACTCATAACGGGTCCCCTTCAGAACTACCGCACACACGCGATGTAGCTGAACTTATGGATATGAATGACTAATGGAGCGTCAACGGCCAAGTTAATACCCTGACGGAATTCTAATCGAATGCTGCTATGATATGTGTTGTGATGTACAGAGATCGTTGACGCAAGTCTGTAGAACATGGGGTTTTCAGAGCTCTGTTTCAAAGGTTCCATCTCATGGTTAACATTATTGGTGAACGAGTCCTCTTAAATGCAGCGAATATGTACACAGCTAAGTATCCTAATTTATTGCTGACCCATACATACATAGCAGACATCATGATCTTGATCATACATGTTGGAACTACTAATAGTTTGTGAATCTGTCGGACGGACCATTCTTAGAGAAACAAGAAGAGATGAGGGTGAGACGCGAATCTCAGGTACACACTCCTATCTCATTGGCTCAGACGGATCGAAGCAAACAAACTGTGCATTAGTCTGTCACTGATTATGGCCATTGTCGTGCTCGATGGGGTAGAGCGAGTGGGGTAGCGTCACTGCAAGGCAGCTCGCCCAGATACGTAAAACTGCTCGGATAAAGGCATCCGTATCATTACTGATCAATGGGTAAGAAGCAGGAGACAAAAGATGATATATTGAAGAAACTGACTAGGTTTGTCTCAGGCTCAGTACAGGTATTTTCCCCTCCTTCCCCCTTGTTCGTCTGACTCTCCTCTCATCAAAACATTCACATTCATCACTACCACAGAGTTTGGCCTCATTCAGAGCGACAGCCCTTAGACATACTTAACAGTGACAGAGCTGCTTGAAGAAGAGACCGAAGTCAGAACCTGGCCGTTCTGCTGGATATCCATAAGAGTGGCACCAGAAGGACCAACAGTGGAACCGCCATCGGTAGCCTGAGCACTGCTGAAGGTGACGGTGCCAAAGTTGGCAAACGGCACCAGAGAACCGTTGGACTCAAAGTCCTCGACGATCCACTCGGCATTGTACTCGCACAGATTGCCGTCCACACCACCAGTGAAGGTGTGGGTGACCGACTTGCCCTTGGTCACGTTCTCAACAGTCGCCGTGCCAGCGGTCTTGCTGGTCGCATCAACAGTGACCTTGATCTTGTCGCCAGCGGAGATGGAGATGCCGCTGAAGTCGTACGCATAGTCGGGGTACCACTCGTACCAGGCGTCGAAGGAGACTGAGCTACCCTGAATGCAGAAGTCGACACCTGTCTGGAGGATGGCGGAGCTGCAAGTGTCACCGTCGATACCGACCCAGGCGGAGGCGCAATACTGCTCGCTGGAAGAGCCACCGCTGGGAACCTTGGGGGTGGGGACGGTAAACTCGCCGGTCACAGCCGTGTAGCCTGTGCCGATGAGGACGGCACCGGCCCAGTTGGAGCTGTACTCGACCTGAGTGGTGTTGCTGAGCTTGATAACCTCGGAGGTGCCGGGCTTGTAGGGAGGGTGGCTCGATCTGTTGGAGGCGCGGGCCAGGCGACGGGCATGGCGAGCTTGACGCTGTTCTGTAAGGGGGGCAGCAATGGCAGCCGTGGCGAGCAAGCCGGAGGCGAGGACAGAAGTGAACTTCATGATGGTGACGATTACGAGTGAGCAAGAGAGGACTGCTGTCGAGGATGAGCTTGAGGGCTGATGGTAGTCAAGAAACTGCGAGACTTGCTTGAGCTGCTAGACATTTTGGACTGGGAATTCAGCTTCAATTTATACTTGAGCGCCAGGCTACGCATTCCTTATCTCTGTGGTAAAACGACCATGCACAACATGCCTTCTCGCTGGATACTTTCCAACTAAGCAATCAGGATCCAATGGACTCCGCTCTATCATGAGGTGAGGAGAAGGGCCGGAGACCGATGGAAAATAGCATCTGATGCATATCTAGTGCTCGGATTTGGAATATTCTCCGTGAGAAGCGCACCTGTACTATCATTTCTCCGTCCTCATAAGTGAGTCGAGGTGCAAATTAAGCAAGTCCAGCGGAGATCTTCTCGCCTCGCCATAATAGAGCCCGACGAGACCAAAGGACTAGATGAGTCTGGGCCAAATAAGCTCGGAATGTCGCTTCTCTGAGGAACTTGATTGGCGTCTGTGTGCAGAACTTCTACCCCTCCTGAAATCCATTGGAGGATTGATAACAACGGGGAGGAGGGTACGCTGTTGGAAACAGGTCATGTCCACCATTAGGTCCATTACTTGGCGATCATTGCCATAAGAGTCAAGCATTGCCAAGACCTACAAGCAACAAAGTATACGCACGACAATGAGACCAAGACTGTGAATGAAGTCACTGTGTAGATAATTGCCGTGCGGTGCTTTCATGGCCAGCCTATCGCGCAATCTTCAGCAGTTCTGTCAATTTCGCTTTTTCGGTAAATCAACGGACCTCCGACGGTGCTCGGGGTGCTCGGATAGGATCAATATACTCAATGGATAGTGATAGCCAAGAAGAAAGGTCAAGAGTGCACAGGCAAGTTACAACTTACTGCAGAATTAGCGGTTCCTCTAGTGTTCAAAGGGGCTAGAGAAAGGAGGTCAGATGCTACTGTGGCGGAGACTAACAGAGTTGGTGTCTTGATGGCGCGGTACACCAAGCTTTGATCAAGCATCTCGGCGAATAATAAGCATCGTGCGTGAGTTTGGCGAATATGGTCTAGAGAAATAAGTAGATTAGGCTATTTTCAGCGGCAGTTGGTCGATGTAACGTTCCGCTGAAAAGGGGAATACTCTATCAGTTTAGATTGATTTGATATTAATTTTCTGCAGAGATAATGCAAGTGGCGGCGCCTGATGACCAAGCGGGGGTGTTCTTTCTTCACCCCGTCTTCTTATCAACGGTCATTGCTATCAGGTATTGAGTATCGACGGCCTGTCCGTGCTGTCTCCCTCCGGATATCCGGGATATTGCAGATTCTCGTGGAAACGCGAGGAATAAAGCTTATCGTGCGTAGTTCCTTGCTACCAAGGACTGTCTGAGAAGTAGTTTACCTTCTGCTCGGATATTTGAGGATGTCCTTTCAATCACTGAGGCAGTCTTTATTATTATTCAAGGCCTATATACTTCCTATTTTAGATATTGTAGGTTTGTTACTGTAAAGGTACAAAGTATATCATATTGGTAGTCAAGAGACAATATCCGTTGCTGGTAGTTGGACAGTACGAAGACAGTCAAACAGTGAATCGATTCCTGTAGAGTATCCTTGTCCCTTCCATAAGTAGTGTGTTGGTTCTGGTACAAAATCATGCCAAAAATAAAGATTATTCTCCATTTGTCTTGGGATAGACCAGTCCCCATTGTCATTGACTACATCTTTTCTCGCTTCGGAGAATGACTTTAATACAGTTGCCCAGAGGCATTGGAAATAGGAAAATAATGCGTAGAAGCTATTAATCAATGTGCAAGAGATTAACAGGCCATGACTCAATTTCCTTGTTTGTTACCATTGTATGACAAGCTATCGCTCTACTCAAAGATCCTAATTGCAACCAATGTACCCGCCACTGAATGTAATAGTAAGTCGTCTTCTGCTCGTCTGACGGTTGGGATAACAAGGATCTTATTATCTTGATCTTACGAGCTTATCCCATTCAAGCTTTGTCTCTTCAGAATAAGAACGTATTTTATGCTTATTAGGTCATCAAGTCTATCTTAACAACTGTCGCATATCTGAAAGCATTCAGTAAGTCTCAAGCTGTTAGCTATATACATCACCCGGAGAGTTATAGTACCCATTCTCCCTATGAATGCAGCATAGACAGTCGCCATGCACGTCAAGTACATGATCGACAACCTCGATGTCAAGATCGTCACTAACCATGTCTCAGAAGATGAGATCTTGTCGATCGAGGGGTTGTGACGGATGATCTGCACATCTGAAGCATGATCGACGATCAACTGGATAAGCTACATCTAACAACGTCTCTCCCAGCTAGAGGTATGTGATGTTCGGAGTTTTCACCAACGGCTCCTCTTCTCGTCCCACGCTAGCGCCTGGGATGACATGTCGGGGTGGGCAGGGCTACACTTGAGATGGTGACTAATTAGCTGCTGACAGTCTGCTGATACTGTCGGCTGCTGAGGGACTGGAATGCATGGACATCTCGCATCTATTAACTCTGCCATGCAGTGAGTTTTGAACTTGGATGATGTCAGTTCTAAGAGGTCATGTTAACGTAGGATCAGAAGCTGATGAGGACTTTTCAAAAGTCAGTCATTATACCATGTATCATCATAAGTAATCGTTCCAAGGTTAGTTGTCCGTGTGAAGGCCACGTGAAGTTTCTCTAGATATATAAACTACCTGGACGATTTCGTTGGTGTCAGGATAAATGGGAGGCCGAAAATGATGGAGCCGAGTCCAATCCACACAACTTGGCCATATAGTATATGTTAATGAGCTCTTTGAGTAGCTTTACTACTATCAAAAAGGATGTACTAGAGAGATATACTAGGATATAAATGATATTGTTATGAAAATTTGAAGGGAATAAGGATGTGACATCATTGGCGGAAATGTTTTGTGATTGGCTGGAAGAGTCTGCGAATGCCCCGCCGTCAGGTGCTTAGGTAAGTTGCTGGTTGAAAGCATCACCGCTGTGTTGATATTTTTTTGTCTGCGCTCCCTGGTGCAATCCTGTGGCACGATATAGCAAGAGTTATTGGGCCTCTCAACCATCATCTTCCAAATGCTCAAACTCTATGTCCTCGTCTACAAAGGCGAACCTCTGGACTACCATGAATACCGCCACACCGCTTTGTACCTGAAGCTCCCTGACAACCAAAGTTTCATCATGCACATCCTGGGCACGCAGGGAATGTTCGAATATGCTCAAATCAAGAACAAGGATCCTTCTGCTGTGGGGTCGCTCGCAAAAGTGGTGCCTGTGGCTGATATCTCAGAGGTGATTGGCTCGGGACCCATCCAGTCCACGGTCGCAAAGACATTAATCAAGAACGGGCCGCAGGACCTGGACTGGAACTGCCAGCACTGGGTTGGCGAGGCCTTGAGCAAGCTTGCGGAGAGGGAGTATATCACTGTTACCGAACGCGCTGAAGCTATCGATCGGATGATGGATGCGTGTCTCGAGGCCATGGATGATTGAAAGGACGATGCATGGTCCTGATCATGATGTCTACCGAGCAGAGTCTTCAATAGCGCATATGGCTGTGACGCAGGAGTCTCAAGTATTTCATTCTTCGGAAAGTCGACGTACAGATGCACTCTTCTCATTTAAACGCTCGCAAGTCTCCATCCCAAAAAGTCCGTGGCTGTCCACATTCAAGGAATGACAAACGGTCGCATACGCAATGGAGACTAGATATCCGTCCCACAAGAGAATTCCTCCCACTCTTCCAGCTTCTTCAACGTATCCTGACACTTCTTCCGAATGGCCGCGACCGCATCCGGCCCCAGCGCCAGCTCCTTCGGCCACTCTTTCCCCTTGGCCGCGTTCTCCCCCTTTACCACATCGATGATACGCGCAACGCCTTTCTTGGGATCACCTCTCTGCTTCCCATTCGCATCGCGGAATGTCTTGAACGAAGACTCGGTCAACTCCCGATACTCGGGGAATCTGGTTTCGACGAACATGCTATTTTTGGCGCTCAGGAGCTCAGTACGGAACTGACCGGGTTCCACCAAGAGCGTTCTGATTCCGAGAGAATCAGTCTCTTGACTGAGAGCCTCCGTTGCATCTGTCTCTGTCAGCAGGGACTCCCAAGTACTAGATACCAAGATTGACTTACAGCGAAGCGCAGCCTTGGAGGCGCAATACGCCCCGACGGCAGGGTACGACTCCCATGCTGCCATCGAGCCGATGTTAACAATCACGCCTTCCCTGCGTTTCCGGAAATGCGGCAGGAACGCTCTGGTCGTATTAATGGTTCCGAAAACATTGGTGGTGAATTGGAAGAGGTAATCTCCATGGCTGTACGGAGTATAATGTTAATTTCATTCCTGTGGATAGCGTCACAGACTTACGTCATGTCCTCCAATGTCCCGAACTGCGTGTATGCCGCATTGTTCACAAGAATATCAACTTTCCCGTAGATAGCGATCGCATCAGAGGCCTTCTGGTTCAGTTCTTCCTGGGAGGCTGTCACGTCTAGCTGCATGATTGCAGCGCCCGCGTCGCGGAGATGGGCGATCTTGGCGACGGTGCGTGCTGTTGMGATGACCTTGTCTCCGCGGGAAAGGGCTTGAGTGACGAACTCGCTGCCGAAGCCTGAGGAACAGCCAGTGATGAGCCAAACTTGAGCCATTTTAATGTCTTTTTAGAAAAGCCCGAATGTTGTGTTTAATTACGTAGTTGTCTTGAAGACCGCTGGGACCAGACTGTGTCCTGGGGTTTTCGAAGAATTTATACCTGCTGGCGGTACAAAGGATGACATGACGACAAGGAGTTTACATCGGCCATAACACTGGAGATAATATCGGTGATATGCCTAGTTATTAGCTATGATGAGTACACTTGTATGTAGGATCAATAGCGATGATGTCGTCTCCATCGGAGGTACTGTGGTGCCACAGGTCTTGGCATCGCGAAGGCCGATGATTTTCGGGATTCTGATAGTGCGTCGGACTACTCGGAGAGATTGAGTAATCAGGCATACTATATCGGACGCTTGGACGGATGATTATCTTGATATAGCCAATCCAATCATTGAATCAGATAGTCCTAGGATTTATCTTAGTTTCTATTTTTCTCTGGAATAACCAATAGTGTAAACGAGTGTCATTTGTCAGTAGTCGCTATCAAAGCAACCATATTCTATCTATATAATTTTCCATAGTTTTCCATGTTCATTGTAGTCCAACTTAACCACTGTAGTCAATGGTAACAGCTAGGCGAACGGCACCACCACCAGAGAGGTTTCCACCAATGCCCCCAAGAGCGGCCTCGGCAGAGGTATAGGCATTGTTAACGGACGCCGCATTAGGAGTGATGCTGGAGCAAGTGCCACCCAGCGCATCACAGATCTTCATGCCCTGCACGGTCAAGCCCGCATTCTGCGCCTGGATGGCAGAAACATCGAAACCAGTCCAGCCGCCGTTCCCGGCGCTGCTGAAATCAAACTCGCCCCAGGTAGAGGCATACCCGCCGTTCGAGTCCCTGGGGATACCGCCAGCGGCGGCAGCAAAGCCGCCGTCGGTGTCGTCGTCAAACGCGACGTACTTGGTCTCGCCAGCGTTGAGGGTGAGAGTCAGAGCGGCGTTGCCGTACCAGCCGTTCATCCCGCCGTTAGGGCCGATCTTGTTCCAGAAGACGACGGTCCAGGGCTCAGTGTTCTGGCCGCTGATCTGGGCGACGTTCTTGTAGTTGGAGGCCGATTCGGCGGAGACCTCGATGATGTTGCTACCCCAGGGGCTGCCGACGTTGCCGGCGTAGGTCTCGCCGCTGCCGCTGTTTGAGGTGCGGCTGCCGAAGCCAGCGGTGGAGTAGGAGCCTCCGGCTGGGGTTGCGGTCCAGGCGGAGCTGCCGCTGGAGGCGGAGGAGGAAGCGACTGTGGAGGAGGCGGTGGAGGAGTACTGACGGCGCTCGTGGCCTTGGAGACGGGCCAGAGAGCTGGAGGTGAGGGCTGCCAGCAGCAGGAGAGACTTGGTGAACTGCATTTTGAGAGAGTGTGGGTGTCGCGTTAAGCGTGCTTCAGATAGTTGTAGAAGGCTAAAGGAATGGCAGTGTCGTTACTGACTGGAGTAACGAGGAATCGATAATTCAAAGAGAGCGTCTGAAGTATCAAGCCGAAAAAGACTGAATGAATGTAAGCGTGTGTATACACGGTTAATGAATGCGATGGTTGAAATGGAAGACTCCAAAAGGGTCCCTCTCAGGCCCTTTTATAACATCCTGAGAACAAATTCTGTTGCCCGCCACCCCACTGTTTACAAGTCGAATGTGTGTTCTCGAACACCCATGGCGCTGGTGGATGTCATTTTCCTTGGTTCGGGAGGTTGCACGTTTGGATAGAGCCTTAGAATCGAGGGCGATGGATCAGGGAATGCGTCAGCATGGGCAAGTTGCTGGGACTKGGGTTCCGACAAAGACGATGCCATGGTCTAGGTCCATGTGGTCGTGTACTGGTTGACAGCCTGACAGTAGCCTATTGGACAGTTTGATTGAAGACACGACAAGACATCTCTGGTATTGTTTTGGGATTGGCCGGAGTCTATGGGCGGTACCTGAATTGTACGCCATTTCAACGCCATTGGCTACTCCCTCTGACCAGTGGCTCTGTGTGGGACCCTGGCTCTGCAATACATAAGAGTCTGGTTGTTGGAGGAAAGTTGTGTGGCTCTGGACCTTGGATTATTTTTGGTATGTCTTTGTGTTGATTGTCTCGTTACTTATGCTTGCGTTTCAACATCAAGAGACAAAGGACATGAGACTTAACTTTGTAAGTTGAAATTTACTCAAACGACAAAGAGTATATCGCTGGGGGTCTAGACTTTACCTCATGGCAAAGTACCGAGAAATGATCAGAACGCTCAAACGGGCTAGCGAAAGTGGACACGAATAACGATATCACAAGGGCCTAAAATCTTGTGGGTGGAGCTCTCCTCCACAGGTCTCTGTCGCTAGAGAATTGTAGTCTAGCTATTTAGGTCTTTCAGTGGATTCCTAGGGCTTCTCATGCTAATCGATGCTAAGTATATATCCAGACTTGTAACCTATGTCCACATATAAGCATTTAAGGACAAATTTATTGTTCCCTGCTTCATGGCTCTCTTTCATACTGTCCCTATTCGTGGCTTTCTCAAAAATAGAATTCCCTCGGAACTCCCCTGAGGCCTTCAAGTCAGGTGCTTTGTGTGCAATCTCGTCGAACCATGGTTACATTTGTCTGGGCCAGGGGCAGAAACACAAAAAATCTGTGCTTTTCAGGATGTCAAATCATGAGTGGTCAACGTTGTGACTAAGCAGGAAAATTCTTGAAATTCCCACCAATCCCGTTACAGTTCATCTGCATTTCGTCAACAGGCGAACCATGAACCATGGGATGTTTTATTGACACCTTTCCAAAAGGGCATTGGCCCTTTTTCGTGTGCCTCATGTAGGCAGCCGCTGTCGTAACTCATACGTCTATGCTAGGGAATTCTCGGTGAAAAAATTATATAGAAGAAATTGTAGGTCCTAGATAGGCTATGATTGACATTTTCATTATTAACAAACGATAGAATTCAATACTTCAGCTAAAATTGCCGAGTCAACGCCCCACACCAAGAGCAATGCAACTTGATCCCAGCTTATGTCACACTAGAGGAGCATTCTTGCCTCTTCACTCTTGTCGCCTCGTGGAATCGCCGAGGCATCGTCGACTTTGGGCGAAGAATGACCGACGCAGTGCCTCTGTTGGTAAATATTATGCTGAAGGCAGTACTGCCGAGTGTTGGATAGTGGAAGAGTTATCTTCCCTGCTATAAGCAGAAACACCGACAATGATGTGTTCCTCATAAATCCAGACGTCTCTGAAACACGAAGATTGCGGGCAATAATTCATGTCTTGCCTCGCACGTGTAAAAGCAATTTTAACCGGTGTTCTAGAATACTTCTCCGCGGGAAGGTCAAGCATCCGGTGGCACACAAAGTTGAGCTCGCAGTCTAGAAAACTTGTTGCTCTAGAACCTCCTCGAACTTGATGTGTCACCCTGAATCCAGCAATTTCTGCTATATGCCCTTTACCCCGGACGCTCAGGAAGCCATCCTACAGAGCTATGGCGGCCCGCAGATGGGTTATGCTTAGTTTAGTCTACGGGGCACTGGAGACGCCCACATTTGCTTCAAAATAGCTCTAGATTCTCAAATTCAGGCGAGGAGTAAGGGCCACAAATCTGATGATCATACTGTTCTTGACAGTTGATCCAAGGAGGCGCGAGTGGCTAGAATGCATTTGTCAGGAAGGTAATGACATCAATGTCATGTCGCGGTCAGTCGCTTACCGAATAATTTGGACAGCTGTGATGGCGATATTTTGCAAGTCACCATCCAGCCAGCAATATCAGCATCTTGAAATTGTTTCAAACAGTTCACCGTTACCATCAGATATAGGTCAATGAGTCAACCAAGGCATCTCAGGATTGTTATAATTTAAACGCTAACTAGTTCAGAAGACAATATTTCCTGCACGTATTACACCTTTCCATTTACGAAAGTGAGAATGTTACTGTAAAACCGCCCCCAACTTTAGATGTAACCTTTTGCACTTCCTAAAAGGGGAATTGGTATAGAGACTATGCGATCGGCATTGATGACATAATCACTTGCACGCTGCCACCTAGACGTCAGACTTACTCGATGGTCAACACCCTGAAGCTGGTGCTTAGCTCTCTCAAAGTAGACGAGATTATCTGACTATTCCATACTCGTGTCTGTTGCCAGTACTGGCCGAAATGCTCACAATCATATACCGAGATGGATGCACTGAGGTAACATGCCGACCCGACGCTAAGACAACTCTGCTACCCTGCTTGCCAATGAAATCACTGCTACGATTCATATCAAACAGATCGGTGTCGCACCTGTCAGGCTAGCTCGGACCTATGGCCCCATAGAAGAGTTGCTGCGTTTGATAGGTCGTGTTTCATGATGGTCAGGACTGCAGAATTACCCCTTTGGGAAACTGGTCGATTCGCATCAACATGCTGATTTTGATGAAGGTATCTCGAAGGAAATTATGACCGGGGTAGGCAGAGCGATCCGCTTGGAAGAAATGAGCTATTTAAATAGCTCCCTTGCCGACTGAGTCGATTGACACGGACATTCGTTTTTCAACTCACCCGACACCACAGTCAAACAATAGCAAGCGCAACAATGGCGGTCCTTAAAAGCATCACGCTGACTTCTCTGGCCCTCGCTATCGGCGTCACCGCTCAGTCCGCCAACCCAGGTGTCGGTATAAACCCAAAGGCGCAGGGTGCAACAGAAAATGTCACCCCACGCACCGGCCCAAACGGGTACCGTCCCTTTAAACCCCTCTACCTTTAGTGGCACTGCTGCTAACCGCAAAATCCAGTTCCGAAGACTGGCTCAACACCGGCATCACCACCACTGGCTGGAACCCTCCCTTCCTCTCCATCGACGACGTCTACACCATCAGCCTCCAAGACTTCTACAACGGCATCGGTTCTGCCTGCCGCCAGTACGACAGCTACTTCCAAAGCAGCGCATCCAAGTACGGCGTCAAACCGGTCATCCTGGCCGTCATCGCTATGCAGGAGTCCTCCTGCAATGCCAACGCTGGTGGTCCCACACCAGGTCTGATGCAGGTCTCATGCGACAATTACCCGAATGGCCAGTGCACGGATAGTATCCAGGATAACGTGGACGCGGGAACGCACTATCTCAAGTCGCAGCTCGACGCGTCGGGGGGTAACGCGATCAAGGCTCTGGGTGCATACAATGGGTGGTTTACTGCAGGGAGTGGGCTTAACGGGAACCGCGGTTTGACGAAGGACTACCCCTGCTCGGCTGAGGGTAAGGCGCATGGTGAGCCGCAGAATCTGGATTACTTGCACCAGGTGCTGAATGGATGGATGATGGGGTTGGACGTTTATGGGGCGGATAACTGGATTGGTACCTATCACTGTGATCAGTCGTGCAGCAATGGTTTGTGCTAGATGTCTTTTTAGTTATCATTCTTAGTAGTGTCCATATGATGGAGAAGGCATGAACTTATATGAGATTCGCAAGATCTGCATAATGTCAAGTCTTCCTAATGAATAACGGCGAGCACCTTGCCTGGAATTCGCTGAAATATAAAGAAAGCCAATAGTGCGAATCTAATAACAGGACAGGCAATCTAAGTTCCAATCTTCCTGTTCGATTCATGTGCCAGAACAAAGGAGATGGACTTCGGATCAGGAAAGCAAACCAGGCTTATAAATCGCCTCAGTGGTCATTTAACATTCTTCTCTCCATGAGCTCAGAGATTAGGTCGGCTGCGAAGATAGGTGTTTTAGCCAGGAACAGCTTCACTCTGTCCAGGTCTGCAAAAGCATCCATGATGTGGAAGTTATCCGCGACGGTGGCCACAAAGAGCTTACCCGATTCCGAGTCAGAGATGTATTGGCCGCCCACCAGCAGATCGTACAAGTCTACTGGACAGTCTAAGGTTTTGACGGCGGAGGGAAGATCCGCCAGCACTTGCTCTTTGAGACTATGGACCTCGTACTCTTCAGCCATGTGGCAAAGTTCAAAATGGAAAGCTACCAATTCGGAAGGTTCGAAATCAAAGAGCCAGCCGGTATGTTGCTCATAGTTGTAGGTGTATATGTACTCAATCATAGTCGAGAAGGCTTCGACGCTGTGCTTTTGCTTCAGATCCACCGAATCTTCTAACTGGTTCGCATTAGATCTGTCATAGTGCTGGATTGAGATGTTTCTGCGCTGAGGGACTCACTTTCCAGTCTGCCTCGAACTTGTTTGCAAAGTATGGAGAAATAGTAGACAGCACGAGCTTGCTAACATAGAAATTTTCATCCTGGACTGTGAAAGTGAAGTCAAAGTACTTCCCCTCCTGATTGAGTCTATACATGAGTCTGTTAGATCGTCCTTGTATAACTTTGTATATTGAAGCGTCCTCACTCTAGCATTTTCTTCTGTGCCCGCTCTTCGCTCGGAGCTTCCTCGTTTTCATCACGCGTGCGACGCATCTTGAGATTCTGCAAGCGGATTGATTGGTATGAGGTTTGTTCACGCAGCTCCTGTAAGGTGGTTGCTTGAAGTATTCCAAGAAGCCGAAGTTTGGTAGATGATAGGAGGAATGAAGATGGATTTAACAGAGGAAAGATCCCAAGTCCTAGCGCAAGGTTATCAATCAAAATGTAGATAACGAAGAGCGGTGATAGTGAGTTGAAGCTGTTGTACAGATGAAGGAGGAGTGATGATCAGCTCACCGAGGTCAAAGATGGTCAATTGACGATATCGAGCTCCCAGAGAATGGTCGACTTCTCGAGACTATTCAAGCTAGATTGTTCTGAGCTGATGAGATCCACAGAATACTTTCATGTAAAGAAGGCTTTGTCGAGGAATATATCCCACACTCAGTTACCATGTAGCAGGAAAGAAACTGACGCAATGAATCTCACTCAAGGTTGATCTCAGCATGATGAGGTTTCCTAAATATTGTTTCAATCTGGTGTAAAGGCAGACCAAACAAAATCATAATGTCCCAATGAGCATTGTGAAAAATGATTCCTTGATGGAGTCTAAGCCGACGATGACAAGAAGAGAGAGCCCAAAGCCAGCAGACACCCTCTCCCAGAAGAGCGCAGAATGACACCCTTGCAGATGATTTGCATGAATTCATCTTAGCGAACCCTCCCACAGCCGTGATGAGCACGTTTTCCAAGGCCATGGCTTCGCTAGAGTTCGATGCGAAGGCGATTCCTCAGCTTAAGAGCTGCTGGGACAATCCGTCATACGTATGCTCTTTGGACTATCCACCATGATAAGAAGGAAATCGCGCACATAGTTTATAGCAGTATCTTGGGCATATGCTTGTGAAACGAAGTCAAAGAAGTCACTGAACATCGACCGATACTCAATCAAGGCGCAAATTCTGTCTTCAAAGGGCATTTCTCCTCGAGCTGAAGACAAGATTCTTATCTGGAGTGTGATAGACGGCATCAGGAAATGGGTTTGGTATGGTCGATTATCCCCGAGGTCAGGAACGACGTAGTAATGGTTGTAGATGAAATCAATGACTGCCTCAGTCATGGCTGGCAGCACATTGTATAAAAATATAATTATCCAAGTTTGTTCCCGGTTGTGGCTCAATATTGCGCTTTGGAAGTGTCAAGGCATTTTCTTGCGCGTCGGTTAACTTTCAATCTCCGCTGGACGGGTCGATTTCCTAACTTCAGACGAAGAGCGATTCCGAGATACTATCAATACAGGGAGATATCTAATAATAAGCGTTTCCTTGCCGAAAGCCTCTGCATTGGCAAGAAGCTATAGGGAAAACCTGTACAACCAGGGAAAAACCTATAGCGAGGCTCTAAATCACACGAACTGATCGCTTATTTCCCACAGCACAATGACATCCTGGCATCCGTCGTTCGCTTTGCCCATCACTCCTCTTCTTGACCTCCAATACAGGTATCGTCATTCCCTTGGCCATTGTCCCTGCATTGCTCTGGGTAGCATGTGTCCCTCCAAACCAAATAGTCTTCATCTGACGTGCACAGGAAGCGGGAATCAAGGATATGATGGTCATCAGTAGGCCTACCCGCCCTCTCAAGAGCATCTTTAATGTCCTGGAAGTAGTTCCCTATCCAGAACCTCTTAATATCTCCGCCATTGAGCTCAGGGAACGAGGAGTTCTACATACCCTTCTTGAGCAACGATGATCCGCAGTACGTAAGCCCCTGGTTACATCTGATTGCAGTAACCCCTGTAACCGCAGCAAGAACAGCAAGCAATACCGTGGGTCTCATTGTGGAGGGTTTAAATGTAAATTAACGTGATAAATGTGCTTGTTTGATCACTTCGCTGGAATCCTTGACAGTAGGTTGAGAGATGATGGGACTCGACGGACCTTAGTGACTTTATATGTTTAGTACAGGGACATAAGGTGCTAATACTACAACAAATGACTTGGTTTCGTTACACTGCATTTACCTATTTCTAGCTCTTTTTGTTGCCAGGAATATGTGCATTGTCCACTACAATCACATCACATCTTCAGCGCCATGCATGGGGGTTGGGGTACTCAGCTAATAGCTTACTTTACTGCGTAAAACTAATGCAGCAGGCGATCATCCCAGCATTAACTAGCTATAAGAATAAATATGACGTGCCTCGTTGCTTCCTCTTGAACCAGACGCACATTTGCACTTTAGGCTAGGGCCACTCACCCTGTTCTGGGTGGGATCAGGCAATCAGTCAAAGATCGTCAACGGACCTCTTATATTATTAAGGGGATAATGAGGAGAGAGAAGCAACATCAGGGTAACCTGACAGAAATATGCTTATGGGGTATCTCAACTCCTGTATTCTAAAAGACTTCAACTGCTTGACGCAAAGGGAATGAAAGTCTAAATAATGCATGAACTGACGTAGTCCCTAATAAGCCACCAAACTGATGTAGAGCCAATGTGATTATGTGACATGTCTTATTCAGATTTCAGCCTGCAGGGCCGGGTCCACCTTCGCTAACTCCCGTTGGTTCCGCATCTTTGGTACTGGGAATGCTTTTTTACAATCCCGGCTTGCTGCTGTATCTATCAAGTCATCGTCTGCCCTGATGATTTTTTGAGGTTATGGGATACTAGAAAGAAATGCTAAAGTGAACAACTTGCTGCTTGTACTCTTTACCTGCATAGTAGATGTATTACAAAGACTAAGAACAATGTGCAAGCAGCACACAAGTAACAGCACCTGTCCAAAAGCAAAGACAAACTATCGATTGAGATGCATATCTAGAGCAGGTTAGGAGACAACCAATGCCATTCACCATTAACTCCTTGTGAGCAAAATAAATGCAGAGAGCAGGCATGAGGTCTTAGGGCTTCATCGACTTACGTCATAATAATTGACACGTAGCGGCCAGATCACACAACCGTGACAAGTACTCTCAAGCTCAAAAGCGCAGTAATTATAGATGATCGAGTATCCTATGCTCTATGAGTGCCTACGATGCGATGTCCGAGCTAATGGATGTTTAGTTGCCGAGTCCAGTGGCCTGACAAGCAGCGTATATAAAGCCTGTCAGGCCGGCTATTCTATTCTGTAGAGGATGTCCGGCATACAATATCACAATAGAACATTATCAACAATGGAGCAAAGTACATCATTCGGTCCTGTACTTCATCTATTTGTGGTCCTGCTGAAGTTAGAGATGCAGGCCATCCTCATTCTGCCACGTCAGCTGCACCTGGAATTCACAGAGGATACTCCTCAGCGCTTGAGCAAGCCTTGTTCTTTCGCCTGAACCCATAGATGCAAGATCTGTATCAGTAAAAGTGACAACCCAATTGGCTCCTAGCAGACGCCATCACATCATCCTTCTGCGAGCAAGATCTTTTCAGGAGCACTAGGTCTCAGAGGAATTTGTCATGACTCCGTCCGCGGCGCCACCATCTACAGCTAAGGCACCGAAATGAAGTGCATTTCTGTAGCCGCAGGCTAGTTGGTGGCGATTGCTAATACAGCAGCCTCCTATGAAGAATTTTGCCTATAATACCTGCGTGAGTGCGCTAGACAGAGGATTTGCACTTGCTGCATGGTCATTCCTAAGCTGCAGGGAAGCCAACATAACTTCCTCTCGAGCAAGTTGTGGAAACCCGCTCGAAAGGTCAGGCGGTTTAGTGTGGAGATGCCACATTGCTTATAACTGGACACAAGCTTAGAGTTGTGGCGGAGCAATATGTTTAACGTGCAATGTCATTCTGTATAGCAGAGTCACTCATGGGGGCGTTGGGGGGTGTCAATGATGCAATGCGACGATCTCATAAAATATCAAATCACTTTGGGCCGAAGACCGGTTGAAAGAAAGAGATTGTCTGTATCGGTTGGACCTGCAGCCAGAATGACCACCACTTCCGTCAAGGCCATCAAAAACATCAAGATATAGTAGAAATAAAAACATACAACAGCCGGGATTCGCTGGTAGTCACCCACCCAACTACTAACCGGCCAACGTGGGCTTGAACGCGGTCAATACCCAGGTGGGTGCCCATGCTGGGTGATGGGGGTGATGGGGGTGATGCCGCTTGAACGAGGTGGTGATTAGCGTGGAGGCAGTTCAGGGAGGTGGTGCTTGGTGATTCATTGAAGGCGCATAATGTACATTAAACGCAGAAGGAGAAGATAACAAATCTTAGACATGTTATTGAACGTTCCGCTTAGAAAACTATGATGTATTATAGCGGGAATGGAAAACTAAAAAAATGATATACGAACACTTCTACTATCAAAAGAAGCCTTTTATGCCATTATTATGATTTCACAGCACATTACAGATGTCTCGGAGCGGAAGAACTTCAGATTTCTGCTGCACAGCCTGAACTTAGGGGTGACGTGGCAGCTCAGCGTCCGTGGCAGCTCAGTGTCAGATCACGTTATCCTCGTCAGGAATCTTTCCGTCCCTGACTTGCTCGCCCCGTTAGGACAGGAAAGACTTGGTTCCGTAGTACATATAAGACGACAAGGCAGCGCAGCCAAGGTACTTATACATGAAGCGTCTCCTCAAGGCCTCAAAGAGGCACCCTGAGGCGAGTGCTGCAGCTCTCGAGTGTTCGGCTGCAAGCCCCACGTTTGGTTTCACTTTTTCGAATAACTCCCAGGGTGCTTCGGCCGCGGCGGCTGAATTATCAACAGCGCTGGGCACTGCCCTTGACCAGATAGACTTAGATGGTAACCTCCTTGGAATCAGGAAGATGAATGATCGACTGGCTTGACCAAACCTCCCCCTTGCTAACCGTGCTAACTGACAGGTGACCTCGGAGACCGGTTTAAGCATTTGGTCGATCAACTAGACCAGGAAGCGTCCAATTACGAGAATTCGAAAATTGGCAAGGAGGACACCTTCAACATTTGGGAATGGTAAGGGAACTGCCTCTGTCATAATCGCTTGCCCCCAGCGCTGATCTTCTGCCTGGTTGCAGCCGGCAAGGGACAGCACATCTTTTGTCTATTGCATGGAAATGCGCACTTTGGTCGTATGATCCAGCAGGTGACATGCTGGATACAGAATATTGTCGATTCCGGAAAGATCACGTCGCTTCAGCCTCGATCGGAGGTACAGTCAAGGCGCTGTCATGCACGGTCGTCGAGCCACTTTCGGGAAGGGGTACCTTGAACACTTTCTTGCCCGTTCTGGTGATTGCCGTTCGCGGAAGCGCATCCAAGATGGACCACATGGTGAATGCGAATGGACGACCGAGGGACGCGAACGGGTTTATTGTACGGCATTGTAGTTGTCAGGCCACATTGCTTAGATCGTGCTAACAATGGCCATACAGGATCCCAGTATCTCAGGTCACCATGACTTACTGGCACACTCAGGCTTTTTGAATAGCGCTGAAGCGTTGGAGAGCATTGTTTCGCAAAGTATTAGCCGGTATGCTCAAAAACATACCAGTGGCGATATCCGTGTGTTGTTCACGGGTCACTCTGCTGGCGGTGCCGTTGCCTCTTTGCTTTACCTTCACTATCTTTCGCGCGAGGATTTAAGTAGGAACGCTAAACCAACCAAACATCAACAATTTCTTGAAATGGACTGTCAAAGCTAATGAAAGAGCAGGATCATCTATCCGATTTTCCTGTATTACATTCGGTGCGCCGCCCTCGATCACGGCAGAAGTCAAATCGCCGGGATGTAACCGCCTCAGCAGCAATAACGAAAGTCTCTGTCTCAACATAATCAACGAATTCGATCTCGTCAGCCGCGCAGACCCGCCATATATTCTTTCCATAGTCAATATCTTCAGGTCCATGTACGGACAACCTCCATTGCTGCCGTCGGACACGAATCTAGGCTGCGATATCCCATCCCAGCATCCGACAGCACCTCCCCCAAGCGAGCCGGACTCTGCGGCTCGTACGTTTTCTCATAAGGCCTACCTTGAGAATGAGAAATCTGCTGCATTCGCAGCGAAGATTTGGCCAGTTCCTAGACCTCTCTATTATCATGTTGGCAAGAAGGTTGTTTTGCTCATGCGGCTGGAAGAGGATGACGTCCAGATGAAGGCAGTCCAGATTCTGACCCCGGCTTTTGAAAAGCTCTTGTTCTGCCGGGTGGCCGTGCATAGTAAGATATGCTATTCTGAGCGGATTCAATTGATCGAAAAAGGGCGGTTCAATGGCTACGACAGCTGGGAACGCAGGCCTCATTGATCAAGCTCGAGTTTTTCAAAATTCAAGAGGGAGCAAATCCAAATGAGCATGCTCAAGTGTAGCTACTATTCTAGGATATGAGGTCAATCTATACAAGCATGGAGTCATCTATTCTTCAAAGTAAACAAGTACTGCTACGGTAAAGCCACTGAAGTGCACATAGGCCTATCACTGCCGGCGGGGCCGTTCCTGGCCATTTTGTCTAGCCAACTCGACAGCCCGGTAGTATCCAACGTCCTGTCGGACAAGCTCAGCTAACGCATCCATGTCAGCCCCATCCAGGCCGCCATTCTCGTCGATCTGTTCCAAAATAGACGCAGTCGCTTCACAATCCCAGCAAAGACAGGTCGAGTACTCCTGGCCAAACCGAATGATGAACAGTTGCCTCGTCTCCGCCATCGCGCCATCCAGTACTGGCTGGCCGATTTTGTCGTCGTGATTGATGAACCGCCCCGTGCGCTCCCGCATCGACTCTTCGTATTGTGCCGCGGAGCATTGGTGCGTATGCCACACGAGATCAATATCCAATGTGGGTACCATCATCTTGCCCGGGTAGAACTTGAAGAGTTTGAGGAACTTATCGTACCGGCCAAGGGCCCGGCGCAGAGTTCCCTCGGCAGCGGGGCTGCAGATCCAAAGATGGCGGTGCATCTTGTCGACGAAGGCGGCCTGGCGCTGGACATTGTCCACCAACGGCTGATTCTGACTCTTTTGTACGTCTAGCTCGAGAAGGATGTTGAGAAAGGACTTTTCGCTATCGGCGAGGTATCGCACTTCCGGAGACAAACTGCCAAAGGTTACACTCCGGTCGCCATACCTGGACAGGACGCGCGAGACGGGGTTCGCCGTTCTCCCCATGAGTTCGAGGTACTGGACTAGATCCGGATGCATATTAACGGTGACCCTGGTCCAATCGCTCGAGGCGTTTGCCAGCGAATAAGTCCAGTCATTTGCGTTTATGGCGCGGTGCTGGTTCTTCAGTTAGCAATCATCTTGAATATTGGGGAAAGTGTCTTTCAGCCTACGATCTCTGCCCAGGGAAATGACAGCTGGCGAATTCCTTTCAGCCCGTTTTTCCTGCAATAATAATCAAAGTCCACGGGATTAAGCAAGCAAGCGTGCCAGACCATAAGCACATCTAGATCCGTATCGTATCTTCCATTAGCCCCATATATAAGCCAGCTCCGCTCAAGGTCACCTTGGCGATTAGACATACCTAAAGGGGGCAAGAATGGCAGTCTGGTGTTCTCCGATAGCCCCGATCCATCTACTGTGTCGTTGGCCTTCCTTATCCACATCTTAAACCTCTGGACAGCGATGGACAGGAAGTAAGACCACTTCTCCCTCCTTCTGGCCTGCCAGGTATTGTCACGTAACTTATATGGCTTGTAGATGTATTTTCGCTTCCTGCGATCGTATTCCTTCCTGTGCACGATCCCGTTATTAATCTTTATTCCGAATGTATTATCCAGTTGCGTCGAGTTGATGATTTTCGACCGCAATGCAAAGAACACCTCGAGTAGCTCCAAGTGTACGGCGCATTGTCCAACCGTGGGCAGTGCGTTCCTGTCTCGTTGGTTTTCGTATGGAACGAGTGATGTGAAGAGACTGGGTGAAGGGATCGCTGGCTCTTCAGACTCGTTCATTGACTTCGGGTATGGTAACTCCTTGGTTTTATTTTGAGATGACTGTATCCTGCTAATTTCGGCCTTGCTAGCCTGGTGAAGCTCATGAAGATGAGAGTCGATAAGGTGCGACATGGTAAAGCGATCCTGCTTGCTTGATGAAGGATCTCAGTCTGAAAACGGGTTCCAGTAATCTAAGGCACAACCACTAAGACGCTGATGGGGATTCGGTGCTTGCTCGTGCAGTGAGGGGTAAGGTTCGCAAGCAAACTGCATTAGATATATAGCCAGGGTAGGCGGCTATGCTAGATCGGCCAAACGTCCCAGAGCAGCAATACCGCACTAACACAAAATACGATGTGAGTAATACCGCTTTACTGGTGTTGACATGACATCTTAAGATTCTGCATCGTAATCCACCCCTGGACATAGGAATAATAGGACTGAAATTTATTGGTATGTGTTCTTAACCAAATCGTTTTCATCGCTATGCGGTGTCGATCAATTAGGCCACAGTGGATGATCACCTGATGCATGTTTTGGTGGTCACCGATGTGCATGCTCTACTCTGTAAAGGCAAGAAATACAGTCTTCTATAGGTTTGTCAATGCACAGCACGCATTGGTCTCACCGCATTATAAGGGGGCCAGTTAAGACAATGGGGAGTTGTTCGGTGGGGGATGCTAAAATTGATTCATCACTACGCAAAATACAGCAGGGAGCTGGGTGTCACATGGTTTGAACATCTTTCAGCCTCGCGAAGAGATTGGATGCCTTGGTGAACTACAAAACCTCCTTGCTCAACCAGACGTCATCCGCGGCTGAGTTGGCTATAACGCAATGTACAGTACCATCTTCGGAACCGCCAAATTAATCGACAGCACTACTAAAACACTAGCCTCAGCGCATCTGAATCCATACGAACTTGGCATTTCGTGACATCTCCTCACCCGACGTCGTTATCCATTATGTGGGGTCCGGGAATAGCATCCTGCATCTTCCGCTTCATTTGTCACATTCCCACGGGAATGATGGGCTTTGACGGCATACATATCTACGAGCAGGCGAAGAGTTTAGGGAAAATCTACGATGTCATCCCGCAGGGTTGGAACTTCCTACGGGGCCTGCATATCATTGGCATCGCGGTACGTCCTTGAAATCTGAAAGAAAGAATAGAACTTGGGGGGTTTAACCTAGCTCAGGGGGTGATAACATTTGGCTGGAACATCTTCCAATTCTGCGCGTCCCCGTTCTGCCGCGGAAATCTCCTCGGCACCGTAGGGTTGGTCGATTTGATTCTCACATTTTCACTACTCGTCGGTCTCGTGATGCAGCACCTGTTCCTCCCCGGGACGTATGGCGTCTGTGACGGCGCTGCCGACTGGAAGAACGGCACCGACGGGCGCGAATCGGTCAACTTCTTCATTGTGGCCAGCAGATCGAGCGGATTTGAAAGTTATGGCGGGCTGAATGGCATCTGCCACACAATGGTCCAAAACTGGGTCATCAGTATTGTCGTCATGTAAGCCCTGCGTCCACCCCGTTCCTCTGATTTACTAAGGGAAAGAATATGTCTTCTAACCGGACTGGGAGACGATCCAGAATACTCTACCTGATATGTGGTCTTGTCAACGTTGTCATTGGTTTTGGCGACGAGCGTACACTTGAATGTAAGGCTCCTACCCGTCCTGGGAAATGTCTGCCTGATATGTGCTCTTGTCAACGTTGTCCTTGGTCTTTGCGACGCACTTACAGTTGGCGGTAAGTAGGGCTCCTACGGGTCCGGGAAAATGACTCGCCAGCCTCACCACGATGGCTTTTCAGCGACTATGGCTTTGTGAACCTCGCACTGGCCCTACCTACGGCCGTTATTCAAGCAGGGATCCATACCCCAAGAGTTGGGTACTTTGCCTTTCGATATGTTTGCAAAATCCTTGCGCGGACGAAGAGGGGAGGAAATATCCATCTACAGACAGCCCTCTTAGGTGACAAGGACACCACCGCACAAATGGGAGAGTTCCGCCAACATACGTGCGAGGGCAATAACACCATTTCCCAATGTGCTGTGTGCAGCGGTCTCATATGTTCTGTACGATGCATCGACTTCTTTTATGCCCAGGATATCATGGCCAACTGACATACCTTTTTTAGAATTGTCAAGTCAGTATTGACCTACAACAATCAGATTCGTTTCGGCATCTTACAAGGTGCCGGCCCATCTGCTCCAAGTGCCTGTACAAGAACCACTGCCAGGTGAGACCCAAGTCCGGACGACGAAGACGATACGAGTACAACAACTACGGCAGGAGATATCCGAACGCTGATATCGAGATGAACGGTGCCGACGTCTCGCCTTTCCAGCAGAAGGAGGTATGCCGTGTCTGCGCCCGTAAATCGCCAGACGAGCGATTGAGAATAATCGATTCGCAGGATATGCTCGAGGTCCACCGGCTGACCAGGCTTCCACTCGCTTGCGATGAATGCAAGGAACTGCTGCCAGCAACAGGGGTGCGGTGGTGGATAGACGCCGAAACTGGAAGGGAGTGTGGCTGGTCTGGTCATCCTCCCTGGGCTATGAATTAGTAGGGATTTTAGTGTGTTATTACCGAATAGATGGATATCCTATGGACGGAGTTGACTCCCTTGTCTTTGGCAGAATGGGAAACTGAGATAGCAGCATCGAAAGATCTAGTCTGTTCCTGTCCAGAACTAAGTTTACGGATTGGTCCTTGTAGATTGAGAAACTAGACACGTTATCCCTTCAAAACCAAGTTCATGTTGTTGGGACTTTGGAAAACGTTCGACTTAGTATCATTGCGCTGTGGTCTGTCTGCGTCGTGAGGCGCTGTTCCATGGGAAGGGGCTGTGTTCTCGTATCAGGATTTCTATTCAGTGTCACTAGTGACAAAGCATCCTTGCGGAGCGATTCGGTCCTCTGACACCAGCATGACCTTGCATACAGACCACTGCGTCCTGTCCCTGTCCAGAAGCGGGGTTAGAGAATAGGCCAAGGCAAAGCTCTCGTGATTACCCGTATTTGCCTGCGCATTGATGCGTCGGCAAGGCTGAAGCGATACAAAACAGGAAAAAAAAGGAAAAAAAAAAAAAAAAAAAAAAATGGGCCGCGCAAGGCTGATGATAAAATGTCGGGGTTTTAATATATTTCAAGAAGAATGTCAAACAAGTTCTCAAAGCACCAACACCACCCCGCCTCTCTATTCCAGCCCTCTCCATGTCTCAACGTCAGCTTCGAGGCATCCGCTTGACCGCGGTCTTACCCGGTTTCCCTTCGCAGCCGTCGAATTTCATCACCCCAGCATCACGCGAAGAAGCGGCCTGGTCGTCCGTCGGAGCCGGGAAAGAAATCCTGTTCAGTGAGCTCGAGAGGCTGTACTGGGAAGGGGTGAAGGAGGAACTCGAAAACATTATCCGCACGTTGAAAGTATGGCAGCAGCCGGAATTTGCTGACATTGTCGTGGCGGACGAGACAGATGACTTTGTCCATGGATTTGACACGTTTCTTGACCAGGTTGGCCAGGAGGCGCGGGCATTTGCTATCAGACGTGGTATGCTCTTTCTCATACGCCTAGCTGGGTTCACCTTGCGCACCAGGCTTTCAATACTACCTATAAGGGGCACGCGATAATATGAAACTGACCATGTGCTAGTCCAAGAAAGAGAAGCTGAAGCGCAAAAACAAGACCACATGTCCTCTCAGGAGAGTCACACAAATGCTCTAAGAAAAACCATGATGGACAGCAAGGCCGAGCACATTAGTTCTAAAATCAAGTCTTCAGTAAGACAAGCTGTTAATGGTACGCATCATAACTGATGCAAAACCATCAATCTACACGTCGTCGCTAATCAGGGAGTAGATATACCCAGACTCTCTGGACTTGAACAACGAGCATGGGTACTACTTCAGGCCACCGGTCAGTTGGTAATCAATGTTGCGAGGGGGCAGTGGCTAATGGTTAACTGGACTTGTCACAGGATTCCTCGATATCGAAAAGCTGATCGAACATCGCCCACCGCTGAATAAACTTGGATTCTGGAAGAGACCAGCCATCCCTCAGCGTTCGTGCCCCACCACTCGCTCTGCCACCAATCGATCAAGTTTCTACGTCTAACAGTATAGAAGTTGCTCTCTCAAAGTTCGACCACCTTTGGATACCCAGGTTCCAGCCCATGCATTGCGCAAGACCGGAGTGCAAGAGCATCATCCGAGGAAGCATGTTTATCTCTCACAGCCATGATGATCCTAGCGTTGTCTGCGAAGGATGCTACCGACTTTATTACTACGGTAAAGAATCATATGTCAAAGCCTACAAGCACTGCATCCTTCAACAGTCAATCACTCCGGATATAAGCAGGAATATCTGTCGCTGTAGCACAGTCCCCCGCTATGACAACTCAGGAAGGCCGTTAGCACTGTTTCCGGTCGATAAAAATGTCAAGCATCTCGACGTTGGGGGATTCGGGACCATCCAGTGCAGTCTTCTAAAGCTTGGGGAGCTCGTCGCTCGTGCCAAGTACGACGGCCTACAGTCAACTGTTGGGATCAAGAAGGCCAAGCCCATGCCGACGTTCTCGAAATTCAGCATTGAGAATATCGCGGCTAATACTATGCAGAACAGGACACAGAAGCAGGCTGGACAGAAACAAGAAAAGATGAAGCTGGTGACAGGAACCAGTCTCCATGACTCACAGAAAAGCTCGGCTACGTCAAGTTCAACCAGTGTGGTCACGGAGGCACAGGCTGACACGGACATTCCCCTCTTCTTCAGAAAGTTCACTAACAAGTACCCCTTTGGGAACGTCCATATGGCACTGCGTGTTGGACCAATAGTTATTGAAAACGGCGTAGCACAGTGAGTTTGTCGTTGAATGTGATGTACTATGGCTGTCGGCTGAGACATGTTCCAGCACCAAGGGAGGCGCGCTCGTCACCCTGCGCGAGGTGCCTATCTTTCACGAGCGGTTTAGATTTTCCAACGGTCGGCGCCGAAGCCTCGCAATTGCAGGGTCTCCTGACAGGACGGTGTGGCAACAAATGCGGCCGGTAACGAACCATACAAAGAGATATAAGGCAATAATGAAACAAGTGGTCGGAGCGCCTTTCAGCGGGCTCCTCTCACAAAGTGACGAGCTCGATATTGTCCGAGACATTCTGACAGCTAGCCGGCGGCCATTCGATAACCACGGCCTGCCGGCTTCAGACAAGCAGAGGATCCTGGATTCGGCTCTCGAGCCAGTGTTGCAGAAGGTCAAGAAACTCCTGAAAAGTCGAGTGAACATCTATCTCGACAGTATCACGAAGCGATTATTGGACCCTACCGTGAATATCAAATGGAGCGCCACGACAAACAACTGCCAAAACTTCTGCAACTCCCTCGTTAACACCAGCATCTTCGAACCACTGGTCAGGGGCCCCGCCAATATCGAAACTGCAGAGCACGAGCCGCTGTATTTGATGAGTTTTATGTGCCCTGACGAGGGATACATGCAGCGAGGCGTTAAGACGAAATTTGACGTCCCCAGCGGGCTGACAGAGGAATATCTGCTCCGGTTCCACTTCGGCCGGCACGATGAGGCCGATATCATCGACACGTTTCAGGAATACTGGTACGACTGGGGCGCGTTCGGGGGGCCTCTGTATAAATACCAGAACATTTTCCCTTGGGACTGCACGGAAGCCTATGGTCGTTATCCAACCCGCTGCGGCGAGTGCAACATGTCAAAGCACGTCTGGGCCTTCCCTTTTGACTCATGGTCTATGGTTTCACACCACCTTGCCCGCGACCGGCACATGTACGCCCCTGCAACTCTGTCTGAAAGCCTCACCGACACAGGGCCCTGCACCAAGCTGCAGGCCTGGATGCGCAACCGGCTGACCGTGCTCTGCGCATCAGCGGTGCTCTGCCGGGCCGCCACCGCCATGTCCCGGACGGCGTCCTTCCGCTCTTCTACAGAATGGCTGCACTCATCCTCCAGGTCAAGGCTACGGGTACAGTACCCGTCCCTGACCCGTGTCAAGCTAGGCGGCATCCACCGGGCCCAGCCATTCAGCCACTACTTTGAAGCTGGGACTTACAAGCACTACTTCCTGGCAGAGTGGGCGCTATTGTCGCGGCCCGAGCAGGTCGCTGCCTACGAGCTGATACGAGACGGCCGCACCCGGCTGCTGGATGTACCGGCTTCGGGCGCGGGCCGGTTCTCGACACCCTCGACGGAGAGGAGCGAGAGATTCCTCGGGTTATACGGGTTCGATGGGTTCGACGGGTTCGACGGATTTGGCGGGATTGGACAGACGGACATATCCGAATCCATGGCCATTGTCTTTACCGACGCCGGCTTCTCAGACGATGGCTCGGCGCCCGACAAAACAGATGGTGCCCCGGCGTGCGCAGTAAGTTGTGGGTCGAACTGCGGTAGTGGTTGTGGGAACAGCAGTTGTGGCGGTGTAGCTTGTGCAGGAGGCGGCGGCGGATTCGGAGGGGGTTGCGGAGCTGGTGGCGGAAGTTGCGGAGGAGGCAGCGGAGGTGGCGGAGGAGGTTGCGGAGGAGGCAGCGGAGGAGGCAGCGGAGGCGGCGGAGGAGGTTGCGGCGGATTCGGAGGAGGTTTCTGAGGAAGAGGTGACGGCTATGAGATTAGACCTGGTTCAAGTTCGATTTAGAATACCAAGTTCCAAGGCCACCTGCAGTACCTATTTGTCCGCCTGGAAGACCGACAGTGTCGATGGCTCAAACGACACATTCGAGGAAGGGAAGAGTGATTAGGCTGGCAGTGCGAAGGGCCAAGGAGTTTAGTCTTTGGTGGCTTGGATAGATTCAAGGACAACAAGTTCCTCTTGGTGGCGTGCTTGTTTGGCATTATGACGCTTTCAACCAATCCATAGGACACCATGCGGATACAGACGCGGTCGAAACAGCCAGAATTCGGCAGAGGGAACTGGACGACCGTGGCAGAATATACCAATGTCATAACACGCCCGCTGGATTGGATAACCAGGTTAAGATTCAAAAGGCGACAGATGTCTGTGGTAGACTGGGCGATACCAAAAGCCAAGCCAGTATTATCTGGGAACCTTTAGGGGGTCTTGAAGCGGGGATGCTGTTGTGCAAGGGAGTGCGGATGCTGCAGTAACTATTACGAGACGACACGATGGCTAAATTTTTGGACACTGTCTGAAGAGGGTCCCTGTTGCATAAACACCCGGGGAGAAGTGCTCTTCCTGAGCAAGCGTGGGTTATCAATATCGACAAAATTGTTTTGATGCACGAGCGTATGGCTAACGGACATGTCGAGACCCAGATGTAGATAGGGATGGAAGTCTCCAGTGACTGGCTTCTCTCATTGGAATTTGTTTCGATTTTGTCTCTGTAGTGACAGTGGGAGGGCCAGATGAGAAAATTGGACATTCCGGGGTGGTTTGCAATGTTTATGCGTTCTGATGCTCACTCCGTGGCCATTTTATCAGAAGGCTCATTCTGTTCGGTAATGTCTACCCACGGCTCCTCGAGAAAAGACCTCTCGCAATCAGTAGTCATATTTAAGGGAGGCTGGCCTCCTGGAAACTGTGGGCATACCTTGATAGGATTTCTTTCGTAAATAAGACCGTTCTCAGGTCCTCGATACGTTTGAGACCGCCTGTCTGATCTCCTTCCTCAGATGTTTCAAACAAATGTGCCGAAGTCGACCAGTCACTCAGATATCCAGCTGCTGTTGGATAGGCTCAAGAATGGTGCATGACTACGAAACGAATCTGTACAACTATGGGGATAATTTGCGGAACCCTGGGGGAGAGCTCAGGCTAGGATGTAGGCGGCGTATAACTCACAGGGTGATTAGCAGGTGAGATATATGGGCAAGGTAGTACTTTTACAACCTTGTACTGGTATCAACTCAACGTCGCTCTATTTCAATTGCTTTCTTCCTGTCAGCTCTCCAGTAGATCCTGCTTACACACATGTCGCACTAACCTGACTGAGACGAAGAATCCAATTTGATCTAGCCAGAGTTTAAAGCAATACAATGCTCTTGTTGAAACCAACATAGACTCTGAAAAAATCGACCAGGAAGCAAGGTCTGGCACCGACAAATGTGCCATCAACATGTTTTTATCCAAGGTGATCGATCATCCAACGATCAAGAGCATACTAACGAAAGGCAAAAAACATACAACAGCCGGGATTCGCTGGTGGTCACCCACCCAACTACTAACCGGCCGGCGTGTGGCTTAAGTACGGCTGAGCGGACGGGAAGCCCTGTTTTCCACACCCTATGGTCGTATGTGTTCAGTTCAATCTGAATCTAATCTATGAGGCAAGCACTTTATGCTTATATATATATGTCTATTCAAGGGCCATGGTATGTTTCAGGCTATTAAATGCTCAAAACCCTTGCCCGGAACTGACAGGAGAGTGACTGGTATGTATAATTAGTTAGACCTAGGGCTAGACCAGTCTACTATTAGACTTCCCATCACTACCTAAAATTTATTCCACCAGACGCAAGGATATACAGTAACTTCTTTGCTCTAAGTTAAATTACTAGTCTTCTAAAGTTAACTTATATTAGGTCTGGTAATAAATAAGTAGAGTGATGTTATATAGACCCCTTAGAAGCTTGTAAGAATACCTAAGTAATTATATATAGGAATAATGGGAGAGAGCTAGAGGCTAACTCCCCTAAAAATACCATGGAGTCAGGTACAGTAGAAACCAAGGAATATAGTTTTAGACTTTATGCCTAATCAAGTATCAGATCTTGTCCTACCAAATTATTTTATTTATTTGTTTTTAGTGTTTTGTATATCAATCATGTTCCCACCTGCGGCCTACCCAGTGATTGGGAATGGACTCTTAGTCTTAGCCAGCGCCGTTATCTTCCAGACAAACCTTTTAGTAGTCATGTACAGCGCAAAGCACCCCCTCCCCCCTCTGACCCCTTTCCCCCCGGGCCCCTGTCAAGCGTAGCAGTAATGTGGCCCTAGCCATAATTAATGAACCCCAACTCAATCAGCTGCGCCCCTGACGTCCTGCATTAGCTCAACCATGGCCAGCTATGAGTAAGTTTCTTTCCCATCTGATGCCCGCTCTCTAGCTAAATAAGATTTATCCTATCTCTCCTCCAGAGCAAGACGCGCCCTGTTATCTGTTCCTTTCCGCATTATAAGGCTTGCGTAGCAGTGGTAAGAAAACACTCAGGAGTGGATAGTTCTCGCAGGCGATCTGTCCAGATCATACGAATTATAGTAATAACGTAGGATTCCCTGCTAGCAATGCCAGCCCCGATATACCAATGACGTCCTGCGTCTTCCCTAATTGTAAAATGCGTGCGGGAGGAACAACTAGGTAAATGATTTAGATAAATAATTAAAACCGGAAAATGTGTTGGCAGCTTCCCGCATAATCGCTATTTAAAGAGGAAGGAAGAAAAAGCAAAATTCGCGACGCTCCGGTCGATCCACACTCAGTGCGGCCTTAATACAGCATGTAGTGCATTCTCTCTTCACAAAGTAAGTCGTGTACTCTGGCCCAAGATATGTAGTGGAAGCAATTGGCGGGATAAAGTTAACAAGCTCCCTGCAATCGAGTATAAAAATAGTCTTACCACCATGTTTGAGAGGCTGCTTCGTTGACATTGCATTCTCGACGTCTTCGGGACGGAACACCATACTGTGGCAACAAGGTTTCGAAAGTCGTGGTTGAATTGTGCACTTACATGACACAAGGCCAGTTTGGCCAGACAGCTGAGAGACAAAGCTGGCTGGACCAGCACGAAGAGGTGACACATATTCAGTGGCTTCACCTCTCTGAAGTTCTAACAAGCATTCCAGAGCGGTGTATGTTTCCTGGACACTCAGTGACATACGCCAATCTGGGTCGTGCATCGTCGTGGTTTGAGCCGCCAGATCAAAGTTGGTTGCCGGGGGCTGATGGAGAACGCGATCGATCAGTTTCGTGTAGTTCTTCCCATCATGAGTAATACGTCCAGGAATCAGATGAATTCGCGACATGTCTTCTTTGCTACAGCTAGGATTCCGCAGGAAACCCAAAAAAGCCGTAATGCCGTTGAGACAAATTGCAGAGAAACGCCCACCGGGAGTATGCACTTCCCTGCCAGTGAAAAGACCCAAGATTATCTTCATCCGGGCATCGAGGACATCCTCACTGTCTGTCAGAGATCCAAAGGAGAAATTCCGGTCGAAATCTAGGCAAAACGCKATTTGTCCGATCTCTCTCAGCTCTCGTAGACCTCCAGGAGCACACCGCCTCTGATCTAGCTGTCGACCATAGGCAGCTTCGAATCCGCTCCGCACCGGGCGAAGAGCTGCATCCTCGAGAGCGACATTTGCCAGCGCACGGGAGAGACAAATGATGGTTTCAACAAGTACAACCAAGCAGTAGCGGTCAGGGTCCCAGTCCTGAATAGACTTATCATCATCGTCATCATCCGCTTCCTCCTCTTCACTTCCAGGAGCAGGTGTCATTTCTGCGTCTTCGTCCAGCGGAGGTATAACGTGCCCTGTCGAGGTAGAATTACACGTGAGACACCCACACATCTCTCGAAGCTTCCCGATCGAGGATTCATATTCCCTCCGAGCAGCGCTCATTTTCAGTGATGCGGAATTTTCCATAAACTCTTTTACCGGCGAGAGCTCTGGAAACCAGTGCAATGTGTTCCTGATGAAGCCGAGACCGTACGAAGCGTCACAGTAGCTAGTGCATGCAGCTCGGAATCGCATGGGAAAGAATCCATCGGCCTCGACCAATCCCTTGAACAGTCTCGCTGCTCCTCCAATCGTAGTCCCTAGGCTCTCACGAAGTCCGATCAGCTTTTTGAAATCCGAAGCAAATGCAGAAGACAAGGCCGATTTCCACTCGAGGCGTCCGGATACCAACATCGAGGCGTTCGAACGACCTTCTTCCAAAAAGAGCTTAGAAATATCGTCAAGTGAAAAGGTATGACCAACGGTCGTCAAAGACTGCCTTTGTTTGCCATTATTTTTCTTGAAAATAATGCGAACTTGGGCATCGTCCGGGTCACAGTTACGATGGAAAACTGTATCACAATCCCTGTGACAGAGCTCTTCCTTATTATCGTCTTCCAAGTATATGACCAATCTCAGCTCGAAAAACCATTGCGCAACAGCAGCAAGCCACCCTGTGTCATTGCCACCAACGAAAGTGACAGCTTGGCTATCTCCCTTGGTGACCCGTGCAAGACCAAAGATCGCTTTAGCAATCGACATTGGACTGGAACAACTGCGAACGGACCCGGAAGAAGAGTCGAATCGGTGATATGCGCCAAGTCTGCGGTCGTCTTTTGGTAGCTGCATGTAATGTTCCGCTAGCAAGGGGAAGGCGGAAGAAGCCAATGTGCCTGCGCAAGCGGTCAAAAGTTCCTTCCAAGCTTGACTAGACGGCATAAGCTGCCCGTCCGCTTTGACAAGCCTTGCCATCTCTAAAAGGATCTCCACTGCCATGTCATCAGAGTAGCATTCTTTCAATGCTGCACAAAATGCCATGCATATCCGGCCCCGTTCTGTCTTAGACATCGCTCTCACAACGTCTTCTACAGAGAAGCCGATCTCGAGGGTTTTGCCCAGCGTTCCAACGACTTTGAGTTTCTCGACAGCAGTGTCTATCCTCTTCCTTCCGTCTGGACTGAGTTGGAAAATGGAGCAAAGTGTTTCACCAACCATCACAGCGTACGGATTAACTCGCGCCGCGCTATACCGGGAAAGAGCGCCAAGTGTGCCTTTGATGGGCGCAGCTGAAAGATCGACCATGTTCCATGACCCGGACTGGGGAAAAGGCCGACCACCCTGGATGATATCCAAGGTGATAGGTTCGCCCTTATGGTCTTCCATAATTGAAGAACCTGATACTCCTAAGGACTATGTTGTTATTTATTGAGATGTACCTGCTCAGATAAAGTACATAATGAACCGTCAGAGGGAAAGGCTGGAAGGTAGCCGAGGGATTGAATGGCTGTCACATTGGTTGCAGGCATGACAGGCTGGGGACTGTCGTCGCATCGTCCTCCAGCAGTCCAGCGTCATCCAAGAGGTGGCGAACACGTATTTTGCCACGTGACACTGTGACACGCCGTGGACTTTCTGCGTGGATTCTTCCAATGTCGCGCATGATTTAATAAGTTGTCACACTGAGCGGCGTGCATACAGCAAATGATAGACTCTCAGGCGCTTGGCAGTTGAGAGGCTGCGATCAATTGAATGGTCCATATGCCCTTGAGGGGCCAAGGCTCTCATCTACAGCAAGCCAGTGGGACAAACCGGAAAAAGCAAAAATTGGTTTGTATGTCCGCCACTGCTAAATCCGCCTGCCCTGCCGTGTATGTTTAGGTGGTGTTTAGGTGAAGAATATTCAGGTGGGTGAACTACCACCCGAAGCAGCCAGGATTCGCCGGTGGTCACCCACCCAAATACTAGCCAGACGGCGTGGGGCTTGAACGCGGTCAATAGACTCAATACTCGGGTGCTCTCTTGGATGTGGATGACAGGGTCGGACTAGCAGGGTGTAGCTTAGAGACATGCTGATGTTTGGAGAAAACATCAGTGGCCTGGAGCAGGCATCACCTCCAGCAGCCCTCGCACTGTGAAGGAATGCGGATATGATCGACCAAGCGCTAAATCAGTTGCCTTGGAGGTTTGAGTGAAATATGAAACACCTAGTGTTGCGCCATCAGTCCTTAGCCATGGCTTTCCTTCTTTTGCTCAAATACTCTGCAGTATGCGTAGCGCAGCCGCTGTATTCGCATTGCATGACCTGACCCGAAGCCCATCATTTCTCTGAGAGCCACAAGGCGTTGGATAGTAAGTAAATCACATCCTTCTGGTAAAGATATTACTGTGCATTAAACTGTATACGACTAAAACTCTTTTTTTAGGATACTAGACTTAAATAATATCCCATAATATTATCCTGGCTTCTTATAGGGCTCATTTTTTCCTTTTCCCCCTCCCTCTATTTGTTCCCTACCCTAAATTTTTCCCTTTCTGCTAAGGACTGAAGGGCCTCTGGGTGCTAAGATATTTACTGATCCAACCTATATTGATATTTGAACATATATAATCCAGTTATGTATCGCTACAGGATACAATATCATCAAATCATGTCGAAAGATAAAAGAGAAAAGGACAGAGACAAGGCAGTCTAGTCTTTCACCGTACGCAGCAATCAAAGCGAGATAACAATCAGTGTAGGAATCTAAGGAAAGGCAAAACGCCACTATAGACAACCCATGGCCTTTATACGTCTCTTATCCTTCTAATCAAACCAAGTCTGCCCCCCGATTTCTATCCCGCAAACGCTGCCGCCGCCGAGTAAGCCAATACCAGGACCCGACAGTTAATATTGTCAGTGGGCCGGCGAGGACAACAAAAATCCAGAATTGATGCGATATCTGGAAATCGCCACCGGAGCCGTAGTCAAAGAGGTTCATCCCAAGGAGTGACTGCCTAAAAAGTCAGGATATCATAACGGATGAATGCAGATAATCTGGTAGGTTTGGGCACCCACGGAGACAAAGCTGGCTGGCAGGTATATCAATGTCACCAGCGTCACGATTCGAACAGTGGCATTTTCATCCAGAGACTTGTTGGTGAGCTTTACCAGCTTGTTATTGAGATCGAGCATTTTGTTGTTGATGTCTATAGTCACAGCTTGGTTTTCCACCGTTAAGGCAACTGCCAGCTGTATCAATTAAGATTAGGGAATCGAGGACGACATTATATATCAGCGGAATTTTTGGGTAGCTCACCAGATCCGATATGCCCCGAACCTTTCGTTCTAGCACGTTAACACTTTCAAGATGTCCTTCAAGGGATGTTATATAATACGTTAGTTCACTGGCCACAGATTGGAATTCATCATCGCTCGAGAATCTCTTCGAGTGGAAGAATGAATTAATCTGCTCTAACCGGTGCAGTGTTGTCAAAGCGACACCAACCCGAGAAGCGACTGGAACTAGCCTATCGCCCAGGTACTGCTGTTTGAGAAGGTAAACAAGCCCATCCTTATGATCCCCTGTCCGCGGTTTTGAGAGATCCAGAGTAAGTGCGATATCCACCTGGCAGCGAATTAAATTGAAAGTCATGATCTGGGCTTATATGAAACGCACAGTCTTTTCGATCTCGTCGCCCAGATTTCGAATGCACCAGCGCCAACCGCCCAGGTAAGTGGACAGAACTAGCAGATGAATGGAAGACCACTCTGCAAGAAGAGCGGCAGGGCTTGTTGATAGTGTCTGCTCGATTTGTCGCTGGAGCTTCGATTGAGGGCTTGCATGAAGCAAGATCCAGAGATTCCCCGACTTCAACGGGTCGTATCGATGGAAGACACAGACTTGGCGGATCCTCCAGGAGACTGTTTCTCTTCCCTTGCTGTCATCTTCTGCATAGGTGAAGAGATATTGCATATCTGCAAAGTTAGCGCGGGATACATACCCCAGCCGAACCAAAGGGGGAATACCGTATGCGCCATTGTCTCCCTGTTTCACGCTCATGCCCCCATGACCAGCATCAGAGCTCCGTGGCTTGTCGCCGAATGAAACAACTAGGTCGAAGAAAGAGGAATCAATGTTGTACAGGCTCATGAGCTTGCGCATGGCCTGTTCGGTGATGCCTAAAGGTCGCAGAGAATTTTGACAGCATATTGACCTGGGAAACGTCAAATTGGTGTGCGATCGGAAACGAGTGAAAGGAAATATACACTATGCGGGCTTCTGGCTTCGGGGTAGTTGCTATATGAGTCTCGAATATTTCGCTGTTGGTAAACGAATACACGGTCTCCTTGGGTGTGGTTTCGAAAACATATATATTAGACTCCTCCGGCTGAGAAGCAAGAGCTGGATAGCGGAGATGAGGTCGAATCGATGCATAGTAGTCGGATGCGAGACATGCCATATTTTGTTCAGAGACTATCGGAGGCGAAGAGTGATTATCAGCGCACGTCACACGGTTCAGTTTGATAGGAACTGCCTTTGAGAAAGAGACCTATTGCTTTGCCGTCAAGTTGAATAATCCCAGAAATCGTCGGGGACTGACGTTAATTATACCTTATTCCCCTTGTTCGATCACACACGATGAATTGGCAACGGGGCTCATAAGGCATTGTAAAAGGCAGATCTGGAAACTCACTTAGCGCCCGTGAATGGGCATCCGCCATAGTGGCGCAGTTGGAAAATGCAACGGTATATACACGAGCTCGCAGACTCTGCAGTGACTAGATCCTTAAACGAAGTTTCATCTACGAGGGAAACAGGTGTATATGCAGCCTACTGCTACCAAATCAAGTACGCGTCATCCAACCCTTCACCCTGGTCTAATCGCGAAGGTCACTACATTACTCGGGTGTCAGTAGGTACAGAGTTGCATCCAATAAGACGCAGAGAGCGCTTACGCGATCTCATTCTGTGGCGAGGGCAGGTCGCGGATCAGCAATTCTCGCCCAAGGCAGGCATCACGACAGTTAAGAGGAATATGTAGCTTACCGGAGTTACTTTTCTGGGGGCGTCAAAACAGTATCGACCATTGATGTGCTTTTGATACAGGGCGTGAGCAAGACAGCGGAGCTCAGGGTGGCAGTGCTGGGTTGATCTTATTACCTGGACTTTGATGGGATACCCGAATAACAAGTACAGGCGGGCCTCAAGCTTTTCCTGTCKGATGTAGCTTGTTTCATCCTCGCTGATAATATTCTGGATTGTTTGGCTCATGATGAAGGATGTTAGAAACAGGATCAGAGGCGATAAGTCGGTCGAAGGATCTAGTTTTTTGGGAAAGAGTAAAGTCTGATATGTGGGTTGCGGGACCGATGACGAGAGTCCTGTAGTTTTCTATCCACCGCGGGAAGAGCCGCCTGCGTTCCAACAAGGCTGGCACAAAAAGGAGGGCCGGAAGGGGCGGTTATAGCAGAGTGAGTCCGACTGAACGGTTGAACATACAGACAAGGTTCGACGGACTCTGCTGCGGGCAAGATCTAAAACGCTTGGCAGTGTACGTGTCACCTTGGGAAATTAAGAACCAAGGATCAGTGCATGATTTAATCCCCGCTTGATTGATGAGGCATGAACCTGTCAGCTTCATCACTACTTCGTATTTCCCCTCTTTTGGCGTCATTCCGAGGAGAAACGGGAAAGCGAAGGAATAAGGGCCCTACATTGCATGAACACATTGTCAAACAGGTGTAAGGCAACCAAAAGGCGGCCTATTGCTTCGCGACGAGCATCATTCCATGTCAACTGACCCAAGCAACAGGGGGGTATTCCAACCAATGATATATCGCAGAAGCTGCGCCGCTGGATAGGCTGAGAGCGTGAGAGGGCATATGGACTAAGGGGTGTAGTATCCCATATTCATGCGGCTGATATCACAACCTCGACTGTCCCCAGGTTCCAGAGTGCAGAGAAGAAGAAGAAAACATCCATTGCTTCTTTCAGTTGATTTTTCAGACTCATTTGAGATCCACCATCAAGTGAGGGACGGGTTCATCAACATTGACTAGGCCGTGATGTCTCATTGAACGTAAGTTCCTAACCTCAAAAGATCCCGTGTGGCGTATTTTGTTTACCTAGTGAATATTGCTAAATGCGGATATGATCCACCACTCACAGTTAACAAAATAGCATGGATCATCTGGCTCTCGCCCGGGCAGCCCAGCGTATCATAAACTCGGCCGTCTATCATGTTCGCAAAAATGCTGTTTGATTTAACATATCTGACCGATTCAGATAACATCTGAATCTAAGGTAAGGATGCAAGGACATTCCGCGTGCGACCATTGAACCAACTGTTGTCGAAAAGACTACGTCAATGACTGCTCAAGATCAAAAGCGGGTAACCTCCACATCTATAGATGTTATGCACTGCAAAGCCAATCCGGTACTACTTCCAACCCTTGTCGAATTAATCAATAATACGAAGATGTTTCAAGCTGAGCGGAGCATGCGATGGCCCTGAACCAAATTTGCTATCTCCTCCGTGGGTGAATGGGCCCTTTTTCAGCCTCATTACTCTGTCTACGGGTGTAGGCGACTTTTATGGTAGCCTATTCCAGGGACTATGCGGGTTGCGATGGAGTGCTGCTCTCCTTTGTGTAGCCAAGTATTCGGTCCCTCCCATCAATTTGCATGAACGAAGTATAGAATACTTCACGAGTGTTAAAACCTTGTTGCTGTCAAATTATAGTTGCATTAAAACTAGCTTATTCCCTCCTTGCATCCATAAAACATCCGTCATTGCACGTTTGTCTTTTGTAGGCATGACTGGAACAACTGGGGTCTACGTGGAGCGACGGTAAATGTCCTTTCCTTTCTCATTTGGACTGGACTCAGCATTCAGCTTTTCTATAATACTTTAAATATCCTCAAGTACCATGCTTCTGTATTATGCTAACCACCACCATATCTAGCAATCCCAATCCGTTGAGGGAGCGGACACCCGGCGAGCTTAAAGAAGACGTCCGCAGATTTCACCGCGACCACAAACTTGGGCCGGTGGTCGATCTTGAGGTCCTTATTAAGGGGGCACTCATAGCACAGGACGCGACGAATATAGAGACCTGTGACCTTACTGCCCCCGAAAAGCTCGCCATACAATCCGAGGCGCAGTCGGGATTCTTTCAGCAGACGAAGGAGCTGAAGGTAACCATTCTCACAACTGCATGCGCAGCTGTCATCCAGTAAGAGTGCCAACTGGTATTTTATCCCCTGGTATGTACACACTAACTCCGCGGCAAGAGGGTGGCAACAGTCAACCATCAATGCAAGTTCGCGTGGCTGGCAGTGCCTGCTACTTCTCAAATCGGAGAAAACAGATGCCACTGTCTCCCTACGTGAAATGTATATTACTTGCTTGATTGACGCAGCGCCATGGATATCAGGAAGTATTATGTGAGTCAGATTCCGGAGCTGTATGTCCTGTATGGACTAACAAAACATACAGCGGAACATGGCTCAGTGATCCCCTACAGGAGTCCAGATTTGGCCGCCGGCCTGCACTTTTTATATCGGCGTTATTCTGTGCCGCCTCTGTACTTGGTATGTCAATTCGGCGAAAGCTAATAAAAAAAGTGGCACACTAATCTAAATCTATAGGGACCGCACGATGTACTAACTGGGGGGAGATCCTGGCGTGTCGCCTAATACTTGGAATCGGGGTACGATACATATACGACATCATTGTGACGCGGAATAACAAATGGCTCTCTCTAGATTGGCGCAAAAGCTTCTATTGCTCCTGTGTTCGCAGCGGAGGCAGCAGCCGATCACCTGCGAGGCCGGCTGCTGATGATGTGGCAACTATTCGACTCGTTGTAAGTACAAATCCCATAAATACCAGGCCCTTTGCCGTTTGTCTGCCCATCTACTAAACTATCTGCTAGTGGGATTTCTGTGGGGTTCGCATGCTACTGGATAGTTGGACGCAGCTGGAGAGGGCTTTTAGGGAGTGCCGCAGTCCCGGCACTAATCCTCCTCGTCCTGGTCTTTCTGTGCCCAGAGTCCCCACGTTTTCTAATTCGAAAGGGCGCCTACGCAGATGCATTTAGCAGTCTCCGTCAATTGCGAGGGTCTGACATTCAAGCGGCCAGAGACCTATATTACATCCATAGCCAACTGCAAATAGAAACTGAGTTGTTCGAGGGTAAACGGCCAGAGCAATGGTGGAGAACAGATTTGTACCAGCAAAAGGTCAAGACCCAGACCTTCTTCCAGAGAGTAGGGGCTCTCTTTACTGTCCCACGCAACCGCCGAGCCTGTGTCGCGGCGTTCCTGGTGATGGCGTCCCAGCAGCTTTGTGGCGTGAGTGTTCTGTAGCATATCTATGATCGACTCTAACCTCGGTTACAGATCAACGTCCTTTCCTTTTATTCCTCGGCCCTGTTTCGCTATGTCGCCTCCAACCCCGGTGATGGTAATTCACATTCACGCAGAGCCTCGGATGTGGCCGATATTGTTGACTGTCGAGATCCAATGGACGACACTGTTGCTTGGCTCAACTTCGGTAAGTGATAATATTCCGACACATAACCAGGCGGACTGATGCCAGCCAGGCTTCGGGCTGGCCAATTTTCTATTTACAATCCCAGCCTACAAATTTATCGATTGGAGGGGCCGTCGGGTTCTTTTGTTAATCTCTCTCGGCGGAATGTTCTTCACCCTTCTGGCGACCAGTGGCTTTTTCCGTATCATTAGGCCCCAGGAGGCTCAGAAGGGCCTGGTTGCTGGCTTTACGGTTGTTATCTTCACATTCTTCTATGGGATTGGTGCTGGACCCGTCCCATTCACCTTCAGTGCCGAAGTGTTTCCCCTGGCTTTTCGAGGTAAGCACATGGCTGCTCAATCGGACCGATGATGCAAGTTCCTGATATTGAAATCTGTAGAGGTTGGTATGAGCTTCAGTGTCATGGTGAATTTCCTTGGTATGAGTCTCTTGATCCTCTTCGTGCCACGGTTGACGACTATTTTTTCCCCGAACGACCCCAATGCTCGAATAGCCCGTCTCTTCGGCGAGTCAAACCTGCTGTTCCTCTTCAGGTACGACCCCCTTTTGTCGGCCATGATCAACAGAAATGTTCTTACCAACCTGTATAGCGGCCTCAATGCACTCGCCTTTGTCCTCGTGTTTTTCCTGGTCCCAAKTGGCACCGCGCAAATTAGCCTGGAAGAGATGAATTCTATTTGTATGAATTGCTCTTGTCTCCCATTTTCTTGTATATGTACTGATGAAGGTGACAGTCAATACGAAGACCTCTGTACATGCATTTGAGCATCTCCCTGCCGCTGTGAAGAGAAGATGCCGTCCATCAAACCGCCAAGAAAGAGGACAAGACAGAGAAGAGGAAGATGAAGAGACGGAGATCTCATTGGACAGAATAGAGAGTTCTCTTTGAATAAGGGGGCGTTCATTTTGGTGCAACTGGGATGTGACATAACTGTATTTCTTTTCTTTCTATGGTATAACATTGGTGGAGGGTTCGTGTCAATGGCTGTGCCGAGCTCCGGATGGATGACCAGATATGTTTGATAACGGAATTTTGTAAGCGACCGCGGGCCGTGCCATGTAGGCCAGTGGGCCACCTCGGCATCTCCACCACAGCACCTATTAGAAACTTCGTAATAAAATATACAGCTTATGATAGGTACGGTACTGTCTAATATTCATGTGAGCTTTTAATAATTACTGATATGTCAAGTAATATAAATTACAGAGCTTATTTTTATTCTCTGAATAAGTTCAAGGTTATACACGACAAGTAATCCTAAAAATTTCTAAAAAATAATTCCTGAACCATTTATACTTAGTTATATTATATATCTCACTTATACTTTACAATATCTATCTTTGCGTGGGATATCGAAGTCTTAAGGGTCCTCTTCTATGGAATACTGAGATGGTCCGCTCGCTTACCGATTATGTTAAATTAATAAATACAGAATCTTCTTGTTGAGTCAGGATAGGTTGATACGGGTTTTCTTCTTGTCCCGGTTATCCGTAATGTACTTCTACTCGATGGTTTTCTTTTGAGCGTCTCATGTCAAATAGTTCCCTCGAATCCTACCTTGTTGACCCCATACTACTGATTCTTTTGGATATGATTGACCAGGGCAAAATTTGAGTCAGCCAGCTCGGACTAGTAGTCAACAGTAGAACATTATCCGTCCATGTACGCGCCGGGGGAGGTTTTAGTGTCTATTAGTTCCGTTACTCTCCCCATGGGGCGAACGGACACTTCAGTGGGGTAGTGGCTGATGAGCTGCCTACGTAAACTTCTTCTCAATGCTCTTCTTTCCTTCAGCTTCCTTCCTGGTTCCCTTCCAGGCATCATCACCGTCGAGAAACCTCTAACTGGAGCGCACCCACCCCCCCGAGCACCCCATGGACTACGACGCTAATCGGTATCGTACGTATATATGATCACTGCTGTCTCATCTGCTGTTTCTGTGCTGGCTCTGATTCACCAAGTCGACTTGTATTTCCGCCCCATCATCTAGTGACTCTCCAACTCCGTGGGAAAATGGAATATATGTTTCGACGTCGCCGACCTGGGAGACTACGAGAACAGCTTTTAACAGAACTGTGTACCGCGATTGACGCTGGGGCAGGGCGATTCGCGCCCCGCAACCGCCTCGCGAGGATTTGGACCCCGAACGTACTCGAGGAATTCGCCTTCCACGAGAGTTTGCATCTCCCCTCGTCGTCGTTCGTCGAAGACATCCGCAGAGATTTCTTACAGACAATTTCTATCCTGATCTATGTGAACTGGGATGACTGGTCGCACTTTAACGAGATCTTCTTCTCGCATCGGGGCGCTGATCGAAAATTGGATCGCACGGATCGTCACATCCCGAAATATGACCTACAGAGCCTGACAACTGACAATTTCCTAGGCCCCGGGGCCGGATCTCGGTTCTATGATAACCGATATATTTTCTGCCCGATTGATATTGTGAAAGGCAGTTATTTGGAGCGGGAGGATGGCTGGAGGTTACCGTTTCTGGCGGGCAGATCCGAAGCCTGCGGAAGTGGAGGGTTTGGAAAAGTCACCAAAGAGGTAATCGCTGCCAGGCATTACCAATCTGGGGAGATACTTCACTCGGTACGAGCCTCGTGGATATGTCAATGATCGTCCAGCTAACTGCATTGCCCCATTTAGACCGAGAAAAGTATTGCTCGCAAACTGTTCAAGTCCAAACCAGACTACGAGCGAGAGCTTTTCAACCTCCGAGCGCTTCGTGCATGCGACAATCACAATGAACGCATCGTCCTCCCTCTCGCAACTGTTATCATTGGGAGCCAGTTTAACATTTTATTTCCCTTGGCGAAAATGGACCTCGACAAATTCCTGAGTGGGGCACTGCTGCCACCAGCCAAGTGCGATATGAGCGAGCTGCTCGAAGAATTGATGAGTCTGGCCGGTGCGCTGGCTCACCTGCATACAGGGCTCGGCTATAACATCCACGGCTGCCACACGGATTTGAAGCCCGCCAATATCCTTGTGTATATGAAACATGACACATCCAGACAGCCTCAGATTGGGAAATGGATGATCACTGACTTCGGGCTCTCCATCATTAGCCGCGTAGAGCGCCGGGGTAGCGGAGATGGTCTTCCCATGGAGTCCGTCACCGAGACGATGACGCAGCTCCAGCGGATGCGCGGTACTTATCAGGCACCAGAGGTTTGCCATGGTCTTGGAATCAGTCGAAGCAGCGATATATGGTCATTTGGCTGTATCTTGGTCAGGGTTCTTGCCTTTAAGCTGGACGGGGTACAGGGACTTCAAAGATTAGATGAACTCCGACGGAAGGACGATGATGGGATTACAGATTATGCAGGTCGCCATGATTATTTCAACAGAGGGGATCCCGCAGTGCTGAATCCTCACATCGCCAACTGGATTAGGGATCTACCAAAGCACCATCTGAACTACAGTGACGAGTTTCTGAATGGTTGTGCTAACATGCTATTGCGTACTTTGAGCATTAACAAGAACGATCGGCCAGAGGCGAGTGTAGTCCAACAACTCCTGGGAGAACTCAGATCGGTCCTTCATACATCCCTGCATACACCTCTTCAGTCGATCTCCTCGATGGACTCGAATTCGGAATATCCTTCCGCAGGCCCGCCTTCGTCTCGATCGCCCAGTTCATCCGTGTCCGATCCGACGTCCCTGTACAGCCTCGGTCTCGCTGTTCTGACGAATGCTTTGGTTGTTGCGATAGAAAACTGCGATCTGGCGGGCATTGAGAGATGTTTAAGTCAGAATGTGGACATCGAAAAGCCCGACAGCCAAGGGAATATCCCTTTAGGAATTGCCGCCCGTCTGGGAAATGCGCCAGTCGTTCGGCGTCTGCTGGAAGCGAACGCCAGGGTCGATGCAAGGTCCGCAGAGGGGGAAACACCACTGATGATAGCAACACGCAACGGTCACAAGGACATCTCCAAGCTGCTTTTGGAGCAAGGAGCGGATTGCCGGGCTTACTCCGATGACGGATTGACGTGTCTTCATTACGCAACCTGGTCTGCCGCCAGCGCGGAACTTATCCGACTGTTGATTCCATCGTTTCAGACATCGTTTCAGACCGTTGACGTTCCGATGAAAGGGTTCAACGAGGAAATGCCCCTGATGACTCTGGTCAAGAACTTTGTGGACAATGACTCTTGGGAGGATAAGTTTAGGGCCTTGGTTGGCGCCGGGGCAAATGTCAACCAGGCGGATAAATTTGGAAGATCACCGCTGGAATGTGCCGTGAGAGATGGCTCCCTCAGGGCCGTGAAACTACTTGTGGATCACAACGCAGTCGTGGTAGATTTATCCGGTATTCCTCAATCACCCGCTATAAGGGTACTCTTGAGAAACGCATCGACGCCGCATCGGTCAAGCGTTGATAGCAGTCGATCACGGCGTTCCAGCCTTTTACGGAGGTGATATTATTGCTTTTCTCCCTTCTTTTTTCACCTCTTTCGACTGGGTTGAATTATACCTTTTTAATTCTCTTTGGTTTTCTTCCATCTACTTTTTGTCTGGTTGCCAACGAATGCATTCAGTTATGACCTATCTTTCTTCCTCTTTTCCCCTTCGTGTATTGTGGCTTTTCCTGGCGTGATGGAGATGTGGTGAAGGAGTTGGCATCCGATACCCCTGGATGTTAGTTTATTCTCTAGAACTGTTAGATAGACCAAGTTTCTCGGCAATATAGAGGTGTGAAGTTGAATATGGTCTCTCCTGCGTGAGTGGACCACACTCCAGATAGCGTAGGACGGCAGGAACCGTTCATCCCACACTAGCTTACTTGCATTTCATGGGATTCCGGCGTCAATTTGAGTTCATCAAGTCCCATTAACAATTTCTAACTGCTTAAGCCTCATCAGTATGCAAGTAACAGCTTAGGGACCCAGAGCTCCTTGAGCACAATGAAACTTTCTTTATTAATTCTAGAATAATCGCTATTTTGCTAATTTTAGCCATGGCCTAATTAACATAAATTATAGCATAGAGTATGTTAACAAGTCCCCCTTAATGCTTATATTACAGATCTGAAGTATATTCCCAATTAGGGAGAGAACTTGTGCCTATAGTATGCTTTTGAAAACAGCAGCAGCACTAATATAAAGAAGCTCCTTTATATATTAGTTCCTGTAGTTGCTGTGTATTTCTGCCGCTATATCATTCTTATGGTTATTATAAGAGTCGTAGATGCCGCAGAACACAAGACATAGGAAACCATTCATCAGGCTAGTATCACTGTCGAACAACAACAACAGTTTGAAATTGTTGGCCGTCAGTTGACGTCTATGACATGCTTTAAAAAGCCCAGAGTGATTGTCGCTGTAAAAGCCCAATATCACATGCTGCTTGATGATATATCTTGATTTGAAGAAGTATTCAGGGCCAACAGCCAGTCCATCCAGTCACAGAGAAGGAGTTGGCTCTGCATAGAGCCGCCGTTGGCTTCAATCAAGCCGTGGCCAGCGTAGTGGAAGATAGTGCTCTAGAGTAGGTGTAGCGAGCTCACCATGTCACTACTTCATACTGGCTTGTCATAGATACTATAGATGCTTTTCCCGCTAATATGGGGACCGTCCGACTATTTTCTGTACAAAGACTTGTGGATGAATGGCACAACAATGTGCTGGAAGACAATTTTTAGGGATTTGGCTAATTGGTCTCAGTCCCTCTTCTCTTAACTCCGGTCCTCTTTCTAGCAGAGGTGTCTTCCAGCAAGATATTGTGGCATATGTTATACACATATCTTTATTTGTCTAACTCTGGGCAGAATTGACACAGAGAAATGAGCGCATCGCTGGCTGCAACCTTCCTGAGAAGAGAACAAATTTCCGCTCAGAAGGACAAATGCGGCTTATTCCTGTGAGTTCCGATGAAAGCAATGAAAGTGCTCTTTTGGCTTGTCAGCAGCTATCTCCCCATGCAAACAGTGTATTCCAGTGTAGCTGCTGGCACATAAACTTCAGTAGTGATCATACTATACCTGCCATCCCATCAACCATAACAACCACTCCAGGCGTTACATTGAAAGTTGGCGACTTTGGATCGACCAGCAACTACATCAAGATAAAAATAAGAGATAGATAAAAACATACAACAGCCTAAGTATGGTGGTGCTCACCAGGCGCTGCGTGAGCGGCTTGCCGCCCTATTCAGTCTTCCTTCAGGGCAATTCAGGCCCCTGTTCACCCACCCGAATACTATACACCCGAGCTAGTAGGAGGATGAGACCAAGAAGTAGCACCAAACCCCCTTCCCCGTAAGCGTAAAGATTTTGACCTCTAGGTGGTCGGTCTTCTCTCTTTAAACCAACATCACCTTTGAGCTATTACTGCTATTACTGCATACTGAGACGTGGACGATATGGCAGGACGAGGCGTATCAACTTTCGACCAGACAATTAATCTGGATGACCATGACAACTCCGAGTTAACTCGAGCGGTTCTCCCACGCACTGAAGGGAAGTACGATCGGGCTCTTTGCAGATTTGACAAGTTAGTTGTACGCGTCCTGCCAGAGCCAGAGACTAGAGACTGACAGATCGCAGATTCCTTGCTCTGCATCCAACAGCCGTGTCTCCGCCTGATATTAGATCCTACAAAGGGTTTCTGGAATTCGTGGCTAAAAATATGAAGGGGCGACTTGGAAGCAAGGGACCGCCGACAGTGGAAACCGTTGATGGGTTTCGTAGAGATTTTGAGGCTGGGCTACTTCTACGACGAGGCTACAATATGCCGGAAACCATCTCTACGACCGTCCGAGAGGTCAGCATATCCTTCTACCCGTGGCCATTGAACACAAATAACTGGGATTATAGTGGATAAAGCAAGGTCTGAAAGAAAAAGTAGGCCTTTGTGAGGAGGAGATGGACAAAGATGGCCTCTCACCAAATGATCTCACCATTCTCATGACTCAACTGTGGTGTCGAGATTTTAAAGAGTACAGGGGAACATGTCCCGATCGAACAAGAGTGCAGCTGAGTGCAGCGATTCTCATCTACTGTTTCACATCAGCGCGGTCCGGAGAAGTGCATGAGTCGACCGCTCGGCGGGACTTATCCAGGAAAGAGAAACACGAAGGGGAGGATGAGGATATCGGAGCGCACGCGATAGCAGCATGCTACAAGGTAATGTATGGGATACTGGTTGAATATATCATGCTAATGGTTGCGCAGCACTTTATCCTCACAATTGAATTGGTGGACGGTGTAAGAATGCTCGTTCTGACATACTCTCGAGTCTACGTGAAGGGATACTGGAAGAAGAAAAGGTGGGAGCTTCCGATCCATGCATTCTATGAGATCTATCGAGAGGAGCTCCCGCTTTTTTTCAACTTCCTCATGTTTTTTATTCCTATGGCTTCCGCTGACAGGGCCTTTCGTGACTATGAGTCAGCCCAGGAGATCCTCGACACGGTAGAATCTATAGCGTGCGGGCCTGAAGAAAAGGTTATCACAACTATCGAATTCAAGCCGGAGGTCTTGGATGTTCCAGTCTTTCGCCCTTACGACGAACAGGATATTAAACTCTCCACAGGGAGGTCTCGGGGAGCAGATGCTTTTGGGAAGGAGTTTGCGGAGCTAGGCCACAGGAGTGGATATACTCGTAATGTTACCGGTCGTGCTTGTCGGCGCTGGGCCTTGATGGAAGCAGGTAGGACGAATGTTATCTAGTGAGTGTCGATGTCTACTAACAATGCTGGTACAGATAAGAATCATTCCGTGACTGCAAGAATGAAATATGCTGGCCACATCCGTCAAGATACATTTGGCAGATCGTATGCACACCCGCTAAGCGAAGTTGATGGACCAGCAACATATCTTGGAGTTTCAACACGACATGAGCATATTCAAAATAGACGAAGCATGGGAATGTACCGCCATCCACAGCTGTGGCAATCCTTGCCAGCCAAAGCCGAATTCGAGTTCCAAGAGCGGAGCGACATAATTTCTCTCGACAACTCCATGCAACAACTCAGCAAACAACTATTAGGCTTGCAGAGCCCTGAGGAGAAGCGGCAGATTCAGCTACAACAACACCGCATCTATAATCAAAAGCAAAGTCTATATTCGGAAGAGCTTCGTCGGATACAAAAAGCTCAACCGAGACGGTCCACAACCCAAGTGGGTACCATCCACGAGCAGACGTTTTTTCATTATGTCAGAAGAGTAATGCCGGAGCGGGACAGGCTTGCTCAAATTCTACCCCTAAGTGGGACGCTGCGGAGCGATACTGGCCGTGAGGCCCTTAAGGCTCTAGAAGTCCTTTGCACGCGCGAAAGCTCTGTTGCGTACAGGTCTGGGATGAGACCCGTCAATGGAAAATGCGTCTGTGGAATGCCGATGCAAAGGTATGTGACCATTCACTGTGTTACGGCAAGTGCTTATAGAATCAGACTTCGGCCGCATCGTCAGTGGACGCATCTTTATAAATGCTATAAGCATCGGGTATCCCAAATGGGAGAAAACTGTCATGCAGAATATTGCTTCGAGTGCGACCTATGGATTCAAGGCGTCCAGGAATGGTCTTATCACTGTCAGCGTCATCTGGATAGGTCAGAGGACCTGCTTCGGTGCGATCTGATAATTTTCCGGAATGCTCCAGCGAAAGCCGCGTACTGCCCATTCTGTCTCGGCGATAAATCTTTGAAACCACTAAAAAGGATGGAACAATTCTTGGATCGACCAGCGTGGTTTGCGCACGTGGGTCTGCATCTCTCCCCCGAAGCGTTGGACGGTAAATTTCATTGCCGCCATCCCGCTTGTGCGCTGGAACTGGGCAGTCTGACCGAGTTAGAATATCATCTGAAAGATGTCCACTGCTACACTGCACCACGTGGCAAGAAGAGGGGTTGCGCAAAATGAATCTTTATGTCTTGGTTCTACAATTGATAGCTCTATGTTCGGAGTGTGCGGTAGTCATCCCTTTCCTGCCTTGTACCATGGATACAGGTGTTCCTTCCCGCAGGGCATCAAAAGTCGTCTTCCCATGCGACTCTCCTGGACGAGCTGCGTCCGAGTCGGTTTTGCACCGCTCCAAGAAGTTCAGCTCGTCCACGGTGGGTAGGATACCTGGAGCCTGTAATGACATGATGAGGAGACTGAGGTGGAATAGCCTTGCTATCTCGCCTGTTTCTCTGGTTAGGTACTAGCGGAATGATTGTCAGATGTCAAAAACATATTGCATATGGACTATACATTTTTTGTCAACGCACTGACACAAGTCAAATTTGCACACATTGCTGGCACTGAGGAATGAGCAACTATATCTAGTCGAATGTCCGACCTTCAGTAACAGGCGTAGTTTGTCTACGGTCGTTACAACAGGTCCCATTTTATTGTGTATTGAGTTATTTGATTATAGTGTGGATGTACTCCCTACCTCCGCTGACATTTAAGCCTAAGCTCTCAACAAACATCGCAGGACAAGTCCTGCATAGGTGGTGAGGATGCTGAGGATATTGCCCCAGGAGTTGTTGCAACTGGTCTTCGAGCAGGTATGAAAAGCATCCATGGCTATCTGCTAAAACTGATTGTCAAAGCTCTCAAAGCCGGACTTGTGGACGCTCTACAATGTCTCAAGTGAGTTGCGGAACTATGTCGCTACGTCACTCTTCAGCGAAACCGATTTGCGTCTCGAATCATTTCTCTAGTATGGATTAAACGGCAGAATGCTTCCAGCGAGGAGAATACTCCAGATTCTCAAAGATCGCTCATTTAACACCCGAGAGTTACTCATCATCCCGAATAACGAGATAATACGGCCTGATATATGGGAATTATGGACAAAATGCCCAGACTGACGCTCTGTTGGTAAGTAATAAGCACTTGTCCCTGGCAAATCAGTCTCTGGGTTTAGTCTTTTAAGGTGAACAGTATCTCAGGCGATGGGTTAGACTGGAATTGTGATGACCGCAGCGTTCAGAATCCGCCAGTCAGCGTCATGTCACAATTAGTTGAATTAAGCGAGCTTGGCAGTAATGTCAGTACTGGTTGGCAATCTTGTTCTCCATTTGGTGCGGTCTCTTGAAGTACGCAATTTATCGGATGGCTTGCTCAAGATCCCGGCCGCCAGGGCACTACAGGAGCTCAATGTCAGCTTCGATCCCCACGAATCACGGAAGCCTTGCGATATTCTGTTGAACCTTTCGCTATTGCCGCGACTCACTGTGCTTCGCATCTGCCACCCCGATTGTTTGCCTTTAGATCCATTGGGACTTATATAAAATTGATAGTGGTAGCACGCGCCGTATTCAAACATTTTGAGAGAGCGGCGAAAATTCGGGGTTCGGTGTATCCGCGGCTCGGTGGTTCATTACGTTACGTTAATGAAGGTAACTATTTTAGTTCGCTGGCCACAACATCTTTCTTAACTCGCTATAATGCTTTTTGACATCCTGGGATGCGGAAATGCAGACTCCGCTAGGACGTTGAGAGTTGGCAAGTCTTTGTAAAGGTCACCAAGAACACAGAGCAGCCTCTATTGTGGAGGCTGTCCTTCTGGCTTCAATTAATAGTGTCTCCCGCGGTTGATCATATATCCTTTGAAGCCATGTAAATGTCCTAAGGCTTTAACCCAGCTGAGGACCCTCGCAACTGAGGCATCTGTTAATCCTGCCTTCATCCTCGATTATCATTACATACTTTTGGCTCTGGTAAAACGGGCGCTGTATTGTCAATCCCCTCCTAAACTCCTAACGTAATCGGTCTACGAGCGGGCCATATAGGCCAGCGGGCCACCTCTGTATTCCATAGCAAAGGGCCCTTTTTAACTATATCTCACCCAAAGATGAATATTATAAAGAGTAGGTTAGGTATGTCGTATAACTAGGTATACATAGTTCAGAAATTATTTTTTAAGAAGTATGCTAAGCTATATGGCTTACTATTAAGCCCTTAATAGGTACTTTGGTCGAGATATTGAAGTCCAAAGAAGGGCCATTTTCCATGCCACATAGAGATGGCCCGCTGGCCTACATGGCCCACTCGTTTACCGATTACGTTATGTGTTATGGAACATCTACAGCCAGCATGGTATGGTTGGACGGGGTTTACGAGAAAGGCGGCGGCAGCCTGCAGGTTTACGTGAAGCGGTGAAGTCACGTGATCAAGGGTACTGATGCCAAGGAATGTTGTCATGGACCTTGACCAAACAGTCCATGATTGGACCTCACGATAACCTCAAGGTATGGACCGAAGGGGGAACTATATAAGGTCGATCATTTCCAGTGTACCTAGCGTTCTTGTTTGAGTTCTTCGCGTTCAATACAAGTTATTCACTTCAAGTTTCACTAGTCCGATTCGTCAGTTACTCTCTACTATTGGGCATACGTACTCAATAGCCTTGCTTCTATCTCTACTGTTATTGTTCTTGTGCTACCTTTGGATTGCCCTTGACCCCCGTGAGGTCATTGTATCACTGCATCGATATACTACCTGGTCGGTAGGCCTCACGCAAGTATAGGATATAGTCCAGGACTATACCACCTCGTTCTCAAAGTAGTTGACTAGCAGAGAACAGCAGAGACGGATCCCAGGGTGTGACAGTATGTAATATTCATTCGAGCAATTCCCAGATCCTCGATGGATAAACTTATTGGGATTTCCAGTAAACAAGCTTCGCTAGCAAGTGTGTGTGATTGGGCGGCGGACACGACTTCCGTTTTCACTGTGGTACACAACTAGCGGGTATCTTAGCGTCCCGATCCTGATGCTTCGCTTTGGCTAATCCACCATTGGGAGACTAGTGTTTCCCCTCAGCTTTAAATGCGGCCAATTTATCCCCTGCAGCTCCGAAATTGCGATCACCCATTGACCGCCATGACAATCAATCATTTATGTCCGCTATGCGGACGAAATCTGAGCATTACGCGTGAGAGTCACTATGCTGTTCAGGAGACGTTAGGTGCGGACAGGATCCGGACAGTCACCTTTGTACTACTCCCTCCTCTTACCGATGCCCGCCTGGCTGAGATGGTCAATGCACGTGCTAGGAGCCCGACCGAGGCGTTCATACATCCCGACTGCTGGCTGATTGCTGAGAGGACATTGAGCCGCMGCACGAGCATCGACGGAAAATACGTCAGTGTATTTCTCGAGCGCTTGATCCAATTGTTACCATTTCTGGCGAGGGTCCCTTTCCCATGTCCAACTGGCCGTCTGGATGAGGATATTTTCGTGCCACTAAAGAATTGGGAAAGAACAGAACCTCCGTCACCTTTCTCACGCTGTCCGACTGAGGTCATCCAGACTATATTTACCTTCCTCGAGCTAGATCAGGATGTTTCAAACCTCTGCGAATTTCTCCGGGCTAGAGGCCCGAGCCCTCGGCATTGCAGGGAAATTGGTCAGACATACGGACTCAAGGAAGATGCAGACGCGGAAATAACTGTTCCAATCCTCCTCCGGAATATCTTTCAGCAGCCGCCAGCCCGATTTCCCTTCACAGCGAACTATAGGGTCGTATCGGACAATGTACGCTTAATCTCCACTATCATCGAAAATCCTAACTCCACATCGCGTGTCACGCACAATGTACCTTACAGTGCAACACTCGTGACAGAGCGACCTTCATCCCGATATGCGATGCGAACCAACGACGTGAGGTATATAACATTCTGGTTCAACCGGCTCGGGCGGCATCAATTTCTATGTGGGATTGCACTCAACGGGACACTATTCGGCCACACGGGCCGTGTTCGTCACGCCGTACGAGTGGCCAGTTTGAGGGGACTTCACGTCGCTGTTGCCCGAGAAGATATTGTTGCCGTGCAAGTCAAAGATATAACAGGCTGGTTATCGCATTGGTACGGGCTACTGCCAGCAAAAGGGTCGTTCATCGTTCTCGAGTGCGATTCTTCCCAGAGTGAGTTCGTGGTCTCATACGATGTAAGCCTTTAGTTTTTCATGGATGACATAGGTTGCCGCTCAGTCAGAGCAACAGCGGACTAACATCGAGACAGAACGTGAAAGTGCTACAGCTTGCTTTCCAGAACGACATCAGAAATAGGAGCATTTATCCTACCGCATCTCCTGTGGACTTATCTCTGAGCTGGACCTACATGCACGATAAGCGCAGCTGTGGGTATTGCCTTTGCCCGTTATCGACATTCACACGAGGGTTTCGCGAGGTCACAGCCGTGAACGCATATGTCACTCCTCGCTTTGGTCCATTTGCTTTGACGGGCTTAGAGTTCATTTGTCGCGCTGAACGGCAAACTCTTGGCTTTGTAACCGACCCGTATATCAAGCTTTCCTTCCCCTTGTTGCGATCGGAGACTATTACGTCTCTGATTTTCGGTGCCGAGCCAATTAACGGGCATTTTGCCATAACCGTGAGCATCCCGTCCCCATACGACTGACGAACTGCTGATTGTGATGATAGTTCATTACAAACTTAAGACGCTCTGTGACATTTGGGAGTCCGTCTGCGGCATTACTATACTCGGCAGCCAATGTCGCTGGAATCGCCCTAGGAAAGGTAGGAAGAGCAGATTTTCCGTTGCTTTACTCCACATCTGTTGCTGATAACGGAAAGTGTTCGCCCGACCACCACCTATCTTTCTTTGGAGTGTTTCGAAGCCCTAAACGACCGCCCGTGACGCCTGTAGGCATGGACGCTCGCGTGCACCGGCAATATTGGGTCTGGAAAATGTACGGCAATCCTTGGCCAGAGATGGCTCTTTGCTCGGCCGCGCCTGTGACTGGAATTTCTCATATACGAGTTTATCATGACGGCGCTCGACAGTCAATCACAGGTCTTATGCTTTTTTACCGGAGCCGTCCCCCTTCTGTTCTTGGAGAACTCTGTGAATTCTATGCTGAGTATTCCCCGCGGTCAATCGAAACTATCCAAGGGTTCGCTTTTTCGTACAGTCGCAGCTTTGACTGGACCAGAATTCATCATCTTAAACTATTGATGGAGCAGACCTCAGTCACGTTTGGCAGTCCGATCCCAGGACAACCCGAGCGACTTTTCACCCGAAATGTGAGACTAAAATAATTAACCGAGAGTATTTTGTCATCGCTAATGGAAAGAAATCCAGGCCGAGATGTTCCTGAAATGGACTTTCTCGCATCGCATACGCCATATCGAGTTCTCATTAGCTGGATGACCATAGACGCTTCATATATCCTAGAATCGACGGGAAGTTTTCCTCTGTCAGCATCATACAGTCCTGGACTAGCTTAACTTCTTTCAAATCTATTCTTCGATCTCGTGTCTGTGTACATCCAGGGTAAGGGGGGAAGCATTGAGCACAATGCCTGATCTGGAGCCTGCTATGGGGTCGACCAGTGGTCTGCTGATCGACATATCCCTTCCTTTCGCTTCCTCCTCCACTATGATCTCCCACGTTCAGGGATTGTGGCTTCTTTGCATTAATGGGCTAATGGGATGAATGAGTGCCCTTTCGAAAATAGAAGGAATATGGTATCCACTTCGGGGTGGCCAGCAGCCATCATTCCCCCTTTCGGCCATTGGGCCTTAAATCTTTGTGTCAGCACCCTGCAGCCCTCCGGCCAGCGACCAAGTAGGAACATATACCTAATCCAGAAGAGATGTGTAGCAGCAATTAAACCCATGTTTTGCAGCTCTAGAAGTCCTGTAAATACTAGTCTTGTGCCTGATGTCAAGATCCGCGATAAATAGATCATTCAAGGATCAGAGTTATAATTTTTGTTCATATAATCCGCATGTACATATATAATAGTGCTACTTGTAACGGGCCGGTCGGGATTCAGTCAGACTGGCAATTGATTCTCCGGTCTTATCGATGTTTTTGAATCTACTCCTATTCTAGCCTAGTCCTGCAACCAGTCCTCCTATTTACATACAAGAAACACACTTATGTTCAGACGTCAATAACCTAGATAGATGCCATATCATAACATTGACGCAATGTGCGACTGCTTAGATTCTCGAAGGCTTGAAGATTATTGGCAAAGGTCATCTTGAAATGAACTTAGTAACCGCTTTCTCAAGTCATTCTCAGTGGACATACATATGCTTGCCCGTAGTACCCGCTCAGTCTACCTCGATAGTATGCACCGGCCTCACCAAGAGCAACCTGAATTTTCTGGCAGTCAACAGACTTGCGCTTCGCGAAATCGGAATGAATAACTGCGCTGGAGGCAAGGGTAGAAAGGAGAGAAAAAGAGATGACACTGGAGATTTGCATGTTGATGGCTTGAAGTTCTGAGCTTTGACAACATGAATTCAGGGCGACGGATGTTCTATTTATGCTTTCCAAGTGCGTACTATATCTCAATTTAGACATTCACGTTCATAATATGCTATTCTTCGTCATCACTGGTATGGTTGGGGCGAGAGCGAGGTGTCAAACGCTCCAAGTCCCTCCGGTATCAGTTGTGAACTTGCTGAAGTTTCTAGAAGGGCAGCTGCAAACCAGACAGACTTTGAGTGTCATCGTCATAATACTGTAAAAAAAAGAATGATAGGTTAATGCCATAGAGAGCTGAACCTGGCAGGTAAGGCTGCTCCTGATTTCTATGGCTTCTGATATCTAGTTATTACTCTCAATCGTTGACTGGCTTCTACGTGAGTCTAGGTAGGCAAATCAAGCTAGCAAGCCCTCCTGAAGGCTCGTAAAACTTTTCAAAGATAAACCGGTACGACGGTGCTCGATCCCATATTTAGGTAGACTATACAGGGAGGGCTGAAAGGTAGACAATTTAGCGGAGTGCCTGACATAGTATCGTTACGCGGTCGATGAAGCTGGTTTCGCCAAGATGTTGCTCCACATGCTATTGTATTAGAGGGACAGTGTATAAATGTGTTACGCCTCGCAATCGCTGATCCTATTGTATCAGTGAACTACAATCCCTGTAATGGTGCCATGACTGGGGCGGTCATTTTGCTATTTTGAGGACACGTAGCATACTGGTCACCTTTATCTTGCGTCTACGTAACTTATTTACAAGAGACCTCAAAGTCTTATGGCAGTCACTTTGTTAAATATTCAACTGAAACTAGGCCGTCGCCTCAGGTTGGTGTGAAGATCTAAGATCTGTCAAAGTTCAAACCGTTGTTCTAGCCGAAAAGGCTGCCACCGCTACGACGTGGTGCTGGTAGCGGTTGCTTGTGGCGATACTTCTTTAACTGTGTGTCTGTGATGCCTGGCCCATCTATGTCCCCCTTATTCTTGAAGACAAAAATCGCGCCCCCTCCATCTGTGTACTCGCAGGTCCAACCATCTCTTAAACGCCAATCTTCGTCGAACAATGCAGCGTCCAGGCTTGACCGCCTCGTATCCGGGGGCAAAAACGATTCCAGCTTAAATCGAGCACCGCGCTCCCGGTTAGGCCAAGCTGGAACTTCTGTAAGTATTTGAGATCAAAAGGATCATTTTCTTACCCACCTGGAAGTCCCATGGTGAAAGCACGGCTATTGAAAGCAGAGGTTGGGTTACGGGCCAGCTGGTCCGGCTGTTCAGAGTTTAAATAGAAAATATGCCCTGGTGTGCTCCGATATTCCATGGAACTTACTTTCGAATTTTTATGGTCAGATGTAACATAAAAAGCCACACAAAAGGATAGCTCCTGTTGTTACCCAGGACATCAAATTATGGAGACCTCATACGAACGCCAAGTCATCCATATCTACAAGAAGTCACGAATTTACGAATTTAATAGAGCACCTCCCTTTTTGCAAAATATTTAGCGTCCGTCATCATGTCAGGGAAGCGAATTTGAGCGTTGCCAACATACGCAATGTTTGGGAGACCCATTGAGCTCATATAAAGGTGGCTCCGCCTTTGGTCAACCAACAAAATATAAAGAAAATAAGGTCAGCTACTCAAGTTTCAGTATGGTAAGACAAGGAAGAGCTAAAATGGCCTTCAACTGTAAGTTTACTTCACCGCAAAACTCCCAACCTTTCGAGAAAAAATACTCAGGGAGAACACAGGGCTCAGAATGGCCTTCAGTAAGCTCAGAATTTTGAGAATTAAAAAGCCGACAGCAAAAGTCCAACTTGGAGAAAGGCCGGCCGCCGTGTGTACGCAAAAGCCAGGCGCAGAATTTACAGTTGGAGCAAGATTGGCCGCACTGAGTACACAAACGCCAGCTGACGATGACGATGACGATGACAATGATCACTTTTACGATTGTGACCCTTACGATGAGGACGGCGACTACAAAATAAAAGACTTACCACAAGTTGAAATGCAAAAGGAAGACTTTGGAAGGGCAATGAAGAAGACAGCGGCAACAACTACAGTACAAAGCGTTAAGCTCCAGAGTCTATCAAACGCATCTATAGAGAGGTCAAACCCCGTGTTTTGCAGCTCTTAGACGATCCCGAAAATACAGGTGCGCAACAGGAGATAACAAAAGCTAGGGAACTCATATCCAGATACTATCATAACCTCCAAGACCATGTCAAGCGTGAGAAACAGTTCGATATTATACTCACCCTTCTTGCACATGCTAGCAATATTTTTTATAAAAATGCATAAGATGGGAGATAGAGCTATGAAGCCATGGCATCAATCCTTGAGAAGACAGCTGATCACTTTGATTGGTCCAAGGATTAGCGTCTTCATGGGTGAGTTATCGGATTCATCACAACAAGAATGTTTTTAGATAATATTCTACCCTAAAAGGGTGCCACTAGCTTAGCAGTAGCAGGTGATATTCAATGAGATAGTATTGCTGTGGGCTATTTGCCATCAGTTGCGGTTCGGAAAACCGACCCTCAAACCATCACCACTGCAATGTAGATAAAGTAGTAGCAAGAGCAGGGTCCTCATCACCACCACCCTAATCAATGACACGCGATCCCTTTCACACCCTCCTGCATGGCCTTCAAATGCTCCCAGTTCAGGGTATCCTCACCCAGACTCCAGGCCATCACCCCACCGAGATTTTCCACATCCACAATATCCTTGAACTTGCGCTTAATAATAGCAGGCGTGTCCCAAGTCCAGAAGAGGTTGGCCTGGTTATCCCAGTAGTACTGTCCACCAGCCTGCTCATCTGTCTTGCCATTCTTGCACGCGCGACGCCATGAGTCTGTGACCGAAATACCTTTGCATTCACCATAATCAGACAGACAACCAGCTTGGCAGAAGTTCTCATCACTGCCACTGTTTGATATTGTCAGCTACATGAGAGGAATAAGGGAGAGCACATACCAATAGCCGTACTGGCTACAGCATAAACCTGCTGGACACTTAGTCCCCTTACTAAACCCACAGGCTCCATCTGTGGAAGATTTCAGGTTATCCGGTGCAGGCGCCATGGTGCTCTTCTCAAAGGTTAATACCCCAGATGTACCTGCATCTGTACCATCTGGATTCTCCAAAGCCACTACTGCACATCCAAGTGGGCGATTATGACAGTCTGAATTAGGATCTGTCATAAACCACTTAGCATAGTAAGCGAAGCCTAGGTTAATTTTAGTAGGATCCAGACCAATCCCTTCATATGCGTTAACAGTGTTAAGTGAGCCCATAACACTTGTGTGGTGCTTTGTGACTTTATCACGGCGGTTCATGAGGTCATAAGACATAATATTCACCATGTCCACAGAGGGCCAGATCTTAGGACCTTGCTCCTTAGTGAAACCAACCATATCGGTGCATTTACCAGGAACAGCAATTGAGAGTATCTTGTTTGGACCAATGGCTTGACGGATAGCTTTCAAAAATAGAGGGTAGGTCTCAATTTCTCCAGTCCTCTGGCTGTCGGGTATTTTCTTGTAATCTTTTCCGTTACCACCAGGGTACTCCCAATCAATATCTACACCTCATCGTCAGCATTATGTAAACACTCGTCAACTGGATACTCACCGACGCCATCAAAGCCCAAGGTGTTAATCATTTCAGCAACATTGCGCGCATAACGTGTGCGGGATGCTTCATCTTTCGCTCCCTCAGAGAACCCAGAGGTATCCCCCCAGCCCCCAATTGCAATCATGACCTTAGTGTCAGTTCCAAAGCGCTTGCGCATTGTTCCAACGGGTTCAAATGGCTTAAACTGAGCAGGAGCATCAGAATTAAACAAAGTGGGATTTGCAAAGGCCATGATCGCGTGTGTTATGCCCTGGGTCTGGTCCAAGCCTGGGAGGCCAATGGTGTGGTTTCTTAAACATTAGCAAATATTGCTCATTTAGATGTACGAACGCCCTTACTCATCGATATACATGGCAAATCTTAATCCCACCACATACTGGATGGCAAGAAGGCTTAGGCAGAGGAATTCAAGAACTGTGTGACGCATCATTAAAAAAATTAAGAGGATAAGTGAAGACATAAGCAAAAATCGAAAGATGTTATAGTTTGTGGTAGAAATATATATACCATATCTTATTGAAGGGTGCTCCACGCGCCCAGTATTTTGAATATACAGCAAATGCTATATTGCACAACGCTCAGCAAAGTGTCAAGCCTAAAGGAACTGGATATTCCAGCTCGTCCCTCTGTAGGAGATACCCTCGCCATTATTGAGGGTCTTTCTCTTAATTTATTATACCCGAAGGAGGTATAAATAATAGACGAAAAAGTTGTATCTCAGGATAGAATCAAGAATATTTCTGTATCTAGTTGTGATTTGACAAGTGCTATAAAGCCACATTAAGCCATGCGGTTTCACCGGCGTACCAAAGAAAGAAAGCATCTACAGGACCTCAAAGACGAAATTATATTTCTCAAAAGTCGACTTGAGATTGAAGACTGGATCCGCCCAAGAATGGTTAAGTCAGGTATAAACTTCTGCCATAGTTGCCAGTCTACTACTCCCCAGATACACCTGGTGCAAACAGCGTGTTACCACTTTCTGTGTCGACCATGTATAGACGCACACAATGCCATAGATGGACAACATGGTGGTCCGCCAAACGAGAAGCTCGCAAAGTGCCCAATTTGTTGGAAACCGGCGGAGACGAACTCTTTAAGCGTCTAAGAGGTCAGTTACGAGGAATGGTTAAGTTGATTCCATCTTGAGCATTGTATATTTACATTACCGTAGGAACACGGTCACCTGTTCTGGAGATTACGCCATTGCCCCAAGTCCTAAACCATTTATCAAGGCTTTTCTCGTTGGAAATGATGGAATTTCTACTGTATGACGAGAAATTCACTATGGGTTATTATCCAAATTCTTGACTACTCAGCTGCTGAAACATCAACGAATACCTCTTCCTTGGTGAAATCCACAGAATGACCATCCTCATTCTGCCACCGAGGTTTTAATCTTTGAAAGATTTCTTCTCGATTGATTGATCCTACGAGATTGTTTCTCCAAGGATAACTTAACCTTTCTACAATTTCTGCATCTTCTTCGCGTAACATAACCAAATCAGTGGCAGCCCCATGACTTTTTAAGGAGGTTCAATCCATGCGTCTATGTACTGCATTCACATCCCATTGCCAATCTGGGAATCGGAGAGATGGATAGCCAACTGACAATGTGTTCGTATTTGTGGTTGACAGCTGAAAATGAACGTGTACATCCGCAAAGGGACAGCAGACGAGACATTACCATTTCTTCTGCTAGAGATCATGATTCGTTACAGTTGTAAGATGCCAAGGCTTGGTTTCAACAGTATTGTGCGGTCTCCTAGTATTTGCGGGATCATTGTTTAAATCCCGATGCAAGAACGATCTGCTATGTTGGATGCGTTGGGAATGTAGAATTCTCATTTTCCCCTATTGTGACACCGTTGGCAACTAGACAGTAAGTCAGGGTGATTGGAAATGGTTTAGCTGCTTTTGTTCCCGATTGGTTTCGGAGCCGAGCTATACTACAGAGTACCGTTACTACTGTACAAGATCAAAAACCCACTCCAGTTCACACTGGATAGAGTACGTACAGCAAATGAGAATATAAACGGTCGCCAGTGTGCATCAAGTCACGCAGTAACAACAAGAGTTTTACCAGCTGATTCCCTATCAATACTCTCCACGATTTGCAAATATAAGGACTTCAAACGCTCTTTCCCCATGGGGAACGTGTAAGATTACACCTTGAGAGAAGTCCCGCAGCGTAGCAATGGTATGCCAGTCTTGTCTGGTAAAGTTTTGTGGTTGTAGAGTCCCAATGCGCCCCTCGCTGAAGAAACAATATTGTGAGTGAAGGCATTTGTGCTCAAGAAAGAAAAGCTGCTTAATGCGCCTCGCTTTTACTTCAAGCCATGCGGGCCCGCGCAAAGCTTGAGTGACGTCAACTGTGATATGGCTTCCGATTTTGATCTCGTCCACATACTGGCCCCTCTGGTGATATGCATAACCTTGCTTCAGGCATCCAAAAAAGAGTTGTCTTAGTGATTCACTCGGAGCCTCGTCTTTCATGAAGTTTGTGAGAAGCACCATATGGAATTTCCCAGTTTCACCAGGGCAAGAAACGCTGCTAAGGCGAGAACCAATCAAGGCAGGCTGGCCTCCCAATTCCATGACTTTATGAAGCCAGTCCTCTTTTGAAAAAATGGCAGACCATGGTAGTGGAATCCGTTCTTGGCGGTCGTGTAGAGGAAGCACTTCTCCGGTATCATCAGAAGAACCAGAGAAGTAACGAGTGATGGGAGCAATAATATGACGCAAAATATCGAATAGACGCATTTTCGCAGGATGTGGGAAGGAAATACGGCACGATTCTTTATGGGCAGTTGGCTCCGTCATGTACACATATAAATATGTGCCGAGACAGGTTTAAGCGCTTCTCATAAGAATAGAGAGCTGGATGTGTTTTGTGAAGGTCGCTTCGAAGATGGGATCAGTTTTGTGTGTCAATCCTGCTCACTGGCCTTACTCCCCGGTGCAATTTATGAGCTACAGTATCATTGCAGGTCAACACTAACCGCAATACGTATATATGCAGACGGCCGTCAACAGATACAGCAGATAGCGCTCGGAAAATGGGAGAAAAACAGTGTCTCAGTTCTGGTCTATTACCTAACCACTTTAATGTTACAAGACACGCTTAATTTAGATGACCCTTTTCAGCACTCTAGTTCCAGAATTTGTGGGTAATCGGAATGTATCCCTGGTCCCAATACGGAAGTACTGTGCACGTTTTTCTATTTAATCTCGGATCCGCGCACTTGGCTGAATATAATTCAAGAACTGCATACTAGCAGGATAGTCTGCCCAAAGATAGGACCCAGGATCCGTTTGCCCTTTAATACCTGTTATAGCCGGACGCTCCACTCAATGGCTTCCAGCGGAGAAGCCACAACTCAATGGTCCCATGGCCTGCTCCATGGTTGTTGCACGCCATTACGTATAAGTATGTGGCCCAGAGATATCGCCATGTTCACTATTGACCCGAGATGCAGCTATATATGCCGCATGCCTCCCATGCTGCCTTTTTGGGGAAACGCTTTCCCGGCTCGACAATCCCGAAAAAGAAGAAGAGGGCAGGTGCTATGACGGGTGTAATGAAAATGTAGGCTTCCCGTTTGCGAAGTTGATAAATCGAAGAAGCTAAAATGAAAATCAGTGTTGTCGGTTCTTGTGCCTTGGCTTCTGCGGCTTACACTGGATCTTGATGGCAAGAAAGAGGACCAAAATACGAGATCGCCTGAATATTACGGGCTCAACGCACGGTGATTGTCTCAAGTCTCTCGGCTGCCCTTGCTGCGTTCTGGTTCAGCAGGATAAGGAAATCCGGGAATATAAAGAACGGCTGATGAATGGATATCAGCGAAACGAGGAAATGCCGCACATATAGGTCCTTTTTGCTTCAATAGTCTTGACATCACGAATTTCAATGTGGCAGTAGAAGTACAGGCCATTGGCTGTCATACCGTTCGTGCTGGGTTTTCATGAATTTCCTGCTTCATATATTTGTGTAATGAAACCATTACCTTCCTTCATGGTCAATATAAAAGCATGAGGCATCCCAAGCTCCAGAGACGTAGTTCACAGACCTCTTTCGTTGATCCCAGGAGATATTCACTAAATTTGTCTATCCGTTCTGCGAGCATGTGGACTCTTCAATTAACTTACTTGCTCTTATATTTTACTACAATGATAGCTGTCGTAGCTGTCCTCACTTCTGCCATTATGGAAGCCAGAGGACCGTGGATGGCGATTAATTCGGATTTCCCGGACCCTGGATTCGTACGGAGCACAGATGGGGCATGGTATGCTTTTGGCACAAATGGCAACGGCAAGCGCATCCAGGTGGCTAGATCGACAGATTTCAAGACATGGACTCTTCTCAACAAAGAGGCCTTGCCAACTCTTGCAGGGTGGGAGACTGAAAGAGATCACTGGGCACCAGATGTAATTAGGCGGGTATGTGCTCTAGTTTTTCTCTACTTGTCAGCTTCTAATCAACTTCTAAGACTGATGGTCGATATGTTATGTACTATTCCGGCGAGGCTAAAGAGATGGTGAGACATCATTGCGTGGGTGTTGCTGTCTCCGAAAATACGGATCCTACAGGACCATATGTGCCAAATGAGACACCACTATCATGCCGGCTGAACCAGGGAGGCTCAATTGACCCAGCGGGGTTCGTTGACAAAGATGGTACCCGCTATGTCATTTTCAAGTTAGACGGTAATAGCATTGGCCATGGTGGTGACTGTAACAACGGTATCACTCCTCTGGTGCCCACCCCAATTCTTCTACAGAGAGTAGAAGATGATGGCTTTACGCTAATTGGGGACGCTATCCCAATTCTTGACCGTGATGATAGTGATGGACCTCTGGTTGAAGCCCCTAACCTTATCCTGCATGGTGACACATACTTCCTTTTCTACTCAACCCATTGCTTCACGGACATTGAGTATGATGTGCGTTGGGCGACCTCAAAGTCGATCACAGGCCCATACATCAAGTCTGGTCAGAGGTTATTCAAATCTGGCGACTATGCACTAACCTCACCTGGCGGAGGGACTGTCTATGGATGTGGTGATAAGATGCTCTTCCATGGATTCTGTGAGCCCAATAAACGATGTGCATATGCTGCAAACATTACCATTGATGGTGATCAGGTTACGCTTCTTTGACCGAAATTGCTAATTAGCTAGAGTGCAACATGTTAGGTCAGACGAATTGAAAGAGTAAATCGACGGTCAGACTGAATCAAATGTCGTGGGCACTTTGGGGCACATCATGTCCGGAAATTTTTGTACAGCCATCCCCTAGGAAGGAAGCTAGAGACCCATCTTGCTTAGTAAGTCACACTGTGTCATGCTCGCCCTCACGAATTGCCGACTCCTTTCCTTATTGGGTTATTGGGAATGATTCCAGGTTGATATTCAATGTTGGTGGTAATACCGCCAACACTCAGAGTGAAGGCGCCAGTGGTGGGATCCCAGAGATTGTGGTTTCGTCATCAGAACCGGATGCTAGAAGTTGGCCATCTTGTGAGAAGGCGACTGACAGAATTGAATCAGAATGGCCCTCTAGAGTATGCTTGAGAGCGCCAGTGGTAGGATCCCAGAGCTTGATAGTTTTGTCATCAGAGCCAGACGCTAGAAGCTGGCCATCTTGCGAGAAGGCGACTGACAGAACTGAATCAGAATGTCCGTCCAGAGTATGCTTGAGGGCGCCAGTGGTATAATCCCAGAGCTTGATAGTTTTGTCACATGAGCCAGATGCTAGAAGCTTGCCCTTTTGTGAGAAGGCGACTGACCAAACTGAGTCAGAATGGCCCTCTAGAGTATGCTTAAGGGCGCTAGTGATAGCATCCCAGAGTTTGATAGTTTTGTCATCAGAGCCAGATGCTAGAAGCTGGCCCTTTTGTGAGAAGGCGACTGACCAAACTGAGTCAGAATGACCGTCTAGAGTATGCTTGAGGGCGCCAGTGGTAGGATCCCAGACCTTGATAGTTTTATCTTCAGAGCCAGATGCTAGTAGCTGGCCATCCTGTGAGAAGGTGACAGACCAAACCCAATGAGAGTGGGCCTCCAAGGTTTGCAATTCTGGACTCCATTTCTCTTCCACTTTTGGGCCTTTTGATAACCAATCAGGCAGCTCTCTCACAAAATGCCCCCAATTCAACGCCTTTTGTGGTGCGAAAATCAGGCCGGAGCTGTACCGCTGGAGTGGCGCCTTGTCAGCAATGTTTACAATCTTTTTCAAAATAAATCTGCGAGCGGCCGAGAGAAACCAAGTTATGGTAGTATTGGAAGTATCCTATAATTCAAGCAAAGATTAGTAATCAGCTGCCAACAGATTAAATGATTCACCTTCGTAAATTTAAGCAATGCCTCCATCAAGATTCGGATATTAGCCCTAAATACTCATCGACTCCAGCCAGTGAAGGAAATGTTCTTTCAGAAAGGGGACCACTTGATCGAGTCGCCTGGCTGATGCTGAGCTTTGGTCGAAATGGTATACTATACCCGATACCAACAGGTGGATTGAAAGGCAAGAGGTAGATATGTATCTTGTTATGGAAGCGGCGTCAAGCTTAGTCTCGCTGTGCAACTATTCTTTTTGCGACGAAGGCACTTTCTTGCTTCTCCCGTCTATTAAGCCAGAATCGGGATGTAGATATTTTTGGTATGTCTATTGAAGACACATAGCTCTCCCTTAATGGAAAGAGGAAAGAAGAATGATCAAATTGGCATTTATATACTATTGACAAGTATGGTAAGCTTCCAAAGATTTATTGAAGCCAGCCCATATAATGGATATCAGGTCACCAGGATCATACTAACAAGCATTATTACGTACTTTGAATTGTCCAACACCACCTAGCTAGGAACGAATCAAAGGTTGTTACTTGAGATCGCGGGTTAACAATGGAGGGTAGAGGTTCAGCTGGAGGTATCAACGAGCCTTTGACGAGTATATAGTGATGTTCTAGGCTGTCTGCAGTGCTGCCCAGAGATATTGAATCTGACGGTTTTTCTGCCGTTAATCAGCAAGCCTCATACCTCCCTTCGATTAGAACAGGATGCGGTCTCTGGAATCACAACCCAGATCAATAGATGAGCTCGCTTGCAAACAGCCCATTTGGTGAATATCTTTCGATCTAAAAATAATGTTCTCATTTGGTAGGCACTCGACACTTCTCTACAGTAACCACTTATCCTCTTATGGTCAAGCCAGTCAAATCTCACAATATCCAAGTACTCAAGTAACGTGTAGTTCATATTGATGATTGATATGTAGCCCGATATAAATTAAAAGGTTGCACAGGTTCTTTAACCTTGACCACTCATATTAATATTCACTCTCATTCGTCTCTACACCTTTATACATGGCGAGATCAAAGTCCGGGGATGACTCAGGCTTCGTCAAGCCTTTAGCAAGCGACGCAGGATTAGATAGCGCTCGCACTGATATAGCCTCTCTGTGCAGTACACTACTGGCTCTCCTTGCCCTCACTATAGCTTCAATATTGTGTGCGTTGCTAGGCGGAGGTCATTTCGCTGGTCTGGCTTGTCCTTGATGCAGCGGCTAGGTATATGCTTTTCCCAACTGGTCACTTTGAGACTCTCAGCTGATGAACTGGCAGAGCAGGTCGCTTGGTACGGGTTCTACTGTTCGAAATGCTTTATGGTTGTGTCAAGTGATGAATAGGGCTGGTTGCATTTCATAACCAGCCATGAAGCCATTTGGATTKCTGAAGAATGTGTTTTATACTGTAGGTATCATCATTAGTATAGCGGTACTGTCTCCTCACTATTGAAGACCGTATATACCTGCTGAACCATGTTCAATACCCCTCGAATATGCGCTTCATTTCCAAGAACAACCTGGTGTAGCCACTCCGCTCTCCTCTTTTGCATTCGAAGGGCTCTCTCTAGCTGCCTTTTTTCTTCTTCTAGTTTGATCTGATGATTTGTAACCTCTTCCAAGTCCTTCCTAACCTTTTGTAAATCTGCACGTAGTTCTTCCGCGTTCTGTTCAGGGCGAATTTGGGAGATCTCAAGATCAGGGTCATCCTGTATTCGATCGTTGATCCCATCATTTGGAACGGCCCAGATCTCTTTTTTGCTTAATGCCGTTCTTATCTCGATATACGAGTTTGTCGACAGGTCACTCAGATGTCTTGCAAATAGGTATCGCCTATTTTGGTGGCATTGCCATATATACTTATCACCCCGTAACGGGTGTAGTCGCACTTCAGACGGGGCGACTGATAGTGACAGCTCACTGTCTGTATTCTGTTAGGGACGGGGGTTCACAGTCCTTGGCGCTCTACTTACGTAGATAATTGGAAAGTGCTTCCCGGCATTTAAGACGCTCTAAGCGGCGTTTCCTATTAGCGGGATTGGACATAGTTTGTCTGCAGAGCAATCAGCCAATCTTCTCTAGGTCACCGATGGCATTTGCTTATCCGTCTTCGGAATGAATAAGCATATGAAGACATCTGGAACTCACATGGACTCTCCGGCCGTGGTTGTAAAATATTCAGCTGTTGATCAAGGCTACTAATGCTGCGGCCTACTCTTTATAATTAAGCCTGGAAGCGTTGATATCCTGCAATTTCTGGCGAGAGTATCAGATTTATTGGATAACTGGAACCGCAAACCCGGCGCCTTTCCCCCTTTAAGTTGCGTTCATCTCAGCGTCAAAAGCTCTCTCAAGACGACTGAATAAATAATTATTGTAGACAAGGAACAGGGCACTAGAAATAAAAGCAAACGTCCCAGTCACAGCAGCTGTCACAGTCGCTGTTACAGACCATGATCTTCCTCGCGCTGTGTACACATTAATCAATGTATTGAAAAACCCAGTCGCCGAATTTATGAGAACAGGTCTATGCATTTTCCCATTAGTTTTGTTACCTTTGTCGCTCGTAGCCAGTAACTTACAAGAACACTTTCCGAGCGAGCCATACGTAGTTGCTCCGATTTCGGTAACACAGCCAAGCAGCACCCACCAGACCAAGGAAGCAAAGCACTGCAGCTGTGGCGAGGAGTGATATATTCTGTACAGCTTGATATGCGGACCTGCCAGCCTGACTGTTGCTGGTTGTTTCCTTGAACGACGCAGACTTGCGGAGGGACATGAACGTGCCAGGGAAAACCAGGTACCCTGCCAAAAGGATCCAGCAAAATCCAGCAGCCAAGATATTGTCAACCATAGGAATCTTCTCCATATCAAGCAGCATCCTAACATATTTCGTTGGCGAATCAGACCGGCTGCGATAATCATGTTCGGAAATGTTCCAGCTCCGAGGCACCAGGGACTTTATGCTTCTACTTTGGGAGAAGGTCCACCTCATTTGGATGGCATTAAACCAACTGAATAGTGGCTGTTAAACTCTGGAACGCTGGTCTTATTTATACTTCCACAAGGTCAGTTGCACTTCCCCAGCTTGCAGGCCGCAGATGCAGGTTTGGTGATGGGGGCAACACTGCTCTTGAGCCGACCTACAAAGAGTCTTTAGCGTTATTGGCCTAGGGCTTTACCAACTGTACTAGAGGTGATATGAAGGTTATCAATATTCACCTAACATCCTAGCTCCTACTGACATGCTTTAAAGGTAAAGCATTCTTCAAGATTACCGTCCTATCCTGTGCCCTTCTTACCTAGATTATTCCATACAGTACGGACGCCTTTGAAATCGGATCATTATCTGTCAGGGGATTGCAGCATTCGATCATGTTTAAGGACAGCACTCGGTCTACTGAGAAATAATCATGAGCATTACAACACTAGACCCAAGGTACATAGTACCCGCTTGTTCACCATGGAAACCCGCCTCCGTCTCCGTAGTATGGCGCAAATTTGCTAGTTCTAGCCAGCTCCTCCTGTCTCGCGTCCTCAGTGATTTGCGCCCACCATTCTCGACGCCGAAACAAATCAAGCTCTAAGTACGACCCTCCTGTCTTTTTATGGGTAAATTCATGTTCATAGCCGCATTTTGTCCGAACCCCAAGAATTGATACTTTCCATCCCGGCCTCAAGGTCCAGTCTGGATAGAAAATTCTCTGGTCTATATCTGACTGCACGGTCCCAGGGGGAAGATCCATTCGGAAGTTCTGAGAGCACTTCTGTGTAACTCCTTCAGCAGGGATTTTTTTAGGAGAATCTTTCTGAGTAATTCGTTTCTCGTAGCTTTTTGATTTAGCCCCATGATGCCATGCTATGCTTATTAGTGCAACTCCCGCATAGACATAGAAGGACTACTCACGCATCCAGACCTTTAAGAATCGCCCCATGATAATGTTTGCAGTGAGATTCTGAAATATATTAGGTCACTTAACCCTGATCAACGCAGAAATTACTTTCTTCTCTTGAATCTGGATTAATGGTCTCTATATATACTGATGAAACTGCTGACGTGAATCAATATATCGCAGATAACTTTGCAGCAGGCAAACCCTACGTCTTTCCATAATGCCTGTTTACTATTACAAGTCCATGGTTTACAAGGAATATCGTGCAGCCAGATATGAGTGTACTTTACTACTAATTTTTCACGTATGTATTTTACTTGCCTGAAACTTCATATCATTGTAACCTAGCAATCACTCCAGTACAAGTGGCAATCTCAGCATCGATTTCTATATGGATGAGCGGCTTGCAATAAAAGTCACGGTACTTGTCAAGCAGGATCCTGCTCAACCCGACTGATAGGAATTGTGTTCCTAAACTGATGTCTAGAACTGAACTATAACCCCATTGTTTACCCTACTGTATTCGGACAGGCTTGAAAAAGAATTGGCTAACATTCGTGTACATATCTTATCAAGACACTTCGTTTCACCGTGGTTGCATGCCACTACCACCAGGATGTAGAGAGCAGGCAGGAGTCCTGTTCCTTTAACCTTAGCCGCGAAAGCTCCTTAGAGACCTCATCCTCTCTTCCCTTAATTGAAAACACCTAGTCTTTGACTCTGGCAGTTGGTTCTCGGGTAGCCATATCTGCACTCGATGACGTACGCAAGCACCGGTTCTCCTGATTTCTGTGGTGGTGATTCTCAAATGATTTAGCTGGTAGATTTCATCCTCCCAGAGCCAGATGCAAACTCGATAATGAGCGCGTCCATCTATGGCCCGTACGTCATCAATGAACCAATGCCTCCTCGGAGGCAGGCCTGTATTGCAGAGATGCCTTTGATTTTCGCCTCTAAGAAGGGACCTTGTATGCATCGGCCTATGCGAAGTTTGTAGTATAGGTCTTAGGCCTGCAGGGGGCGTCCAGCCATGCCCACACTGCCATCCAGTAGACATCTTGCCTAGTTGTATCTGCTTGGTTGCTAGTGAGATGAGGTCTGCGCCGTAGTGCAGTAAAGCCACAATCGGGCGACAAGTTTGAAGTAAATGAATGTTAGACCTGAAGCTTCAAGAGTAAATATGGCATGTAGGCAGAGATTTTCTCTTTATACCAGCATGGAGAATGAGAAGGATTAAGGTGCAGTACGCCTCAGAGAGTCTCCGACTTTAGGGTTTCCTATTCCTGATAGAAAGTTATATAAGTATATAACTTAACAGCTAGAGATCTCTCAACTTGTGCTGTGTCTGTTACCCATCAGTATGTATGATGGTAAACTATTGTCTGTTGCTCTAGTCCTCCTCATGCTAAGGTATGTCACTGTATCCTTACTAGTCGTCTTTTATCTCATAATCGAGAAGCCCAGTGAAGGGGCAGGCACAGTCCACATGCCTCATGTCTCCCGCATATGCATCCGCAAGCTCCAACCCAGCACTGTCGGCCGATCGTCCAACAGCTGTCCCTTTTTTAACACCATCCAGAATGCCGTCTGAGGCTGCGGTCTCTACAGCAACGAGCTGTACAGGGTCCAAAATGACTCAGATTACGTTTGATCAAACAATGCCAAGTTCAACCCGCTCTGCTCCGGGCCTTGTATCGACGGGACAGGCTACACAAGTGCTACAGAAACTGACTATGACGATGCTCCTTTTCTGTTTCATTATGTTCAAGTTCTGGAATGAGTAATATAGCTGGATGGTAGCTGTTTGTTAGAAAGCATAGAGAAGCTAGTGACCATTAGAAAAACGTATGGCATGCACGGACGCATGACTGAAATAGTGCTGCCGTACCTGCACTAGACTCTTCAAGAATTGATTTTCCCAGGAGCGTTGTTGGTATGTTAAAATTCATCAATCCACGCCCGTTTGGATGGTTAATTATCGACCCAAGAAAAGACTTGCACAGTACAATTAAGTCACACTTAGCTGCAGCTGACCGAAGTGTAAGAATTCAGCAAGACCCTTTTTTTATATGTAACATAGAGAAGTGCTAATCCTATCCATTCGCCATCCATGATCATCTCAGCCCTGACACAGATGAGTTCACCTTCGCATTCTGCTTGCATGCTGCAAATTTGACCTAGATGTTCGATATACATCTCAGATGATTTGGCAGAAAAACAGCTTGATGGAGTGGCGGTTACAGCTCGCATTTCGTATTTTGCTTTGCATCACAGTAATGGTCATTACTATGAAAGCGTTAGTTCGGATATATAATTGCAGGTTGTCCTTATACATACTTCCAGTCCTCGTCAGCTCCTATACCTGGGCCAAAACCAGCTGCAGTACCTGCAGTTAGCCTGAACTCAGCGCAGTGAGTAATTCCAACTCCACCCATGGCCCTGCCCATTTTGGATGGACAAGATTCATGCCCAGAGATAATGGCTTGGTAGGCATTCTTGCATAGATCCGTAGTAATGTGACTGCAGTCTCCATGAACCGCCATAGCCATGAAAAGATTCACATCCTCACCATGGCTGTTTTTTCCTATTTGATGTGTCCAGGACATACCATCCGTTTGTCTAGGTGGCATCGAAGCACAAACTTCATCGACAATAGGGACTGCGTCTTCCACTTTAAAAGAAGCACCCCACATGCCCTCTGCTGACGGAGGCTTTGTAGCGCAAAGTAATTTTGTCATTGATATTGTTTCACTTGGGGTTTGAGTCACTGGAGATATTGTGGAGACTGGCCGCAGCTGACGGCCTGGTAACACACAGTGGAGGTATGTGGTCCCTGCTGTTGTTGTAGTGCTAATGTCATATTGACTGGGCCCACATGTACAGAAGGTTTGGACTCCAGTAGGACTGATACCTGCATCTGGAGGTATAGTAATACTATAAAGTATTAGCAGCGTAGCGAGCAAAATGATTATCTAGACTCACGAAGTTATGTGGCACTTCTGGATTGTGGATTGCTTGGAGACAGAAGATGTCGCTGTTGAGCATTTCATAGAGGTAGTCAGACTGGCTGAGAGGATAGGAATTCCCAGGCCCAAGAAGACCAGAATAAGGAAAGTAGGAATGCTCATGGTGCAGCAAAAGTCAGGAGGACGTAATTTACTTAACATCAACATTTGTGGTTCCCCAGGGGCGATGTCTCTATAAAATGGGCGGCATTGGTGGCAAGGAGCTAAGTCCCTTTCGGGTTGATCCATACTATTCAGGTTATGCTTGCCTTTCCTCCCTACAGATCTGAGGCCCCATGAGGCACGGTAGTGTAAGAAGTCTTCCAAAGAACTTGGCAGTGGGTTGACTCAAAAGCGAGAGGGAGATCGTGACAGCCTGCAGCACCTGGTCTACCGTCTACCTAGGTCACCCTGATCAGATACTTCAACAAGTGATGACCGCATTCTTCGGCGATAGCCTCATTTCTCTCCCTTTCTTCCTTCTGTAGGCTTGGTATTTTTGTGTTGGCTTAGATGCCTGTAGCACTAATCGTAATAGTCAGAAAATTTGACCGCGTTATGCTGGATTTAGCCTAGCAATTCCTGCCTACCTACTCTAAACCCTTCAAATATTGATTTCCCCAGCCCTTTGTTGGTACGTAAATAATTCACTACGCCTGTCTGAAGGCTCAAACAGGGAGAGCAATTCGGAGAGTGAGCTGGAACGGAATGTATCATTCGTTGGGGTTAACACCAGATGTGGTTTGGAAGATATCTTTGCATAAAAAGACAATGCCGTTCGTAGCTTAGTATAGAAGTTTGGTGAACGCTCGCTCAGTTGCTTTGTAAATAGGTGACGCATGGTGTCTGCAATCCCATCTGTACTTGCTCGTGTTGGATGTAATCGCACCTCGAATGGGGCAACTAGAATGGGTAGCTCCGTCTTTTTATTCTCTAAGAAGCAAGGACTTGCGAACAATATTTGCTCCACTTTCGATGGAAAGCGCTTCGCAGCTGGTCCGCCATCACCAACGCGTTGTAGATGTCTGCGGCATTCCCAAGTTACTTAAGGCCAATAAAAACACAACAACAGATGAAATCAAAGTCTCAGCAACAGCTAAGATTCCATGCACCTCTTCTGTTCAACCTCGAAAGCTTCTCAAAGACCGCATCCTTTCTTCCCTCAGTCGAAAGGAACTCGTCTTGGACTCCGGCAACTGATTTTCAGGCAACCATAGCTGTAGTCGATGACGAACCCCAGCACTGGTTTTCCGAATCTCCATATTCGTGACGCTTAGGTGGGCTACCCGGTGGAGCTCTTCTTGCCACAGCCAAATGCAGATACGGTAATGGGTTCGTCCGTTTCTGGTCTGTACATCATCGATAAACCACTGTCTCCTGGAAGGCAGGCTTATGTTTGTGGAGCGGGGGGCATAGTCGACCCTAGGCGGCCTTCTATACATCGGCTGATCTGTGGTTTGCAGTATAACTCTTGGGCGGCTTTCTGGTGCCCGATTATTCCAAATTCGCCACTGAGAAGGCATCTCAAAGCCTTCTCTGCTCGATGTTTCTTAAACCAATCAATTACCAGAAATGAGGCGGGGTTCAACAGGGCGCCGGTTTGTGGAGGTTGAGGGAGATGTCGATTTCTTATACCTTCCCAGTGGGCCGAATAAATAAAGGCATACCGGACTTAAGAATTTAGCACGCCTTCGTACAAACAAGGTATCGAATTCTTGCCGTGTGCAGTGCAACTGCAGGCACTATATATAATCTCTGCTCGTCCGGAGCTCTCTTTGCTGGTGCTAAGTCTATGTCCTAGCCATCTCATGGTGGCCCCAAGGCTTTCCACCGTCTTGATTGGCATCATGTTCAGGTACTCTAACACTGCCTTATTTGCTGGATGTAACTCACAATGAGCAAGTGTAGCCAAAGGAGCAGATGAGTCCAAGTCAACCGCTTGCTTCACCTCTACAGTGCCCAGGTCGACCACATGCCCTGAGAACTGGATCCCACCTACCTCCACATCCTGTCCGTCGCTATCGACCTCTCTCGCTATTCCAGGAGGGACTTTGTATTCAACCGGGAAATGCACTGAGACTCCTATCACCATGGCGGCAAGCTGCTCGAAATCCACAAAGCAGCAGATTACGCACTACCAAACAAGTGCGACTTCAACAACGCCAACGCCGGCCACTGTATCGATGGGCTATGGTTCGCAATTGCCCCGAAAACAGACCATACTCTTTCTATTTCTCTATTTGTTGTTCATGGAAGTTGTTCGTTAAGAGACGCAGTAGATCGGGTCTGTGAGGTGATGGGAAAACAGTGAGCTGGTTGTTACTATACTGCAATAGATATTTGTGGAGAAACAGCTACACAGCCATGTAGAGTTGTGTATTTGGGGCAACGTTTAAGAATTTCTACTGCTGCCGCGTACAGAACAGTTTGCTAAGTCCGCTGTGTCTTCTGGTTAAATACCTGGAGAACGCATGCCACTACAATAGAAGCCCATTTCTGACAGCGAGCGCGTTAGATGAAATAAATACAACAAACATCTGAACATAATCATCTTAAACAACCACGTATGGCGGTCCCAGTAATTTCTTGAAGCCTTGAAAGCTTTTTCAGCTACAAACATCAGAAGGCTGCGTATTTGCAGCTGGAGTTGACTTAGACGCTAGCGAGGTCTCGCTGTCGGCAGTTGTTTCAGAGGCCGCTGCACCTGTTGTAGCTGAAGTTGACTTAGACGCTAGGGAAGTCTTGCTGTCGGCAGTTGTTTCAGAGGCCGCTGCACCTGTTGTTGATGACCGTGCACCAGCGGTCGCAAAGGTAGAAGCACTGGCACCTGCGGGCTTCGTAGGTCCGTAAGACTCTGTCGCGGACGAAGACGATCTGTCGCTAATAGTAACAGACGGGACACTTTGTCGCGAAATACTAGATTTCGGGTTCAAGAAGAACAAAGAAGTTCCGTCGCAGACGCAACTGGAAGTTACCACGGGACACGCAAAATAAGCCATTGCCTCCATGCCAGACGTCACAGGAAAGATTTGGGTCGTGCCAGCATTGGTGCTAAGCCCTTGGGTCTTTTTGTAAGAAGTGCACAGACTCTGAGGTGGGTTGTACGGGGTCTCATATAGGGTGAATGGGACATTTGTTGGAGCACTGAAGACAATAATGGCACCTCCAGAAACATCCTGGAGGATGTTGGGCGTAAATTCTAGCTGCCCATCAGCCTTATAGGATACGTCCACCAGATACTGCGGAGCTCCAGAAACAGAAGAGGGGGTAGATAAAGGTGCATCTGGCAGTCTTGAGCAATACATAAATTGTCAGCTGGAAGTAGCTTTAACTCAGAGCGGGTCCTCAACGTACCCTATGGTTGAACTTATAAATAGAAAGAAAAGGCTGAAGAGGAAGGCCATTGTCTATCAACGAGAGTTTGAGGAGCAGTCAATAAAACTGAACATCAAATGGAATTATCGGAGCTTTATATCGACAAACGGCATCTACTCCAGTCCAAGGGGTTGTAAGGTGTTGGAGGCGCTGGCTACATATATGTCTGAGGCGGCTAAGTCTTCGCCTGATATTCTCGGGCAAGGCGTAGCTACCACCAGTGGTACGCAGGGCTTCAAATTTAGAGCAATACCTGGCTTGTTTTAAATCGGTAAAAACGTGGTTCGTTGACAGCGGTTCCTGCAGGTGTGAACTCATCGCATTAACTACCCAGGAAGCCACCCATGTATTACCACTCTCATCATCAGTGGCTAATGGAATAACTGGCTAGCTAAAGCTACTAGTGGGTTTGGAACTGAACACTGCTTGCATGATACAATATGGCCGTAGAAGGAACTGATTCCCGAAACCGTTCAGTAACTGCGCTTTGCCAAAGCCCATGCCAATGACCATACGAGGACCAATGCTTCCGTAGCGCTATTGCCAAACAGTAAACATTTCCCGCTCTTTCTTCTGCTAGCATGGCTTCGGTTTGATAGGTTAGTTTGGGCATTAGGCCTTGGGCCTGAAGGCACCTGATTGCGCTTAAGGCAAGAGACCTCGACTAGCGTTTGACAAGTGAGCAGCCTGCCTTGATTCGCGCTGGAGATCTAACCCTATGGTATGACTGCGTCTAGACAACATGACTCTCCATTCATAGCCCAGAATCCCCTGACTAGACCACATCGGGAGACTCTTTCACCTCCATCCGTGACGGATTGCCCACTTCCCTACGTTGAACCTCAACTTTGCAGGCTGTCGACAGCTCAATCGCTGTATATCGCTCAAGTTGTTGGCCATACTTCGTACATTGCGGATAGCCAGTCGTCAGAGCTMGCATTTCATATTCAGTTTCGCATCACAGTAGTGTTCCTTGCTGCACAAAGTAAGTTCTAGCTAATCCTATCAGGGTCTTCTTATACTTACTCCCAGCCCTTGGCAGCTGTTAGGTCAGCGGAAAAATGGCTTAGATCTGATGCAGTCCCTGCAGTGACTATAAAAATAGAGCAATCACTAACCCCAATACCTCCCATGGTCAAACCCGCGTTGGATGGACATGACGGATGCCCGGAGAGTATGGCTTGGTAGGCACTTCTGCAGAGGTCTGCAGTAATACTAAGACTGCAGTCTCTGCGAACACCCATGCTCAAGAAAATGTTCACATCTTCATGGTGGTTATTTTTACCTATAGCTTGCATCCAGGTCCTTGCGGAATTTGGCTTTATTTCACGTGGCATCGAAGCGCATACTGTGTCCACAAAATGGTCTGCATCTGCTACTTTGAATGTAGAGCCCCAAACCATGTCCTTCGATGAAGGTGACTTTGTAGCGCAGAGAAGTTCCGTCATTGATATTGTTTGACTTGGGGTATGCGTCGTAGAAGAAATGGTTGAAATTGTCTGCAACCGGGGACCTGATATCACACATTGAAGGTATGTGGTATCCCCCTTCGTTATAGTGCTAACGTCGTATTGGCTTGGTCCGCAGGTGCAGAAGGTTTGGACTCCGGTTGGAATGATGCCTGCATCTGGAGGTATAGTTATACTATAGACTATCAGCAGCTTCGCGCGTAAATGAGCGATTTTTAGGCTCACGAAGTGACACGGCACTCAGAGGTTGTGGATGGTTGAGCGACGGACGACGTCGCCTCTGGGCACTTCACAGAGGTAGCCAAACTGACCGAAAGAATGGGCGCGACTATGGCCAAAATTACAGCGGGTAGGAAGGCAAGCATCCTGCAGCTTGTTGGTAAAACTTCTAACCGTACGAAAATTTGGGATATGTCGATTAGATCTTTGGTAGGATATTTCTGTGCTTTTATGGTGCTTGGGAGAAGTGCCGTGTCAGCTTGCGGAAACAGGGAGGCAAGAGAGATATCCTTACTGACGCTACCACATCACCCTTGAGGCGAGACTTTTGATGATGAGAAAGGTACAGCAAAAAGAAAATCTCGCTATGAATGTCTATCTCCCCTTGAGAGTCGATCGTACAAGTCTGGACTTTAGTTTCTATCCACGTTTTACGGTCCAATGGTCTTGTGAGTCACTGCCAATAGCAACCATGATTAGCCATGTATTGACTGCAGCTAGCGCGACTTGGACGCGATGTGGAACTGCTAGTGCTGTTCCATGGTCGAGGAAGGATATCTTGTGCTGAGCGAGTTTCTTGTAGCAATCAGTCAGATCGTTCCACGCCCATTGTAGCGCATGCTCAGGCATCAGCTCAATATCCGAGCCGCCCTACTCCCGGGTAGACTTGACTGATACGTATCTTCGCTTCATGCCATCGCTACAGCATGAGAAGTTGACGAATACTGGGTCTCCCCTGGATGGCGAACGACTGGATCAGTATGTACATCTGTATCCGAGCATAGCTAAATGTCTAAAAGGGACTCCATGTGCTATAGTACAGTACACAATATCAGGTACACGGCGTGGTTAACAAATAATTGGATGTCAAGTAGGCTTTATGGATAAGTGCAACATGGCCATTCTGCCTGACGAGCCAATGTACGGGCATCACCGTTATGATGCCGGCCTAGGTTCCGTATAAATATTGCCTGAAGGAGTGCCTCCGCGATGCTAGAGCAGCCGAACGAGGGCTCATGCGATGGTTTGGAAAGGATGGCTGAGCACACAATGATGATCTTTATCATTGTGGCTTTGTCGGCGCTGACTGTTACATTAACACAGCCTATCCGCCGTCCTCCCTGGCATGGAGCAGTCAGCATTGTCAATTATCTAAGCACCAACCTTTACGTCCGATCCGTCTCCGTAGAGGATGGGCCGCTGCACATCCTGCCGGCTAACGGGGGACGCTACAATGAAACGTGGCGGCCGAATGTCAATTCTACCGGCGTTTCTATCAAGATCGCAACATCTACGGACATGACGGACGTCCTTCAATTTGAGTACAGTGCCATCGATCCAACGATCTATTGGGACGTGTCCTGCATCAATCTATCCAACGGCTCAAGACTCATCGCGGAAGGATTTACGGCAATAGCCTCTGATAAGAATTGCCAGCCGGTGGTGTGTGATCGTGGCGACGGCGACTGCCCTGACGTGTACCACGAACCTGACGACAACTATGCGATCCGAGGCTGTCCAATCAATACAACGATAGTGATGCAAATCGGCTCGCCATGAAATGCTTGCCATGTTTGCCATGCTTAGAAGAAGGAATAACAGGCCCCGAAAGTCTGCGATCTCTGAACTTGTTTCCGTGTTGAGAAACAGTTCGAACTACAAGACACGGCTCGCCTGGACTTTCATTGACTATCTCCGTGGACTGAAAGGCGCGCGAACTTAGATTGGTTAGATCAAATAACATGTATGTAGTGTACTTAGCTGGCGACTTATGCGGGCATTAGAAGTAGGAAGAGCACAAAGACGCTGCATACCAAGGAAGACCACCGTCGCGAAGATATCCGATTTCCCTTAATCTGTAGGAATTTTCTTCAAAATACCCACCAAAAAATCAGAATTGAGTTTCTGTTCTTCAATCTGCTCGTCACTTAAGGTCTCAATTCGATATTGGCCGGCGGGATCTCTCATATAAAACAGATCCTTCGATAGATCCGCATCCACGGACAGTAACACTTGTGGTCGTAGGTCGGCGCACAGTTCCCCCAACAGTTTGCACTCCCAAACTGGAAGGTCCCTATAAGAAGTAGCGTTAAACTTCCGGGGCCAGCGGGGAGGGCCAATGGTTACAGTGCGAGGGAGTAGGCAGAGAATGTTTGGGTCCTTGTTACCCACGTAGTCGACGATGTGACACCAGTAGCTTGCTTTCTTGTCCTTGAGTCGCTCGGCGATCTCTTTTCGGCTTGCAGATGCCGATGGAGGTTTCGCACTCAAAACGTGGTCTACAACCTCATCGATACCACCGTCAAGGTCTCTCTTCAGCTGTTGGAGCTTCCAATTACCAAGCCTGACGCCGATAATGGACAGATGTTCCTTCCGCTGGTGTCCGCGCAAGGCATCAAACGTGCCCCAAGGTGTGTCGGGGTATGATGCGTTTGCGGAAAGCACTTGCGACCGAACCTGGCGGAGACAATCCTTAAGTGCCAGAAGAACATCTGGTGAGCCGATGCTGACGGCCAGTTGAACAAGTTCGCTGGCGCGTTCAAGCCCGACGGGCTCCATACTTTTTGCATTCACTCTTGCCGAAACCTGTTGTACTGTATCCCATAGCTTTGTACCGAAGCCATTCTCATTCCCGAACTGCGTCCAGAAATCTTCGATCACTGTTGACATCTCGTGCTGAGTGGGAGTGTTTGAAGGCATTCCTGCCTTGAGGACCGAATCACTACTTTGCATCGCCTTGAAATCGTGCAGGACCTCGCGGGCTAGCGTCAACCGGTAGCCGGCCGGAACTGGTTCCGTCGGACTCGCGCGTTCGGCCCGTAGCCGCGTCACCCAGATAAGCCAGAGGGCGCCATACCCCAGTTCCGTCGGTATATTCTGTACCACATATTCCCAGCTGGGAACTAGCTTCCCTTCCCGGCGCAATAAGCCATTGACATGTTGTGCAGTCGTTATACAATCGCTGCAAGTACTGTGTTCCATCGACAGCGACACCATTGACTCATCTGCCTGAGAACACTTGTAATGTGTCAACCGTCCGATGTGAGGCTGGACCTCGATCAGGGAGCATTCATTGTTACCCCATAGCATAATCAGCAACCGGCGTCGGCTGTGGCTCAACTCCTGTAAGGAGGTTCTTCTGCCAATCCACGTTTCAGATGCAGTATGCAGCGTAGCCAGCTTGCTTCCAAAGTATATTATGACCTCCTCTCCCACAACCCTGTCGGACTGGGTTAGCTGTTCCAGCAGAGTCCTGACGAAACTGCCGTCAAAGACTCCGAATGCGCATCGGAACTGGTCCGATATGTTGCCGGTTGATATGCCGAATGTGCCCCCTCTCTCCATTGCTGTCTCCATGGCTTGCATTTCTGATTGCAAATTGGCTGGAACCAGAGCTCCAGGGTTCAGTGAACTTGGAGGGGAAGCTGCCGCCGACAGGGGGGAGGTGTTGGTGATGAGCTCAAGCACCTCATCAGTATGTTCCGAGGGCGCGCCAAGCTGGTCAACCTGTTGCGTAGACTCCAAAAACGGTGGGAACAAAGGGAAGTCCGAGCTGTTGCCCGCGAGCCAATCTGTTTCTAGTTCGGGTGGCGGTGATGATGGGAGAGGGAGAAGCGCACCCGGATGAGTGTTTGGCTGTGGTACAAACAACAAATCATCAATCTCCGCAGCCGAACCAAGCGGAGGGAACGGTTCCGTGTCTCCCATGTCAGCAACAAGCGCAAGCATAGCTTCAAAATCATGGCCGGCGCAGATCCCATCCATTGCTATCGTGCTCGGCATGCCTTCCGGTACTTGAGTCTCTTCGAGTATGGTAGGGAGGTCGGTGTGGTCAATGACTAAATGGTCAATGACTAAATCCATCGGATTTGCGACCCCGACGTCTGGTATCCACCCTTCCCATCCATTTTGGCGGCCCTGTATGTTTGGACTACTCTCCACTAGGTCCGTAGAATTCTCATCCGTGGTATCAGTGGCGGAGACCGGAGAGGAAGATACACTGTTCCTCCGGGCCCTCCTGCTATTGTAAGCTGGAGGACCACGCCGCTCCTCTTCGTTTTCTGAGCGCAGCACCTTCGAGATATCACGCAGAAGCTGGGCGATGCTAGCTGACTTCCGAGCCCGGTCGCGGATTGGAAGGAAGAGGGCCTTGATCGTGTCCTTGATCGTGTCGACCTGCCAATGCTATTAGGAGGAAGCGTTGGAAGATGAGGAGGTACTTACCAATGCTTCCAAGACGCGGTTTCTGTCGCTAACATCTGTGCCCTCAACATCATCGTCGTTCAGAGCCTCATCCAAAACCTGCATGAAGGCTTGCTTCCAAAGCTATTAGCAAGAACGGAGACGAAAAGGGGACCTCGGCGTACCACTCTCTCCAGGGTTTGTCGTTTGACCTCAGGCGCTACCATCGTGGCCTCTGTGAAGTCGCAGTGAGGGAATAGATCTGAATGCTAATGTCATGGCGGGTGGGCGTTGTTCTATAATGTCGCAGGAGGTAACTCCTTCAATCTTCGACCCAACGCCCAAATATGGTGAGCAACAGCATTGACTGGTCAACAACGATACTTTCCTTGATCTCTCCAACAGTCGTCCCAAGACAGTGTCTGATAGGTGGTCTTCCATTATCCTTGTCTATAATGGTCCCAAGGGACCGGTTCATCACACGCCGGGCGGTCCAGACACTGGAGATGGCACATTTTTCGTACTTTCGTAAAGGTATGCTTGGAAGGATATTTTTCTTTGAACTTGAGGCACTGTAGCTGTCTATGCATTGTTATGTCTCGATGTCCAGCTTCAATCTCGCGCCCGTCGCCCGAATAGAGGACTCTAGCCGACTCAGGACACTGTTTTGCATGCCCTCTTATATATGAATACGAGAACACCCATCGATCACTAACCACGAAATCTCATTGAACCACGAGACGGTACAGATAGATGCCATGGAGAACCAGCCTCAGGCAGAAACGGTATCTGCTGCGATTAGAAAGTCTTGAACTTTTTATCTAACGGGTCAGTAGATTCCCGGGATGCTGGTCTCTACACCGACAACCGACCAAAAATTGGAGATTGGCCCTCTGGTCGAACAGCTTAACCTATACTGGAGAGACTGTCAGAATCTTCGGTGGCACATACAAGCGCTGCAAACCGAGCTCGGAAGGATGCAAAGGGAGAATACCAAACTCCAAGGTGACTACAACAAGGAACGCCACCGACATGCGCAGACGCGCGGTGAGGTCCTCCAATTATATGATCAGTTCCAGCGTTTGAGCGGCATGTTGTCTGGAGAAGGAGGGAGCGCCCAACCCGTTCTTTCTATTTTCTTCGAACTGGAGGCGAGAAGCTTGTCTTTACAGCATGCTGAATCCGAGCTCTGCCAGTGGGTTGCCGCTTTAAGAGCGACTTGCCAGCGTGTAGAAGACAGATATTCCAACTCATTGCGTGGTCAGCAGTATTGTCCAGTTCCACCCACCCATCAGCAACCATATCAGCATTGGCAGTATGGGCCAACCGACACGACGCGACCAGGGCCAACAGAGGCCTCGCGTGCCAGACTGAAGTGAATACGAGAGAGGAATGAGCAACGATAGGGGAAGTTTGGGAGAATGAATTGAAAGGATGAAGGGAAAACCCCGCTAATTCTCGAAATAAACTTTGACCAGTGAACTTTGATAAATTATTTATCGAGACCCGTCGATCACTGGCAAAGTAAATATCCAACAAGTCTGTATTTTGGAGGCTGTTTTGCTTCTTAATTACTCTGTACTACTCCGTATAGTACTAGTTATTAAGGCCAAACTCTTTCCCTTCACTAAAGACGAGGAGTGGGTCAGGAAGTGATCATATGCGCCTACACACGACCTGAGCATCCGTAGAGAGACATGTGAGGAGCATTCCAACTTTCTTTTTTCCTACTAAATAAAACGAACCCTTTTCCTGTAACGGCGGCTTGGCTGCGCAAGTGCACTTTTACGGTTGATCCGCAAGTCACATGCTTTGCACTCAGTCCGTCTAGGCAGGTCTAGCCAGTCGGTGGCGTAGTTGGTGCACTCAAATCCCTGTCGTTCGATGAGCCACCTTAGTGAGATTGGGAAACCACCCAGTAATTGCTGTTCGTCTCTGCTAAGCTCCAGGGCTAAGGCGATTTGACTGTCATGCCCCTCGACCGCGAACCTTACAGGTACACAGTATCTAGAACAGCTGTCGCAGATCGCGTCTTCGATTGGAGAAATATCCAACTTCACAGCGCCTATGACGTAAGTGGCGGCCTGTGGATGTAACTTCCTGAGGAGATCAACAAGTACGTTCCCCTTGAGACGGCACCTGATCGCTCCAACGCAATGCAAGTGTCCCTCCTCCCAACGGGGCGCGGAAGAAAGTTCCAGGAAAAGACTAGCCAGTGCCAGGGAGGTGAGCACTGGCGGGACCTGGATTGAAGCCGTCTGATCAACCAGGTCTGTCATCCATTTCACTAGCCCTGTCGCGTTTAACAACGGCTCCTGTCCAGGAAAGACCACATTCAAGCGATGGTAATGCCGCTTATGTGCCTCATCAAGCTGGCCCAACAGCTCGTTCCAAGCCTGCTCTGCATCCATGGATGCCATGAACGTGTCATAGAGCCGGAAAGCGAATCCGCGTGTCCAAGAACGGCGGCGCTGGCCACTGCGGGACTCCGGTCGGCGATGGAAGCCTGACCCCGTGCCAAGGCTTACCAGCGTCGCAGGCAGAGGCCGTGATGGCCACATCAATTGGATCTCAGAACGACAGATTGGAGCAGGATTGTTCTGCTTCAGGCCACCGTCTTCGCAAGTACCAATGCCTGGAAGGTCGATGGGTGGGAAAAAACTGCCTTTCGTTAGCGTTCGCCTACTCTGTGATTATGGCCTAGTCTCTTCGGGGGAGACGAACATTGGTGCTGCGCTGGTTGCTCGTGCGCTAGGGTTTGAAATTAGCGCCTTACCACCAAGTAGTGAATGGGTAACGAAGCGTCACGAACCATTGCCACAGTTTAGGCTCCTCATCCGCGTTCTTGGCTTCATGAGCATGGTAGTAATCTCCAAGATCTTGTTCAGCCACAATCCTCTGCGTCCACACAAGGCTTGTTCGCGCTTACCACTTTGGGATTCGGTTGTTCGGCGATAGTTGATGAGCAACACGGGTCTGCCCACCGTTGTCGTCACGGCGATTTTTGTACCTGACACTGGCTGGACGTCAAACATGCCGCGTGTAGTGCTGAATTCCTGTTGCAAAAGCTCGTCCCACATGCCTGCGTTGTACCATCCGTCCCGCCACCAGCATCTGAACGCCCGGAAGACCTTTGCGAGGGTAGATCGCGGCGGAGGGTGTCTCTGAAAAAATCTCGTCATGAGATTGGCGAGTGCAATATCACATTCGCCTATATGTCGACGTTGATGGAACAACTCCAGCACGGCGATCCCTCCTGTTGAATGCCATTGTTATTTATATGCAACGATTTTGCTACGCTTCGGGAGTGCTTACCAGCGCTCGTGCCAAACGCTACGTCGAACAAGTCCTGCAAGGGACATTCCGGACCGAGAATTTGCTGGATGTGTACGAGATATCGTAATGGGATAAAACCGCGAACGCCTCCGCCATCTATGCAAATTGCCCGAACGGGTGCCGTAGGCGGCAACACGTTAACCAGATTGCCGCAAGGTTTCTGACAGATAACGCAACAGTCGACAAGATATCGATATTCCGCTCCTTCCACGGGATGACCGTATCTTGCGGCACAGATGTCACAATAAGAATGCTCACATGACAAAACGTGTTGCGGTGGTCGGAACAAGCACCCCAAGCAGGTCTGGCGGGAGCTTACGCCTCTTACGAGTTCTCGACACCCAGCTAGATTGGTCTGGTGGATTCGACGTGGAGGTCCTTGACCAAGCAATAGTCGAGTGTGAAACTGGGCAAGGTTAAATTCAATTAGTTGACAAACCGTTGACGGAAACCCTCTGGACCTCAACGCTTCTTCACAAAAATGGCGGTATAACGAGTCAAAGATAGCTGCCGGGCTAAAGCCTATGCGAACAGGTCAGCCCCGCTCAAAGACCAGTCCAGGCTGAGAAGCCTGTTACTTACAGTGTGACTCCTGGGGATATGCATCCACCAGGAGCGTTGAAGCGATGAAGGCGGCCTGATCCTCATGTTTCCATCCCCGCGCGCTTGTGAGGGCTAAGAAGTTGGTCAGGTGGGAGCTGTGCGCCACGCCTCTCGCATTGGCTCCATGGGCGCTTTGGACGAAGTCAAACGGCAACTGTGGTGTGCGGCAGGCATGGGTGAGAGCACAATGGAAAAAGCGGTCCAAATGCGCCGCCGAGAACAGGTATCCGTCCTCTTTCCGATGCCGGCGGCTCAAATCCACCGCTTTCAATAGCTCGTCCCTCAAGGACCGGTGCCGGGCCATATTGGACAGGTCTCCCCCAGGCAAGTGGAGCAAACTCGGAGTGCTGAAGACCTCCATTGCGTTACGGTCCTGCATCAGCAGAAACAGGAAGTCGCTCTCATCGAGAAGGTCATGGGTGACGCTTTGGCCGTTTGCCTCGGCCACGATCAGAACGCGAGGCCGGTGCTCCAGACTTGATGCGCTTCGGCCCACTGTCGCCCAGGTCGACAGTGATGTGCGCACTGCGTCTAGGCCACCGATATCGTCAGCGAAGATACAGATGACATCCACAAACAAGAAAAGCACACGAGCTAGGAGAATGTCCGAGAGGCGGCGATCGCCGGGAGAGGCCCAGTGAATGTGGATCTCCTCTCGCACACCGTCGTTGGGCACGGGGTCCAGTGGTGTAATATGAGGATCACATTGTGCAAACAGAAACGGATGATCGGCAAATAGTGTTCGATTGTCTACATCTAATTGAAGACTAGGGTGTCCGGCTGGGATCTGGTTTTCTGGAAATAGGTAACGGAGTGCGACATCCTTTCGTCTTTGTCCTAGGAAGAGGGTGAGTGAAGGTAACTGGGTCCGTGGAGAGATCAACCGTTCCCTCAGGTGGCTTAGGCACCTTCCATGGTGCACGTAAACGCCTGTTGAGCGCTGAACAAGCCTTAACCAGTCGTGGCTGGAACAAACGCAGGACATGGTGGGTTTTCATTCTGCCAGGGTCCAAGTGCTACAGTAACCGACGGGTGGTCGACTTTTATAAAACAGGTAAGTTGCCACTCACCTCTCTGTTATGTGGCATATAGTCATGTCCGGGAAAGGTACTGTGGCCTCAATTTTTCGGTGCATATTTATTCTCTGACTATCGCAAAATACATAGCAGATTGTCCCGTTCCTGCCCCTTAATTTGACAAGTCATAGGTCCAATCAATTATGCAATAGACCACTAACCACATCTGGTTTCCTGAGGCCCCTCCTTAACTACCGCCTGGATTATGGCCAGCAAGCTGAAGATATCCTCCTGTCTTCCCTCAAACTCTTCTATGGACTTCAGGTCCAAGTCCGCCACATCCTCCCAGCTAGGGAGCCATTCGATCAGCTGCTCAGGGCCATGGGCTCCTACCCGGTTCTCGAGTATCCGGCTACACTTAGAATAATCGCGACCTGATGGCCTTGGGAAGGATCTGTTATCCCCAGTCTGGTCTCCGGCTACTTCCCAAGTTGGGACCCAGTCGACGAAAGCACGTATCGATTCGTCGCTTTTCTCCAGACCTAGTAGACGTCGGTATCCCCGTCCGCTACTGGTAAGGTACTTATCAACGTTATTCGGCTGCGTCCATTCTACTCCTGCAATCAGAAAAGTAAGCAATCACAGCCGGTTTAACCTTTCTCTTGCAAGGACCTACCGCTGGTGATCCGAAGCTGAGCGGTACATGTGCAAGATGAGGACTTGTAATTCAGCGAGGTAAATTCCGCCTCCTGAAGAATTCTCCAGAACGGAGCAGATGTGGCACAAGGCAATCTAACATTTACGGTGATTTGGGCTTCCATTATGAGCTGACTGAGGGATGCATTCGAATTTCGGTGCAGATCTATATCCGGCTGAGGATATTGTAGAGATTATATGTATCATTCCCGTAAAACGGACCCCACCAACAAGTTGACGGAAGATTGCCAGCCAACACTGATTGAAAGGCCTATCAAAGCAGTAAAGGTTTATTTTTACGCAAGCATTTTGCTCCTCGCAATTATGGAATGATAGCAAGATGAACGTATCCATTTCGATTTCTACTCTTTAATTGGACTCAAACGCGATCTGTAACGCACGCTTCCTCTATCTTCCCGATCCACTCGGAGGTCAAATCCAGCCATCAACTTATCGAAAAGCTCCCTCGTCGTATCGTAGAGAATACTCTTAGCCTCGTATGCCGTCTCGACGGAATTCAAACGTCTTTGAAGAGCATCGCGTTCCTTCTCCGCCTCGGCCAGCTCTCTTCTCAGTCTGTCTTGTCCGCTGGTCATATTTCCCAACTCATGCATCAGGCCTATAGATGTGCGATCCAGGGAGTCGCATAGTCTGTGAAGGGCCTGGATTGCTAGGCGAACGTCCTGACGCTCATAGTTCGGGTACGGCTCAGACTGCGGTTGTCCCTCCAGCAGACATCCGCAGAGATCGCATGCATGCTGCTACGGTTAATATCAGTGATTATCCACTATTAGGAAAACGTACATCTGCTGTAGTAGACATCGAAGACGTCTCTGACCCTAGATCTGTCATGGCGCAATTCAACGCGGTGTGTCCATGATTATCCACCGAGGGCGTTGGGATCTTATAGTGAGCGCGCACGATGCAACCTTCAGGGCGTGCGCAAGGACCTTCAGTAAAAGTTCAATGGGAAGGTTGCCCGTGGATCCAAGGCAATCTATGACCCACTAGGTTGAATGGCGCCACCCTCTGGCCACTATGATGAGGGCCATAAGAGCATGCCATGTCAAGCACAAGTTACTGGGTACTCGAGATTAGGCAAACCCAAGTCAAGTATGAAGCAGCTACACCCTCACTCTGAGTACAGTCTCTCCGTGTACAGCGATCCAGGAGCAAGCGCCTCCCCCGATCGTCCTGGAACCCCAAGTTCATTCGAGTGTTACATCACGCTTGAAGGCGGCCGTAGCTCAGCCGCGGAGACGTCGCCTTCATCTCTCCAGGCCGCGAAACACGAGCGACTCACCGACGGAGAAGAGTACCGGAGGGCCGTGTATAATGCATCCTTCCTTCAGGCTGAGAATGGATGGCTGCGTCGAGCACGGACGGCAGGAATCGCACTGCACGAAGGAACTGTCGTCCCCGCCATGGAGTCTCTTGATCATGGGTCGGACGAGATCCATGATGCCCTTACGCAGTTCCACATCGCATTTGCGGCCGTCGAACACGCCCTACTACTGTTTCCGTCCCCGGCAACATCGGACCTTGAAGCTACTCTGCAGGAGCTCATTCCCGCTTTTGAAACCTGTCGCAAAGGTCTGGACAAAGTAAAGACCGCTTGCAAAGCGCTAGAGAAAGGAGGCAGGGATTTCTCGATTCAGCTCAGCGAGTCAAATCGAAGCTATGAGAGGTTTTTTGGGATAGGATTTCAGGAGGAAACTGTAACAGCTGGCTCTAACACGGTGGACATGTGAATTACGATCTAATCGTCTTACTGGCATCGAATGGCATTGAGAACGCTCTTTCCGAGCTTAGCTGATGCATTAAAGGACCAAGACCTAGTGTAATATATTGGTTTGAATGGCCTGTCAGCTAATGGACGTAGAGTGGTCGTTTCGTGTGTGAGCTGTGTCCGGAGATACAAGTCAAAATGACCCCAAAGACCTACGGAACGAAGATTCGAGTGGCAAGCCAAGTAATGACACAGTGTGCAAGTTGTTCTGGGCCATTAGAATTTCTTAGAAACTCGTGCTGCATCTCGATAGTAAGCTTTGGTTTAGGCCTAACGCAACGCAACTGCAACTTACCTGAAGTAAATCCGAGGCACTTTCGCCACGTTCGACGCGGTAAAGGAAGTCCGCCAATGTTGGGAGTTTCAGCTCGTTGGGCTCAGCAATTCGTTTGACAATAACACCGAAATCCCGGATATCCTTATCGTAGTCATGGTTCCCACGAAGTAAGCTCTCGCCAATGTTGGCTTGCAAAAAGAGGGTGAGCATAACGATAGTGGAAGAAATGCACTCCACACTAACCGATCTTTACCAGGCCATCCGAGTCGAGCCGGAGGCTACGTACTCCGAGGTCACCATGAGAAATCCCCAATGACCCGTGAATGTACTTCAACGCTGAAAGCACACTATGGCATATTGCAGCTGTTTCCGCGATGGTCCAGTGGGGCCGAAAACTCAAGATATCATTCAACGACGCGATTGTCATTTCATAAACCATAGAGAGTGAATCGCCCTTCGTATAAACGCGCCATAATTGAACGACGTTCCGATGAATGACTGGCTTCAGATTGAGCATTTGCTCTGGTGGCGCGCTGGTGCATTGAACGAACACCGCGCTGTGGGGATACTTCTTCAGAAATCCTAGGTGGTGGCCGGGATGAAGGACGGTCTCAAGACGATAATGGTCCTGCACGTCGGCTGCTGTCCATTTGAATGCGACATCGTCCAGCGAGGCAGTGGTGCAAGGACGAATAGGTGGTGGCCGCTTTTTGATTTTGTTCGGCGAAGGACTAACATCCGAATCTTCCTTTCGTTTGTTTGAGACGTCCATATCTATCGAGTTTAGCAATTGAGTAAACCAGAACGCAATCGTATTTGCGAGGCTTACGATCTTATAGTCATAGGGGATGCTGTATATACTCAAGCATCGTAAGAGATACCCAGGTGGGTATACATTGCACCGATTCTTGGCAAATGGCCCGGAAAACCTGTGTGCTGCTGAAGCGTGGTCGCAACCTGGAGTATTACCTCATCACAATCAGTTTGACCAAGGCTGTCTTGAGCCAGATCAAAAGGTGAATTTGAAGATGGACTCTGACGGCGTTGGCGTTGACCCTGAAATTTGCCAAGAAAAGTACCCGTGGGTACTTTGCACTGTTTGCATCTCTTAATTCTTGCCAAGAAAAGTACCCACGAAGACAAACAGTGCAACAGTACCTTATTTGTTAATATTGTATTGTTTGCACTCGTGAAATTTTGCCAAGAAAAGTACCCACGGGTGCAAACAATGCATTTATACCAGTTAAGGAAATTTACCCAGCTGGGTATACCCACGGGGTATACCCAGCTGGGTACTTTTCTTGGCAAGGCTGAAATACCCACGGGTACTATGCAAACAGAACAAATTGACACAAGCAGTAATATTGCATAGTTTGCCTAGCTCTTATTGGTGCAAACAGTGCAAAGTACCCACGGGTACTTTTCTTGGCAAATTTCAGGGTCAACGCGAACCCCCCAACATTGGACCCATTAATGTAAAGTGTCCACTTGTTGCTCTCAGAGTTGCCCATACAAGAGCGCTAAAATGCTAAGTGCACTATTATCCAAAGCACCAGTGTCTGATTTCCTCCGGCTTGGCGGTGACCTGTCACGTGACTGGGTCATCGCTTGTTGGAACGTGACTCCCGTCCCCTTGTGGCTTAGCTCCCTCGCTTGGTCATCGTTGGATAGATTTCTGGTCCCCTCCAATAGACAAGCATTCATCGCTTCACAGGCTTTAGTCATCAGGCAATGGGTGACCAGGAATTATGTATGGAGAAACTCCCTGAACAGCAACTCACAAAAATGTATGGTTATCGTAGTACTCCTTGCTATTCACTCTTTCCCGCAGTTGATTACATACAGTGAGGGAATATGTATCTGATACAGCCAAGTCCACTGCCACTTCAGCTCCTTCCCACGAGAGCAGCAATCAGCAACAACCCCACGACCACAACACTGCAACCGCAAACCCCGCTTCCGCACCATTCCAGCATTGTTCATGGTTCTATCGCGAGTTCATGACGTACGTTGGCTGCGTTTCTCTGAGGCGTGATATTATGTTTGACCAAGCGTGTCCTAGGGACGAGGAGTATAAGCGGAAGTCGAGCGTTCGGCTGAGCCGCTCGTGGTCACTTTCCTTTCTAAATTGGACGATAAGTGCAGGGCTGTCGCCTCGGACATTGGAGCTGGAACCATCAAGTTCTTTCGGCAACAGGTGGACCTAGGCCATCGTAATCTCGTCAAAGGGGTGCACGATTTGACTGGGAGCTTACAAACGGAATAGGACTATCGCCTGTTGCTAAAGGAGATACATTATCGTAATGATTCCAGTCCAAGGAGGAGTATTTAGTTCCCCTCAATGGAGAATCATTAAACGCCAGACCCAGCTTGGCGCAGCTAGAGTATTCTTAGCTCAAGAGTCAAGACACTAGCCTCACATGATCCAGTCAATCCCGGCATTTGCAAGTAAAGAATCTCGTCGTCTTTATGTACAATACTGTAGAATCTGAGCTCGAGTTCCGCTTTGTACTATTTTTCTTGGAACACAAAGCAGCTGAAAGCTACCCTTCATCAGGTACTCGCAGCCAACATCGAAGCATCATGAATCATCAATTCAAGCATGACATGCTGTAAGAGTACCGATATAAATAAATGTAATAGGCCACCGACTTTCAGGTGGTCTACAACATCAAGACACGACATCTATCCCAGAAAATATGGCACTGCTGACTATTGGTATGACCCGAAATTTCTTTGTCTGTGACATTTACTAACGTGGAAAAGGTGTTGATCTAGGTGAGGAGCTCTCTTCTGTTGCTGTGTTTCGGAATGGAAGAGTGGACATCATCCAAGACTCACAGGGACGCAAAAAATTTCCTATCGCCGATTTTCTTCGAAGTGAAGGTAACAGGCCGAGGCAAAATCGGGGGTCCAGCCTGGATAACGCGGAAAATTCGTCACCTCTTATCCATCAGGACCGCATTACGACCATTCTGCGTAAGATCAGATCTCTGGCTGAGTCATATCTACACGAGCCTGTTGAGCATGCCGTCATTACTGTCCCCGTATCATACGGGGACCTCGAACGCCAGACGACGAGAGATGCGGCTCGCCGGGCTGGACTGACTGTCCTCCGGCTGTTGAATACACCAACCGCGGCTGGTATAGCACACTGGGTTGATCGCCCCAGAAACAGTCTCATGTTGGTCCTAGATGCTGCTGCGAGCCGAGCAGATGCCACCCTTCTCGAGGTCTCTGATGGCTTGTTCGAAATCAAATGCAGCGGTAGTGACGCTTGGCTGGATAGAAGGAGCTATGACTTGAGATTGCTCGAGCATTTCAAACCTGAAATGCGCGGAAGGAATCATGACCCCGCTTTCGAGGCCTGTGAACTTTTGGAGGCATCACCGTCTGTACCTGAGTCAGTCAGCCATGATTCATTCAATAATATGGATTATTTCGACAATATGTGCAGTGATATCGCCAAATCAATAAAGGCACTCATCAGTCAAGTCTTGAAAGATGGCAATCTGGAGATATCTGATGTGCAGGAAGTGGTCCTGGTGGGCGACTCAGAACTATTGCCACGGTTCCACGGAATTATAGTGCAAATTTTCGACCATTCGCCAGGCGGAATCTGGTGTCCTCATATGGCTTGTGCGCGGGGTGCGGCCTTACAAGCCGCGTCTCTGTTTAGCCCTTCCTTCTGTTATGATCTCCTTGTTCTGGACATCGTTCCCAGCGCTACATATCTAGAGCTACATGCCGGGTGTCTGGTCCAGATATGGCCACGCAACGCAGTGCTCACTCGCCAATCAACGATCCGCATGGCGGTCCCGTCTCATCTCAGTTTGCCACGAAACCTGAAACTCCTTGAGGGGCAGTTCGGTAGGCGCAAAGTTGTTGGCGCTTTTGATCTTACACCTCTATGCACGTTGGTTGCGCCAGGTAGAGGGCTGGAAATAGAACTCATCGCTGCTGTTGACCTTGACGGAGTTTTGGATGCATCCCTAGTCTGCGCCGATTCGGACACGCATAGTGAAACTACGATTATTCTCAAAAAACCTCCTTTTCCCGGGCTCGAAAGTCAGCATCCTCAAAGAACGCAAACAGGTACCGATAATGGGCGACCAAAGGGCTCCGTCAGTTCTTATGTGACTTCTCTGAAATCTCTATCTAGGACCCTCATGCCACAACAGCAGAAGATATTGGAAAATGTCGTCGCTCAAGTGGAGAATCAAATGCGTGACCGGCAGGATAGGAATAAAGTGGAAGATCAATTGGCTCTAGAACAAATGATTCGGTACGGTGTAAAGCAAAGATGCCAATGATGTAATTTGCTGACTTGTATGTGTTCTAGGGCAGCAGATACAGTAATCAACAGCGAAACAGTCTTGACGGATGACTTATGATCCAGCAGCGTGTTCAGGAAAGAATATTTGCTCCCAGTGATCTGAGGCCATAATGGACAGACTGCGTTTAATAGAGATGTTTTATCCCTATCCTAAAGATTAGCGGCCACTTTACCTAAGGCACAGTTCTTAGCTGTTTTTTACGAATATTTGAATATGCCTGCCATACTGACTACACATTGTCTAATGTATACTTTGAGCATACATACTGGTAAAGCAGAATCGTTACCCCGAGCGTCCGTAAAAGGCTTATGTCAGCCAGGAATTTCTCTGACTAGTTAACTATCACGTAGTTGAACACCACCTTAGGTCGTTCTATAGACCAACTAGAAAGAAAACAATTAAAATCTAATTGCCCTACCTGTAAAGAAGGGCTTCGCCCCTCCAGGCAGAGCCTGGGGCCCCCCGGATTTTCTGAATCGAATACGTGAAACCAACGTAACTCTGTGACTGACGCTAAAATATATATATCTATGAATCCAACAACTTAGGAACATTAATATAGTCAAAGTCAACAGAATCAAACTTCTCCTTCTGAACAGACAAATCATGCAAACACATGCGTTCTTCAATAAAAGAATAAATCCCATCATAATGACTCGACGAAACTCGACGTTCAATGTCAACAACGACATTCTTCTGAACTCCCTGACGAGCCCACTGATACGTCATATCCGCCAAACCACGGGGCAAAACGTAAGCCCATCCAGGAAAAAAATGCATTTGTGTAGTTGTAATGCGTTGTTACAACATGTTCATGGTATGTTTTTTTATTTGTGTTATCACGGTTTTTGTTAACCGTCAGTTGCTAGACAGGGACTGTGCTGAGCAATGCTGGTACAGGTATAGTGATTCTTCTTTCTTGAAGAAGTTGCGCGAGAATTTTCGCGCTGGTGTGGCTGTCTTTAAGGGAGCTAGAGCGTCGATGTCTCGGGAAGAGGTTTATCGGTGGGAGGAGCATTATATGTCGGCGTTTAATTTGGTTACTGCTTATGTGAAAGCATTGGAGTCTGGTGTTTTGGTTGGAAAACAGCTGGAGGTGGAAAGAGAGCGTGTATTCACGCGGTATGCGGAGGCAATGAATGGCCTTGAGGGTTGGACTGGTACGTCCTGTTTATGTTTATTTTGGAAGTTGATACTGATGTTTGAAGATTATCGTTTTTGTTGTGGACACGATATTCGGAGTGGTTGAAGTGTTACTTTGGTTGGTTAGCAACTTGTATGTTGCGGTGAGTTATTTTTTTTTTTTTGAAGGTTGGAAGTGTTCATGCTGATTATGCAACGTGTTGGATGTTTGTTTTTTGTTTTTAAAACGTACAGTTGTTGGTTATTGTTGGATTCTTTTTTGGGGGGCCCCAGGCTGCGCCTGGGGGGGCGAAGCCCTATGTTAGTTACGGAGTTGGAGTGTTTTTATTAGTGAAGTGAATATTCGAGTGAGGAAAAGGTGTGTTTACTTTCTTTGGTTGTGAGAGAGAGTTGTTGACGCATGTTGGTTGAGAATGTGAGTGTGGTGTTGGTGTGAACATGAGATATATATTTTTACCTTTGGTATGTTGTTTATTCTTATTGTGGAGTTTCTTTCTTAATCTAGTTGATGATTTCTTTTCAGGGGGCCCCTGGCTCTGGCTGGGGGGTTTGAAGCCCTACGATTATAGAAAGAGTGATTATGATTGAGAGTTTACTTGGTGAGTTTGTTTTACATACGCAACGTGATGTTCAATTACTTGTTAATTGAGGTTGTTTCTAACTGGAGGTTAGAGAACTCAAAAACAAACAAATCACTTGAGGGGAGCGCACCTCGCCCCCAGGAACTACTGTATACTGTACATTTATATCTGTCATGCTATGTATGATAAAGATGCTAACAAGTAATGTAATTCCCAGGTGAGCAGCCCACCCGGGTGAGCCGCCCACCCCTCATCCGATTTCGACGTGTTCGAACATTTGAAGCCATCCAAATCAACCAAAACAATATATTTTTATTAGATCTAGCTAGTATGGCGTGTAGGGCATCTGGTTCTAGTATGCCCTATAGTGAAGTAATTAGAACACCTTAGTGGCGCGTGTTTAGTGGTTCTAAAGGTAAAGGTGCAGAATTAATAGATGAAGCCCTATTTTGCTTATTTCTTACCTGGATAAGATCCCTAGCTTCCTGGATGTAGAGTCCTTCATTAGGAGTTATCTGGCATCTAGATCTCTTTGATTTCTGCTTCTCCTTCTCATTAGCTGTACATACATCATGATTTTCCTTTACTAGTAGAGCTGTGCTATATATAGCCATCTCACAACCCTTAATAAGCTGCTGGATAGCTAGTTTTGAAGGTGTTAAAGGGCTTTAAGCTTATTATTATTTTAGGAGCTTCTTAACTAAGGATGCTTACTTCTGTAATTGCTGAAGTATATAAGGTGTAGTAAGCTATAAGGAGCTGGTTAATTGACTTGCGCGGCTTAGAGGGGGGTTTAGTTGGATATAGAGATATTTAGCTTCTTAAGCACCCTCTTTAGCTTAAAAGGGTAGATTCCAGGTGCAGCGAAGCTATTCTAGATATTTAGAGGCTTAAAAACCTCTAGATGAGCTGTTAGATATACTTAAAAGGAAGTTAAACTTATTAATATGATTGTATCCTAAGTGCATCTTCTCCTTAATAAGGCCTCTGTAAGCTTACTTTAATGGGCTAAAATAATTAATATCTAGTGGTTGTGAAAGATGAGAAGAGTAAGTTCAGAGAGGTATATGCCAGGGCCTCGAGATTGCCTTTCGTCCAAGCCCAGATTTGTTCGGAGCTCCATTTACGTCACTTACCCAGAAAAAGGCGCGCATTAGACATGTGCAGTACTCGGTAAAGGGAGCGGTATAGTAAACAGTCAAAACAAATGCGACCCGAACACCGATTTTGCCTCTGAGCATAGCATAGGCAGCTCATACAGTATTGCTTTGCAACCACTCCAGCGAACCATCAAGCCAGGGGTTGCCAGAGTACTTTGCCCTTGTAAGCATAAGAATGCTTGCGAGGAGAAACTCTCATTTTCAGTGCAACTACTCAGAAGCGAGGGGCAGGGAGAATCGCTGACTCCGACGATCGCCCAACCTTCGTCTGATCATCCAGGAGTTTCATGCCTAACGGACAGTTCTTTCCCACTGCCTTGGAACGGGGCTCAGTCGCTATATCATGGTACCGTGCTCACCACCGGCAACTTGAAAGAATCATTGCTGTAACTACAGCTGAATTTAACTGCCGATCTTCCAGTTTTGAATAGTCAATTTGTTTCCGAATATAATTGAATGGTTGATATTTTGGCATTTTGCAGCCCATATGGATAGAAAGTCCGGCCACAAGGAATCCTCGTGCGCAGGGTCTAGCTCAAGAAAATTGAAGATGGGAATCCCCCCTGAATCCATGGCTATCATCGATGGTGAATTCCTACGCCTGAAGAAAATCCGAGAAATCGAGCTCGACCAGGATATAGTGGCTTTCCTGGATGCTGCACATTCGTCGTTGAAATCAAAGGGCGCATCGAACCCCCGAGGCCCTTTTAAGAGGTCTCTCATCCATTACGCGGCAATGGGAGATTGCTGCGAGCTACTGCGTTATCTCTTAGAAGCCGGTGCATTCGAAGACGATTTGGATCAGAACAGGCGGACACCTCTCTCCTGGGCTGCAGAGTATGCTGCCCTGGGTTCCGTAAAGATTCTATTGGAATATGGAGCGAACATCAACTCCATGGATGACATGTATTCGACGCCTTTGTCATGGCTGGTGCACGCAGGAAAGCCTACGGCACAATCCAAAGCCACAAAAGCGTATCTGAGAAAGAATGGTGCGAAAAGAGGTGCTATGCGTGGTTGGGTCTTGAGGAAGATCAAAAGACTCTGAAAGAGCTCTGATTTGGGACAAGCCTACGGTCTGCGGCGAGGCTGCCTGGAAGAAACATACTGTATGTCAATTGCTGTGGTTCAGAGGAAGATTGTTATAATTATTGTCGTCTAAAAGCTTGAGGTCCATATACGATATGCAAATGAGATTGATGTCCAATCAATCTGCTTCTACCACGTGGTTTCGTGGTCTTGCGGTAAAATCGGGCAGTTACGTCACCCGAAAGGCTAACTGGCTGTTTACTATCCCCCCACGTATATAGGTAGTACTAAAGTAGAATAAGTCAGCCGTGAAACTGCTGTCCGAAGAAGTAAAGAGAACAACGTCGCTTCCACCTCTCATGCCACCCGTTTCACCTTCCAGAGAGCTATCCTGGGGTCGTCTAGTACAGCGCAAATGGAACTCCCATTATGACCAAGTACGTGCCATGGTCTTCAACTCTGTCATAAATACTAGCATGGTGCACTGGTCTCCTAGTCATACTCAGCACATTCTCTTCGGCTGAAGGAGCTCGGTATGGACCTTGAACAGGAAGTTCTTCTAATCAAAACGAGAGCCTACCTTGGGGCTGCCCGGGTGCCTCTGGAAAGTCTACGTTTCCCCTCTATTGGAAGTCGAACGCCGAACGAAGACTGCGAAAAGCGTCTCTTAGAGATCTTCAGCAGTTACTCGTGTCAGAGGTTAGCCCACGAAAACCGAATACCAGTCTTGATATCTCCCAAGTATTTACAGCAAGCCCTGGAGGCTGCAAACTTGCCTTTAGGGTCAATCAAGGATGCTGAGCCACCGTTCCTCGATCTACCGCACGAACGGACTCTTCTAGCCCTGTCAGGCAGGCATCGTTGGGAGGCAGCCAAAAAGTTCTACAATGAGCCGCAAGATCGGTGGTGGTCGGTGAGCTTGCTCAATGAAGATGGTGGCTAGACCCCTTCATATCTCCTCAGAAAACTAGGCTTGAACGCTGACAGCGGCAATCAGAGATCCCACTCAAATACCTAGAGATCATGTCAGAAGAATGCGAAAACTCTATGCCTTTCTTTGACGGCGAGATCTACTACAAGATCCGTGCAAGCCACTTGCGATCCGATTCCTTGCAAGTGGCAAAATGGGTAAACCGGATCACTTCACACTCTAAACGTGTTGACTACGAGAGATTGCATGCATCAAAATACTACAAACCGTTTTGCGATGCTCTTGACGAGTTGGTTCCGTTTCCGGCACTTCTATTCTCCTTCCATCTCGGAAATATTCGCCGCTTTTTTAGGATGAAATGTCCGGAGGAGCTGGCAACATTCGTGCAACATATGCGATCGATCTGGGCTGGAATCATGCAAGGATTCGATACTGACTTACTAAGTTCAACCGATGTCAAGTATGTCCAAGGGCGCTCCCCGGTTTGGTCGTCTGCCGATAGGGTTTATATTGAAAACCTCTTTAAAGAAGGCCAAATATTCCCTCGTATCACCGACAGAGGCAAACGAGAGGTGCTAAAGAGTCGCATTTTGGCTATTGATAGCATCATACCGTCGATGACGACTTTCATGGAGAATACTAAATATCTAGAACCAGCAGCAATACTCCTGAGGGAACTTCTGCCAGGAAGGTTCCGAGGTACAATACGCAGACAATTGAGGAAATTCTACAGTATTGACAAAGCGTCAGACGACCGGTTTTGGCTCTCCTATCAGCATCTGTGGCTGACCGCTCTTCGCTTGTTCCCGTACCTAACAGACTTCAAACCCCTACAAGACCGAAGGGGTCACAGGAAAGAGTTTACCGGCAATTACTGGGGATATTTTGCACGATCTGCGATCCAGCACGGTTTCAAGTCCTCCAGGATTTTAAGAATACTACAGAGTCATCCAATGACCGATATACTCCAAAAACCAGCCCTATGCCCAGCTATGACTACAAACACAGCCCACCGTTGGAGGTTGAAAGACAGGTGTGGAATGCCAACTGAGCACATGTTTGAGGATGCAGCGCTATTTCTTTCCGTGGAGAACATATATCAAGATATGCAATGTGCAGCAAACGCGGTTGATCTTACTCCTTTTGCAGTAGCGCGAGATGGTTTTCGCGCGTTTTTCGGAAACCGCCCCCCGCCGTCAAGGGAAATGACCATGGTCGATGAAGGGAGGACGCTTTCTGCCAGTCTGGTTTCCTTACACCCTACACTGCACGAGGATGGAATGTCTGAGCCGCCATCACTTGACATCAGAGATTCGGGCATGGATCTTGACAACCAAAGGGTGGCCAAGCAGCCTCAAGTCCCAGGAGCTCAGTCCCTTGAGTTAGAAATGACGGGGAGGCATGATCTCACTGGAGAACGCCTTCTTCCTCCACCTCAGGAGACGGTAGTAACTCAGGATGTAGTGCCTGCTGCCTTACCAACTCCCTTCCCGCCAACTATCAATGCATCCACCACAGAGATCATTGTTGCCAACGCCGGACAAATGCAATCATATGACCTGGACCTTTGGCAGAGGCGCGTTCCAAGGGAGGTGCAAAGACTATCCCCGAGTCAGGCAAAAGCACACTTTGAGAAGTCGAATTGGGACTACGCGCTCTACGTGTACAATGACCAAGATGAGCCGCATTTCTACTACCCTGCAGCAAATGAGTTGGCTTTGGTCGATTCTTTCATCCAGAACAGGAGGGGCTGGTGGTATGCCTCGTATCACGATGGTACTATCATTACCATAAACCCAGATGACGTGCGGTCGAAACTGGAAAAAGACCGCTTCATATTATGTGGGAATGATAGCGGCGATTTGTGGCGAGCCAAGAGAGATGAGGAGGCTGAACTGTGAATGGTTATTCCCAGTAAGTATCTACGCAAGATAGCATTACTGATGATGTGTGTTTCGGAAATTCAGCATTCTAAGCGAAAGTACATTTAACTGCGATATCGGGACACAACTGCAGTCTGCGCTATGAGGCTTTTCCGTGCATAGCATAGGCTATACAATGCCAGACGTGAGACTACGCTGTACATGAGCCTAAGCTAGAGCGCACGCTATTAGAATACCATGTCCCCGAACGACCCTATCAGAGCCATATTCGCTACAGGTATCATATTTCCAGTATGGTATCAGGGGGCGCCAGTCCATAAGCTAGAATATGTATTACCTGTGGCTGAAAGTAACAGTAGCAGGTGCTTAGAACCCCTATAGAGAGAAAATATAAGTACACGCGGCAGACTAATACCTAGAGTAACTAATTCGTGAAACCAGGACCCGAGCAGGTATACGTTCTGGGTATTTTCCTGCTTTTCGAAGAATCAGAACTTCGTTAATTCCTGAATTGCATACAGAGTACTGGTGATTCCACAGCTGGTATGTACCTGATCTTTTCGAGAAATACAAAACTACACTGGTTGTGATCGTGGGTCCTTCCTTAGCAGGCACACAAGGTAAATTAGAGGTCAACCGCGGTTTCCTGCTACTCGCCATGCTCGATATTTCCGTTAGTCATCAAGTTATCAGATATGTTATGTATCGTTACTCGCTGGAGGACGTTGCACCGTAAATACATAGATTCAATAAAGTAGGGAGAATGAAGATAGAAGCCCATCGCCTATGTCTCGCTTTTAGCAGCTTCCAATTTATTAGCCGCTGCTTGCCTTCCCATCCGTCTCAACCAGACCTTTAGGTCAAACTCGCCCTCGCTTAGTTCCCTCTGGTCCCCAACAAACTTGAACGTGTATCCGAGATCCTCCGACGGTTCCTTGCCATCCATGTATTTGATGAGACAGGCGTCGGCACGGTAGTTTCCAGTCTCATATGCAGCAAGCCTCTCGGCATCCCGCGCTGTGTGGACATGGTACGCTGCGCCTTCAACAACAGAGCCTGGACAATCAAGTAGGGCTGGATATTGACCCCACATCTTACATTCGTATCCCACAATGTATGCAGGCCGTAGCTTCGGTTCTTCATCTAGCTCGAGAATCTCTCCGATCATCAAGGGATCTGTTAATGTGCCGTAGAAAAAGTAAGGACCACAGGGTGCGGCAAACAAATCCACGGCTGGCGTCTGCTTTGGAGCCTGGTAGAAAAAATCAGGAGGCGCGCTCCTGAGCTTCAGGACGTAGGGAGATATCTTTGAGTGAGGATTCGAAGGTGGAGGCGGCGGAGGGGGAGGAGGATGGTTGCTTTCTGGTAGCCTTGAACTGGCCATGCTCACTGTAGATGACGTGCGTACGACGAGTAAATGAGAGGTAAGTAACGGTATAATCGGTCTAAATCAAGAATCACGGGTACATAGCTCTGTCTGAGAATGTTGTATCAAAAAAGATGTTCCTGTGAAAAGTTGCTCCTAATCAGACGCTTGCTCCTGACTAGATAACGATACTCGTGATTTGATTATGTAATACTGTAACCGCCAAGGTACAGGTTGGCGGTTGGCAACTTGACAAGCCGCCCAGATTATTTATAACGCCGACCATCCATCGCTTGCCAATCAGGATCTAATCCACCTGTTTCTCTTATGGCTCGATGGCCAAGTACATCAATTTAATTTTATCAAAACTTCTCTGAAGCTGTTCCCCTGTCTTCTGTCTCAGACATGCTTCGGAAACAGCGTTTGTTGGCTCTCATCATCTCGCAGATTTGATAATCATATTTCTAGGCGCCAAAGGGAGAAATGCACTTACTATCTCGGTGTGCTGACCGTACTATTCCAGTTGACATGTGTTCCTGGTGCTCCGGAAAATGCCCATTTTCCAATATAAATTAAAGCGATTTTTTCCTCCTGGTTGATCTGAATCGCAGCCAACCGTAGCAAAAAACAGACGGTCTTTTCATTCTCCAAAAATTTTGAGCTGGACATATTTCGGGTTCTGTCAATGGCGCATAAAACCCCACCACCCCCACCTCCCGCTCCTCCAGCAGCACGAAGACTACCTGGATGTAAGTTCACGGGAGCGCCTCTAAGATTACACACTAAGAGTGCTTGCTTCTAGCGGGTGAAGCAACTGTCCCAGATACTCCAAATGTTCCCACTGGAAGCTTTGGGATTGGAGTAGAGGTCGAATTCCTGCTAGAACCTCGCGATGGTACGACTGCTGGCGGCGACATCCGGGGCTTCTCCAAGTCTGTCGCATCTGCCTACAATGAGTTCCTGGCGCGGTACGCTCCAGACAAGCATCCACGTATGCACAATGCGATAAACGAGTCATACCTCGGACCGCGATTCGCAGAATGGTCCCTCGACTCGGATTCGACAATTGATATGCCAAATAAAGGCCAGGCACCCTGTATGCATTTGTGTCTCGTAAATTCATCTTTTTGGCTATTTCTCCAGCTAATGGCATACTTCACAGGGGGCCTTGAGAGCATCTCCCCGATTTTCCGGGCTCATAAGGATTCATTATGGCGTGAACACATCAATTTTCTTTGGGATTTTTTGTCCGCCAATTACCGGATTAGCGCAAATCGCAGCTGTGGTACACACGTGCACCTGTCTCGATCAGGCGGTTACACACTTTCCCAGCTCAAGAAGGTCTGTCAAAGCATTATACACTTCGAGCCTGCGTTTGAAGCACTTCTACCAGAGGAGAGGCTATCAAATGAATATGCACGGAGCAACTGGTTGGACAATGAGAACTTCGGACATAGAAATCTGACACGAAAACAAACCATTGCAGTCATTCAGCAGGCTTCCAGTATGAGAGAGTTGGTACTCCTCATGAACCCTAACCACGATAAGATGTTTGGATGGAATTTCCTATACCTCTTGAACAGCCCTAACGGGACGATAGAATTTCGAAGGGGCGCTGCCAGTACCTCTGCGCAGCATGTCTTCGTTTCTATAGAGATTGCCATGTCGTTCGTTGAAGCTGCTATCCGACTGGGCGATCTGGAGAGACTCGGAAGGGTCCCCGCGACTATTGGCGGTCTGAAGTGGTTCATCAGGGCCGCAAAGCTTCCAGAGAATGTGCCTGGCTTGTACGATTCGCGATATCTTGACCTTCTGTTTTCGAGGAAGAGTGAGAATGCGTTCAGAGAGCCCAAACCACTCGGAAACCTGTCCGCTTCGAGGCTGCTCAAGCTCAAGAACAAGAAAGAGGAAGACAAGAGGAAGAACCTTGCCATGGTAAAAATGCTTCAAGAGCCTTACTGGAGCTAGCCTCTTCGCTATTGTTATTCTGTCGCTGCCGACCCATCATGGTTCATTAGAAATTAGCTCCGTCTAATCGACGAGCCCTGTTGTTCCATATTTGGCGGGACCTTGGGCTGGTACTTTGGCATTGACTGCTATTGAGATGTTGGTTTTTGTATCTTATCTTTCTCTTTCTCACAACATTATTTTATGTCAGCGGATATGCTACTATTTTCTGCGCGAATTCAGGATGGCCATATTGCCATGCAGTGATCCCCCGGGTGTCCTTAAAAATTATAGCTGCTATGCCTCCGAAAACTACAATGCTCTTCTTGTAGGCTATAGCTTGACCCTCATAGTGTGTAGGCTCACGTCTGGCGTAAGCTATACTGTGGCCCCGCATAGCGTAGGCTCACGTCTGGCGTAGGCTC